TGACAGGCCAGAAAGAGAGAAAGAAAGAAAACAACAATTAACGGGAGCGCCGCTCCAACAATCACAGCAAAATCAGGTATTTGGAGGGAGCGATACCCGTTTCTCCCGTCGATTTCCGGGCCTGCCACCATCGGCCACTGACATCCGACACCTCCAGAATTTCGTGCTTGGAGAAGCTGATCTCGTTGGCATCTTCCGGGTTGGCGTCGTACGAGTAGATCGCCTTGGCGCGGTAAGGGTATTCGGTAGGCTGGGGCACCTCGCCCGCAACGTCGCCGCTGCCGTTCGCAGGCAGATTGCTGGTCGAAGGGTTGCCAAAGCGGGGTGCCGAAGAGTTGCGGTTTTCCGAGCCAGGAGCGCCACCAGGATAGCCCGACACGGGCGAAGAAGTCTCGAATCCGTTGAGTTGGGCCGAGGTGTACATCTGAGGCGCCTGGCTGGACGTCGTCTCGGGGCGGTTACCGAAGCCGCCGGAGAGATGCTTTCCGTTTCCATACGGAGGAGGGCTCTCCTTATGCAGAGCAAAAGAGTCGATGAAACCTCGGGGCGAGGCTTGAGGCGTGGAGCCGAAGTAGAAAATCCAGACAATCTAGAGTTATCAGCAATTGGATAGTCGATCTTGGAAGAGTTGACATACGATCACCATGGACAGGAGAATGAAGCCAGCTCCAGCTGCCTGGGATGCAGAATTGTCGACATAAACCAGGGAGTTCACAGCCAAAGTTGTGATGACGAGGCCAGCGGCCAGATAACCTACAATCTAGGATGGATTAGCAAGAAGTGACTTGGTGGCACCGAATCGAGAGTCATACCGCGACGCTGTAGACCGCACCAGTGTCGGTGCCAAACACAATTGTTAGGCCGATATTGCAGCAGAACATGTAGGCAACCGCCCACCAGGGAGTAAGTGGGATAATTTTGTCCTTGATAGCCGCCAACGATGGGATGAAGATGAGCGGCGATAAATCCATGCCAGCTTAGATGCCACGTTTAGTCGATCCCGAGACCATTGGGATGCGCGGTAAGGGCCGAGGGGACATACGAATCGAAAATAGAGACGGTGGCGAGGGCGAAAGGGGTCGCCGAAGGATGTTGCTGGGTCGGAATCTGGCCATTCTGCGAGACGGTTGGGGAATATGGATGCGGTTTATGGAGCGAGGATGAGTGGGAAGAGGACGCGACCATGAATGAGGCGAAGGACGGCAAGGACGTATATACGAGACGGGTAGCGAGCTATTGACGGCCCCTGTATCCTAACCAGGCGTAACCACGCAGTCGGGTGATGACGACAGGCTTGCTGTTGTCGGGAGGTTGATAGTTTGATGGTCGGGGTTCGCGAATGTCGAGGGAGGTGCTGGACGTGATCGATGAATGACACGAGCGCGGCGAACGACGAGCTATGGAGGAGTTAGATTGAATGGATCGAATGGACGAAGGCGACCGAGGAGTGGATCAATGAACATGGTGCACGACATGACGAACCCAGAGGCGGTCGGGAAAGGAGATTAAATGAGATGCATCGCGATGAAGAGTGCAGAGGCAAGTCATGGGCGAGAGGAACGTGACTCAGGTAAGGAGGGAAAAGGAAGTAATTACCTGGAGAAAGCCTAAAGCGCGGGTATGGCGAGGTTGGAGCAAGTACAGATTGCGGCTGTAGCTTATCCGCAGGAGGCAATCTATTCTGAGACAGGAACGGGAGGAAGAAGGGTTCGTTTGGAACGAGGTTGGACGGTTGAACCCCTTGCAGGAAGAGGAGCAGAAACCACAGCACCAGGCTGGGAGGACGCGAAGGCGAAGGAGAAATGAAGATGAAACGTTAGTGGGAGAGAAAAGAGAGGAGGAAGAAGCAAGAAGGAAGAAGGTGAAACGGGCAAGAAAATCAAGAGGCCGAAAAGAAAATAAATGTCCCAGAGGGGAAACGAGCGAATAGTCGACGGATGGGGAAACCGATCGAACGGATGGGGAGGGAAGAAGGAAGGGTCGAGAAGAAGATGAAGTCGAAGAGAGAGAAGGAAGGAAGAGGAGAAGGAAGAAGAGGAAGTTGGGAAATGAAGCGGAAAAGGAGAATAACAAGAGGGGAGGGGAACCACGGACGCACAAGGCACCCGGGGGTGCTCATTGGCTCTGCCCGGGGAAAAGTGGGACGGACCGGGGATCGAGAGGTGCTTTTCTATTTTTATATTCTCCCTCAGTACGGAGTAGGTAGATAGATATCTATGAGATCTAGGATCCATAATGTATTCAGAATATTTATGATAGTAATTGTTCTTTACTATGAAGAATAGAGAATAAAAGTAGAGAGTGGGATGGCATACCAACTGCTGAGGGAATCAATTGAGAGTGCATAAGCGGAGCAAAATTAAATTAAATAATTAATTAACGTCTGGGCGGGATTATGGATCCCACAAGGCAGAAAGAATCACCTGAAGGATTATTCTCATAAGATATCACTATTCTCATAAGATAACAAGAACAACCTACTGGAACAATCTCCCTCCACAGTCTTCTCCGTCCCTGGTCCGGGAGATGAGAACCGAGATGACGGCCCCTCGGAACGACGCGCAACGCCCACGCTCGTGAGGCGTGGCTCGAGCCCACCGAGAGAATCGTCTGGCCCAGTTGATCGACAGACAATGCGTGAAATTGATACCGAGGATGGTAATGGTCGGCATCATTTGATTCTTGACTCAAGAATCCTTAGCAATGGTTACACGGCTCCTCAGGCAGCTAGCTGACTGAGCGTAATTGCAATAAAACATATGTACTTACGAAACTTCACAGACCTCACTCTTAGACACCCTTGCCTATTAAATGTACTTGGATACCACTTCATACTACGGTACCCGCCTTAGCTGAGGTACTTCATCTCGGTAAATAATATACACATAATCCAACCCTCGGAAGCCGACACTTCCCGAATACCCATGCAAAAGCAATCCAGAAACCGTCTAGCCCAATCGGCTTCCGACGCAGCTGTTGGATACACAAAGAATGCAACACCAGGATCTCCCTGTCGCACACCTGAAGCCAACGTCGTACTTACGCATCTGACAATTACACAGCCCTCGTTTGACAACCTGAAATTGGCGCAGCCTCGCGGGGATGCCGCAGCGGACCCGGGCCTGCAAGGGCCGAATGGGCTCTTGGTGGGAACCACGATCATCTCGGGCACGTCTCAGAATCTGCAAGGTCGCCCCATCGGTGAGGCTGGATCTGGATCTACATCGACGATCGTGTGGCTTTCGATACATCAATTGGATCCCTTTTCAATTCGTAATTTCCCACCCCCGGCGGTAGGCCAGACCGCGGGTACGTGGACACAACGCTGACCTGCCAGCTCATCTATACAATGAAAACAAAATGGTATCATAGCTAAGCAGAAAGAAACAACCCGGAAGCAATCAGGCTAAGGACACAGTAAGCGGGAAAAAAATCACACCTCCTTGGCCCGTCGTTCCCGCACCACCTCCTCCCGCTTGACCTCCCGCTCCACATCCTCGAGTCGTCCCTCCCATTCCGCCCAGCACTCGCCCGCACTCACCAACGACACCTCATACCACCGCTGCAACACGCGCGCCGTGCGCACCCGCAGCTCCGCGATCGCCTGCGCCTGTTCGTCCTGCGTCTGCGCCAGCCGGTCCATGCGCGGCTGCAACTCGATCAGGGCCGCCGAGGTCTGCGCGTCGGGAATGGGCAGGTCGTTCAACGACGTCAGACGCGAGGCCGTCTCCGGGAATGCGGACGCGTACGACAGCACCATGGAGGCCAGATTCTGCGTCGTCAGGTTTTCCGGGATGGCTTGCGGGGGCGTCGGGCGGAAAAGGTCGGGGAAGCGGTCGTCTAGTCTATCGTTAGTTTGTTTGGTTGGATGTAGAATATGTAGTGGGTGGTGACGCACGAAGCTGAACGACGTCTCGTACGGCGGGAATGGTTCTGCTCAGTTTTTCGAGGTCGCGTTCGAGACGGAGGAGTCGGCGGGAGACGCTGTCGTCCAGGGAGGCGGGTTTCGCGGGTGCGGTGGGAGCCCCTGTCCAGTTCGCGTCGCCCGTGAGGAGGTAGGTGAGTCGCCGGAGACGTGCCTCGAGGAGTTCGATGGTGGCACCGGCCACGGAGTCGTTTTCAATCGTCATGTTGGGGTGGTTATGCTGGATAGACTGTTTGTTGATTGGAGTGGGTGACAGCTATCGGAGACAGTGAGGAGGATCAAGGAGGATGCAAACAAAGTCAAACTCCGCACGTGGGGAAGCTTATCCTCCAGGCACCCATAGTTCCTTTCCAACTCTTCCTCTCCTTCAACTCTCTACAGACTTGGACTGGTAACAGAAATGGAATCCGAATTAACTGATTATTATATCATATAATATATTCTAATCGACTTCAACTCAACGGACAACTGACAGCAATCCAGCTCATCCCCCACCTTCACCCGCCTTTTCAGCAATATCCTGGAGAACATCCAGCACCTTCAGACGCAGCCGGTGCTCGGCTTCTGCTACTATCCAATTCGTGAGGACAATGGCATCAGTGAGATCCGTCTCTGCAGCGATGCCCAGATCATGATCATTGAGGATCTCCGGCACGGTTGCATCCCCTTTCGCAGTCGGAAATTCTGAGTGCGTTGGAACATGAACGCGCAGAGTGCCGACAAACTGCTTCGATTTATTAGGAGGACCCCCGGATTTAATCGAGCTCGAAAACGATGACCACCGGCTCTTTTCAAAGGTCGCAATGAGCGCGTGATCGGACACCCGCACAAGCTACAGTTTTCGTCATCAGCAACAGTACACAGGCATCTAATCAACCCAGACCTACCTTCAGGGAGTGCGACCAACCCTTAGCCCCTTTCATGAAACTCGTCGAGAACATCCTCGTCCCCGTCCACCGATACACCTCCCCATTCAGCTCCCATTCCACGTGACGGTTAAACACACTCGACCGCCGTACGTGTATCACCATCTTCCGCCCAAGAACCGGCTTCTCCTCCAGATCCTCCGTGGCATCTTTCGCACTGGCACCAAAAGCCCTGCGAAACTTGTTCTTCGTTTTGAGTTTCTTGGCTGCTTTGCGCCGGCGCTCGTTCTCCAGCTCCTCGCCGACGCCCTCGCCCAGCTGGAACTCGATCTTCCCCCAAAGGGCGTTCCGAAAAGCACGTCCGATGACTGTGGCTGATGGAGTGTACTTGGGATTATCCCCGCGATAGAACACTGGTCTCCATTGCGAATGGTACCGGTGTGGGACAGGATTGCTCACGAAGTAGCTTGCGGGCGCGGAGTCGGACGGGGCGAAGAGGGCTTTGCGGCCCTTCGGAAGACGCTTGTACAGACAGAGGGTGGTTGTTGCCGGGGGCGGAGATTGCGAGTGCGCCCCGGGGACCCCAATGGGGCTGGCACTGTCGCTAGCCATGGTGCTTTCGGCCATCAAAGCTGGAGAAAAGTTCGACAGGACTTGAGGCTACCGGAAAAGAAGGTATGGTATATAAACCCCGGTGCGAGAGACTGGCTCTGTCGCGTGCCATCGAAAGCATCTTCCGACAGGTATCTATGCTCGTATTCCCTGAACGAGCCGCATGGAGCGAGTACGGAGTAACACGAGAACCCCCTTTCGGTCGCAAATACGAGCTGATCTGATGGCTACTTGCCCTGTTTGGTTCTAGTGACACGCCGAGCCTCATGCGGCCGCCGTTGTTGGCGGCCTAAGACCCTGTCAGCCAGCATAGAAGTTGGCCTAATGTAGCTCGAAGTGGAGTCTAATTTGATCTCCTATCAAGTGGGCATATCTTGCAGCGTGGACACCTTATTGGGCTTCCATGAATGGACGGAGTAGTCTTGGACTAGGGAAGTCAATGTCTCCAAACTAAGGAGATGATATTTAGATGATGCCATCTCTTTTCGCTTCAACACAATCGCCCTACTCTACACATCCTGCTCCTCCACCGAATAAAACTCCACCTCCGCAATCATAGTCCTAGCCGGGATCGTGACACAGATCGGGAACCCGCCATAATCCGGGTCCTCATTCGGCATCATGGCAAAGATTCCACTCCGGGTCTCATCCCCGTTCAGGACACGCAGAGTCCGCAACTCCCCCGTCTCCTTATTAGCCACAACCTTCTCCTCAAACCGCAGGATCCCTGTGAACGCCGACGTCGGAGAAACAGACTTCGCGCGGACCTGGAATCCCCGACCGATCAAGAGGAACCTTGCGCCGCCGCGGTGTATAAGCATCCCGGCGCCGGGACCGGGGCGACCAAACACGAAGCAGCGCTCAACTGTAATGACGAAGCCGCCAAATGTCTTGGTGACTGCCTTCGAGGGGTCGGGACCATTGGGAGTTAATTCATCAAAGTAGAAGCCGATCGACGAGCCCGGGTTCCGGTGCGCTTCGAGGACGATCTGCGACACGGAATCGAGGAGGGCGTAATGCCGGGTGAAGGGGTTGGTTGCGGGTTCCTGGGTATCAATGCCGAATGGCGAGACACCCAGGGCCTGGTAGGAGCCATAGGCGACCCAGATGCGGCGGGCGCCGTACTCGTCGCGCCGCTGCTCGGGAATAAAGAGGGGCTGGTTGCGGTGCCGGTACTTTGCGCAGGAGACGGAGTAGTCGTTTAGGTAGACGTCTGGCGAGATGAAGTCGAGGGAGGGGGCGAACCGCTGCCAGATGTCCAGGACGTTGGAGGTGCCTCCGCCAGAAGGATAGTCGCCGGGGAGGCCTCCGCCGCCGGCGACGACGGGAAAGTCGTTGTCACCGTCAGGGCCGACGTAGTTCTGCCAGACGTTTGTGTACAGTGGGATGGGGTACTCCGCCTTGCCTGCGGCTGCGACCTGGTTCAGGTACTTGGCGTAGTGGTATGCCATGAAGAGTTCGTCGGTGCGTGGTCCCTGGCCAAAGACATCTACCCAGGAGGCCTGGGCGCGAGGCTGTGCTGCTCTGAAATGGGCGAGATTCTCTTGTAGATCAGGATGGAGGTTGTGCCAGTCGTCTGCAAGGAAAGAGAGCAGGTCTTGCGGGACGGGCTGGGAGAAGCGCCTCTCGGCTTCTGCGCTGCCATCTCGGGAATCACCGAGCAGACCAGTCTCATTTTCCACCTGCACCATAATGACGGTCGAATGCTTCTCGTCAAATTCCTTGAGGTGTCGCAGCAGCTGAGCAAATGCTCTGGCATCGCACTTTGGAGCTTCATCGTGGAAGATCGAAAGCACATCGCCAACTTGAAGAACACCGCCGGCCTTGCGCAGTTTTGCGCGGGGAAACCGCTTGGGGTTGGTCTTGACCCAAGTTGGGACGTATGTGGAAATGCCATTCTTGAAAGACCCGAACCACAGGAGAACAAGGCGAAGCCCGTGTTTGCGGGCTCCCAGGATGACTTTGTCCAGCTCCTCAAACGAGAACTGACCTTCAACCGGCTCGATCATTTCCCAAGTGACACATCCGAGCACGGTGTTGAAGTGGGTGTCCACTAACTTCTGCCACACCGTGTCCATGTACTCGGCCGAGGTAAGAGAGGAATTTTGGAGCTCGCCCGCGAGCATGAGGAACGGCCGTCCATCAACGACCAGTCCCTTTCCGCCCGTGGTTTCGCGGAGATGGGGAATCGAGCTTGCTGCGGAGGACATTGTAGTAGTAGGAGGATAAGGGGAATATCGGAGTCACTGAGGGATGTAGCACTGGCAGTCACAGTGTAGGCGCAGGACCAGAATAAATAAGCGTTCGTAACTGCTTGAATGGTCCCCCGCCGGAGAAATTCTGTTCGAGACTGCAAGTCATCTTCGGGATTGAGAGCGCTTAATTGGGCAATACTGCGCTATAGATTGCCAGCCCTTTCGAGCAAACAATACTGGAAACGGCATTTGCGGGGAAGCGGGAATAGACGATGCGTATTGGCTGATATCCCGCCGGCCTCGATGATCCACAGCGATAGGATCAGCGATGGAGTCATCCCCAGGTGTGAACTGTTAGGGGTTCTCGGCCTCAGGACAATGGGACCATCATTTCTATGGAGGCGACCCAATGGCATCGGGAGGATGAAAGCATCAACGACGTCTCATGCCTTGGTATAAAGCTTGCAAAGGGCCCCCAAAACTCCTTTTCTGGAGCACATCTTTCACCCGACGTGACTTCTCACAGAAAGCCTTCCAAGTCAGTTGAACTCTCTATACCATGGACACCTCAAAAGACGTCGGAAAGGAGGATGCTTCTGCAGAACATGTAGAGTTACCGTCGCAGTGCACCTCATCTTTCCAGATCCCGGAAGTAACCTGGTGGAAACATACTGGACTCCGAAAGCTTTATGCTTTGATGCCAATTCTCCTCCTTGGTAGGTTATCGTCTCGCAAAAAGCAGTCCATCATGTCAACCGAGTTTACCTGTAGGATCAACGATCAACGGATATGATGGGTCACTTCTGAACGGACTGCAGACAATGGCCCCGTGGAGGGACTGTAAGAGCGCCCTTGTTCGAGACGACATTCGACCCAGTGGCTGACAAACGACAGATTTCGGCAACCCTACCGGGTCAAGCCTAGGCTTCTTGACAGCAATTCAGAACATCGGAGGCATATGTGCTTTGCTCTTCTGTGAGTGACAGACGCAGAGTGGCATTGGCATGTTCTGACATATTTCAATCCAAACCAGCTTCCTACATCGCCGATCTGTTAGGTCGTCGGGTTGGAGTAGTGATCGGTAACGTCGTGATCTTAGTAGGCACAGTCATCCAAGTGGTCCCATCAGTCAATAGGGGGATGTTCATTGCTGGGCGATTCTTGGTTGGTTTTGGGTGCGCTTCCACCATAGCTGATCTGTATCTCAGTTTATTAACCGGCACAGGTCGAATATCGCGCAGGGATCCGCCCCCTTACTCATTACTGAGCTCGCCCATCCTCAGCACCGAGGAACGTTGACAACCATGTACAACACACTCTGGTACTGCGGTAGCATCATCGCGGCCTGGACAGTATTCGGCTCGATCAAATACACATCGGACGCCTCTTGGAGGATTCCCGTAGCAATGCAAGCCGCTCTTCCTACCATCCAATTGCTTGGAATCTGGCTGCTCCCAGATAGTCCGCGTTGGTTATGCGCAAAGGGCAAGGACAAAGAGGCGTTTGACGTTTTGGTCAAAGTACGCTTCACCAACTCCATCTTCTTCCATCAGCTAACGTAGCCAACATAGTATCACAGCAGCAGAGACCACAATGACCAGTTCTGTCAATGGCAGTTCCAGGAAATCAAGAATACAGTGATGCTCGAGAGGGCGACTTCCGGTGACGGTTGGACGCTCCTTGTGAAGACTCCCGGAAACAGGAAACGCTTGTTGCTGATTGCACTGGTGTCTTTCTTCTCTCAGTGCTCGGGAAATGGCCTTGTCTCTTATTACATCCACTCGATCCTGACCTCTGTTGGAATCGAGTCGTCCAGGGATCAAGCTATCATTAACGGTGGCTTGCAAATTTGGTCTTTTCTCGTGGCAATAGGGTTTTCGGCCTTTCTTGTGGACGTCCTAGGACGACGGAAGCTCTTCATGATTGCTGGAGTGGGGATGCTGATCACTTTTAGTATCTGGACCGGGTAAGCCAGTATGCTCGATTCCTTGGGCGGGTGTGACAATGCTAACCCGCGTTCAAAGATGCTCTGCTGCATACGCCCAAGGCGGAAATACCGGGGCAGGAAGTGCCGTCATTGCAATGATCTTCCTGTTTTACGGCGTTGCAGGCTTCGCATGGCCGGGTCTCACAATCGCTTATTGCGCCGAGATATTGCCTTTCAATATTCGCGCCAAGGGTATTGCTGTTAACCTCGCGTTGACAGCGTCGGCCTCGGTATTCAACCAGTATGTGAATCCGATCGGACTCGAGAATCTGCAGTGGCGGTTCTATTTTGTATACATAGCGATCCTGGTCATTGAATGTCTCTGCATTTGGTTCCTCTTTGTGGAAACCAAAGGTCCGACCTTGGAAGAAATCGCAGCTTTGTTTGACGGCGAGAAGGCAAGCTTATCTCGTTCAGTCGAGATGGGCCTGGGAAAGGGGACAGATGGCAAAGAGATTTGAATACCAAAAACTGGCGGGTTGGATATGCAGTTACTCGGGGCCTGCTGGACGGAGGATGGACAATGCGTCTTCCGCAAATCTGTCACGTTCCGCAAATGACTGGGTAGCAGGCGGGCGACGATTATCCTCGATCGGCAGAGCATGTTGAAGCAGAAATTTTACTATCCACTTGTCCACAACGTACACTCGGTCTGTGGATCGAATACAAGCTTGTTGAAATGTGAAAAGCCTCGTAATCTATTGTTTATCAGGTTAGCCAGCCGGCCAGATATTAGACGCGTATATGAGACGCACCATCTTGCTCACGTCAGGCCAATACTGTTTGAGCTTGAGGAGGACTTGAAAATTCGAAAAGAGCCTCTTCCGAGTGTCGGGCAGCTCGTTTGGCTCGCCGAACAACAGAGTGTGGAGCAAAGCCGAAGATGAGATCACAGTCATATGGGCGACGATAAAGTACACGGCCTCGCAACCAGGAATATCGTTCGAAGAGCTCAAAAGATCGCTGAAAGCCGCAGCGTGGAACTTGCAGCGCGCTGCAAAGAGGGCCTGATTCGGGACCTGCGTATGTGTGGAATCCAGGTAATGAAAGTATAACAGGGTTGAGTAATGGTGGTAGCCCAGATGAAGGGCAACAAAGGTCGCGCCTGATCCCATCATGGCATGGCGCTCGAGGCTTCCCCTGGTAAACTTCACATGAGAAGGAAGGTCGTGAGAAAATTGCTCAAATTCGAGGGCCAGCTGGCGGGTGTATTCTTCCGCTTCGGCGTCGGACAACTGACTATTCGCCAATTTGCGGTGCAACTCTTGTATGCGACCGAATATTCTGGCCAGGATGACCATGTAGCCCCAAAGGCCTGGTTGGTGAACCGATACTGAAGGGTCCGGCACCTGTTCCCCCGGCTGTAAAGTCCAAAATTCCGACTCCGACATAGGAAGGGGATGATGGTTTGTATCGGTGATTTGGCGCGGTATGTCCAATCCAGCCGAGGACCACTGGTCAATCATATATAGAGACCAGTATGTTCGAAGTTTGATTTCTCTCGTAAGGCGGTCATCCTCCGGGCTCGCTTCCGGCAGACGAAGAATTAATGCCATACGAAAAGCGATTCCTGTTGAGAGAGTCAGCACGAACCCACCATAGGGTACTCTGACGGAAACACACTGACCGAAGAATAGCGACTCTGCATTGGAGTCCCCTTCAGCTCCACATATATTGCCTATGAGGACCGTGGCATGGATATTGTCAAGCGTCACTTCGTCGATTGTTTTCTTCAAGGCCTCCTTGGCCGTCTGGAAGAAACTCCCAGCACGGTCCCGCACAGTCCGGTCGGTTGACAATCGCGCAGCAAATGATAGAATACTGAACAGCACTGCATTGGGCAGAGAGCCATCGGCCACGCGAGACTTCAAGCTGGCTGGATGGAACAGGGTGTGTGGTTTGTCGTGGATGGACCGCAAGTAGAGGCCGATCAGTCCATCCCGAACATCATCACCCACTACCGTGGAGGGATCCGATGCAGTAGTGACCGGAGCGATTCTTCGATTCGAATTCACGATAACCCGCAAGGAGCAATGCTTGCCTTTCTGGGTACAGATCGTGCAGGCCGAGTTGGGCGCCGTGCCTCCGCTGCATTTCCGCTTTGCTGCGCGGCATTGAGTGCATGATTTGGCCACTTTCATGACAATGTTCAGACAACAGGTGCGAGGGGATTTTTGAGTGGTCTGCCAGAGATCTCCTTTTCCTGCATTGGGACGTGAAGACCATGAGGATGTGTGGATGTGAAGGGGACCAACTACGTAGGTAGTTGTCGGAGCCTTGGGCTCCCGGGTTGCCTCTTTAGGCCTAGCGCCTATTTGCCCTGCTTTCTAGATAGAATCAACACACACCAACATCACCTCTTCCTCTATCTCTAACACTAGTAGAAGCACGCAACATGAAGGAAGCATACTGGTGACCTTGACTTTTAGGCGCAACGTACTCAATCCAACCAGTACCAAAGTAGTCTCGGCCTACTGCTACGGACTACGCCGCTGCACGTGGTCGGTTGTTAGGAGATAACTCGTCGAGTGGATATTGTGACAATGCAACTCCGCCTGCACCTAAATTGATAGCATGTGAATGATACCTATTTGAATGGGTATTTATAGGTAGGGAAATGTGGCCACCGACGAGGTAGACTGCTGAGTATCTTCCAGCTCGATCCGATTCACCACTGCCATCTGCTGGGTACCATGATCTTCTCTCGGACTACTGCTACTGCGCTTTATGCGCTGAGTGTGTTGGTACACGCCCAGTCACAATATACTGCTACTGGCACGGCCGCCGTAGCCGAGGCCGCTGCTACTGCGCTGACTCTATCCCCTACATCGAGTGTCGCCGGCTTAACTTTCGATCGCTTTGTTCAGATCTGGCTAGAGAACGAGGATTACAGTGCGGCTATAAAAGACAGTGAGTGGCGACGTGGGATTCTGATAAAGTGCATCTCTTTGACTTGGAGTCTAGAAAACCTCGCCTATCTGGCGTCTCTAGGCATCACGCTCACAAACTATTTTGCGATCACCCATCCCTCTCAGGTACCATGACTCCAGACGTTGTGGATGATCTCTTGTTGCTCACATGGGACTGCAGCCGAATTATGTCGCCGCTGTTGGTGGGAACACCTTTGGGATCACCGACGACAGTACACACTATATCTCTTCGAGTACGAAGACAATCGTCGATCTCCTAGAAGACGCCGGTGTCAGCTGGAGTTTGTACCAGGAGGATATGCCTTATTCTGGCTTCGAGGCGAATTACCGTAACCAGCAAACCGGCGCAAATGACTACGTGCGCAAGCACAAGTGAGTCCCCAAAGCCAAAGTGGCGCGAGAGAACATAGTAACTGACAAGATGTTTCGAAGTCCGCTCATGAGCTACAACTCAGTTACTTCCAACACTGACCGTCTTGCTAAGTCGAAGAACTTCACCATGTTCTATGAGGATCTGGACAACAACAAACTGCCTCAATGGATGTTCATCACTCCCAACATGAGTATATGCTTCTCTCGCCTTTTTATCAGGACTCTTTTGAACTCGAACTGACCCAATGTGACTCACAGCCAATGATGGACACGACAGCTCACTTGCCACAGCTGGAACTTGGTCTCGGAACTTTTTGACTCCTCTACTGTCAAACAAGAGCTTCAACACCGATCGCACATTGATCATCCTTACATTTGACGAAGGTTTGACCATAGGGACGAACCAGATCTATGCTGTCCTGTTGGGTGGCGCGGTATCAAGCGCAAAGGTTGGTACTAAGGATAACACTGCATATAATCACTATAGTCTGTTGAAGACGGTGGAGACCAATTGGGGCTTAGGGAACCTCGGACAAAACGACGTGGATGCCACTGCGTTCTACTAGGTAGTCTATGATTATCCAGTTAATTAGTGCGATTCCATAGCATCACATCTTGTCAAATTGTCCATCCACAATGTGACAAAAGACTTGTTTCCGTCTGGAATCGAAGCCTTGGGCTCAGGAAAAGGATAATGTGGGCGCCGATACATGTGTTACTGCGATTCATCTCAATATATGTCTATCCAGGTCTTGTTCCAGGGGCTCTGGCTTATGAAAGGAGTTTCTGCAGCCCTCAAGCTTCAAATAGTTCACGGGGCAACTGCGCCAGGCTAAGCGAACGTGCTAACCCATGCAAGAATATGGGAAAATCGTGCTTTGCAGCTGGTAGATCTGACCATTGTCCTGATAGTAGTGATAGTAGTAGCGGCAAGTCTTATGTCCAGCATAATATATGGATCATTATCTTAGTGGGCATGAAGATGTAGTCCGGTAAAAAGCACAAAAGCATACAGAGCCCCAGCCGCCGCCTGTCTGGCCTAAACGTCGAAAAACCAGAGGTATAAGATGTGGCATTCGATTCATGTGCACGCAAGAGTCACCATACTCTATCGTACAGACTAGCGCCGCCACTACCCAAGGCTAACGGCCAAGGCCCTGATCAATCTAAGATTCGTGTATATATATTGCTGTGAGCGCATTCTGCTGGACCCCGGTCCAACGCCTCCCGCACGTGGGATTATCCCCATCTCTACTGGTAGAAGTCTCGCATGTCTATTCGAATCGCCTGCCAATTCCGACGCATGAATCAGTTCTAACCGCCGTGCATATGACATTGTTCTCGTATTTATACTCCAGGCAGACAAGTGATTTGATCAGAGCTACCTGAGACTTTATGCTCGACGCCATCTAATAACACCTCAGCACATACCATCGAACAGGCTCAGACTAGATTCTGCGCCCTGATGCCCAGCACTAGTGCTGATGCCTGTGTACGCTGAATACATGATGATCCCCTTGCTATACCATCGCGATATAAGCAGGCCTATCTGCCGGATCCCAGTCATGAGCATGCATGCATTAACTAGATACCAGAAGCCAACTGGCAAATCTTCCTCTCTTTACATCAAATGATGTTTCCTACACCTGCGAGACTAACAAAGCTCATACTCTTTCTCGCAGTCACGGGACATGCGGTCGCCTTCCAAAAGGCCGAATGCAACCAGATCGTCAAGAACCGCCTCATGAACGGGACCCTATTGCCCGACGACTGGGTCTTCTACCGGCAAAATGACATCCCCATGTCCAACATGTCCAACCTCATGCTTAACCTCCCCGGCTGTGTCGCCACCTGCGGCGGGGGCGCCAGCTTCTACGAAGACATCGGCCCGCGACTCAGCACCTGGCTGATTCCGATTCTCCTGCTCATCGGCAACGCACACATGGCGCGCCTCGGACCGGAAAAGTACCTCGTCATCCTGCACATCCTCGGCGACCCGATCGACAGCCTGTGGTCGCTCCTCACCAAGGCGGAGCTCTGGAGCCGCTGCTACGCGGCGGCGCGGACCTACAACCCGCCGCGCCCGCAGGAGGAGACCGAATCCTACGAGCGCCGCATCCTCGACATCGGCACGGTGTACGCAGCCATCGAGGAGCTCGTCGGGTCGGGGGCGGACAGGTTCCGCGCGCACTTCGAGCAGCTCGTCCGCGAGAAGCGGCCGGACATGAGCACGGAGCAGTTCTACCACGTCACGAAGGAGGCCGCCAACGAACTGTCCGACAGCCGGTCCGTCGAGCTTCGACGCGCGGGGCTCGCCGTCGTCTCGTACCTGTACCACGTCGTCGCGGCGTTCGTCGACGTCATCGGTGGGAAGAGCTCGAGTCCGCCGGGCGGCCGCATCGGCACCAGTCTGCTGATTTCGTGGCTGATCCCGCTCGTGCTGGTGAGCAACGCGCTCGGCGGGTACACGTCGCGGCGGACGTGTCTGCGCATCATGGAGCGCTACGTCAAGACCGTCACGGGCCACTCCGTTGAGGACCTGCGCCGGTTCTCGGCGGACAAGAAGTCGCTGCACTTTCTTGTCGGCCGCCGGACCGCCGCTGTCACGGACTTCTACGCCGCGCAGCAATGGAGCGGCGCGGTGTACTGCTACCAGCCGCGGAAGCGGCTCGGGTTCCGGGGTGGTTCGCGCGACAACAGTCCGTGGCTGCTGCTGGTGCTGGCCTCGCTGCCCGTGCTCGTTGCGACGGGCGTGGCCGTGGCGGAGATTGTGGTTACGCCGACGACGGGGTTTGGCTGTCGGAGTGTGATGCTCCTTGCGATGTTCGCCCTGTGGGTGGCCAGCGCGTTCGTCACCTGGGCGACGTGGGTGACGGGGCTGGCCACGGGGAAGTATCACTACGCGATGACGCTGACGAAGGATGCGCTGGTCGGGGTGCCCATTGTGCTGATGGTGTTTCTGTCTAGTTGTGGCTTGTTCAACTCGTGCTTCTGTTGGAGCGCGTACTTCAGCCGCAAGGCCGATGCCCATATTGTTCTGGACGACAGCGATGAGCGGGCCCGCAATGCGCACACGTTCTACCCGGCGCTGGTGTCGGGGTGTCTGGGTGCGCAGTTCCTGCTTGTCGCATGGATGCTCCGGGTGATACGCCATGGTTCGGCCCTTTTTCGGCGCGAAGAAAAGCAGAAACAGGAGGACTGGCTGGCGACCCATGCGCATCGTAGACATCTGCGGTTCAGCCCAGGGTCTAGCCCGGAGACATTGCTGGGACGGGCTCCAAATTCATTGAGTCCGGAAGGATGGTCACCTAGGTCGAAGCTGGCAGGGTCTCCGGAGATTGCGTTCTCCTCGGAGCTTGATAGTGGTGCGTCCAGTGCTGAGCCGCTGCTTCTGCCTGAGAGTGGATATATGTCGCAGAGGGAGTAGAGTATGGTGTGTTCTGCGGCTTGGGGTTTCATCATTGTGTGGTATTTGTTTATTTAGCAATCTTTAAGCTCTTCAACCTGATAGCATATTGCAGGACACTATTCCAACTAATCACAGTTTACTCTTGGCCGGCTCCAACGAATTGCTAATCACCGCATCAACCACAGCACTTGTCCCACTCTGCACTGTTGCGATAGCCTCCTTGAGAACACTTTCCAACCGCGAGGCTTCTCCGACCTTCGCCGCAAAGATGGTATTGTTCGATGCCGCGCGCGCAATCCCAGAGTAGTCAGGCGGCGGGGAGAACGCGATATTCAACTGATGATTCGTGACGCGAGACCCAAGCCCGTCGGGATGCACAAGCTCCATTGACGCCCGGGGGGCGTTCCAGCCTGCGCACATCAGTATATATCAAACCAATATAGGAAATAAGGGCAATATACGTACCTCGGTTATTCAAAACAATAGTCAAGATAGGGATCTTGTATCTCTGCGAGATCCAGTATCCACTGCTGGGCACGCTGAACATGAACGTGCCATCGCCCACGATCTGGATCACCATCTTGCCCTTTCCGGGACCTCCAGCCAGCTCATCCGACGCCAGCTTGATCCCCAACGCACCCCCAGTACTCCAGCCGAGACCACCACCTCCGCAGTTAATCCAGTGACCGGGAAGTGTGGCCTGGATATGGTCGGCGACGACGGGAGTGTTAGTCACAACCTCCGTTGCGTAGATCGCGTCCTGCGGGGCCAGCCTGCGGAGCAGACTGCACAAATGCGCGGATGTGAATGTGTTATCAGGGTTAGGTTTCGCGGTTGCCGCAATCGAAGCCAACAGGTCCTGATGGGATTGCCCGAGGCGTTCCCAGCGCTCATTAAACGCCGACGACACAGTCAGCTCTCGCAGAGACGCATCCTGCATGATATACTCGACGATCTGCCTGCACGCCGTCTCCGCATCCGCCTTGAAGCGCATTTCCGCGTCGATATAGAACACGGGCATCTGCTGCTTAAGCGGGTCGACGTCGATATGGATGATCCGCGCGGTACGCTGCGGCCTGCACCTCGTCGGGACCCACGGCACGTCGCAGTCCAGCACGAGGATAGCATCGGCCTCGGGGATGGCATCGTGCACGCCGTAGCGGCTGCTCAGCCAGGCGCGGTGGTCGGCAGGGAAGCACATGTCGCAGGCGCCGGTGTCCAGGACGCGCATGCCCTTGACGGTGTTGACCAGCGTGACGAGCGCATCGACGGCGGCATGGTTGCGGCCGCTGTATCCGGTGACACAGAGCGGACGCTGGGCGTTGAGCAGGATCTCGGCGATGGGCTTGAGGGCGCGATCCGGGAGGGCTGTCGGCTGCGTCGGGGTCCAGAGGGTCTGGTCGAGCGTGTACGGCTGGATTTCCTCTTCCATGACTTCTCGAGCGCCCATGAGATAGACTGGGCCCTTGGGGTCGCTGGTGGCAAACTGCAGGGCGCGGTTGACCATCTGTTTGATGTTCTTGCCCGTCTTGATCTCCCCGCTGTACCGGCAGTACTGGCTGACGATTTGCTTCTGGTCTGGGACGTCCTGGATCCAGTGGATGAATTCTGTGCGGGAGCCGCACATTTCGCCTTCGATGCTAAAGGGTGATAGACCCGCGAAAATGAGGACTGGGGCTCGGCCGCAGGAGGCGTTGTGGATCGCGGGTCCCAGGGCCTGTGTGCCCACGTCGACGTGGACAATCACGCATTGCGGCTTGTTTGTTAGACGAGCGTAGCCATCGGCCATGGAGAGAGCGACCATCTCGCTGGGACAGGTGATGATGCGTGGGAACGAGTCTGGTCTCTCGGTTTGGCCCTTTACGATGGCTTCCATGATGCTAGGGTGATCGGAGCCTAGGTTGACAAACACATGGGTGATTCCGGCCTGAAGACGTCAGTTCTGTGCGCGCAATGGGGATATTTTGAAAGCATTTACATCCCATATTGCCTCGAAGAAGGCAAAGGATGCAGTGTACCTGTGCACATGTTAGTGTTGAGGCTTTCCACGTTGGAGATATTGAACCGACATTGTGACAATTTATATACCGATAAATGTAGTAATATACAAGTTAGAGGCGACTGCTAACCAACGCAACGATCTGAATTGCATGGGTGCGTGCTCTCTACTAATATACCAGACGGTGGAACCCCATAGTGCGGAGATATTCCTGTATGTTTCGGGCGTTTCGGTGTTTGTATCGGAGATCGTCCTTTGCCCTAATTCCGCTCAGACAATCCGGGGAAATCCCGGCAATGGCTCAGTAGACACTGCCGGTAGTCTACTCCGGCGCACTTTTGTTAGATGACTTCAGTACCTATGTTGTAGGGATTTACGGTCATGTATCTATGTCTTGGATACCTTGAAGATCAATGTACGGCTGATTTGGAGGAGACAGTGTAAGTATTCGTTCGTAAGTGGGCTTAGCTTCTGTATACATATCCGGTCTATTCTTCTAGGTGACGCTGACACATACGTATAATCAATCTCATCTATATATTATGCCTCGAAAAACAGCCATTCTATACTCCGCAGTACTCAACGTTCTTGGTCTTACCTCTTGCTACATAATCAACTAATCAGACTATCAGATTCATTATCAGCACGTGACGACTACTGTCTTATCAATCGCCCTTGATCTCCGATCCTCCTGAGAACTGGTCATTCTTCAATGTGCAAAATGGATGTTCCGATAGCGGCCAATGTCCTCGGAACTCTAGGTGCTGTAAGTTCAGGCGTGTCCAGCGAGTAATAATCTAACAATCAACCCAGGTCTGTTGGTCCGTCCAGGTAAGATATATCTTTACCGAACTTCACACAAACGGTACTAAGCCTCATAGCTTATACCCCAAATTGTCATCAACTATCGACGACATGATACCGAAGGACTACAAGCATCGATGATGCTCCTATGGGCCGCTGCAGGAGTCCCTCTGGGTGTCTACAACATCGTCGAAGAACTGAACATAGCACTGCGAATCCAGGCCCAGATTCTCACAGTTCTAAGTCTCGTCACCTGGGCCCAGTGTCTTTACTATGGACAAGTGAGTAGTGTGAATAAAGAGTTTTTCGAAGATATCCAGTCCTAACTGAGGACAGAAATACTCCATTACGAAATGCGTCGCAGCAGTCACTCTGCTTATGTGCCTGTTTGGTGGGATCGAAGTAGCCTTGATATTCGCCCTGCGTGCGTCGAAGAACCAAGAGTTGAGGTGGCCTCTCATTCTCATGGCGGTGCTTAGTGCGTCACTCCTAGCGGCGGGAGTTCTCACTCATTATTGGGATATCTATGTCCACCGGACCGTCCGCGGTATCAGTTTTATATTTGTGGGGATCGATGCAGCTGGAGATTTATTTTCCCTGATATCTGTCGGTATGTACCCACCACCGGATACGCCTCCAGGTACTCATCCACTATAGTATTCGAGAAAAGTATTGACGTTTTGGCAATCGTGATATACGGCACCGAACTTACATTGTGGATCGGGATTTTTATCTGTGGCGCAGCATACAACTTCTTGCCCTGGATTAAGGAGCGTGCGAAAGCAGAAAACATCGAAGAACAACCGGATTTATCCCTACATCAGATGCCGTCATCTACATCGGTATTTCGAACGGTATCGGGATCAGAGGTCGTGGCGAGAAGAGTGACGCGACAGAGATCCTAAGCCATATCCACTCAATCCAATTGACATGGTAAATGATAATCAGATTCTTGTCATGTAGATGAAAGGCACCTGAGACATACAACAAACTACAGGAGATGTGCCGACACTATACCGGAGGATGCTGATGGACATTCTCAGTTCTGAGCATAACTCCAGGCAACATTAAATACATCAGATCAGGCCTCCGCTTTGATATAAGGAATGCCCGTCAGCTTGAAACCCTCTTCATTCAGGGCCGGCTTGTTCATGGGCTCAAAGCGGTTGTGTGGGTCATCCTTGCCGTCTCTCTTTGCGACATTTGATCCCACATGTTGACCATTGGGCCATAAAGATTGGACTATTCTTATCGGCGATGCTGCGCATGCCATGCTGCCGACGGAAGTGCAGGGAGCTAGCCAGACCTCTGAAGGCACCGAGGCTTTGGGTGCCTTCTTTGAGAATGTCATGGACTATCCATTGCTGGCGGTTGTGAATTCTACCCTGATGGAGGTTTTCAACGTCCTATACGAGAGAGCCAATCTGATTCAGCAGTATAGCCGGCAAGCTCGTCCGGCAACAGAGAACGGTTTAAAGAAAGTTACACTGAGACCGGACGAGTTTATGGATTACAATTGCAAATACTCCGGGGTTATGGACTGGATTTGAAGAAAGGCAATTCGATAGTAGCAACGTTCGGCGAGCTAGCTCCGTGTGGTCGGTCTTTTGAGTGGAAATATAATGATTTGTGCTTATCTGGGAGGGCAGATGTTGATTGTCATAGACAGTTTGCTTGGAGATACCCTCTATGTCGAGATGTCTCCCTGATCAGTGGATTGGGGTCAAATGCTTCATGTTCCTGTCAGTCTCAGCTGACACTGATTCATGTTCAGGCTAAAGAATAATTTGACCAAATAATGCGGGTTCCCTGATGCATAATTCGATTGTACTTCCTCTGACAAACATGTAAGAGGCTCGGGGAGGCACGACATCAGGTGTAATTGGAGCCTGGTATTCCGTGATCGCCATCCACTGAAAATACTTGCCGGAGAAATTAGTACAGACATTACGAATTAGCTAGACGTTTTGCTTCATTGCGATGCCCCGCACGCTTCTAGATGATAACGCTGTGGAGTAAGTCGTGAGGTTTATACGCGATTGCGTGATCCGCCCTCACGAGGAATGTATATACTTTGTAGAACCCAACTGATACCGATATTAGAACCCATCCTCTTCTTGCGTGGCCGCACAGAGTGTCTTTTTGCATTGTCCTCATCCTCATGCCCTCTCAAATTGCAGATATCTCGCTCCCGGTGCGCGATGCACCAAATAGGGAATACCCGGCACCGCTGAAGCCCAGTGGTGCTTTGGATAAGTTTGCATTCGAAGAGACTACACCTGCTATTGGCCGTGAATTCCAGAATGTAAACATCGTCGATGACATATTGAATGCGGCCAATGCTGACGAGCTGATCCGGGACCTCGCCATAACAAGTATACGCTTCACATATCTCCCAAGTCACCGAGAGACTAACCCGATATCCCAGTCTCCCAACGGGGCGTCGTCTTCTTCCGGGCCCAAGACAACCTCACCGACGACCTGCAAAAGCAGCTGGTGCACCGACTAGGACAGCTGTCAGGAAAGCCAGCCGACTCAACCCTCCACATCCACCCGGTGCTCAACAACACCAATGAATTCGGTGTCGCAGACGCGCAGGTCAGCACGATCAGCTCGCTTGCGCGCAAGAAGATGTTCCGCCACGAGAATCAGCCCAACAAACGTCGCTATGACTCCGCCAGGTGGCACTCGGATATTCAGTTCGAGCCTGTCCCAGCCGACTACACCTCGCTCCGGCTGACCCAGCTGCCGAAGACTGGTGGCGACACGCTCTGGGCGTCCGGGTATGAGCTGTACGACCGGTTTTCCAAACCGTATCAGAAGTTTTTCGAAGGTCTGACGGCTACATTTATCGGGTCCGGCTTTCTTCAGGCTGCGGAGAGAGATCCCGACAACGTCAGGATCTACACGGAGCCCCGTGGTAGCCCGCTAAACGTTGGCAAGGACCTGGCTACTGTCCATCCTGTTGTGCGCACGAATCCGGTGACTGGCTGGAAGAGCATCTTCGCTGTTGGGCCCTTCCCCCACAAGATCAATGAGCTCACCCAGACCGAATCAGATGAGTTGCTGAAGAAGTTCTATAACACTATCCTGGAGAATCACGATATCCAGGTGCGGTTCAAGTGGAGAAACAAGAACGATATTGGTAAGTTCTCTGGGCACCTGTGATCCTTGCAATGCGATACACCGCTGACACTCTTATTAGCCATCTGGGACAACCGGTGTGCTTTCCACACGGCCACGTTTGACTACGAGGGCCTTGGAGAGCGATTTGGTCATCGGGCGGTTGGGATTGGCGAAAAGCCATACTTGGATCCGAATAGCTTGTCGAGAGAGGAGGGTCTTAGCATCTAAAGGGGTTTACTGGATTTGCCTGAATCAGGATGATAGCCCACTACTCATGCGCGATACAAGCATACAGCGTCTTAGACTTATGATACGTTGCATTGGAAAGATTCATAACCATGAGGATGGATAAAATGGACCACTGGGTAAAATTGGCATTAGTACGACTGCGAGCCTCCGCATTTGCGCTACAACACATGGATGACCTTTCCTACCAGGGAACAGAGACACAACTGCTGATATCAGTTCCATTGCCGACGGGATGCCGGTCGAAGAGAGCCACCAACAGCATCAGCATTGGCATTCCGGTGACAGATATCTTGTCAGGCACAGGGTGAATAGCTCAAGCCATATATCGGTCATCCCAATTAGGGTTCTGGAGCGGCATAACACTGGATGTTCTCGGAAATTGATCTTATGGATTCGGTGATGGTGCAGATACGTGGACAATGCTTTGGAGTAGCAATACCAAGGAGAGCAGGATCGAGCCGACCCATGTAGGGAGTGGTGCATGCAGGCGAGCTTCCTACATGTCATAATATATGGGGTGTCCATGATCGACACTGCGGGCGGCAAAGATGTCTCTATGATTCACCAACCATAGACTTGAAATAAGCGCCCAGGCACAGACCTGAGGCTACCGTCGTCATACCCAGTTGGGGGCGAAGGATGTAATAATGATTGACCTCAATTGAGACATTTGGTCAAACTAGAGGACGGTTAGACAGGTATACATATTCAGACTGCAACACACTTGCCTATAACCTCTATGCCTACTCCTAGACCATATCAATCTCTCAGAGCCCTGGTGCTCCCATATGGTAGGTTAAACCTGATATCTAAGGGAAGTTAGTATTCGGTTAATTAACACCCGGCCATCTAATAGTACAATACCTGGTGTTGCATCACTACATATAGCAACATGAAGAGTGAACAGCCAGACCACCCTAATACTTCCCGTGCCCGTACGATTTGGACACGGAGAGCAAATGAGGAATTTGTGGTTTTTGTGGTGTCTATGTTGATTGCCTTGGAGCTCGAGGGCCTTTTATTTGGCTATAAGACATCGAGTGAGAGTGAAAGCTACACTTACTGGTGTCTCCGTGTGTTTATTATGGGTTTTACTAACTGGCTCGGTCAACATTTGTACAAAATATATAGAGGTGTATGAATATATTTTGTGCTGTTGTTAGAAGCCGTGAAGCGACAGTGATATAGCCGATACACCCAAGAACATAGCGATGGCTAATATATATCCAATCAATTTAGGTTAAGGATACGATATTATCGAATCCTTAAGCAAGTCAGAATTTACTTCCAGTAGATGATGATTTCTTTTGCACTTCAGAGTACTTATACTGCCGATTCATGCTGGGATCAGTCACGTGAGCCCCTTCTAAAGCGGCGGGAGCCGTAGTAGGAAATCTAATCAATCTCGCAGAATTACATTTCCGTGAGTTATACACAACTGAGGCCGGTAAATCCATCAATCTTCATCCTAATGACCACTCTGTTCGGGGCTGGCCCATGTGTCTTTCCCTCACGACTTCTATATCATGGATGAGCCCGTTGCTGCAATACTTCCCGAGGGAAGAATATCCGACTCCTTTAATGGGCCAACGCCACTCTTGGAGGAGGAAGCCTTTCTATCACCCGGCACCTTCGCAAGCGCAGATGAGTACGCAGCGAATCCGCGATTCCGCGAGTTGCAGGAAGAACTCCGCTGCGTGCTTTTCTCCGCGGTGGCCAGCCTTGAACCGAGCACACTTACGTCGCTGCCACCTGCAGATCCTCCGCTAGAAGGACATCCTCAGGGAGCATCAGGGCCGAGTCTAGATAATGCCACGGTTTCCATCCCGAAGATCCGACTCATACAATACCTCAAGAACTGGATCACCGAGTGCGCGCCGTATCTCGACAAGTTCGACGAGGCGCGCCATTTCGGCATTCACATACCCATCCTAGCGCAGCGATCGCCGGCTCTCTTCTACGCTATCTTGGCCTTCTCTGCGCGACAGACAGAGCGAAAGGCGTGTCTTGACAAGGCCTATGACTCGCTGGAGTTATACCAGGAATCGATCCGGCTACTGGCACCTTGTCTCCAGGCCAAAGATCCCAATGTCTTGGTGACGGTGTGCATACTCGCCGTGATGGAACTGATGTCTGTCAGCCCGCGCGACTGGCGCCGCCACGTCGAGGGTTGTGCCGCTCTTTTCGAGTCGTTCAACGTCAACGGCATGTCGGGTGGTCATCTGCAGGCTGTGTTCTGGTGCTATGCGCGCATGGAACTCTGCGGGGCGATCATCTCTAACGGAGCAGAGAGAACCGTGCTGCCCCTGGAAAAATGGGTGCCGGCCGTGCCAGCCGCCACAGGGCCCAGGGAGCGAGATAGGATCATTCGGGATCTCTTTTGCGAGAAAGGCGTCGCCTCGCCGGATATGCATGCGAACTGGAGTGTATATCTATGCGCGAAGGTGTGCGATCTCGCCTGTCGCCAAACAAGGCACCTGGAATTGGGGGAGATGGTCGATGAATCATGGCCGTTCGTTGATCAGTGGACAGACCTTTGGGATGAGTTGCAGTATTGGCTTGAGAAGCGACCGCCGGCAATGCTCCCAATCAAGACCACCGGGCTCGGTGGGGGCCGACTTTTCCCAGAGATCTTATTTGCACACTGGGCGGCTATATCGGGGAACCAGTTATACCATGCAGCATGCATCATGATGCTCGACATGAAACCGCAGAGTGTACGGGTGTCTCCGACAGAAGCGCGTTTCTCGGTTGTGTGGCATGCACGACGCGTGTGTGGCATTTCGCTCACAAATCCTCACAGCGGTAATCTGATCAACGCCATCCAACCGCTTTACATTGCTGGAAAACTTCTCAGTCATCGGAGTGAGCATATAGAAGTGGCGAAACTATTCAAATCTATTGAGGAGACCACCGGATGGGGCGCACTATGGCGATTGAGGGACCTAGAAAGGGCGTGGGGATACGAACCTGACGAAATATTATCTTTAATCTAATACCCTGTTTTTGATGTCACGAATATAACCCACTTTTTCCTTGCACCTAGTATTTATACAAAACATTGAGCGATACTACTTTACGGGCTTACAGTACTGCCCAATCTCATTTATAATAGGAGGGAAATTTAGTAAGTGTTTGTGAGTCTGGTATTGTATGAGGCGCCTCTATATAGAGAAAGACCACCTCAACCTGCAATGAGCTGGTACATCAATATTCTTATATATATTTACAACATAGTCAGAGACTTATCTCCATGAGCCCCTATTTCAAATCGGCACAGGTCTTGGGATGCATCAACGAGTGCTTGATGCGCTGGATCAGCTTGTCCGCGTCCACTTCAAAGACATAGTTCACTTGGCGGATGCCGGCAGGTGCCAGAGCTTTCTGGTAAACATGGATGTTACCGTAGTTAGGGCTGCCATAGGAGGTATCCACGTCAAGGTACACTACAGGAGAACTCGTTAGCCAGCACTTGATGCAGAACAGCAACATAGTCCTTACCGGATGTCTGGTTGAGGGCGATCGATGGGTCCACCATAAGGGCAGCGGCGGTCTCATCCCAGAAAGGAAAGGAGAGGTCATAGTACTTGCTGAAGAGTTCCGTATACGGGTTCTTAGCGGTCTTGACCTCATCCACGAATGCCTGGCTAGGGAAGACCTGGTTGGCCACGTTGCCGGCGATGGTAATCTCGGGGAAGTCGGCAGTCAAAGCAATCTTCGCAGCCTCGGGGTCAATCATGAGGTTGATCTGTAGCGTGTCCGTCAGAAATGGGATATATAACCCTTGAGTCAGGTCCTGCTTACATCGGATTGCAAGTCAGCCAGGAGAATGCTACCAGTGGCCTCCAACATGTTCACATCCACATAACCACCCATGATCACCAGCTGCTTCGCAAGCGAGGCGAACTGTGGGTCCATACGGACAGCCAGCGCAATGTTGGTCAGGGCACCGGCGGAGTAGATAGACACTTGGTTCGGATACTTGTGCACCATCTCGACCATGAAGTTCGCGGCGGAGGTCGCATTGCTGGGCCGGCCTTTGGGGAAGCCTTCTTTGAAGGCCGCCTTGACAATTCGATCAGGGTTACCCGAGGTGGGATCGTTGCCTTGCGCTTCTGCAGTGCTGTTCTCGGGAGCAAAGGCTCCCTCCCATGGCAGCTTGCCGTGGATGGTCTCCCATGCCTGGAAACGCTGAGGGGTGTTGATCAGGGGCCAGGTGGCGCCCGGATAGACGGGGATACAGCTGAGATTGCCCGCCTCCAGGGTTGCTACGGCATGCAGGGCCACCTGAGGCTGCCAGCTGTTTGCGGTGTCTAGTAAGCTGGTCAGGATATGATGTTCCTTATGTTGAGAGCGTGTTGGTCACCTGAAGCCAGGGCGAGGACATCAATATCCCCATCGAGAGCGATCAGATACGGCACGAAGCCTGCCGTATACCAGTCATTGTCCATAATGGCATAGTGTTTGTCTGCCCGGGCATGAGGCACCCCAACGGCCCCAGCGACCAGTGGAAGCAGTGAGCCACAGAGCAGCGACAGCGAGACAGAGCAAAACATCCTGAACCTTGTTGCGCCTTTCTTTCTCTATCACGAAAATCGAGACCTAGGCGAACAAGTCGATCAACAAACATTATGTCGCAATCTTTATAGCTCTGGTAAATGAGCTGCCTACCCACCAGCTTATCTGCTCCTTGCGTTTTTCATTCTTTTTCATGCGATATCGAACCTTGATAGGAAAGAACACCGCCGATTGTCATCCACAATCTCCACTTTTCCAGCGATCTCATCACCATCTCGCGTCAACTTAACCGAAAGAGTAGGACGTTGCCTCTGGTTACCTGGAGTGGATCGCAGGGTAGCCCATAACCTGGAAAACTCCGTTGTGTGCCGAGGCTGTGGGTTTCGGCGTGCTGGAGTGACTAATCGGGTGGGTGCTCCCAGTCCGAAATGGGCATCGTAGCCTACGGTGCGCTTTCTTCGGCATAGTGTTAGCGCCTGTCTTGCCCTTTTCTCGTCTACTCCGCAATTTGATCCCGCTTTTCTGGGCCCATGGGGTTCTCGGGAGGCCGAGAATGAGTCCGGAGGTGAGGGTTTAAGCTTTTTTTTCTGGTCTCATGAGCAAATATGGGGATGAAAAGAATGGTATATTACAGACACCATGACCCTGCTTTTCGTAGGGCAACTATTCCTTACACCTTCTCTCAAAAAGACGGCCCCATAAAGCGATTTCCGAGAGATCGTTTCATCTGAGACAGGCATTTTGTTGCACAATGGCGGACCCAACTTCCGTGGATATGGAGGCTGCTCCGCACAACAAGATGGCAAAGGGATCCATGTGGCAGAGTCTCATGAAGAATCCAAAGGTGCTTTTCATTGCGTTCTTTGCATCGTAAGTTCACAGCATCGACCGAGTCGCAGCATGCTCTCTCTGCTTGCTAACTCCCGGCTATAGTCTTGGGGGCTTTGAATATGGCTATCAGCAGGGTGTGCTTGGCCAGTCTTTGGTCATGACTCGCTTCACACAGAACTTCCCCACGGTCGTGGCATCTTCGACAGCCACTGGCTGGCTGACCTCAATTCTCCAGGTTGGTGGAATCGTCGGGTCTCTCTCGGCGGGTGTGCTGGGCGAGATCTTTTCGCGCAAATACACCATGTTCTTCGCCTGCTGTTGGGTGATTCTGGGGAGCTATCTCTACATCGGTGCTACTGCCGGTAACCCTGCCTGCCTCTATGCGGGCCGCTTCTTTACTGGTCTTGGTGTCGGTCTGTTCAGTGGTGTTGGACCATTGTACAACGCCGAGCTGGCCGCCCCCGAGATGCGAGGCCTGCTCGTCTCCTTCTACCAGTTCGCCACCATCCTCGGCATCATGATCTCCTTCTGGGTCGGCTATGGTAGCAATTACATAGGTGGAACCGGGGACTCTCAATCCGATCTGGCATGGCGTCTACCGTCCATCATCCAAGGCATTCCGGCTGCTTGCCTGGCGTGCGGTATCTGGTTCATGCCATTCTCGCCCCGCTGGTTGGTCAAGAAGGGCCGCGATGAAGAAGCACAGGCTACTTTGGCTTGGCTGCGCAAACTTCCTGTCGAGCACGAGCTCGTCCAGGTCGAATACCTCGAGATCAAGGCCGAGGCGGTCTTTGAGGAACGCGCATTCGCCCGGATGGTGCCCAAGCTGGCTGAGCGCGAGCGACAGAGTGTTTTCATGAACCAGGTTGCCCAGTATGCCAATTGTGTGCGGTCAATGGACAACTTGAAGCGGGTGGCTACTGCCTGGTTGATTATGTTTTTCCAGCAGTGGAGTGGTATTGATGCTAGTGAGTTATCCGTCTAGAGGTGGAGTTTTGCAAGTCCTCGCTGACGCTTTACAGTCATTTACTACGCATCCAACGTTTTTCAGAGTCTTGGTTTGACTAGTGGCACCATTGCGCTGTTGGCAACTGGTGTTACCGGTGTTGTTTTCATTATCAGCACCATCCCCGGCATGGTAAGTCAAGACACTGGAACATCGTGGAAGCATATCATCTAACTCAAACTTTCCCAGCTCGTCATCGACAAGATCGGCCGCAAGCCCATGCTCATCGGTGGCTCAGTCGTCATGTTTTGCAGCATGGTGATCGTAGGCGTTATCGTGGCCAAATTCCAGCACGACTGGCCGTCGCACGTTGCCGCCGGCTGGACCGCAGTTGGTAAGTAGTGCTGCGCTTATGAACAGAAAACAGGAAGAATCACCGCTAACCGTATCTTTCAGCTCTTATTTGGTTGTACATCGCAGGCTTCGGTGCCACCTGGGGCCCATGCTCTTGGACTCTCGTCTCGGAGATCTTCCCCCTGTCTATCCGTGCCAAGGGCGCCTCGATCGGTGCGTCGAGCAACTGGATCAATAACTTTGCCATTGCGTTCTTTGTGCCTCCAATGCTTCAAGCCTGGGAGTGGGGAACCTACATCTTCTTTGCCGTCTTCCTGGCAGTCGGCATTGTCTGGGTCTGGTTTTTCCTGCCCGAGACCAAGAATGCGACTCTTGAGGAGATGGACCGCGTGTTCGGAAGCCATTCTGGTCAGCGAGATGCGGAGCTCCTCCAGGAGGCGCAGCGCGCTGTCGGCCTGACGTCTTTCCTGGAGAGCATGGGGACTGCTACCGGGCGCAATCTGGAGAAAAAAGAGAAGGAAGAATTTATCGAGGAGCTATGATTTGAACATTCGATGTTACTTTATTTCATATTTCATATTGCAAAAGGCATGAAGAATGCAAATGGTGTATTGTGTGCTTGAAACTATATCCGGGCCAACCTCATGAACAAAGCGGCCTATACAAATTCTTCAAAAACAACCAAATCCTCCACCCAACCCCATCCGATCCTCTTAGCAAATCGGTTCAGTTTTCCCGACTTATTCTCGGCTGGCACCGAGTTTTCAACCCTGGACTAGAACAAAACGTAATAGAAAGCCGGAAGCCCCACTACTACCAGGCTAAGAGGGGGCGGGATCCTCCGAAACACAGTGAACCCTTTTCGGAGGGTCGTAGCCTCTGCATCGCCCCCTCAGCTCTCTCCAGTTCCCACACGCCGCTGGGCTGCTACACTTCAACATGCCACGGAGACCCACGCCTGCGGAAAAGCAGCGGGTGCGAACTGGCTGCCTCACCTGTCGCAGGCGGCGGAGAAAATGTAAGCCACGCGGGGAAATGTGGGTAGGTGGAGCGTCGACTAACAGCATTCAGGTGATGAAGGGAAACCGCGATGTGCCAACTGCGAAGTCAAGGGCTTTGCATGCAAGTACAGGACTGATCTTGCATTTGTGTCCCCGCAATCGGCAAGGGGGACCCCCGCGACGACACGGCAGTATAGCAGGATCACTGTAAGTGGCGTTGACTTGTAGATGGATCCTGCGATGGAGAACAAGCTGATTCTGGTGTAGTTTGTTGACGACTCTCCTGCTGCGGCGAAAGGAAGAAAGTGTCAGCGAGAGGACTCTGGGTCTGCGAACCCTGATGACCTAGCTGAAGGTGATGTAGACCTGCTGAGTGACACAGTACTACCAGATGCGTCTGAGACCCCCACTGCGCCGCTTGACCGTTATCATGACTCGCTCAGCTTGCGTCGCGCACCTGATCCGAGTCAAGGGCGAACGCATCCAATACAGGACTGTCTAGATGTCGCACCAGGGAGTCAATCATCGCAACGAGGGCCCATCCCAGAAAACAGTAACACTGAAATCGACCTGCTGCGGCATTTCCGCTACCACATCGGGCCCTGGATTGACCTTGGTGACCCCGACTGTGCGCTTGGAGTTCAGACTGTGCTTCTTTCTAGAACCCATAGGCCCTTGCAGGCTGCTATTTTGGCTCTGTCATCTAGCCAGAGAGCGCTGTTGGCTCAATCACAACGGGATGAGGATACCGTTCGCAGCCGCCACTTCCGCAAGGCCGCAGAGGAGATATTAGTTTTACCAGGCCTAACGGGGCACGCTGGACGAGCATTGATTCTTATACAAGAACTTCTTCCTTTGGGCCTGCTACAGTGGAGAGACTACCTTACTCCTCAGCTCGGTCCTTTCGGGAAGACACTCCCATCACCAACTTCGTTGAGTGAGGCATTAGGTGATGCGGTCTTCTGGTTTCTGTTCCGACTTGGTATGTCAATAGCAGAACGCTGGGTTGACTGTATTGAACGCTCATCTTTCTCTAGACATTGCTTCCTCGATTGCAACGAGTGAGCCGCCTATCATTCCCTTTCGTCACTTTCTGAATCGCGACGGATTGCCAATTCACCCACCGCAAATGCAACATCAAACCCTCTCCATTAACCGAGTGTATAAACATGCACTATGTCTATTAGGACATGGTCTGGCGTTAATATATGGAGACCCCAGCGTGTCTACCCCAGAAGCGGGCAGATCCGAATCGACTTCGTTTCCCACCCTACAGCAATCCCAATTCCTCTCGCAGTGGACCTTCCTGTGGACAGACTGTCAGAAATGGTACAGCGAGCGCCCCATCGATGCGCAGCAAATTGTCGATATCCGCAGCGAAGAAGCGGATCAGATAGACCCAGAGCACAAGTCGTCGTTTCCCATTCTTATCTATCCAACACCGATGGCGCTGGCCGCCAACGCAGTGTACCACGTTACTTCATTCCTCTTGCTGACGCATAAACCTCGACTTTTGAAGGCACTGCCCGGCCCACGATACCTAACCTCGCACATCTGGCATGCGCAGTGCATCGCGGGGATCGCGGCCAGTAACGATTCCCCAGAGCAATGGGATCCGGTCTTTGTCGCTAGTATTTTGCTGGTGGCACGGGGAATGACGCATGTGTCTCAGCACACAGTGCTCTTAGATCGACTGCGAAAAATTACGTCGACAACGGGGATCAATTTGACCCGAGAGATAGAGGAGCTCCAGTCAGTGTGGAAGGTTGCCCGGTATGATGCGGAGTGGGATGAACAGGATTGTATATAGTGCCATTGTATAATAAACATCACCAACGCCTTCTCGACCCCATATTCTATATTGTTTTATTCTACCCATATTGCCGCCCCCTAATCCATCTCATACGCAAAAGGAATACTCTGCATCGCTCCTCTGCGCTGAACGCACTTTGCCGCCGCCGCATTGGCCCTGGACACTGCGTCCTCAATATTGTCGTCAAATGCTTCCAGATTATGCCCCTTGGCTATAAATCGCGCCAGGGCAGCAGAGAAATAGCCGACAAACGTGTCTCCGGCAGCTGTAGTGTCGACTACTTTGGGAACGCGTACCCCACCAATAGGCCCGCGACGGCCGTTGCGTGTCGAGAAATACACCCCCTTCGCACCGAGGGTGATCAGGACAATGTGCACACACGCGGTGTTGTGGAACTGCGAAGCCAGGTCCTCGAGCCGCGAATCGTCCAGCTCGGCAGGCTCGCCGCAATCCGAGATTGGAAGACCGGCAACGGATCTCGACATCTGAACGGCCTCTACCTCGTTCATGATGAGAACAGCAGTCCCCTTCAGCGCCGCGAGGGAGATCCCCTCCGGAAATACCGGGGCGGGATTGAAAACAATATGCGCGCGATTTACACCTCGAAGGTCACTGTTGAAATATTTCAACAGTCCCAGGGTCGTCGTCCGCGGGATCTCGCCCTGCAGCACAATAACACCAGGACGAACCGGCAGCTGCTCGACGGCAGAAATAATGCGCTCAGTACTCCCCATCATGCCAGCATGATTAGCCCCCGGCACGACGAGAATCCGGTTCTCGCCTCCCGCGCCATCCTCAACGACGATACTGGCGGAGCCCGTCTGAGCTTCGGTGGACTCCTCGATATGTGTCGTGTCCACGCCAGACTGCTCGAGCACTGGCTTGAGGAGTGTCTGATAGTAGTGGTCGCCCGCGCCAACGGCGCCCAGCATGCTTACTGCGACGTCCTGCGTGGACTTGGAGGCGAATGAGGCGCGGCCACAGGCGGTTGCTTGGTTTCCGCCTTTGCCGCCGGCCATCACAGAAAGCGAGGTTGCGGTCAGGGTTTCGCCGGGGCCAGGACAGCGTGGCGTCCTTGTCACGAAATCGATGTTTAGGGAGCCGACCACGCAGACGTGTGCGCGGCAGGGATGGGGATTTGAGGAGTGTTCGATGCCCATTCTCGTCGTTCGTGTCTCAGCAAGTATGTAGTCTGAGGGATGGTGTGGAGGAAAGACGTGAATGTATTTGCAGGGGCTTCGGCCCTTCTTGAACAGTGTCAAAGCTACCTAGCCGCATGATATTCATATTCTAACGCGTTTAAAACTTCACTGCGGTGTGTTGATTGCAGGAACGGTGGCCACTCAGACGTTACTTAAAGAGGCAATCGTAGGCTCCGTGGTGCCAAGATTGGTTAGCTTGTTTTCGCAACCTAGCAGTAGTCTACCTAGTAGGGGCCCATAACCTGATTATGGTGCTGGCACCGTGGCGAGCAGGACGAACTAATCACATGAAGGCTAAGTTTCAATTATGATGGATGCCTTTTTATAACGCTAGATATTCCTGCTCATGATTTGTCCCAGATAAAACAGCCGTCGACGCTGGCCGGTGTTCGTGAACAGATTCTGGAAGAATGCGGTAACCAACCACCTAGAAGTTGGAAACTCTAGGAAATCATTATCCAGAAGGGACAATAATTCGTCCTTCTATGTTATTTACTAGAAACAAAAACATTGTTTCTATAGTTCTAAGCGCTTCTTGTTGATGGGGAACAAATCTTGCAGGAAGTAGAGTATACCCCTACCACATAGACGGAATATGTATAATTGAACCAGACGCCTACTTATGACCTTCTAAATAACGGAAATTCCTTTCCTAACCTCGACTAGGGCTGGATATTCTTTATTTTATTATTTTGCCTTGTATGTGGCCGAATTAAGTCTATTACAACGCGACGCCTTGGACAGAAGTGTCACATTAGGCCTTAGGCCTTGCTGTAAGATGCAGATGCCGATGTGTCGGTGCGAAAGCAAACCATCTGATCTTGTATACATCCCGAGGAGAGGTATTTTTAGTCATTTACTGGTGATAGTAGGAGTCGGCGAACAGGATAATATGACCGAGCTTATCAGAAATCTGAGTCGGAATTTGACTTAGTGGAGCCTCACGCAGCATACATGCTTTGTCTGTTGATTGATGCTTCAAAGTTGGGGTATCTGAAATATCCAGAAATTCCATTATATCCTATCTTCTACCCTAAGGTAGTTTGTTTCTCCCTTCGGACGTGTCGTAAATGCCCCAATGGGTGACATATCCCCCTTTGGCCATTTATCACCAGCGAGGGAGAACTTGAACCGCCGACATACCGTTGGCACCAAACTTGTCATTTCAGCCAGGGCTAGACCCTGGCCCATACATACTCGGGGTCCGGTACTAAAAGGTGCAAAGGCCACCTTCATTGCGCCCGCATCCCCATCAATCCACCGTGAAGGTACCCAGCGCTCAGGGTCCGGGAAATAATTCGGGTCTCGGCTGTGCGATAACTTTTACTAAGAGGTAACGAAGAATTTGACCTCAGGTCACTTACTGTGTCACGTAGGTGCACATGTTCACGACCGACTACATATTCATCTCACTGTTAGCCACTGATCATGTATGAAGCGATATGAAACGGGACGGGTTCTTGCAGTTCACATACCCCTTTCGGAACAGCCTGCCCTTCAATAACCATATCTTCAACCGCGACTCTGGGAAAAGGCCCCAAGATAGCGGTATGAACCCGTAGGGTCTCCTTGATGACAGCTCTGAGGAAGGGCAGATTGGCAAGCTCGTCATATGGCACAGAGGATGTAGGACTCGGCATAACCTCGCAAATTTCCTTGAAGAGTTTCTCCTGAACTTCAGGGTGATGCGCGAGCTCCCAAAGCAGCCAGTTCATGGTGACTCCAACTGTCTCTGAACCAGCGAACCTATCCGGCAAACGCAGACCGTGAGTATTTGTGTTCCAGTTTTACAGTTAAGGGCCACACATACATCAAAGCTATCAGCTCCTCAGCCGCCTCTGATTCATTTAGCGGCCGATTGTGCTCCTCGGAGGTGGTATTCAGTAGCTGGGACAAGAATGGAGATTGAGAGGATTTGGTCAATGCTCTCATCCGGTCAATGTAGTACTAAATCATGCGGAGTAATGTTAGTCGAGTGGTATCACGAAAATGCAGTAGTTCCGCTGCCCACCTGCTTCCACTCATGAACAGCCCGGAAGTCATCGAACATGCGACCAGGAATTCGGTATAGGAATTGTCTGGTAAAGGGAAGGATGACAGCTATAACCAGTGAAGCCGCCGTTCGATTCGCCAAATGCATCAAGCGGTGTTCTTCACCTGTTTTCATCATCCTCAAAGGCTCTTCAAAACTAAGCAGATACACAGACTCGAATGTAAACATGTTCCTAATTTGCTGTTAGGAAAAAAATGTCAATTTTCTGGGGGGGAAGCTAAGGTTCCTAAAGCACTCACAGCAGATGATAAACATCCACAACATTGTCAACACTTTCACTTGCTTTTCTAGCTAAAAGCCTGTTCAAATCGATTGAGAGTTCCTTGACACCTTCCAAAAATTTGGCCTGATGCGACGGCGAGAAAAACCTCGAAATCAGCTTTTTGCGAGCCAGATGCTGATGTTTGTCGCTAGAAGGGGGTCTCAGTATTGATTTCGCTGCGATAACAACCGGAGACTTACACCATACTGAAACTGTGTTGTTCCTTGATTGGAATAGCGTGGCTATAGAATCCCGCTTTCAACGGAGCGCCTTTCCCTTGCGCATAGATCTTCGTCATTGCCGTTGGGGAGGCGAAGTGTAGCTCATTGGGACCGATGCGGATGATGGGCCCTTGAATATGGATCAGCACAAGTGAAACGAATTAACCGCCAGAAAAGCCTTACCATATCGTTCATGGGCTTCCTTGATCCTAAAAGGCTGTTGGGCCGTGAGTGCTATGTACGTGTTCCATAGTGGGCTACATATCGCGATACAGCTATCAGCCAAATTCCTCGCGCAACATTTTTTTTTTTTTTTTTTCCTTGTTAATGCATCTTACCTAACCCTTGCGAGAAACGGACCAGGAACACTTCGGAGCGGATGCAGAAATAGGTTGTAGAGGGTGGTTAGCAAGCCATAGAGTGCGGTGGACACTGCTATCAGAATGACTATGCGTACGGCCGGGATTGGGCCGAGATCCTGGTGGGGAAAAATGTTGGAAAGGATGCTTTGCGCAGACATGCTGGTTACTAAGGCGTCGGGGTAAAATCTCGATGGACTTTCTCTGTCTCAACTGTATATAATTGTCGTCTCAAGTTATGCCGGGGGGACATTGCCCCGGACGGTGCGGAGCGATCCCGGGGAAGGAACATTGAATGTAGTGGAGATGACTGGTTGGTATGTTCCCACGGGAAGAAAAGCGGGGAGACGTGCCCACATCCACGGAGTGATATACACACATAGGTGCATCCATATCTAAAAGAGTAAAAAGGAAGAATCAATCGAATATGATGAGCCTCAGCTTTCAAGCAAAGCCCTGAGCGCATGCACGGATGTGGGAAATACGCTAAACAGGCTAACAGCTCTAAATAATGCGTGTGACAATCACTCTCTCTGGTACACCTCACACAGTGTTATTTCTTTCCAGTGTACCTAAGCTCCGTAAAAGCCAAATGTAAAGTTACTATCGTGCAAACAAAGCATTTAGCAGACTTTCCTTAGTAAGCGGAAGCTGAGCGGACCCCCCCTCCCCTCCGCCTATACCGACGGGAAATATCCTTGATGCAGGCAGCTAACCAGCTAACGGAGGATCATCCCCCCGCTCCCCCCCCTTCGTGTCTCGGTGCGAGAATTCAGTTTTGCCCGGGAAGGGCACATTAATCCGAAACATATTACTCCTTTCCCCCCCCCCCCCCCCCCCGGAAAATTGGGCAGCGCCCTGTGTGGGTAAGCTATGCGGGGATAATTGGCTGTGACAGTTCTACCCCGAACCTCGTCTTCTCCAGATGATCCTCCATCATACACAACTCTGAGAAACGCACGCCGTTCCCAAAGGCTGCAATGGAGATGCCAGATGTAAATGACCAGCAACAAAACGAAGACATTTTTCCAAAACAACCAAGGCGAGTCACTCGAGCATGCGAATACTGTCGGAAGAAACGGGTAAGGAAGGTCCCCAATCCGTGCAATGAATGCTTTGCTGAGTGTACTCCAAGATTAAATGCACTGCGGGTCAACGCCCCTGTACAAACTGTCGCCTCTATGGAGCGATATGCATTGACTCACCTCAGTCTACACCGTCCGGCGAAAGAACGACAGCACAGAGGAAAAGAAAGAAGCAAAGTGAGGTGTCGGAGGAGGGCGACAATCAAGGCGGCCAATTTTGCGAGCTAAATAACCAGAGCCCGAACTACGACTTTCCGGTATCACCTCCGTTTACCGATGGCACTACCTTGACAGCACTTTTCGAATCAGGCAACTCAGTGTCCGACTTTGATTACTACTCCCATCAGATTGGTTTGATCCCTTCCAGTTGCCTGTGGCAGTTAGATCGACCTACGCTGTCATTGGACAATGGTGTTGATGACACTAGAGGTACCAGTGTTGGGTCTGGCACCATCCCTCGGAGAGACGCTGTGCAGCCGCCAGTATCCGATAGTGAAAATGCATTGAGCGCTATCGAGGCAACCTCCCGTATGGGTCCGCTAATTGTCGCTTCTGATCAGCAATCGGCAGACAGCCCTACTGTGATGGGAACACCCAACCCTGCACGGACAAACAAGGATAATTGTTCAGGTACAGCGCAGCCAAGGGGCGGCTTGTTTCTTAGAAAAGAAGCAACGGCTACCAAATTTGTCGGGGTTTCTTCTATAGCTGCTACTTTGTCCACATGCCTCAGAGATTCGATTGAGGCCTGTGGAGGGTCCCTGCAGCCCAGTTCTCTGGACGACGTGGTGCAAACCATGCAGTATGTCGACGAGCTGAATAAAAGCACGCTCGGTGCCGATAAACAAAACTTTCACTTGCCCGACATTAAGCTCGCTGAGCGGTGCATTCCAGCCTATTTCGCCAACATCCACCTCCGGTACCCCGTTATGGAACGTCAGATCTTCTTCAGTTGGCGGGACTTCTATAAGGAGGATGGTAAACAACATGATCCCTTGGTCGTGTCGAAACTACTTCTTATCGTCGCTATTGGCGTGATGACACTCCATAGCGATCTCACGGCCCCACTTCGACCACTGGAAGTCGCCTCTGCGCTGTATGAGCGTGCTTGGTCCTTGCTCCCCCTGATTCTTGAGAGCCCCTACACAGATTCGGTGCAAATCCTACTTCTGCATACAATCTATCTGTCCCACTGCGGCAAACATGGCATAGCTTGGATTACATGCGGCTTTGCCATCAGAATCGGACACTCTGTTGGCCTCCACCTACCACCACCTGTGGGGTTGAGACTGCTCCCTGAAGAAATTCGACTCCGCTCTCGAGTGTGGTGTGTCGCTTACACGCTTGACGCATTCCTGGCCCTTTCTGAAGGCAGACCGGTAGCCATTTACGACAAACCTAGCGACGTGGACCAGCAGGGACTGGAATTCGACGAATGTCCCCCAAACCTGGCCTGCGTCCCTGCGACCCGCATCTACCGCTGGAACCTGGAGCTCGCATTGATTGTCAACAGGACCTGTAGGATCCTGAACCAAGACAACACCAATGTGGACTTACCCAGCGAATTGGCTGATATTGACAACTCGCTCTTAAGCTGGCGTGACTCTATTCCCATGGAGTTTCGCCCGGAACAAGAGAATGTCTCGCGTGGCCTGGTGCGTTCTCTAGTCAGCTGGCTGCATGTGCAATATTTCAACAGTGTCCGTACTGTGCACTGGCTTTCCGCAGAGCAAAGGTTTGGCGACGGGGCCAATCTGAGCGCACGCATGAAGTCCAGTGAATCAATCTGCGTGGCTTCTGCAAGGCTGCTGATAACGACACTGAATGACGTCCTGAATGAAACCTGTGACCCAAATGGGTTCAGTGGGATTCCCGAATCCTTTTGCATAGCAGCTGTGTCGGTGATTTTCCGAGCAATTACAAGAAACCCGCGTCGTATAGCCGTACGGGCTGATCTTGAGCTGCTTCGTACAGGAGTGTTTCACGTCCTGCAAGCTCTTCGCAGTAAACCGCATTTGAAATTGCTTTTTGAGCGAATGGAGAACGCCGCTGAGGAGGTAGTAAATCGAGCATTGTGTTGACAGTTTGCCCACGAATTGCTGGGAGAGGAACATTTATTTATTCTCTGCTATCTATCTCTTTTGTACATTTTAGCTATGTCCGAATATGATCAATAGCGGCTTTGATCATTGTATCGATGTTAGCTCTCTCCTTCACAATCCCAAATAGGTAATAGTCGGGCCTAACAAGTACAGCCGCAGCTTCATGTTTTGAGAACCACTTCTGGTAACTTCCAGATAGATCGGTGAGTCCACCGGGGCCAAAATGAGCGGCTAGACCCCGCAGATATTGCTTGTAGTCAGCAACGGTCTGCATGCTCAAAGCAGCAAGAGGGTCATGGTTTACACCGATCAACACCCAGCCAGTCCCAACGACCTGGTCAAACAGATCTTGCTTGTCATCTTTCGAGACAGGAGCATTCATAAAGAGACTCCCTGGACCGTCTTCTCCAGGGACCGGATCCAGTCCCTCGGGCTTGAAGAACATTCCCGATGATTCCAAAATCTCCAAATTTGGAGGCGGGGGGATGCGGCCAGCCTTCACGGCTTCGTTGCGGGCTCTCGCTTCAGCGGGATCGGTGATGGTGTATAATTTCTCTGTCTCGATAGCCGCGGTAACGAACACTTTGGTTACACCCAACTGTTCTGTAGAATAATCTTGTAGCAGCTTTGCCCAGTTTTCATCTGGGTACTTCAGAGCGAAGTCGAGTCTCCAGGAGAGGCTTTTTGCGTCCCGCAACCCCGAATTCAGGCCCTGACCTAGAAACTGAGGTGCGAGGTGGGATGCATCACCAGCCAAAGCGATCCGGCCCTTGACAAAGGTGTCCACCCATCCGCCCTTCAGAGGATAGACTGTTTTCCTCTCAATTTCTGCAGAGCTAGGTGTGCAGCCGTAGTAGCCACCCAATAGCGTCCATATAAATGCGTCGTCCACCACCGCTTCCGGGGACTCCTCTGGAAGAACCATGAATTCCCACCGACGCCTGTTGAGGGGTGAAGGCACGGATGTTCTAGGACGCCGGTAATCGAGGTACTGCCTAGCTTGGCGAACATCTGTCCACTTGAAAGGTGCTTCGGGATTCTTGGGGATAATGTCGACAACGAGCCACCTGGAGTTCGCGCCTTCTAAAGGTATGAAGGTGACACCGGCCGATCGTCGAACGATGCTGTTAGCACCATCACAGCCGGCAACGAATTTGGCCTGCACGGTCCCTGATAGTTCCGACACCGTCTTTCCTTTCACAGCGTTCCCAAATAGGACCTTGACGCTATCACCAAGATCCTCGACAGTTATGACCTCTATGCCTCTCCGGACGGGTACGCCTCGGTCCCGACAAGCCTGCTCCAGAACACGTTCGTATGTAGGCTGATGCAAAGCAAGCGAGCTTGCGGTCCCAGAGCGGGAGGTCGCAGAGGTAAAGGGAAAAGCAGCCAGGACCTGTCCGTTCTCGTCTACTAGTTCTGCTGTGTCGGACAGAAAATCCGAGACGTCCTGAAAAGCCTTTTCTTTGACCATCTCGTCGAAAAGTCTCAAATCTTTGTAAAGACGAAGGGCCTGGTGGTAGATTCCAACTGCCCGTGGCTGTTTGAAATGTTCCACATGCCGCTCAAGGACTTGTACTTTGTGACCAAGCTGATGCAGGATGAGGGCCAAAGTCAAGCCGACTGGCCCTGCCCCAACTACCACCACATCGCAATCCATTCTCCTGCAGTTCAAATTCACCGAGTAAACGACAGAGAATGAAATGGAAAAGATTTGCTGCGCAAGATGAGATGACAGCACTACCTTGCTTTTAAAGATCGTTCCGGGGTTCAGGCCGGTTCCGTGCCAGACACCCCGCGGTAATGGAAAAGAGGCGCGGTTGCTGTCCCGTGGATGTTCCGGGCAACCTTGCCACGGATTTTCATGTACATCTTCCGGATTTCCAATCACGATGCTTCGGAGGCTTACGACGGACAGTTCATCTGCCGTGGTGGACGCAAGTCCCTGACTTAAGAAACGTGCCAACCCGTTTCTGCTGCCGTGCTTGAAGGTTTCACAGATACACTGGCGGCTATTATTCCATTGGGCCCAGAAAGTCCCTTCCAAAACAGATACTTTCTCTCGGACAGCAACAAAGACTCTTCAATATGGGTGTTAAAGATGAGCCCTGGGTGAAAGAGAATCCTGATCGCGTCAAGCTGTTGGGACCCGTCTGCGTGGCATACGGCCATCCCGACTTGGAGAGAACCCACACGTATCTTACTGATTTCGGTCTTGTCGAGTCATTTCGAAAGGATGAAGCCATATACTACCGAGGGTACGGTGTTCAGCCTGTGGTGTACATCGCCAAGAAAACGGCAGTGCCTGAGTTTCTCGGGGTCTACTTCGAGGCGGCCGGCTTGGCTGACTTGGAGAAAGCCACAAAGATTCCTGGTGCAGGCGCTATCTTGGACTTTGCGGCAGGAGGCAAAGTTGTCCAAATCATAGATCCCAGTGGTATTCCATTCCACGTCGTATGCGGCCTGGAAAAGCGCGAGTTTACACCCCCGAAGGAGAATAGCCAGCCTTACAACTTTCCATCACCAACCGACGATGATGTGGAAGCTAAACCACGAAGAGGAGTATTTCACCGTATGCCAAAGTTGCCCAGAATCTCCAGCAAGTCCTTCTTTCTAACTTATCGTCTTTCCATAGGAATGAAAAAGGGCGTTATCCCAGTGCACAAACTCGGCCATTGCGGTTTGATTGCAAAGGACTTCGATATCTCCTTCGACTTCTACTGCTACCATTTCAATTTCAAGCCTTCCGATGTGGTTCTGGGGCCTGATGGCAGTATGATGATGGTGTTTCTTCATGTCGACCTTGGTAAGAGCTACTCGGAACATCATAGCTTCTTTGTGGCTCAACCCCAGGGTCTGCTCCAACCCGGCAAACCTCACCATGCCGCTTTCGAGGTCAACAGTATCGAATCGCAGTTCATTGGTCATGATTACCTCAGTCACAAAGGGTACACATCCTTCTGGGGCGTCGGCCGGCATATAGAAGGTAGTCAAGTTTTCGACTACTGGTTCGACCTTGATGGATTTCTCGTTGAGCACTATACCGACGGGGATCTCGTCAATGAGGACACACCAATTGGTTGGATAAAGCGAGACCCGAAGGATGGAAATAACTGGGGCCCCGCTCTACCACAACTCAAATGAGCAGGGGTCGTACGTGAACCAGAAATCCGTGGAAATGATAGGTCGAGCTCGTCATGTATGGGTTGCATGTGGACTTGCTACAAACTACTTTGCTACTGCTGGCTGGATAGGGACTTGTGAAAATGATTACGGGGTATATGGGTATAGTAACTCGAAATTCAGTGCTCTTGCACTCGATAGTAGTCGCGAAACTAGATCAACTGACGAGCTATACTTGTTTTGAAAACAGCAGATCAAAATCAGATTCGTACTCTATATTGGCTTACTTGCCTTGAATGAGAGAATAATGATAAGTAAATAACAACCTTTCTCGGATTAACTGCATGTGCAGACGAATGGAACTAGCTCCCCTCTCGAATAACCGGCGACCTAGACTCCTTCCAGGCAGCTGAGAGTCGGAGACGTCCAAAGAAATATTGACTCTACACAGAGAATATGATTCGGAAAGGATTCTCAAATTAGGCCGTGGTAGAATATTCCGTGCAGACTTGGTATATTGCCGTAGGTGAATACGATGTAGAAATCTTCAGCAGTTATCCTACTTGCTATACGTTGCAAGCTTCCTTGGCTCAATGATTTGGTGTTCAAAACAGGCTGAGATGCAGTGAAGAAAAGACACCAAATTTTTCATAGAGTGAGAAACACTTTCAATGACCGTGATACCCGGTCAGCCAGGAAGCTGTGGCGATACGAAGCCGCTTTCCATAGAAATACAAGGCCACCGCCAACAGCGAGAAGACTCCCATGATTGCTGTGAATACCCCAAACGGCTCGGCAGCACCTCGACTCGTTACCCAATCAGATACAAACCAAGTGAACGCAAAGCTGACGATACCACGTGCAACAGCAGCCATGGTGAATGCATCTCCAGAAATTTCGTAATGTGTGTCGATTATCTGGGCAAAATGGATCAGCTTCTTTCGCGGATAAAGTGAATAGAGCGTGAGGAGCTCACATAGCTGAAAAGGACAGCAGGTGAGACTGTGACTCCAAAGGCAATCATCGCTATTCCAGCCTCCAGACCAACCCACCGACTTTCACCAGGATTTTGCCCACATAATCCAAATATGAGCATACCCATAGTAGCTAGAAACAGCGCGGGTATGACCATTGGCAAGCGTGATTCCGGCTCTATTGTGCCACTGCGGTGTTTCTTGGCTGCTCTTGCCACTACCCAGTCGGACAAACTTAAGCTGTAGAGCAGACCGGCTCCGATGCCAATCGTGGCGCCGACACTGAGGAGGCCAACATTTTGACCCCAATTGTAAGGCGGCATGGCCAAGAGTGTAGGTCCGACAGTGGACGCCGAAATCAGACCGCCTGTGAGTCCAGCGTAATCGAGGCAAACCACAATGACGACTGGAAACCTCAGACTAAACCAAGGCTGAATCAGTCGGCGGACGAGGCCCGGACGATGAGTAACGAAGACGCGTAGACTGCGAGCAAATGTGTAGGGTGCGGAGGGGATACGTTCCACATGTTGGTGACCTTTGTTTCCACCAGTTTGCGTTGAGGCCACTGCCTCCTCCTCAGTGTCCTCAGATACCGGTAGTGCCATGTCCCTATTATAGAGGGACTCCGGCACAGCCAGGAAGCAGAAAATTGCCAATAAGCCAAATCCGATGGCTGGGAGCCACAGACACCACCGCCAGCCTAAATTAACAGCAATGTAACCCCCTGTGAGGCCGCCAACAGTGGATCCCGCAGCCAAACCAAACGTGTAAATGGTCATTATACGGCCACGTCGGTGGTAAAGAAAGGTTTCTCCGACAATATCGGGACAAACGGTTTCAGATGACCCAATAAAGGTACCCGTCACGATCCTCGCAGAAAGCAAGCTGTTGTAACTTTCCGCGCGCGCACACCAGATGCAGCAGGCCAAGCTCAGTGTTGTACTAACGAGGAGGACCGGCCGTCTTCCGTAGGTATTTGCCAAAGGCACCCACCAGATACTGGAGACGGCAGCGGTCAATGTAGCTCCCTATTACAAGTCAGGTGATGGGGTGACGCTATAGCGAGATAATATAACTTACGGCAATGATCGGACTCAATTTCGAGGACGACAGGGGAGTGCCGAATGCCGGTCTAAGGAAAGGCAAAGCCGGGCCTAGCACTGACAACCAGAAATTGGACACAAAAGCGAACGAGGTAATAAAGAATGTGATAGCAGCTTTTCTCCATGTGCTCCAATTCAATGGGTCTGCCGGGTCATCGGTTGGAGGGGGAACAAGGCTAAATTCCCCACGCTCAAGAGAATCCTCGCTGCGGATGTCTTCACGGTCCTAGTTATTAGACAGCAAGACTATTCAGCAGACCTATGCTTACCAGCAGCCTTAGAACTACCCGGAGGTATCGCATGTAGACCGTCGTCGTCAGTCAGACGGAAGGCTTCCCGAAATCCCATTTTCTTGTTTTAAGTCTTTCTCTTCTGGGGGATTCTGCAATATAGCAAGGATGGTTGTCTTCAAGGGGAACTAATAAATTTTGGTAGGACAGATCAGATCATACATTACTGCGCAGAGTTCGAAGAGGAGTAACGTTGGAACCGAATTAATATAGCTCGACGACTCGAATCCCGCTTCCCTACGACTTCACGGATTCCGGGGTAATGAGGGGAAGGGGGTCATCCGGGGTAACACTTTTTGGAGAGCTTGAAAAACTTAAATAATATCATTGTGCATTCGGGTCGGTGTTCTTTGTCGCCTCAAGGCAGTTTCCTTTCACTGTAAGCGAAGAGCTGATTTATATATATTACGATTCAATGGCTTCTGCAGAGATAGGAATTTTACCTGAGTATCCGCAGTGACTCTATTGTTTCAATCCACTATCACCCCTGCAGATACGGATAGTCTGTTTTCTACAGGAGCTTGTCTTACAGTCCTCCTAGGGTCTATACAGCCCAAAGTAGGCAGGTTAACTATATAACTGGCATAGGACCCTTCGTATAGATCAGGGGCGCACATAGTATGACTACCCTTAGAACATACAAACTCTAAGACGCATATAGAATCGGCAGAGGGATACTCTATCCAGGAAGAGCAGGCGTTTATTAAACGCAGGAATAGGCTGTTGAAGCCATCCGAACCACCCTTGCAGGGCAAGGAGTAGATGCAGAACAACGCCCTCAACAGGCACCCACTCACTGGCGTGACTACAATATTCCAGGCTCTAAGGGATTGGAGTGTCCGCAGTACCAGGAGAACCAATCAAAGGATGTTTCATAGTATGAACATCACCCACTGATTCGGCCGGTGCCGGGGTTTATGGAGGAGGGTGCGCCGCTCGCTCGCCGGCCAAGTAGATAGTAATTATTGAATATTAACCAAATCCAAATGTTGTGCTGATGATGGCTATTTTATTTTGACTGACTTGGCACTTCCTAATTAAGGGTCCTCTATTTTTACGAAGCTAAGGTGCGAAGACTCTTATGCACCGACTAGCCGATCCCTCACTAGCTAGACAATGACTGATCTTCTCACACCAACATACTTATTGCAGGCCAAAAATACATCAATAGAAATAAGGGAGATAACCCAAGATCCTTCCCTACTTTGGTGAAGGTCAGGATGGGAGAATAACGATCCGTTGAATATTCTATTTGGCCAAGAATCACCGGACTGGACCAACCCCACAAACCGGGGGACGCTGGCGTTTCTAGAAATCGAGTTCGGCAGCTACCACGGAACTGAACTGGACTGAAGCAAATGGTATCGTACGTATATAGTTAACCCCGGACTGTTGTCGTGCATCCGGTCGAGCGACCATGCCAGCTGGGCTTTTTGAGGCTGATGTTCCATAGAGAGCTCTGGCGAAGCCTATAAAAGCATCGACACGTCCATCCCAGTTTGGCCGCAACAAAGGCGAAAGCAAAAGCATCGTCTAACGACTCTCTTGGAACGGACTTTTACAAAATCTATTATGTCGGCCTGGAAGCTCGTCATGGCTTTGGTGCCATACATGGCCCTTGCTGCAACGTCCTTGTATCGGCCGGAAAATATTTCTTTTGATTCGAATCTGGTGTGTTTTACCAAGGGCCTTGTTAACTCGGGATAAATCGTCAATACTAAACTTGACAAGGACAAACTGCCCACTCTCTTCAACTTGACGGCCTCTCTTACAGCGGCACAAGAGCCCACCAGCGACTCCTTTTGGACCTCAACCTTCGCAACGGACACCAATGGGCACACCTATTTTGTGATCACGCACATGATAGGCAGTCGCACCGTCATCACCCGCAGCGCATTCCTTGACCTGGAAACACACGTGTATTCCCAAATCCAGAACATCAGCCACAATGTGACCACCTACAACCCCACAACGGGATTTTTGGACGCGCACCCCACCGGCTTTTACATCGCCGCCCTCAATGACGGCGAGAAGCTCTCTGGATTGCATGTGGAAAGCAATGTGCCGGGTGTGCATATTAATCTCACCCTCGATATCAATACTCCAGCATTGATCAACGCTGGTTCTGGTGCATTTACGCTGGTGAACGTATAAACTTACGAGTGGGCTCTTCCCGCGGCGAAGACATCGGGGACCATGACGATAAATGGTACCACAGTCACCCTCGACCCGGCAAAGTCCATTTCCTGGTTCGATAGGCAATGGGGCCCGTCCCTGCAGCCAGTAAACACGGCAACGACCCCGACTTCTGGCTCATGGCATTGGATCCAATTGCACATCCAAGGCAGCCCGCTTGATGTGCCTCTGTCTGGTTGGGTCGTCGACTACAAAGACCGCCCCCCTGTCCAATTTGCGACAATCCGGGAGGCTCCTGGCATCCAAAGATATCTTCCCGTTGCTTCTTTGGTTCCGGGTGGTCGCACGTGGACGTCACCGTATACCAACATCACCTACGACCTGAACTATACGCTTACCTTGCAAGATGGAAGCGTTTTCCACCTTGAAGTAGTCGCGGATGACCAGGAGATGCACAGTACTAACGGGGCGTCGCCGGTATATGAAGGCTATCTTGATTTTCATGGAATTTACAAGGGAGCTCGAATCTCTGGGTACGGTCTTGTGGAGATTGTGACCGGATTCACTGTCAGCTAAGATGTCGTATGGGAATGTGGTTCATGTTATATCTATGACGCACAATAACAAGTGGTCTTATTAGTACCCTATGTCAATACAGAACTCAATGATGATAGTCAATTAGTTAATAAGGAATTGACTAGTTACCACCATTAAGTTCGATCTTCTTCACCGTCACGCTATCCACTCATGTCGCATAAGAATGAAGGCAAATCATGTTTCTTGTCGAAACAAACTCTTTTGTTTCAGACCCTTGCGTACTGACTTGGTTAGCATCGCGTTTTAAGCCTTCTTCACTACTGCGGAAAGACGCTGTCAACCCTCCGAAAGATGGTAAACTGTCCAACAGGCCGTCTCTTGATAAAAGCTATCACCCCCTTGCCTAGAGGCTTTTCCGTTCCTTTTAAGAAACTGCTGTCCTTATAGTTGTAGCAATTCATTGTCAATTTACAAGTGACAGAACTACTGTAATAAGCTCAGCAATCCTTCTAACCGTTGGTGTTACCTTACAAACTGAGTATACCTCTTCAACAAATAATTAAGGATAAACCCCTTTTTTGGTCGCTTTGGTAATATGCCAAACGGTATGAAAACATAGCATACAGGAAGACGAGAGAACTCCCGAACGCCCAAAATGGTTACGGTAATATGTACCCTTCCGTGGGGAGTGTTCCGTGGTAGGGAGCGTTCCGTGGCAGGGAGTGTTCCCTGGTAAGCAGTTGTTCCCTGGTGCCTCATGTTTGATGCAGATCTTGTCAAAACTGGTAGGTTATAGGGGGAACAGATGCTGCCATGGACTGATGTCTGAGTATTAAATAGACTCCTGCCGGCAAAATCTAAGATGCTGGTACGAACTTCCATGATCAACTGAGTTACACATTTGTGAAGAATAAAGCCAAACTTTCAAAATGGCTGCTTCCCCGAGAAGATGTCGTCCTTTGGCTCAGGAGTACCTTGAGGTAAGGGAAAGCAGAGAAAGAGAGAAGAAAGGGATTGCTTGTCAACTGAATAGTTCGTCAAATCTAACTGCCACGCAGAAGGTGCTGCCCAACATGAACGTCACAGCCAGCTCTGCGGATTCCGGTTTCAAATTTTCCCGTGAAGACATCAATAAACAAATGGACAAAATGAAGGAGGCCAAGGACAAGTCCCTGGCCGAATACTGGCCTCATTTGGGTCAGAAAGTGAAGACCGAAGACTTCGACATTCCAATGAGAGACGGTGAAAAAGTTCTTATCCGAGTGTACACTCCAAATGACAGTCCAATTGAATCAGGAAAGAGGCCGGTGGTCTATTCGTATGTCTTTGGTCTCTAATTGTCCTCATACTCGGAATCTAATATTGTGACTTAGGCTTCATGGAGGAGGTTTTGTGACCGGGAATGTAGACTCTGAAGACCTTATCAATCGCCAACTTTGCCATGAAACACACTCTCTTATTTTCTCACTGAATTACCGCTTGGCACCCGAGAACCCGATTTTTCCCACCGGCGTGAACGACACGGAAGACGGTCTGAAATGGGTACACGAAAATGCCTCACGGTACGGAGGGGATACCAATAAAGGAGTGTTCTTATCTGGAACTTCAAGCGGTTTGTGGGCCACTTTCCTAAAGTATGAAATGTAACACAAATCTGACTATGAGATGACAATGCAGGCGCTTTTCTGGTTGCAAGACTTGCTTTTCAGGCCAATAAACTGAATATACCTGTGCCAGGCATGATTCTGCGTCAGGGAGTGTTCATATTCTGTCCTTTGGAAGAACTGGTGGATTGGCGACCAGAGGTCGCGCAATTCAAGTCTCGTGAGGAAAACGTTGACGCACCCGGACTCCCTAAACACGTTGTGGTAAGTAGTTTACCCTGGAGGATGTATCTTCTCTGCTCTTTCCATCATCGGCTCTTAGCCCCTTCTTTTGTAGGCTAAGAATTCTCGACTTTTAGGACGCACTGAACCAGCTACTAGCAGTGACAGCCACCAAGCACAAAGACGTGGAGGATTTCCCTATCTTTGCTTCTCTAGATGAGCTCTCCAGAATGCCTCCGACACATTTTGTGCAGGCCACTGCTGACCCCTGTGCCGACGACATTACCTACTTCAAGCGTCGCCTGACTGAGGCTGGTGTCGAAACCACACTGGTAACATACGAAGGAATGCCGCACGGTTTCCATGCGTATCATGTCCTGTCAGCGGCAAGGCAGGAGATGAAAGATACTGCGGATGCGCTGAAAAGGCTGATTGCACGATTTAATTCCCGAGATTCCTCATGATTGCTGCGATGGTCAACTTTCTCGTTTTTTGCTTGAGATCTTTTTTCCCTGTCACAATGATGGGAACTGATTCCTATATCTACTTTCTAAGATGTGATTGATATCGAATAGTGAATAGTGAGACTATCTGAGCTATCATCGTTCGGTATCTCGAATATAGATGGAATTCGAGGACCCGCATTGTCATATTATTTTCTACCTGCGAGTTGTACCCAACTCGCACCGAGTGCACCCTTAGTACAAATAGACTCCGCAAGCCATATAAACATACCATAGCAGCTCAATTTACAGAGCACTTATTTAAGGTCTGGTGCTTGTCAATAGACTTCTACTGCCGATTCTCAGATCCCCGACAGGCGGGAAGCCCACTACCGTACCAATTTGTATAGAGCCTGGCTCCTTTCCTAGTATTTATGACTGAAAATAGTAAGTAGGGACAAGAGTAATTGATAGAAGTAAACAGATAAGAATACCCGAAGGGGAAATCGCGCCTTACACTAGTCGTTCTTATGGGAGGTATATTGCTTTATATAGCTGAGCTTTCTTCGAGGTAAATGATATAACATCGATAATCTCTAATCCGGGGTACCCTGGAACCTGACCAGGATACTTTCATGGTGGAGCGAGAAGTCCAAACAATCCCCGTATACCCCAGCCTCCTACCCCGGAATTCTAAATGCAGTGGTGCGGCCAAGTGGACCCGACCCGATATATTCCGGACGAGCGCAATCCAGCGGCAGCCCCTCGCCCCCCGACTGCGGGCGAGATTTCCACTTCTTGTTCTGTCTACCCGCCTTCTACTTATCAACCAGAAGATGGGGTTCTTAGAGGCTCCGTGAGGCTCAAGCATGCTGTAGATACCTTGCCAAATGTATTATCACTACATCCTCAGTTGAGACATCTGGTGGTACGATATTATCTCCCTCGACGCCACCTGTTTGGGTGCGTTGGCTAGAAGCAGCCAAATATACCGCCCCGGTGGGGGTAGGAGTGTGCTGAAGGCGCCACGACCGGTATCGTGCCAGAGTAGTAGAGTCTAGAGCGGACAAAGCAACCTCCACGACATGTTGGCCCGTAAAATCCTCTAGGCAGCCGATGGTAGGACGGTCAGGCCATCAGAAAAGGAAAGGGATAATATGACGTCACCCAGCCAAAAGTATATCATCTGCGGTCCTGGCTGTGATAAAGAACTCAACCGACAACTTTACTTTTGCCTCACGGCTTCGATGTCGCCCATGAGTGATGATACTCTAGAGGAGAACAGCAACCACTATCCTCGCTCGCCACTGTTTGGACCCAGAGAAAAACACGGGTATCAGTCGTTCAAATACAAGCAATATGCAGATTTCGCGCAGACCACCTTCATCGCTGCCACGATTGCAAGCACCATCACCCTCTCCAGAGTCCTGGACCCCAATAGTACACAGGTTCTCCAGGATGACGGAATGCTAGCCTGGGCCAGCTCGTTCTTCATTATCAGCATCATGGGGTCGATCTTTCTGATCGTGTGTGCAAAACTCGAGGTCTACTTTTTCATCATCCAGATAGAGGCCCTCTGTGTGAGCCTGTTCATCATTGTCGGTTTCTATCTCCTTCTTGCAACTACCACATTTCGTCGTCAATATCCGGCACCCTTTATATTTGGAACCGTGTTCTACTGGTTGATAGTGGTGCTGTTGCTCTGCCTTGTCATTCATCTGCTTAGACTTCACTGGGGAGAGCGCGGCAGCAGCAAAGATTCTTGGGAGCTCTACTGGAAGAGGAGGATGCGCAACATGAAGTTGCCTGATCATGGTGATCAGTGAGGAGGCTGCACTGAGTTTTGAACGTGACAGTTACGCCTCACTTCAGGATACTTGCTTCATCCCATTTTCGCAGGAACTTCCACACCTTCCGATTTTCTTAGTGGAAATGGCTGTCGTCTCATCTCTGTTTTGTCCGTGTGGTCGCGCTACTCTTGCTCCGCGTACCAGGTTCTCAAATTCGTGATATTTTGTCATGCGTTTAGAGCACTTTCCTAGGGTTTTAGAAACAATGTCTAGTTTACTGTAGCCCCACGCACGGTCATCCATCAAAGAATGATTCCTGTATGCCACAGTGTATTCTATACTGGCTATAATAGCAGAAAGCGTGGACGTTCATTGTTACACAGTCACCAGCTATAGTTTCCATGTCCCGCATCTATATGTGCACCCCCGAAGCTATAATCTCCTTTTTCTACCGCTAAGAATATTCCAAGATCATTAGTGAAGAGCTGTATTTATGTACCATATATGCGCTCATGGTTCTGGATGGTGGATACTACCTGTGGCTAAACTATCTTATCCATCTATCTAGCAGTCAGGGCTAGCATTCACCAGGCTAGGGTTAGCAGATTCTAACAACAACCTAAAAAAAAATGATGCCTATCGAGGTCACCTTGTTGTCGTCCTAGGGACGCAATAAACCCCCGTGTTGTCCTTAACAATGTCTGTGGGTTGACTCGATATATATTTTATTGAAACCCGCATACCAAATTAGTGAGAATGAAATCTAATTTTCTATACTACCCAAGGCTGTCTGGCTACAAGAAAGATCTTAAGGAGACTAAGCTTCGTCTGCGCATCAGCGTTGTGGAGTTGATGCCCGGTTTGGTTGGCGAGCGCGTTCAGCAAGCGCTGTTGGGCTGTCCCAGTAGATATTTGTCTAACCCAAATGGACTACCTAGTATTCAGGGCATAGCCGTCATTTTTGCTTGACAATATTTCATTACCAGACATGTAAGTAAAAAGTGGACTCCTCCAATACGTTACTAGTGCAATTGTCCTGATTAAGCTTATTTTAGTGTCAGATTCTCTCGATCCGCTCGATCCGCTCGCGGTCCCACTTTCATTGCCTAACGTTAGCCCGTCGATCGTCGGCAACTACTAGGTAGTGTACAAATAACTGCAACGTGGATAGTCTTCTTGCTAAGCGCGGTTTTCACGAAGGTAGATGGAAAGTGAGACCTTCTGCTACCCTGTCTACGGCTTGGAGCGCTGGATGGTCGGTTCATATTATGTGGGACTTTCGAGACTTTATCATCGAGGGAATGGATCGCAGCAGTGTCGAACTGTCGCGTGCTGGTGCCTCAGGTTCCCGTCGTTGGTACCATACATCTTACCTATGAGTCTATCATCTATCGTGTGAGTGAATCTTACTAGAATACTAGTAAATATCGGTCGTAACTTGCATTATTTGGCCCTCGCATAAACATACGCCATACAAAAATATTAGACTGACAAAATAGACAGCACAAGAGTGACTGATCCTCCGCAATCCCAGCTGTCCTAAACCAGCAATTGAAGTGTCTCGGTCAGCAAGTTCCTGGATGGTTCCAGAGGCTTCACGGTGTTCATCAACTCGGCCACTGCAAGCTGAGCCCCACGCACGCTGTACTCTACCTCGAGGGACGTGTCCCCGGCTATCTCCACGAACTGGCCGACGCAGGCAATGTTCGTGGTATTCTCCGGTATGACCGCAGGGCGGTCGCCATGACTCCTCGTCAGGTATGGGGAAGTTCCCAATGGCATGCCGCATGGAACTGTCTTAGCACTAGCCGCCACAGAGCCTGCATCGCGACACAAATGGCTGAGCACTTCCTGGAAGACTTCTTCTCCTGTGCAATCGCACATTGGCTTTTTGATATAGTTCCCTTCTGCAGTCGGATTCAACGCAAAGCCCTGTAGGACCGTTACGTCTTCAGGCTGGTCTCGGAAGATCGGTTGATGAGGTTTGATGACAGTCATGCGCCAGTTGCTGTCTCGTAGCAGGAGGAGTGCGCCGTTGTCTGCGCTGTCTCCGGAGAGGTCAGCGTACATCGACGAGAATGCCGGTCCGCTAATTGTCGTCGTAAAAGTCTCCAGCATGGACTCCTGGATTCGGGGAAGGAAATTCGTCGGATTTCCGAACTTGGGCGCCATCTGCGCTAGCTTCTCCCAGATTTTCCAATCGCCTTCCATGAGGTCTTCCCAATCAGCCGTCAACCCCGAGGGCGGCGATGTGTTAGTACCATAAGCTGCTCCGGAGCCAGTGGATCCGAGTGTCACTATCACGATGTCTACTGGATCAAGGGTGATCAACTCTTGGTGACCGTCTGGTCCGATGATCTCAATCTCGGATATGGTGGTAGGGTCGGGTTCCGGGTAGGCCTTGAGGTCCGTCACTCGGTTGCCCAGGCGAAAGTCCACCCCCTGCTGTCGGAGGTATGAGATCAAGGGAGCAACCACCGACTCTACTAGATTGAACTCCGTGCGACTGAGATGCTCGATATTCGTCAAGTGCCTGACGAGCGCGAGGTGTTTGTGGAGGTGTCTCTGGAACTCCACGGCGCTGTGCCAGGGCTGAAGGGCGAATCTGTTCAGTCATTAGATCCTGGGGCATTATAACGGTGGTCGGAATGTTCGGTATTATGAGACTTACATGGTTGACCATAGGGACCACATATCTGTCTCGAAAAAGTCCGGCTCAAATGAATCTCGTATAGTCTTTTCGCCGATAGATGCTTCACGCTGCAATAGAAGCTTGATCAAGGCCATCCGATGCTTGATGGGGGTTTTTAAATGCTCGCGATGGACGAGTTCAGGCAGACCAGACGGTCCAGCGCCCACCTGCCGCACGGAGAGGACTGATTTGCCCTCGGGGCCTGGGGCACGCGCGCGGACAGTGTCCATGACCGATCGATCTGGGTCTGTTCCACACGGAATCAATGACAGAAGTCTCTCGACACAACTACCATAGAAATAAGGACTGCATTCGAAAGGAAGAAAATAGCCAGATTCTGTTCCCCCGTGGATGGTCATGCCTCCTCCCGGGTTCTTGTTCGACTCCAGGATATGGATATTTTGACCAGGAACTCTGGCATCTTTGATCAGATGGAGAGCTGCAGCGAGCGACGTGATGCCGCTGCCGATTAGCCACGCCTGGGTATTGCTTGGATCACGGGGATGGAGATGGTCCATGTCGCTTGATGGGTCAATATTTCAGTTTAGTTCAGTTCAGTTCAGTTCAGTTGAAAACGAAGAAATGGTATACAGAGTCGAGCTACACTTGGTGTGGGGATTCGGTTCCTTTATACACATATAGTTATGTTGCGTGACTGGATCCGGACGAACAGCCAAGTGGGCTGATGTGCCGCCACGTGGGAGTGGTCGGCACATTCATCCATCTCCAAAAACGGCCAGTTGATGTCATTTCGACCATCCAGACAGTCCGTCATACGACCGCATACCATGAACCGTGCGGTCTGGCCCGAGTTCGCCACCGCAAGCGGGAGATTCTCGTGCGTCCGGGGTTCCCCAGCTGATTGCCGGGGGAGCTTCTGGAAAAGCTAAATGGACATAAACTCTCATCGCCTGACAGTTGCATCTCATGGTGTCATTCCAGCATCCCTTCAGGCTAGTCACTGGCACGTTTCTCGAAAAGGTATATGTATATGACGTTGGTCCGACATATTGGTGATTAAATAAGGAACGTTGACCTGCGCACTCACATAAGGAAATGACAGCGATCATTCTCCTATGGTCCGGGTCGCAAGCTACATTCTAAGGAGCACTAGTAGGTGATATTTATAAATGTTCGATAGATGTCACTACGGTGAGTCGTCTACCGGATGAAGTGGTGGCAGTATATGAATAGCCAGATGAGTGTCTATGATCCATCAACATGTCGTGGTGTAGGCCATTCCACATCCCTGGCGCTACTAAACACCCTAGGAACCCCACAACACCTTGCCAATTACAACAACCAAAGGGAGCCAAGCCACAGAGCTCGACTGTCTCGAAGCCATAGCCGCTCCAGTCTCAGAAGCCTTAGCAGCGGTACCAGCCGTGCCAGCTGCCCCAGTCCCAGTCCCAGTCCCCGTCGCCTTAACATGGTCATTCTTCCAAGGCGATGTCGTCACAATGTACGTGATACTTGTCTGCGACCAGGTCATCACCGACCCACTCGGCGGAGCAGTCATCGCATCTGCTGCGCCGGTGTTATACAGCGGCTGAGTCCCATTCGGTGGGAGGTTGTCTGGTCCGTAGAACGTGCTGGAGTTTGTCGACGGAGCTGCAAATTTCAGCTTCGTGCAATCATATCGTCCCAGTACGCTCCCGCAGGAGTCCCACTTTATCGTTGTACCGTACAGTGTGGACGCGGTGAGCCACTGGTCCGCGCCCATATCTGCGGGTATCGTATCGGGGCATGTTTCGTACATCCTGGAAGCCATCAATCAGCAAGACCTGAAGAACAAAGAATAGCTGGAGACATACGCCGATAAGCCCGCGCTAACCTCACAGCATTCACAGGCGGTGTCCTTATTGGCGAGCTCAATCACCGACATAGAGCTACTATCCGTGATGCACGCGTTGTGCTCCATCTGCGCCTTGATCACCGACCGCAGCACCTTTCCCAGGTTGCAGGAACACCCCGTGGGAGCATTATCCGGCGCAGGCCAGAATGGAATCGGCTCGGAGGCGGTGGGACACTGGGCAAAGTATGCTGCCACCAGCTTTCCGTATTCGCAGGAGTATGCCTACAAACTGTTAGACGGAGCGGAAGATGACGTGAAAGCTGGAACTGGGGGGCGCACCTGGTTCCAACATGACTCGGCCACGCAGTTCATGAAGGACTGGTACATGACGCAGCCGCACGCCAGGACACAGATCTTGTTTCCATCGCACACATCTATACACTGTTTGCTGTCTGTGACGGCCTTTGCTGTGCAGCTGGTGAAGGCGGCCGGGTCTGCACAGACGTCGGCGGTGATATTGGACTGTGCGAGAGTGAGAATTGCACCCTCTAGAGCCAGCAAGGCCGCGAGGAGCTTGCTGAATGACATGGTACGCTCTGTCGGGGTCTGTAAGTTGTAAACAGCTCGGCGGTTTCGTACGTCGGATTCATCTTGATGAGGACCGACTGGTATTAATCTGGCGGTAAATCGGTTTGTTTACAGTTGGCTATGGTGCCCCGGAGTGTGGATTCCTGGGGAAAGGGGAATTCAGCCGGGAAAACCTTGCCTACAACAAGACGAGGATAGCTGAGTGGGCGTAGCTTCGACAAGCTTTCCGTGTCCATCCGCTGTGGCTGAAACTGGCGTTGCGCTATACGACTTCGTCCACTCGCTTAGATTGTCTGAATGCTGCTGTGGCGGCGGAGCATCCCCTACGTTCGCTTACTATCGCTTACGTTGCACCGATTAGGAAAGGTGTGGTCTTAATAGAGCATGTATCAACGGACGGAGATACAGGGTCCAAGCTGTACCACCAGTCATATGTAGACTGATCGCAGTAAATGTCAACAATAACGCCCTATCAATGATAAACTGCCGAAGGTCACTCCATTTGGTGCCCAACAACAGCATATCCCTGCTTCGTCTGGAGTCCGACCCCCTCGTCAGAGCCTTGCGAGGCTCTGTCCGGCCCTGCGTATGCCTGATGGAGGAGAGCCGAACTCGGAGGCATGGTCTCTTCGTTCTCTCTCCACAGCCCCAGAGTCGTGTATGCTACCTTATGGAGAGCTAGCGTCTCCTCCACAGCCCACTGGTCCCGCATGTATCTAGTCTTCTCCCGGCGCAGCCAGCCGACCAGTGTGTCGATAAAAAGTCCAACAATGGTAAGGAGACCGCAGATAGCGACAGTAAGCGCCAGCCCAAGGATGGAAAAGTTCTGATACCCTGACTCAAGCTTCACCAGCTGGTTGAAGCAGGCGGAGCGCTGGATTGGATTGGTAGGAATCATGCGCTTCCAGCCGGCGGCGTGATCCAACAAGTCGTTAGGGAGGTTTTTCGGGGCAGTAGCCCATTCGACCGCCCAAGCCTGATCCTTCGCCAGAGCTGTCGAAAACCAGATGGAGACCTCGCTCTGCCATTGGGTCGGAGGGAGATAGTACTGAATATTTTCGTAGGCCATCATGGATGCTGAGACAGAATGACCAGTTAGTTTGAAACCACAGATTAAGAGACAGGTCAGGGTTGATACCGTTCAAAGCTGCTCCGCTTCGACCATCGACAACAGAAAACATGCTTCTGTCAGTGCTCCCGCCCAGGAGCCGCGAGATGGTATAGACTTGTGGAAGGTTCCATCCCAGGGCTTGATAGTTGTCAAAGGCATCTGTTGAAGCACTCATGAGGCCTCCAAGCTTGCTGCAGCCCGAATTGCCGGGTTTATTGGGGTTACAGACTTGGTACTGGTCGACGCACACCATAAGGCTCACTTCGGTGCTCGCAAGCCACATGGGCTCACTGAAGTTAGTACCTGACACGCTGCCATTATATGCAATGAGGGCGGTGATCCAAGGGTCATAGCTGGGCTGCAAATAGCCAATGGAATTTTGGCCGAGCATCATGATCGTGATGTCGCCGTCAGTCTGATTGATGCGAGGGTCTGGTATCCATGACTGAGACCCAGTCGCCGCCAGTGCTCCGGACGGATCAGATTTAGCGAAGAGGGCACTGGTCTGTTAGTTCTCGCGCGTAAGGGGAAAAGGGCTCGACAGCGTACCTCAGCGTGTAGCCGACTCTGTTAATTCGTGGAATTGGCGAATGACGAAAGGTGTAATTCGCAAATTCAGTGCCCATGAAGTACTGGCCCCCAGCATAGATGTATACAGTTTCGCCCGTGTCCGAGTCGTTCTGAAGCGCCGCCAGGTTGGAGCCATGTTTAATTGGCGCACAGGTGGCCACTCGTCGGAATTTGATTCTGTGACTCGGCGGAGCGTTGATGCCAAAGTGTTCGGCCGAATCGAGCAACCCTGTGTCCATCTGGAACGCCGAATGGCCGTTGTACGCGCACAGATCCGCAGCATACGGGCAGGACGCGTTTGGGTTCGTCGTAAACGGTAGACTTTGGCTCACGTGTGGCGTGCAAGCGAAGCCGGAGGCATTGCCTTGGTAGCATTGATGCGCATATGTGGCCGCGTCGTATGTGTCCAGCAGGTTCTTCGAAGTGTAACTTCCCCCCGTGTCCGTGGCATTGAATTCGAACCCACCGCAGCTCGGACCAAGAACAATTACCGAGTTGCCGGCCGCCTTGGTGATGTAACTAGTGAGGAGACCCGACGCGCCAAAGAGGAGGATGTTGAGGATTGCCAGGGCCGCCAAAGGCAACGACCGCCCCATAGCCTTCGCTCTGGACGGAGTGTGGCCGATTGCAAAGGGCAGTTTTATCAGCGCCCAGGCGGCAGCGCCGGCGCCCTTGTTGCGTATAATCACCTGGCGCTGGGCGTGTAGCGCATCTTGGCCCTGGCTGGGATCCGTAGTGTAAGCCTGGTGGATGGTAAAGCTCAGAATACTCCAAAACATGGTCCCTGAAAAGGAGACTAAGATGGCCAGAAACGCAGTGAGGACTCCTGCATTGCGCTGGGTTAATGTCAGGGTGGCTCCTCGCACCAAGCCATCCGACCAGTTGATCCACACACCGGTATAAGTGTGAATGGCGTCAGACATGATGTTGGGGTTTGGAGCTAAGGGGAGGGTTCACCAGATGTATTGGGACTGAGGTAAGAGGGGCCCTCTGGAGAGGGTGTGTCTGGCATATTTCAACAGCAGCGGGAATACGATGCTGACCGTTGTATTTTGCCTTGCCAAAGCGACGCAAGCCCATTGGATGACTAGTTGAACTATGTATGTGACTGTCCATACACCTAACAAGCCTCAGCCTTCCCACTGTCTTACGTGTGGCTTCTCGGGTCTCGATACATCGCTTCGGGCGTCGTCCACGTGCTAATTCACCCAGCACCCTCAACCGAGCGGCGCTTTAGGAGGCGTTGACCATAATATCTCCTATTGGGCTTCGGCCTCACCGACATACGCCAGATATGCAGAGTTAGCCTTCGAGCGTGAGACGAGGAGGCTGAAGGGTTGGGCCCTGAGGCCCGGATCTCTAATGCAGACCGTCTGAAGGATACCTAGTACGGACATCTAGACGGTTACCTCGAGTCTGACTGTTGCGACGAGAAAGACTTTTATTCAGGTCTAGACTATCCCGGTGGCCGCTGCCTTTAATTAATATCGAGGAGCCATATCTTCAGGATTAAGTGTAAACACTCATCGGCACATACCGGACCAGTGATCCCGTTCAAGCCACACGTCGGCAGGCTAGTGTAGCTGAGTGGCCGTCAGCGAATCCGAGTTATTTAATCCCGGTGTTGTCTTGTTTTTGTCCCATTCCTTATGCATCAAGATACGAGGTGAGGTCAAGGTGTTGCCGCAAACTTGTTTACTCTTGATACGGTCGAGACCCAAGCTCTAGACGTTTTCCATCATGTCCACGCTATGTAGTAGCCGCTACTGTCGCCGCCGTCTGCAGATCGAGATTGAACATATGCACCGCAGAAATCAGAGCCACAACCTCCCAGTCCCGGCCCATGATGCCCAACAGCCCCGATCCCCGAAGCGCAAACCGAAACGCCTTGGTCATACTCATCGACGAGTTGTGCGCCAGAAGTGCGACAACGTCGTGAGTCGCAATGGTAGCAGACATCCGCACCAACTTCCACCCAGATGAATACTTATCCAGTTCCTTGATTTCCTTCCCATGACTGCGCCGCCATTCGAACTCCTCCTCCGTCGCCCCCTTGCCCTCGCCAACGATACACGAAAATGAGAACGACGGCTCCCTATGGTACCTCCGTTCGCGGTTGGCGTGAAACTCCACAACCACGGGTCCTTGCGAGGGCGCTTCCCGGTGCGGTGGGACCGTAATGGTGCAGGGACGCTTGCTCCCAGTGATGTCGCTCTCCAGGGTCGCCAACGCTGGGTGTTTACCGCTTGGCCCGTCATGAAGGACGATCGACTGTCGATTGCTGAACACATGGGTGTGGGTGGAGACGGCAAATAGCGTCTTCTCTGCCGATACACCAAGCAGGATTGTCCTGGTGAGCTTCCACTGCCAGTATCCGTTCAGCGCAGAGGGGATCTTGGACGTCGCAGGCTGAATTGTGGATGGGACACGGGCCGCGCGGGTGTATTCCGGGGGCGCGTATGGGGGCAGCGGTTCCGTCTCATGAGAGGCATACGATGGGGGTCGTTGACTGAGTACTTCATTCCCACATGATGGAGTATGATTTTGCGCTGGAACCACGCCTGTGTGTTCGTGCGGCGAGAAACTCATCTTCACTGTGATTGCGAAGAGTCAAAAGGGGCTACGGGGTCGGGAGATGTGATAACGGTTTTTAGGGCCTTTGACCCCGGCTCAATCACAGTGCTATCCACTAAACCTGTTGGAGTACGAAAAGGGTGGGGGCCGTGCAGGCGGCGAGATGTCTACGCCTCATGTCCGTCGAGCCGATCGCAATGTACGGGCAGCTGTGGATTGTGCTCTCACACAGGGGGCTGGTTTAATTTGCATTGACAGTCTAAGGTTGTCTAGACGAGCTGACGTGGGGATTAGTGCATCCGTCTATGCCTCGATCTGGCAAGGTGAGAGGCACGACTTCGAGCCGAACCTTTAGCGCGGAAAGAGAGAGATAAATCAGTCTCCGGTGAAGTGAAGGAATTTGCATGTTCTTTCCTGCGCCAAACAGTCGCGCACCTGCTTGACGTTGGTCCTCTACGTACATACGCGGTATCATATTCCGGGTCTTGCTGGCCGCATAGAGCGGCACATATATATAAATTCACTTTTTTTCGAGTATCGGGACGATAACCCTACACGTCTGAGTGATGTTTCTCAGGAGCAATGCTAAAAATGAGTCAATTGCAATGCCTATAAGGAGGAAAGAAAAACGCTTGGCTCTCTTGAGTAATGGAATTACCCGAGCTTTATATATATTAACATCTTTAAGCATACAACAGACTTGATAATCAGAAGGCAGCCAGCGATATGTCGTAGAATCCTTGCTGACTGCGAGGGACAGGCCAGGAGTGGCTTGAGACAAGTGGTATAAATCAAGCCACAGACCTTGAGGTCTCGCAAGAGCGCTCGCGGTTCCACTGCTGGAAAAGGTGAAACCAAGCAGGGACATGGGTGTATTTGCCGAACGGCCGCCCCCTGGCCAGCTACTGCGCTGACACTGAAGATCCACTGGACAGTTGTCTGCGTGATTGCAGAAGGCGCCAATATCATCGTCCTTCAGCCAGCACCATGCGTAGCCCTGGTGCCATGTTGTATGCACTAGCTCCATGGTTTCCGGATCACATTTGCTCCAACACACGCCCTGGGTATTGTCCATTATTGCAGCCTCCCGGGACCGGGTCCAGTGTGGTATGTCTACCATTAACCAAGCTACTTGGCTGACAACTGAATTCCGAGGGGCAGTCGTCCTGATGATTGCAAAAAGCGCCAATGCCGTCGGTTGGGGTGGGAGATCTACCTACTGCAACTTCAGGTCCAAATGACTATATTGACATGTAGCACAACATATTTTTGTAACCAAACAGCATTCAACTGTGGTCGGAGATCTCTTTTTGTATTAGGTAACATATAAAAGGACCAAAAAAGATATTCCAACGTCGTTTACCAGAGCGCTGGACCCATTTCTGCTTCTGCGGAATCCCAAAGCCCAGCTGAACACATCGCTTCTTCATACATACTGTCATCAACAGCAAACACAGAGCCCCATGATTTGCATGGTAGGTGGAGGGTATGTATCTTTGACTGGACTCCCGCCTCACGCCAGCATGTATATATCGAGTTGTCTTTTAGTGATTTCAGTCTGTAATCCTTCAAGTACGGCTCCCATTCCCCGACTTTGATATCCAGCTGTACCAATTGGGTATAGAGCGCGCTTGTTGTCTGATGTAGCCCCATTTGGGCTGAGACATATCGGAAGGTATCCTCGGCTATAGACGCGTCCACCCAACCTCGATACGTCGCGGGACGCACATAGCCCCAGGGATAAGGGGCCATTGCTTCACGAAGAGGCGTATTTAACTCCAAGTATTTCAATTGCGTGAATGGTCCGAGATCGTTCAGGCATTCGTAAGGCTTGTTTAAGTTAGTTTCATTTGGCACACTATATCTCCGGCCTCCAACCTAGCTCAGACCGCCCAGGCCGCTCGAGGAAAGAGCAACGGGTGCGTCGGAATCGAAGTCGCCGGAGGTGGTTGCCGTGATGGTGAACTGCATGGTGAAGGACCTCCTTGGGAACGTCATACGCGGAGAATGCCCGAAGCTTGGTGATTTGCTGCAAGAACTGATCAAGCAGTTCCATCATTTGCGGCCCAGTAGAGGCGGCTGTTCCATCGGAGATCCGGATCTCCAAAGACTGCAAGTTTGCAACACAGCCACCCAGATGACAAATTAATTCGGACAATTGGCTAGTTCCATCCAAGGATAAGCCACGAAGGCTTTGACCCTTGAGACACCGTGCCCATCCCACCGCTTGTTCCGAGGTAAAACTAAAGTTTGCCAATGAAAGGATACGCAAGGGAGGGAGCATGCTGCCCAAGAGTAAGTCGAATATCGGGCTTACCCCATGGCGACGTCCAGGATGATGCTTGAGAATTAAACGCTCCAGATTGGGGAGGGAAGAGATAACCTTGCCAAGTGCATTGATATCTGGCTCTGAGGGCCGGTTGCCATACGTCATGCTCAGTGATTTGATGCAGGCTGCGTCCTCAAGACCAGCTCCTACCAAGTCACATGGAGCCCCGTCAATGAAGAGCTCAGGAGCAGGCTGTCTTATGTTGAGATCGCGGAATAGCAGCGGGGGGAAAGCGTGCCGAGTCCATCTGTACCCGTCAGTCAACGATCTCACGTTGGATTCACATTGTAAACTTCCTTCGCACCTAATGATTTCGAGATTACGCAGCTTCGCCACCAGGCCATATATCAACGCAGGGTCGACACGCAGCTCAGGCATTGATCTACCGTTCGAGGTGTAGCCAGCATATGATAGGATCAGGACCGGGACATGCGGATAGACACCCTGACCCACGTTCTGCTGAAGACGCGAAACTGTCTTAGAGTATGCAGCGGCGTGTTTCTCAGGTGACAGGATACGAATAGTTCTGAACAATCTGGGTGATACAATTTGATTGAAATCGCGACAGGTCAGGTTAACCGACTGAAGGGTTGTCCCGGAATCCCAGTGAAGCTTCGATTTCAACATTAACACCTTGCTACTACGACTCGCTGGCGAGCAAACTTACAAAGTCCAACTATACGCTGCCATATTTCATTGGGAAGGATTTCGAAAAAGCTCTTGTGGTCGTCGGGTGCCATGGCTGATGACAGGGCCCTGATGAACGTTTAAGGTTGGTCGAATGGGAGATGATACTCCGATATAGAAATGTATTCTGACATTCAGTCGTGGATTTTCAGAGTAGGGCTACATCTCCTGGATTTCCAACGCACGTCCCGTCACTTAGCCGAGATAGCCTGCCCGTGTTAATATATCATCGTTGGGAATGCGGTTAGGCGAAGCGACGCGCACTAGCAGCGTGCACAGAGGCCAGTGGCTAAGCTAACGATGGCATCACTTGGCACGGCCTCTGATGAGTCAAGCCAGGAGGCTGTCCTGATTCCACGCGGCGTTTCCATGGTAGACGAAAAATCAGATAGACGCCCTAATCCTTCAAAAAATCTGTCTAGGCAACTTTTTTCTGGGTCATTTGGGCAGTCATCCAATGCGTCGATGACGAGAAAGCCTTTAGAAAAGTAGTTGGCACTATGCACATTGAACAGCTTCATCGACGCATCAGTCGTTGGCTTTTGTCTCGTCACAGTCAATTCCCGATAGAGCCTGCGACACTCATCGGAAATACGTTTACCCTTTCCCAAGAGTTGCTCCAATAGGCTAGCGATGAGGTTGAACAGGCTCTGGTGCTTCTGACCACGATGATCAACGTAGATGTAGACACATGCTGTATCGTTATGTCTTGGCGCGAATTCGGTTTCAAGATGACTGATGGATCGTGTTCCAGTACATATCTTTCAACAGATGGAGGTGCTGACTTGAAAGCAGATGAAGTGGGGATGTCGGGGGGTTGTTGTGATGAACGTCCAGGTCACATAGCCAAGGGAAGGGCTCGCATGCAGGCAACTTAGCCTTAACTGCCCTAGTTAAGCAGTCGCCTTGCCTGAAAAGCTCTAATTCCGACATTGCTGCCTTTTTCCTGGCCGGTGCCCGAATTTTATTGTGACTGACGGTGAGGCAACGGCTTCTTTTCTTTCTTTATATTCGTATTTCTCCTCAGCCCTGTATGGTAGGGTCTGGTGTCTGGCCAGAATACATACAATGCACTCAATCAAGAGTCAACAGACTAACTGTATACGTATAACGCTACCCTAGCATGCAGGAGTGACGATTGTGTGACAGCCTATTGAATAGGTATTGCTGGTTAATGCAGTACCCTAGGTGACAACTCACATTGTGAGATCAAGGTCTTCTGGGTAGACTCCATGAACCACTCTATATACCCAGGACACTCCACGCATTGCAAAGATGATCTCATCACAATCCAAAAGCCAAAAGCCACCTTAGCACATGTTGATCAATGAACAAATCTGAAATCCAACCGTTTGGACCCCTCATCCTCCGTGGTCAACACATATTCACTCTGCTCCTCAGACGACATAGCCTGCCAGATCTTCTCTCGCTGCTTATTCCGTCGAACGTAGTACAACTTCACCAGGTAAAACAATACAACATTGAACGAACAAATCCCCAACAACACCTTGTTTCCCCTCCGGTACAACGGACTATCGTCTTCACGGAAGATGTTCGTCCCGATGACATTTCCAGCCTGCACGCACATATTGTACAGCGCAGCGCTGACGGCTCGCGTGCGCACTGTGTTGCTGATGCGGGCATTCCATCCGACGAGGATAGCGTGGCAGTACGGGTAACTGAGGAGGACGGTACTGACGGCGTAACGGGTCCAGGGACTAGCGGATTCAGGGAGCGCCACGAGGGCGATCAGGCAGGGAAGGATCCAGATGTTGGATGTGGAGGAGACGATGGCACGTTCGCCGAAGCGGTCGGAGATCCAGCTAATTATGAGGAGGTTGACGGCGAACATGAACTGCGAAGGGATGGCGAGAAGATTTGCCTGAAAAGTGCTAAAGCCCATTCGGCGAAGGATGTAGGAGAGGTAGGTCTGGTGAGGCTGGGGTGGGATATAAGTGAGTAGGCCGAGGAGGTAGAGAGGCCAGAGGTCATAATCTTTGAATGACTTGAGAAGTGCAATGGGACCGACAGCTTGCCTGTTTTCGATGATAGTTAGAAGGCCTTTTCGTAGTTTGGGTGAATAACTTGGATAATCCCTACCGGTTGTTCATGTCGCCTTTAGAGGGGTCATCGCGCAGCAGGCGATTGACCAAAATCAGCTCCTCGCGGTCATTGAACCAGCCGTTCTTCCCTCTGAACCAGTTCTTAGTCTGACAAGGACCAGGAGGCATGAGACCCCAGGAGAAGAAACCAATCACAGATGTGATCACTCCCTCGAGTAAGAACCTAATCACACATAAGCGCTAGGAAATTACTGCCCAGCTGCTTGCGGAGACTCACAGCCATTGCCATCCACTCCACCCTTGAAGACCGCGCATTTGCAGAATACCCGCTGCAAGAAGAGATCCGACAATGTTGCAAGTACTGTGTGGTATTAGTATGTCGGTGGTACAAAGGTAAGAAAGTTAGCGAACCTCAAAGCCGTCCAGAACCAGCTCAGTCTGATGGGGAGCTCTCTGCCTTTCTGGTGGCTGTTAGAACTAGTCGACCCATAATAAGTGACCATCAGGAGCTTACGTAGAAATATGACAGCCAGAGGACAATGTCACTACACTTATTGTCAGTAATTTGACGACCTCACAGGTAGGGTTATACACACGGGATGAATCCACCCATGAGAAGCCCGAGCAGACACCTGCAGGCGAAGTACGCTCCTTTCGTCTTCATCGCAGCTTGCGCTGCACTGATGGTGGACCAGGCCACAATGATGAATGGAATCCATCTGTCTGGGCCGACCTTCTTGCTGATGAGGCCACTGGGAAGCTCGGCGGCCAGAAAGGACACCAAGAATATCTGACCAATTAACAGGACGCCATGGTTTACAGTCACTTAGGAACACCTACTGTCTGACCATAATTAAATTCATTGGTATCCATATCCAATTCCGGAAGCTTTCGCATGTCAGTGGGGAAAGTCAATCAGTCGAATGGTATCGACTTACCATGTTGTCTGTAATCGCACGATTGATATTCCTTCGATTGAGATCCAAGGAACAAAACATCAACCAGGCCCAGAGCATAATTCTCCAGTCAACCTTCGAGCTATTAGTTCATAACACTCGGACGAGAGACCACCACCCTGAGCAGGTATAGAGGATAGACTAACCTTGCGCACAAGCTTCTTTTCCTCCTCGGGGGTCCATGTAAAGTTCGGATCAAAGCGATGTCGTCCCTCATACTGGGCCTTTTCATAAATGCTAGCCCAGTATTCTGCGGTATCCGAATCTTCAAAAACATGTCCCTTATTCCCCAGGAACCCCTCCGGGTCCTGCGACTGCGATACAGTCTCCTCGGTAGATTGGTTTCCCATAGTAAAGAAGAAAAGCCGAACCACCAGCAAAGTCGCAGAATGTGAGAAACTTAGGCTTTGAATGACAGTTTGACAGCCGGACATCCCTCTCGTTCTATTATACTTGTGCGAGGGGCTGTAGCGTGCCCGAGCATGGCGACATTGCAACGATTCGCCAAGGATTGTACCATAGGCCGAGATCATATCGTCCAGATAGTGGAATTTGCCCTCCCCATCATTGGTGGGGAGCAACTTAGTTTCGCACGTTCGTGGGATATGCTGGACCAGATGCTCTCTTGACTTGTGTGGATGTGCACTTCACGAAGTGGTGGCAGAGGGCGAGGGTTGGGATGATGCGCCAAGACAAGCTCAAAGCACCACATTTCGCCATGATATTGTTAATCGACGATAACGATCCGATCTAGATGCCGCGTAAATCCATTCGGGGTTAGCTTTAATTAGAGGAGAAGATTCTGTGGTTGAAGTCCTGTGAATGAGCGGGGACTGAATACTCTGGCCAGGAGGGTGGTATATGGCCGTGCCACCAGACTGGACGAGATAGTTTCGATTGTGCTTGAAGTTACTCACTCTATCTTCGTAAGACCAAAATTCCCAGTATGTCTGTCAATTAAACATTATAGATTCCCCGAGAAGCACCATCTTATCTATACCCCTGTCTTAATGGCCGTCTTCTGCATACAATCCCGCTTCCACGTGCATCTCGCATCATTTCGGATCCTGTACATGCTCCCTAACCTGTCACGCCGGATGATATGAGTTTTCAGAATCGAGAACAAAATTAAACATTATCATTCGTTGAAGACTTTCTGTGTCAAGTGGGCTTAATTCAATGATGCCAAAGTATCGTCGACTCGTTCATCAAAACTCAAGACAAATTCAACCCCAAATCCCAAGATAGCTTGCATGTGGAAGCAAACTACATATTACAGCTTATGCTCCAACTGTGCAGTCTTTGAGGCCATAGGGTTATGAACCTCAAAAATCCGATACTCAACAGCCCTCACATCCCCTTCGCGAAACGAGCGTAAGTCTTGTTCAAATATGTTCATATGAGTAGGTTTATTTATGTCTAAAAGATTCGTTTAACATATATTCACTCGAAAATAAATAGATTCTATCTAACCTTTGTGACCACTTTATCAAGCCTCAACTACTGCAATGCATATAAGGATAGGCGCATGCTTCTGTTCCAGATAAAGTAAAATCATGGCACGCTAGATTCAGTACCACCCAAGGTGCTCGGGGGTATATATGTGCAACATTTCTTGTATACAAGATGGCCTGGGGCCCAAAATTGTGTTTAACTTAATGACGACCCACGGATTATGCGGACGAGCCCTACGATTACCACGTAATAATTTCCCAGCTATCGCCTGCTGTGTCATCGTCCAATTATGATATATGTGAGATTGATCAGGATTTGCTCCTGATACGCGTGGACTACTCCGTCGGCGATCCGAAAGTGATCAGAACACGGACCTAAGCTTATTCTGGATGTGGAAAGTCGTCGCATTCCGCAGAAATCCAGTTCAATAGGCATATAGATCGCTCCAAGTCCATATGAAATGGGGGATGAGAGGATCTTTCTCTGCAGTTGATGCTCTTGGGAGACGGTAGGAGGAGCGGGTAAGACACGGTCTAGCGGAGGAAAGTAATATATCAGGAACCTGAAGTATGTTTAGCTCGAAGCCGGGAACCGGAGGACAGAAGAGGAGAGAATAGGTTGCTACCTCACTGGTGTCCAAAGAACGATGTTCAGTACGCAATGGGCGACAGTTGAGAGAATGGAGCTGTTGTCATTCATTATAGATGGACGATCTTCAAGCATCGATGGTACACCTATAGGCGACGCAGATTCACAAGCAGACAAGTCATCTTTGTTGACGCGTAGCTTTTTGGTCTCTAATGTTGGGGGTTCCATCATGTTGCGCAAATATGCCCATGGTGCAAACAGCATTAGCCAGGGCATGGGGAGTTCCTGATTATAACCCCCAAACAGCTTTGAAGCCTAGGGCGCTAACGGTGGGGATGGTATCAGCGCTAATTACTCGGTGGATGGCGACAATCTACCGACGTTACGTACAGTAAATGTGCCACTAATGGGGTTGCTTTGGCCGCCAACGCTCAGTGTTTGGCCTCGATGAGTTGACTGCGCCGCTGTACTCCGTTCGGCTTACTTCCCATACAAAGATTACCCTACGTAGCGTGTGATGATTCCTACATAGAATGGAAGAGTCTGTACTTGTGCACTCCGTGGAGCATGATATAGCCAAACAGTATTCTACCTAATACCGGCGTTACATCTGTGGACTACCCAACTCGATGGAAGATAGTTCAACAGCACCCCCACTTAGCAAGGCCATGGCAATGATTGAACATTAAAGCGAGAACCATTCGGATTAGATCCATATAGAAGGCATGGTAGTAGTACGATGTAAGCTGCACTTCGCAGAGAAGGTGACACAACCCGTGGAGTACATGGAACATCAAGCCCTTTATCAGAAAGTGGGTTCCAGGGAAGTAGATCCCATCACGCAGCGATTTATCATGCTAAAGCCATAGTGGTGTTGTACTGGCGGTCTGTGTGTGTGTGTGTGTGTGTGTGTGTGTGTGTGTGTAGTATAAAAATTAATGTAACAAGATCGAGCTGCATAAAGGTCAACATGTCTCACTATTGCCTATGATGCTTGCTTCCGAGTCTTGAGACATAGTCCCCCACAGACCTATCGGACTTGGTCGGGAGCCGCAGAATACCCGACGACGCCCTGTCAACCGCATAAGCCTATGCGCCATGTCCGGGGATAGGCCAGACCTGACTTCCGTTCTAAGCTTTCTGAGCAGTCCATAGATCAGGATCTCTCAATATGGAGCTTGTCTGGAGGCTCTTCCTTTGACACTGACCGCACCTTGAGGGCAGAATGCAGAGGTTGGGGTGTTCAACAGATCCATTCGTACTTCTATAGTCATGCATCTAGAAAGCTTGGTCGTTATCATCCTCGTCTTCATCAACATCCATGCCATCATCGTCATCTTCATCAAGGCCCTCGAAGCTCATAAACTGCTCGTTCTTTGCATCTGTCTCTTCCTCGACCATGACACCATCCTGTACCTCACAGTCCTAGAGATCGTATAAGCATGTGAGAAATTTTCGTGTAGGAAATGTACGCACCTTGAGGACCGAATTGGGTCCGATTTTGCCATACCGGCCCACAATACACCCACTAAGAACACACTTGGCCTCGATCACAGCGTTATCCATGATAACACACCGCGTTCTGGTCAGGTTAGCCGAGGTCAGAGGGCAGGGGGCAGGAGAAGACATACAGACGAGCGCCACTGCAGATCTTCACATTCGTGCCGAGAACACACTCCTTAATAACACACTTTTCTTCAACAGTGACATTGGGCGCCAGCAGACAATCCGCTTTCGTGACAAGTGAGCGCTGATGTATGCCTTCTGGATCGGCGATCTTACGCTGGTGGGCGAATGGCGAAGCAGCAGCACGACCAACGTCTTCAACACACTCCAGCTTGGCAAGGCGAAGCGAGGTGGCAAGAAGAACCGCGCTAGAGTCCACTCGTCGACAAAACTGCGTGGACGGCTTCGTAACATATGCTAGTATCGGAGGCACTTCCTCGGGTGTGGTCTTTTTATTCGATTTTTCCGAAGCATCATGGGCCGATGATGCGATTGTAGTCGTCATACCACGGAGGTCAATCTCTTCCTCCAGCGTGTGGCCGTCGTTACTTCCCTGCTCTTCTTGCGACTCATCCCGAGTGCCCACAATCTTATTGATGCCAAGCTTCTCGCCCAGGCCACGCTGCCACTCCGCCTTCGCCCAATATCCAATGAGATCTTCACTCACGGATTCGAACCGCTCCTGGTGCCGGGCGAGGTGTTTCACCCACAAGGGGAAGATATACAGGTGAGCGTCGCGGTAACTTGTCAGCATTTTGACTGAAGCATGCTTTTCAACCAGGGAATGGCGGACTAAGAAGCCCTTGTCTTCTTCCATCTGTTCTTTGAGAGTGTCCATTGGCATGGACATGACGAGCTTCGACAGGTTGTACCGCGAGACGGCCGGCACTTCGTCCTGCTCAAGTGGGGTGAGGGCGACAAAGTCCCGCGGCTCTTTCTTGACTTCGTCCTCAATGCCCTTGGCGGGATAGTACACGCACAGGCCCCCATTCCTGCCTTCAGCCATTGAGACCATCCAGGCCTCTAGGAGATGTTCGCCGGGAAGGTCGCACAAAAGGTCGCAGGGGAGGAGCAGGAAGTTCGTCTTGATGCAGTCCTGGACTTCCGGCAACCGGAGTAGTTCGGCCGTTGCCATCGTCATCTGGAGGTCCTTCGGGGCTATCACGGTGGGTGAGGGCGAGGGGAGTGAGGTGAGGTAAGGGTTTTGCTGTAGGGCGGCCTTCAGTGGTGCCAGAGCGGAGGGTGGTGTGACTAGTGTGATGTCTACATAGACCATCAGCCGTGACTCGAGGGATCGCAAAGCAGGTCGCGGACCGTCAAAAGGACGCGTGGCTACCACTTACCGTTAATTCCTGCCCGTTTACACCACTCGATCACCCAGGTGATCATTGGCTTCAACGCAATTGGAATGAGAGCCTTGGGGTTCTCTTCGGGGTTGGAAGAGATCGTGTTGAGAGACTCTCCAGGACCGCAGAGGATGAGAGCCTGGAACCCGCTGGCGGGTACCGGGGGATTCGCGTGGCCCATTATGATTGCAAGAAGGCAAGTGCCTATGTACCGGGCGCAAGAGGTCTCGAATATACGGTATCTTATGGAGGTGTGTTGTGAGTCAGTCGCATGAACGTGCCCCGCGGACAATGGTGGGGTGCAAAGGATGGTATGAAGGTCGACTGGGGTGATTCCGAGGACAATTTCGCGCCGCTTCAGTGGGCCAGCGGTTATGGCGAGCCTCCGTAAATATCTCTCCTTGCTCAAACGAAGAGGTTGCGATATCGAGCAGAGTGGTTGCGATCCCGCGCCGATAAAAATAATGATTTGCGGAGGTTTTCTCGGAGAGCAGCACGTGACGATAAGGCTGGCCAAACAGTGCAAACATCTGTCCATCGTTATCAACCATCTATAAGCCATGTACAACAGGCTTGTACATAAACAGGAGTTCCTACGAGAATCTGAGGGGCATTAGCTCCAGCAAACATGGCGTAGATCTCAATGAATTGGATGACAATATCCCAGAGCCGAGACGGGTTTCAAATTCCAGACGTCATTCGGACCGAATCGTACTAACTCTGAGAGGAACTCGCCTATCGATGGGAGAATTTGGACATGGAATGATTCCAAGAAGATGGGACCGACTGACACTACATGTATTCTCTGATTCAATGCCCGCCAGCTCAGTTTTCAATCTGATTTTGTTTGCGTTGTCGTTGGCGCTCTCTATCCCCATCAGGAAGGACACATCACGTAGTCGGTTCCCCTCTGCTCAGTCCATATGCTAATGTTGGAGAACCCGCAGCACAGTCACATTCCTATCACTGTATAACCGTGAGGCTGGAATACTCGGAATGCATTATCCTGGCCAGTGTTTGTGCCTCCTTCCTACGGCTCTTATTCGCAGATTTAGGTTGCACATTGAACGCTGACCTGCGTCGTTAGGTTGTGGTATCTTCATTGTTTTCGACATTCAGTGGACTATCCGGTTTGCCGTCAGTCGTAAGCGGTGGGGACAACTGTTTATGGCATTAAGCTACGGATGGCGAAGACAATATATATATGAGGTGACCTTGGCCCTCACATCCACCTAACTACTGCAAACCTAGGCCCTCCACAGTTGTCCCCACCATGAGATTTACCCTTCATACCACTGCACTATGCACCCTCCTCGCAGCCCAGGCTGTAGCGACAGGGAGCGGTCTCTTCACCGCAAACGGTGTCGAGCTCCAGGAGTATCGATTTGGTGAGGAGATTATGTATGGGGAGCCGGTGAGTATATTGTCCCTCTGCAGCCTGCGAACTGTAGTTTTCTGCTTTACTTCTAGTTCTTGTAAGCTTGGTGAATACTAACAACTTTATAGCAAAGACTGGTCCAAGTACATCACCCACGTGCAGTATACGACTCCGTTCTCTAACTTCTACAGACCAGGGACAACCAAAAATGCACCAAATGTGTCGGCCACCACGGACATTGTGTCATTGGAGAAGGAAACTGCTATCCGCCTGATACCTGTGCATTCTGTGGAGGTTGCACGGTCAACCAAGCGAGGTGTCAGGACCCCCAAAAGGAGGGATGTGTGTGCTATGGTGGATAAAGAGGGGCAGTTTGTTTTGGTATTCAGCCCAGTGGGCGGTGTTGCTCAACCAGCATTGCTTGATGTAGTGGATCTATGATGTACACAGACTCAACTCATAGATATTTTACCCGAATATGTACTCCCACCACCCCTTCTTCCACGTCCGGCCAAACCGATGATTAATACACGCCTGCGGACTGTTAAACCCCTCTGCCTGGCTGTGTCTCTGTCCATTCCCCCATGCGCTAATCGGTAACACGCAGAGGCCTCCCATAGGCGCTGTCGGCATCGCCTCGCCTGCGTCGATGCAGATAGTATCGTGGAGCCTATGGAATGGAGCCCATGTGACACGCTTCTGCGTCTTCCCTGTCTCCCGCGAGACAAGGTCTCTGACCTCCGCTTCAGCGCTAACAGAGTCCTGCACGAGTGGATGCGTGGGCGGGAGGGACGACGAGAGCGTGTCGAGGATCGTGTCCGTAAAGACGTCCGGCCCCGTCACCCCCAAGATAGCCTTTTCATTATACCGCCACGAGCGAAACAGACCAAAGTACTTCGCATCGTGCTGTCGGGTGTGGGAAAGTGCCCGCACTATCGTCTCTCTCAGAAGAGGGCTGAACCGCCGCGGCGCGTACATCGTATACTGGATGAACCCGTAGCTCCGGGTCCAGTGCCAGTCATGCATGAACTGCCTTGTCGCATAGGGCTCGTCGACTTCGACACCGACGACGAGGGATACCTCCGGAGAGACGCTTTCCCTGCGATCTCCATCAGACGTGGCTGCAAATACAGGCTGCAGCGCCCGGCACTTCTTGATCGGCTTTGCGGCAAAGACGTCCGTGTCTGCGTAGAAGCCCCCATAGTACCAGAGCAGAAGGTAGCGGAGGAGGTCTGCGCGCAGGACGTTATGCGGGTAGGACTTATAGACGGATGCGATGTCGGGGATGGCGGATAGTTCGTTGGTTACGAATTCAAGGGCTTTGGCGTCTGTTACTAGCTTTTGCTGTTCAGTCTCCACATTCTTATCTAAAGGCAGTATAGTAGAAGGCTGAGAGCTAGCTTACAGTATACATCCAGTCTGTATTCCGCTTCTCGAACGAGATCGAGTCTGATCCCCGATGGTCTTCGTCCTGAGCGATCTGCCAGATGCGATTCTCTGCTATATTGCTCCTCCCGTGACGGGTAAGGGCCTCCTGTTCGAGCTTTTGAAGATCATCTGAGAGACGTTTCTCATACTCGAGATCGGGATTCTGTCGAAATGGCGAGCGGTAGAGGAAATGAGGTTGTTCGTCCACGCGGTGCTTTGGCGGTGGTCGGTCAGCTCGCGTATTGTTCTGGGTTGCTGGAGGACCCGGGAGATGGCATATTAGGAAGTAGACGATCAGAACCAGAGCAAGTATAGACCAGCGACGGTTCAAGCGACATGGGAAAATGCGGTATCGGATTCTTCTGGCATTCATTATGGTGGAAAAGAGCCATGGGCTGAGCAGTGTCCAAGACGAACAATGCTGCCCACGTCGGTCATTATGCTCAGGGGCTGACGGTTTGGTTTGTAATTTGGAGTAGCAGACGTCGTTCATACGTTGTCTTTCTCTTTGTTTGTTCGGTTTCTTTGTCCGACGGTTTCACTCCGCCACCCGTCGATCTGGGTTGCGATGGCTTGCGCCTAGCATGGATACCGATGGCATGGGACAAAGAAAAGGGCCAGGGGAATGTATCTAATAGTATGGCTGGTTGATAGGTGTGCTGTCGTCCATGTTCGATCTAGTTTCGTATGTGATGTGCTCCCTTGGGGCACTTGAGACGTATGCCTCATCAATGCATCACCTAGAAGGTATGTTATGATACCTGTTGAACTGGTTCTGCTGGGCTGCAGGTAGTTACATGCAGTAAGGCAAGACATAATGCCTGTATGTGTAAGGTCTAGGTATACGATTGCAACTCGACTTGCATCATATTTAAAGACATCCCCATTCCCAGTCCTCCATCAATGCCGACAGTGAATACAACTCGCTGTCGACTTACTGAGCCTTCCTCGCAGCTTCCTGTCTCTCCGACCACTTAGAAAAATATTCGCTATCTAAAAACTCAATCAGACCCTTCAAAAGGGTCCCATCCTCATTGAACGTCAGGATGAAAATGTACTCGTTCTCGTACGGCCCGCTGATACTCTCCGCATGGCTCTCCATATGCAACACGACCTTCCGATTCACTTCATCGACGATGGGAGCTTCGCCGTCCACCAGATCCAGCTGGAAGTTCTTCAATTGACCACCGATCTGGTTAAAGCCCTCCAGATACCCGTCGTTGTCCATCGGCCGGCCTCCGAAGGTCCGAGGGGCAATATAGCTGATGCAGTCGTCGGTGCGGTTGGAGAGGACGGCTTCAGGGGAGAAGTCGCGCATGTTCTCGATCCATATGCGAGTGCTTTCTAAGAGACGTTCACGAGAGACGGGCATTGTGCTGTGGTGGATAGTACTTGTTGTATAGGAGTTTGTGGTAGGGGGAGGTGTGCAGTTCGGAGGATGTAGGATGTAGAAACTCGCCGCCCACAGTGATGGGTTTATCCTCACCAGGCGGGGTAATGGCAGGAAATCGGCTTGCCCGGAAGTGAATGTGCGATGTCGGTGTTCTCTAAGACAGGATGCGAGCTAGGGGATCTAGCGTCTTGGATGCAGGGACACATGCGTCTACGTGTGGAGCCAGATGAATGTCAATAGAGGAGCCATGCTTGGTTGAGATCTTTGATATTAAGTATCTAGAAGTCTATGAAGAGTTTACATCCACATATCTTGACAAGGCATGTACGAGATATATACCTGCTCGTCCATCCCGACGTCCCCATCATGCACCTTGCGGCTTCTCCTCCGCCATCCTCCTATCCTTCAAGATGCTCTTGACGAGATATATCAAGCTGACAGCAATACCCAATCCCCCCAGTCCAATTCCCATGTATAGGCTACCGCGGTATCCCAACAGGACATCATGGAACGTATGTCCCCCGTGATTCACATGCACCTCGACAGTGCCAGCAAACCCCAGTCCCAACGAGATGCTATAGTTGACAACAGTGGTAACCAGACTGGCAGCGATGCCCTGGTGCTTCCGCTCGACGGCGTTAGACAGCAACACCGTGCTCGCCGGAAACGACATGTCCATACCCCAGGGCATGACGACCATGGAGACGAAGGTCAGCGCCCAATACGTCTGCCCGACCGGCGCGATGGCGACAAAGATCGTCCCCACGGTAAACGCGATCATCGCCATCAGCATGATCCAGCTGGGCCGAAGACGGCTCATAAGATAGCCCGTCGTGACCGACGCAAGAAGCCCGGACACCGTCGGCGGAACGTATTGCGCCGACGCGAGCAGCGGTGTCGCGCCGCGGATGCGCTCGAAGAAAAGCCACGTGTAGTATGTCCAGATGCCGAAGGCGGCCCATCCGCAGGCGACGCAGCCGAGCACGAACGACACGTCCAGCGTGAGGGCGTGGAAGGGAATCAGGGGTTTGACGGCGAAACGCAGCTCCCATACGAAAAACAGAGCCAGGACGAGGGCGCCGATAATTAGGATCACGTAGACATAGGGCGTCTCCCAGCCGGCGACCGGGGCTTGGTTCCATGCGATATTGAAGAGGACAAGGCCGCCGACTCCGAGAGCGGCGCCCATGATATCCAACTCCTGTGCCCATTCCAGCACGCTCATGTCCGCTTTCTCTCGTTCGTGCTGGATGGATGGGACGACCAGCCAGCCGAGGAACGCAAGGCCTGCACATACAATGGCGCATATCCAGAATATCCAGGGCCACCAGGCCATCTGAGCCAGGAGAGAGGCGAACACCGCTCCGATAACTGCACCGTTCGGGGCCGTCGCCCCAAAAAGGGCGAATATCATGTCCTTCTTCTTCCCGGGGTGGTAGGTCGCCCCCAGGATAGCGAGTCCGTTGGGCAGCAGCATCGCCGGACCCAGTCCCTGCAGGGTGCGGGCGAAAATAAAGAGAACGTAATTACTATACACGCTGAGCCCAGCGACCAAAGACCACAGGGCGAACCAGGCGAAGCCGATAATAAACATGGGCCGATAACCAAACACATCGCCGCATCGGCCGAAGAAGAGGATAAACGTCCCGACCGTGAGGGAGTAGCCCGCAATAAACCAGCTGAGGACGCCGTCATTGTCAATGCCCAGGCTGTCTCCGATAAGAGTCAGCGGCGCGAGGCATTGGCCCAGGCCCGCCTGGGTCATGAATTGTGCCATGCATATCACGAAGACGAAGACAACTTCCCGGATAGGGGAGAACGTCTGTGCGATGGAGACATGGGATTTCTGCTCCTGCAGCTCTAGGCTCAGGTCTTCGAGGCCTGCGTTGGCCATGGTGAGATGACAGCGTGCAGGAGAAAAAATTTCCAATGGATATAAAGATGGAGATTAGGGGGGAGCTTATCTGATAATCAGCTCTGATCAATTTTTACCCGCTGCCGAGACCGAGTGGCGGCCATGAAGAAGCTTAGCGAGCTTGGTGCCGATCGATTGGGCTTTTTATATCAACCATGAACTCGCTAGAAGGATAAGTGCGGTGTATAACACTGCCACGACGGCTTACATCCGGCGAAATGGCCCGTCTTATCCCCGTGATCGGGTAATATGTGGGATTATCGGCATAGAACGTGGCCGCTATACTCCGGAGTAGATGCAGGATTAGCTCAGGGGTAAATCCGTAATTCCGACCTTAATAATAATGCTTATTCCCCGATGACGGAATGCTTCCTGGAATCTGATTCCCTACGGACTCATCCGGAAAAGGGGTGTCCCTGGTCCTGATTCTGTATAAAGATGCATCGCTTTTTCATTTCTACCGGCATTCAGGAGGCTGAGACCCAATATATAACACGCCATTGTCCCCCGTTCCTAAGTCGATCCCCAATTTTGACATTTTCTGTTCCACGGCTACTCCGACATGAATTTTCGAATTTGCTTCGATTGGTGACCTCTGTGCCGTAGAGCTCAACTGCGATCACCCCAAGCAGACGCTACTTGGCACAAGCCGTAGGAGTGACGAAAGGATCCTGATTGTAGGGATTGTAGCCAAGGCAGCTTGCGTATTCGCTGGCACAATAAGCCATGTTGGCGCCAGGTTTGGTGACACACTTGTTGTGGGCGTCGTTGCACGCTTCAGCGCAGGCATCCCGCTTCGTGGGCGTGAAGGCAAGGACAGGGGACGCAATCAGGCCCAACAGCGAGAAGAGAGTAGCTGGCTTCATCGTGGATGGTTCTTTTGAAATGATGTGTTATCTCAAGGTCAGGATGAGCCAATGAGACTTGCTATTTGGAAGGATGGTGGGAGGGTAGCTTTCGACATCGCGAAAGAGCATAGGCAGCTTTTGTGTGTTCCATCCTGTATGCATATGACGTGTACATTTCTAGGATAGTACTTGTAGATCAGGCGTCGGAAAGTGGAACAGCGTCCCTCGCCACCGATTGTGCGTGGGTCTTTATTCCGGAGAGCGTCAAGAGCTGCTGAGACGGCCGTTGACGAGTGTGGGATCGAGGCGTTCCAAGCACTGTTTTCTGTCATGAATTCAGTAAACGCAAATGGAGAAATAGTCCTTGTCTCATATCGGTAACTTGGATAGAGCTCCCAGCTCGTTCATCATGTTGCAGAGTCGTTATATCAAAGGGGGCAATGCCCTATTATTCTCGAAGTTCGATGGGTATTTTCGGTCCGGAACAGTGCGCCCGGATGCCATGACTAGGTTGGAATTCCGAAGACCACAAAATCGATGATGTGCGTGTGGAGACCTTTGTGGCGAGGTCGAAACAAAAACTCATTAATCTCGGGCACCCACAGCCAGTATCGAGCCATTGTTTGGTTGTTTCGTTTAGCGGGCCATCCAAGTATATGCATTTTCTGGGGGCGAGTCGAGTCTTGATACTTTATATCCCATGTCGTGGTGAAACGGCGAGACCCAGACGATGGTGTTGTTCCGTGTTTGATAGTAGTGCAGTGCACAGCTCCATAAACTCATAGCACCAAACTGGCATGGTAGACCATAATTGCTTCATACACTCGGAATTGGAAAGGCTGAATGCATGAACCGGCTCGAAGGACTTGGCCGACGTGCCAGAGGGCATAGACTAGGTGTCACGTGGCGATGTAGGTGCTTGATGTGGAGCCGAAAACGCGGGGGTTCCGATAACCAATAGGCTGATCACAGTCGATAAGAGACTACCTAGTATAGTATTCGTTCAGTAGTTACATCGTATATGGATGAGAAGAACATACAAGGAGCATCCATCAGAAGTAGAGAGGTATCGTTGTGATCAAGTCGTCCCACAGAAGATCTGTCAAAAAGTTGTCGTCCCACCCTTGAGGTCCATCAGTGCCCACCGCGCCGAAGCCCCAGTCAATATGATCACTTGGGGATCCATTCGGATGTTCCGATGTCTGCTGGCTTTGGTGTCCTCCTCTCGCGTCAGGGACCTGGTCGCTTGTCTGCCTGAGAAGGTCATAAGCCTTTCGTAAATCATAGGCACATTTCCTCGCACTGCTACTGTTCGAAACCTTCTCTTCCAAAAACACCAGGCATTGGTTCCAGGCATCTTCGAGCATGCTGGTAGAGAGATTCTGGGTGATATTAGAGCACACCGTGGCGAGTATCAACACAACGCCTGAGGTAAACATGTCTGGGTCATGTCAGTGACGTAGGGGTGTCCACCTTGCGTTGGGACATACAAAGAACAGAATACCACCATATTGGGCGGTGGGTCTCGTCTGTGGACCCGAGAAACTCGATAAGTTCAACTGCTGCATCAATACACCTAGCAGCGTATCTCTGGATGATGTTTGATTGTGTTGACGGGTTCAACTCGCGACTGGCGAGGAAAGAAGCTCGCGGATTAGGTCGCTGCTGACACGAGCGGTATAGGCGCGTCAGCATTGGCCGATATAGTAAGATCTTCAGATGCAGATATCTATACGTCCGTCAGCATCTATACTTGAATCTATGTGCCATACAGACCGAGCACGCAATATGTTCGTTTGTCGCAAAACTTGCTGCTCCCCCTGTCCGTGTCGACGGGGGTTTCCCCACCGGAATGCTTGAGGTAGCGTTGATAAGAACGATGATAGCGACGTTTCTATGGCTTCTATGTCCTTTGAAATATCCCCGTTGATTCCGTCATCCGTTCTGGCTCCTCGACCTGGTCCATATACGGTACCAAGTATATCACCCAGGATGTAGAATAGTCTCATGTTCATATTGAAGAACACAGTTACCTGAGGGACTGGTCCTCCAGTGGAGTCATCACCAAGCACATCCGGCAGCGGTACCTGATGATAACGAGATATCATGGAAGGTCGACCCAGCGCCATGCTAGCAGACCTACAAACACATATTAATGTAACATCCACGAGTCCACGATGTTGGGAACCTACACGTCCAACATGACACAAGAGTGCCAGATGCACCGGCGCACCTGGACTTCATCATAAGACCAACGACTATCATGATCCGTGGAATGAAGACCGATCCCCTGTGCCATGCGGCAGGCAAGTCCGATCGTGTTCCAGCAGCGATCCGCATACGGTGTGCTCTGGAGATAATGCGCGCTGAGGAGTAGTGTTTGTACCAGGGAGAGGTCACCCTGATCCAGCAGATCGATTTGCTTCAATATGTTGCTGGAGCGTTGAAGGAAGACTTCGGCTTTTGCTTCTCTCTCCGCACCAGCCAGGCTCGAATACTGGCAGCCCAAAGCAAACATGGAATTTAACGCACAGTGAAAGATGAGAGGAGACGAGGCCGGATCGCCAAGCCCTATACACTTCGAACCGCTCTCGGTCGGAGCCGAGCTTGGCTCTGCAGCCCATAAGCGCAAGTAGCCTTGCTGGAAGCTCTGTTTGTGGATGAATGGATACAGAGTATGTATTCCTGTCCAGTAACAGTCGACCAGATGATCTGCCAAAGGGCGCGGAGGCAGGACAATATTCTCAAACGGGAAATGCACACCGGCACTGAATGAATCTTCCATGGAGCTGACCCACTGGTCTTTCTGGTAACCAGGTCTTGTGCGACTCGATGTTGATGTTGTTGAGCTAACACCCTGAATTCCCTGCAATAGTGATGCTACCGATGAACCGCCGAAAAACTGGCCTTCTCTGGGCGTGGTCGACGGAGGTTGCGCCGTGAGCACACCCATTGCGTTGATGATGCTGCTATTATAGCGAGCATCACCAGTGTCATGTCGAGAGGAAGACTGCCACTCTGACGGCGTATCTCTAACCACACTGTCACTGCTGCTGATCAACATGTCTGTCAAACAGGATCGGAAGTAAAACATAGAGTTCACCTACGCTTCGGTCAATGGAGTCGCAGTTGGTCGCTCGATATAGGAGCATGGGATATCGCGACGCCCACACGTCTGACAGATAGGACGAGTGCCATCACATCGCACTTTGCGTTGACGACAGGGTTGACATGCGTATGTGTCTCTCTGTTTCCTCTTGCGGCCGGGGTTGCTCTGGGTGATGTTAATCAGCGTTATTGTGGTGTTATTTCTTGGATTGGAATGATAGGTTGATTACCATGCTGCTACCTTGATAGGCGATCCAAATTATGCAACCCTAATCTCCCTATTACCTATGAACGATGGTGGTCATGGTCTGAGGCAACGTCCCGTTGGTAGATGTCGGTGCGTATGGAAGTCCGTCAGATCCCTTCCAGCTTAACAACCTGCCGTAAATTACCGTACCGAACGCCTGTGGATGCTGCTTGGCACCGCCCACCAGCACTTTCCTGGTATTTCGAAAACACAGCATATTGGGAGAAATGCGATGTCTCCAGCAAAAGGTCTTCCAAGTTATCATCATGCAGTCAGGTCGCAAACATGAGCCCGCATGTTTGCGAAACGCTTCAGCAAAGGCTCTTATGTTGGATATATCCCCGGGATCACCAGTTATACGCGGTGGGCTAGATCGCAGACTTCTTACTATTCCAAAATATATATTTCGCAAGAGCCGCCAACGAAACACCGGAGATAACATGGATGGGCTCGTAACAATATATGCAAATGGGAGGCACTCAGGTGGGGAGCTAGCTACATTAATTGTTGGGATAAGTTTAACTATATGCACTGAGCTCATCCATGCCACGTGGACTCCATCGTAGGGTTCGTGTTAGCTCGACTCAATAGCGGTGGCCTACCCTTTTCCTGCATCTCCTGTGCTTGGCCCATTTCCTCATCAAAATGGGGGACCTGATAGTCGAACACATTGACTTTGGAAGGACTAAGTCCCGCCGACGCGCCTTGTTGGTCAGCTGTAATAGGCTCATCAATATCCATCAGGTTTTCAACATGCGTGCCAGAGGGTTGTTCGGTGGTTTGCGACTCCTGAAACTCTGCTTCGAAGGCCCGGTTATCGGCGGCGACAAAATCCTGATGCTATTAGCGGGGCTCTCAATGTAGAACTAATTCACTTACGAGAAGCTGTGGGGGAGCGGGCTCCACTGGGACCTTCAAGGCATTGTTGTTCGCATAGACAAGAAGGACACTCTTGGACTCTTCACGAGCAGCACGTAGGACCTCGATCTCCCGGACTTGACGTGCAGTATACCCGATGACATCCGCATTTTTCGGGGCAGGGCGCTCTGGGTCGTTGGACTCGGCATGACGTGCCTTTGCATCTTCCGTGGAGAAGCTAATCCGCCACCACTGCCACTCACATTCCGACGACTCGGCGCCGGACTGACTTGCAGCAGGAGGACGGAGAACATAGGTCACATGTGGTTCGGTGCAGACACCTCGAAGTGTATATTTATTGTGAGGTGGTTCATCCAGAGATTTTGATGGTTCTGTGAGGGCCTTGGAGTAGTTGCGGAGTGCCTCGGTGGCATCTTGCTTCCTCCGTTCAAGCTCTTTTGGGATTGTCAGTCTAAAATTTACAGATCTGCAGGCGCCGAGTCCTACCTTGGAGTTTGTCTTCTAATTTGCTGCAAACCTGGCGCAGTTCATTGACTACCCGTTCTGCTTCCGCAGTTATTTGATTCGGATCATTGTCTGACTGACTCAGGTTCTGCGGAAGCGCAGATAGAGCCACCGTCGCCTTTTCCAAAACCTGTTTCGACGTCAGGCCTTTACTAGCAAGAGATTTAGTGACCGAGAAACGGTTGGCCAGGTTCTCGATCTTGAGAATATCCTGGCGCATTTCCTGTCGCCGGGCTCTGAAATCACGAGACATCTCCCTACAGCTAGCAAGGTAACGATCCGGGTAGAAAGTTGAGGGTATCTTCACATCAAGCGACTTGGACGTGTCGGGGCTATCCAGCCGGATTGTGAATACCTCGGCGATGTGCTCTAGCCACACATCATCTAATTCTTCGCCAAGTTGATCCGCCCAGATGGTGCGATCTAGCGCGTCATAGAGGGTTTGCCCGTGGTCGGGCTCCACACTGACTTCCAAGGTAGAGAAGTCGCTGTGGATTGGAGCTTCGTACTCTAGGTCCGTGGGGGTTTGTTTGTATGCCGTGGACGTAAATACGGCGGCGAGCTGGTTTTCTGGGTCCGCACGGACAGCCGCCTCCTGCCAGGCTTGGAGAGATTTGCCGATGCTGGCCTCGGACTCGTAGGACGGCATGCCCTTCAAACCGGCGAGGGCATCCGGGCTCCCAAAGGCACGGTCCGTCGAGTCCAAGAAAGCCATGAGCCGCTGAACCTCGTAAAGAATATCATCCCATTCCGTGTCACCGTGATGGGCATCATGCATCGTGACGATTTTCGGGAGATTGATGGGTTGTCCGTTCCACCATTGTGGATCATGGCCATACTTGGGAAGGGTTCGACTTCGGAACAGGAGAGCCTCGCGTGCCAGGGGAATTGCGTGGAGAATCGTCAATAGCCCACCGAGGTATAGATTATCCTGGCATGGACGAAGAAAGGCTGGCTCATTATTGACCCTTTTGCGGTCTGCGGGATCCGGACTGATAATGATTTCGCGACTACTGGAATTGAACAAGGTCACTGCCCAAGCCCCTTCATCGTAGTGGTCGCGTGTAGCTTTGCCAAAGTTTGACCGGTTCGTCGAGGTCACCCCGGTTTCTTGTTGACCGATCAAGGACATGGCCACAGCCTGCTGCAGCTCCTGTTCCTCCTGCTCCGCCAGGGTCAGCCCCTTTTGCGGTTGGACGGGCGCTGCCTGCGCGGGAGGCGGATTTGGTTGTGTATACTCGGGAGTTTGTGCTTGGTCCTTCAGGTCCAACGTTGATGGTGGGCGGGTCGGGGCGACTAAGGCGGGGTCAGGAAGAGGATCAGGGTGTTCTATGTGGAAGCCTGAAGGGTGACGGTTAGTATGAGGAACCTGATATAGCCATTGCGACTGAAACAAGAGAGGACGTACTGGGATTCGTTTGGTAGTTGGCGGGCTAGGGACAGTGGAGGGAGAGCATGTCAGTCCGTAGTTCCGCGGGGAGGATCGGGTGAGGTGATGGTTACCTCCGGTTGGGGCCCCGTGGGATCTTCAAAGTATGCATTGATGGCTTTGTTGGAGTCAAGGTTGTTCGCCTGGTAGAACGGTCAGAAGGGGTCTAGAGTGGTGACCGTAGGGACTGCGTCAGTCTGACCTTGAGAAAGGTAATGGCTTGTTCGCGGGAGGTGCTGGTGAAGCTGACGAAGTTGGCGATGGCTTCCTCCGAGGGTTCGGACGTCATATTGGGACATGGAAAGTAAGGATATGGACAAGGGAGAGGAGGCAGGAGGAGTGATCGAGAGAATCCTATGGATGAAGTGACGTAGGGAGCATACTGGCGCTGCTGGAGTTGGAGCTCTTTCGCAGGTTTCCCGATTGGGGATCCCCACAGCCATGTGACTGCAGCGTTGATGCCTGGAATATTAGGCACCAAGAGCTCACGTGAAGGAAGTCCAGAAAAAAGAAGCAAAGAAAACAAGAAAGAAGAAGGAAAGGAAAAAGAAAGACAAGAAGAGGCTCAATAACTCCATATTTGTACCGTCTCCCATAGAATTGGCATTATGTGATCATACTCACCCACGCAGAGGTACATCCTCCAGGGCGGGATCTGGCCCAGACGCCAAGTACCTTTCCCAATGGGGATTGTCCGTCGTCTGCCCCGCTTATGCTTTTCCTCTTCTCTCGCTTTCTCTCCACGACATCTTCTCTTTCTCTCTCCCTCTCTTTTTCTTTCCTCTCCATCCACTCGTATGAGTACGGTCGATCCCCTCCCAATCTCCTAGATGACCCTGTCCCTCGTATGATCGGTGATGCTCCCTCCTGTCCATAGTTCCGCCGAGTTTTAATCTGCCCTCCGTCCGCTTCCATGACTCCTCCATCTTGAGTCTTCCCCTTTTCTCGGATTCTGTGTGGATGGAAGCTGCCTCCTGAATAATTTCTCCCCCTCTAAACCGTAATAGTTGGAACCTTTTACTCGTTCGCGACAAGTCCATCTTATCGCCAATCATCTGTCCAACACGTCACGTTATTGCCGAACCTCCGTGTCCACTACCCAGTTTCCACTCTGGCCCGAAAGCTAGCATGGCCGCCGCCTTCGACGACGAAGACCTCTCCGTCTCCCTCCCCTCCTTCGATCGCAATCGTCGCCGCGACCGAGATTCTGATCGCGATCGCAGATCCGGTGCTCCGCCTCCCTCAAACAACCCTTCTGCTATGGCGATGCCGCCTCCCTCTCGTCCGCCCGGGAAGGGCGATCCGTCCATGCAGTCCCCCGCCACCATGAGGGACATGCAGCGCCTCGATCAGTACCACACCATCAAGATTCTCGGCGAGGGTTCTTTCGGCAAGGTGAAGCTGGCCATTCATCAGCCGAGTGGTCGTCAAGTCGCTTTGAAAATCATCTCGCGCCGGAAACTTCTCTCGCGGGACATGGTTGGCCGTGTGGAACGTGAGATTCAATATCTGCAGCTCCTCCGACATCCTCACATCATCAAACTGTGCGTGACCCTTCACATCATATGTGTGGAAATGAATGTCGGAACTAATGATTGATCGCCCAATAGGTACACTGTAATTGCCACCAAAACGGACATCGTGATGGTTCTGGAATATGCGGAACGGGAGTTGTTCGACTATCTGGTCAAGCGGGGTCGATGCAACGACGCCGAAGCTCGCAAGTTCTTCCAGCAAATTATCTGTGCCGTCGAATACTGTCATCGTCATAAGATCGTCCACCGTGATTTGAAGCCGGAGAATCTCCTCATTGACAGCGAGAAGAACGTCAAGATCGCTGATTTCGGATTAAGCAATATCATGACGGACGGAAACTTCCTCAAGACCAGTTGTGGTAGCCCCAACTACGCGGCGCCGGAAGTCATCTCGGGCAAGCTCTACGCCGGGCCCGAGGTCGATGTCTGGAGTTGTGGTGTTATTCTATACGTCCTACTGGTCGGCCGACTCCCCTTCGACGACGACTACATCCCGGCCCTTTTCAAGAAAATTGCCGCCGGAAACTTCCACATGCCGCCATACATCTCTTCCGGGGCGGCGCGATTAATCCGCTCCATGCTGCAAGTCCATCCCGTCCATCGAATCACCATCCCCGAAATCCGCCAGGACCCCTGGTTTCTCCAAGATCTTCCGAAGTATCTGCAACCTCCTCCGGAGGAGTTTATCGCGACTGGAGTCGACTTGAGCCGGGCGATTGATCCTCGCAAGTTGGCTCCGGGAAAGCCCTTGTCCGCGCAGCATAAGATCAACCAGGTCGCTATTTCCAAGCTGGAACGCAGTATGGGATATGCACGGGAAGACATTGAGGACGCCCTGCGGAATCCGGAACCTAGTGCGATCAAAGATGCATTCTTCATTATTGTCGAGAATGAGATGATGCAAACGAACTGTAAGTCCTGGGCCTTTCACTCGCTGCTGCGCTGTTCCTAACCAATTGAAAAGCCCCAACCGATGAAAACCTGATGGGCCCAGTAACGGCGCCTCCCCCTCCGTCCCGCAGTCCCGCACCGCCTGCAGCAGCTGGTCGGGCCGCCGCTCCTCCTACGCAAGCACCACCCCCGGGTCTTCCAACACGCACCCGCAGTGGCTCACATCGTCCGTCGATGCAACTGGCCGAAGACTCGGATGACATCGAACAGCCGCGGCTCAGTCATGTTCGCATCCTGCCCACGAGTCTACCCTACGTGCACGAACAGTTGATGGAACAGCGGGAGCGGGAGCGCGAACAACGGGCGCGGGCGGCCAATAAATTGATGGAAGACCAGGCGCAAGTGGATGAAGACGGGGAAACCACGCGACAGGACCAAGAGGCGACGGCCAAGGCTCTCAAACCGCATGCTCGAAGCATTGTCGATCTGGAGAAACTCCGATTCGATCCACCGGAGGGCCGGAGCGCACCCCATCAACCGAAGAAGACCCGCAAGTGGCAGTTTGGTATTCGCTCACGGAACCAGCCTTACGAGGCGATGCTCTATCTGTACAAGGCGATTGCTGCGCAGGGTGGCATCTGGGATATTCAGCCGGCTGAATCAGGTATGTTGATAAGAGCCGGGTTGACGACTCGTGCTGACTATTGACAGGTACCGAAATTGGAAGCGACCTGCCTCCTGCGGAGAAGCCCCTTCAAACCAAGTATCCTGATTTACCGTCGGACTACTATGTTCCTAAAGATCCGTGGTTTATCCGGGCGCGACTCCTGAAAGAAGGCGTTCGAGCACCGGGATCGTCCGGCAGTGTGAACAGTAGTCGGAGCGATCTGGAAGAATTCCGGCGTCGCTTCCATCTTAGCGCGGGGCCATCATCGCTGGACGAGAAACAGCCGGGGTTTGCGGAACATGGCGGGACATCCGGACCGTCCTCTGCGTCCCAGCATCCGGCCATCTCGCGGGTGGCGTACGGGGTGTGGGTGTTTGTCGACATCCAACTGTACCAGCTGGAGGCGAACAACTACATGGTGGACTTCAAGTGCGATGGATACCAGAATGTGATCCGGGCGGAGGGCGACAAGGAATGGCACCCGATCAGCAAACGCTACCGCAACAAGGAGAAGGAGGTGACGAGTCCGTATCCGTTCTTGGATGTGGCCTCGGATTTGGTGGCGCAGTTGGCGGTTGCCAGTTGATGAGATGAGATGAGTACATGGCGCAATGGATGGAGCATGAGTGGCGTTTGAATATGGATTTGCATGTCAGGTATCTTGACTGGATATATGCATTTGGTGTTATAGTTAATGGTAATTGGAATATGGACTTTAGAGACAATGGGGATTATCTCCGAGCTCGGAATTCCCACCGGGAGATCCGAGCAAGGGAAGTATAGAGGAGTGCAGTATACAGTCATGAAGGCATCACCATCACACCACTGGCATAGCGCGCTGCATACAGAGAGATTGTACTAGGAAGAGTACAATCTGATCTCCGCAATCTGTAGAACCCTCGATCTACTGTGTACTTTGAAAAATGTCCGGGAAAATCGTTTGCCGCTCTCCACGATTTCCCCACAGCGCGTGGGGATCTCCATCTCCGCATATAAATCTACTACTGCCCCTCCTCCTCATGTCTATAATCCATTCTCCTCGTCCATTATCACGCTATTCATCATGGCTACCAATGAAGCGCCCACGGGCGAATATCGCCAATATCTGCCCGACCTAAGCCTCCCGCGTTTCCAGGTGATGCGCACGCAGAATGCGCATGAATACGCCCACGCCTTCAAGACACTGCGCCGGCCGCCCTGGATACACGCGCTGTATATGCACTGGCTGGAGCTGCTGCAGGAACCCTTCAAGGGCGTCACCACCGATGGTACGTCTTCCCCTGCGTCGCATACCCTTCGGCACTAACAATCCTCCAGGAACTGTCCGGCCCAACCTCTACAAGCTCCAAGACGAAGGCATCCCCATCGAGCATATCGTCTCGACCACCAACGCCCTCCTCGCCCTCCTCGATGACTCCCAGAAATCCGCACTAAGCTACCACATCGACAGCCCTGAATGGCGCACCTGGTCCAACCCGGAGTTCCTCCTCAGCGACAAGGGCCTCCGCCTCGACGAAGTCACCCCCACCGTCCGCGACGCCATCCTCGCCGTCCTGCAGGCCACCCTCTCCCCAGAGGGCTACGACAAAGCCATAAGCGCCATGCGCATCAACCACTTCCTCGGCGAGCTCGTGCACGCCCCGGCCGTCATGAACGAGTTCTCCTACAACTTCGTCCTCTTCGGCCGCCCCTCCACCACCCGCCCCTGGGGCTGGTCCTTCTACGGCCACCACCTGTGCCTCAACATCTTCCTCTACCGCGGGCAAGTCATCGCCGCACCGTGGTTCACCGGCGCCGAGCCCAACGAAATCGACGCCGGCCCCCACGCCGGCACCCGCATCCTGCAGGTCGAAGAGACCCTCGGCCTGCGCCTGATGCAGTCGCTCGCCCCGGACCTGCAGGAGAAAGCCCGCGTCTTCGCGCAAATGCATGACCCCGCCATGCCGCCCGGCCGCTGGAACAAGGACGACCAGCGCCATCTGTGCGGCGCGTACCGCGACAACCGCGAGGTGCCCTACGAGGGCGTCGCCGTGGGAGAGACCTTCTCCGCGCAGCAGAAGGAGTGGCTGTATGCGATCCTCGAGCAGTATTTGCTGTATCTGCCGGCGCGGGCGAGGGAGCTGCGGCTCGCGCAGATCCGCGAGCATGAGGCTGAGACGTATTTCTGCTGGATTGGCGGGTTCGGCGACGACGATCCGTTCTATTTCCGCATTCAGAGTCCCGTCGTGCTGGTCGAGTTTGATCACCACTCCGGCGTGTTTCTGAATAACGAGGAGCCGAAGAAGTTCCACATCCACACGCTGCTGCGCATGCCGAATGGCGGGGACTATGGGTATGCGCTGCGCGGGCAGATCCCGACGGTGGATGGGCCGAATGGGAAGGAGATTGTGTGGGAGCCGGTGTAGGTAGTTATGACGAGCGTATAGCAATGAACACGTTGTACATTTGTTCCTGTCCTTCACATAAATAGAGATAGTAATGAAAATAGAATGCGCATCTACAACCCCAACTTCTCCATGCGCCGCCGCACCCACGGCCCAAACACATACAACGGCAATCCCAGAAACAGCACCGCCCACTGGATGCCCGCAAACTCAAAGAACATCTTGCGCACGCCCTCCATCTCCATCCACGCATACGACCCCTTGGTCAACCCGAACGCAACAACGTTCTTGCTCGCGTTCACCAGGACGAGCGCCTCGCCGCTGGTGTGGGGGTACGCGTCCACCACGTAAGACAGCATGACGGACGGCACGAGCGCCAGCGACGCGGTGGCCATGGCCTGGCCGACGGCGGCGACGGCGTAGTGCATGTGCTGGGAGATGGCCTCGCCGAAGATGATCAGGCCGATGGGGGAGATGACGAAGGGGACGATGAGGGCGGGGATGCGGTGCTCGGGCTTGTGGATGTTGTTGTTGCGGCGGCGCAGGGTGCGCGAGAGCAGGTCGGTGAGCGGGCCGGCGATGGGGAAGGCGACGAGGATGCCGATGAAGCTGCTGAGGCTGAAGAGGCCGAGGGCGGCGGAGGAGAATAGGTAGGGCGGTGGGGAGAGGAGGGTGGGGCCGAGGGCCGACATGGAGACGGTGCTGGGGTTGTTAGCACGTTTCTCCCACATTGTTTGTGTTCTACACGGAGATTGAGGGGGTTGGACATACGCTCCGAGGGCAACGCCGTACATCATCAACGCGAGAAGCACGCCCGGGATGAGGATCATGGGCAGCGGCAGGATGAACACCATAGCAAAGTACTTGAACACGCCGTGCTTGCGTGCGCCCTTGGACAGCCTCAGGGTGAAGAGACTCTGCCAGTAGGTGCTGTAGTCGAATGCCGCACGCACCGGGACCGCCTCGATATGTCCGGTGGGTTCCTTGTCAGACTCGGTGGCTGGCTCCTCTGCGTCATCCGGCTCGTACAGCGTCTCCGGGAGGAAGAAGAAAGTGGTGACCAGGTTGACGGCGGAGAGGATGAGGCAGAGAATGAAGAACCAGCGCCAGCCGCGCGCTTTGATGAGATACCCGGCGATGACGGGGCCGATCTGACTGCCGCCGGCGAGGAAGAAGGCGTAGGTGGCCATGGCGCTGGCGTAGTCCTTCTCGTAGAACATGTCTGGGAGGTCAGATTATTCTGCAGGAGTTGGAAGGAGGTGCATACCAGCGAGAATGCTGGGCCCGATCGACTCAACGGATCCCAAGCCTATACATATCAGCGATGCGACCCAGCGCTTTATACAAGCGGCGGCGACCAACCGAAAGCAGAAAACACGCGAGCCCCCATCAAACTGTTATAGTCCTTTGCCACACACGTCCAGATCTGTCCACCCACGAACATGGCCAGCGAGAGTACCACAGCCGGCCGCTTGCCGATACACAGAGCCAGAGGCATCCAAAACAGATTGCACAGGCCCATCGTCATGACCGTGTAGCTGACGAGATCGGTCAATTTGGCCATCGGGACGTGCAGGTCTGCCCCGAGACTCTCGAAACCGGTAGGGATACCAGACTGATTCGTCAGCCTCGTCCATGCAGAGACGAAACATACGACATACCGCGTACATGTTCCCGATGAAGACGAAGCAGTTGAGTGTCACGAGGCCCGCATAGCGGACCCGACGGGGGAAGAGCTGTGTGTCTCTTAGTATTGGTCATGAAGAGTCACTCGATGATGAGGGTTTACCTTAGGATCAGTCATTATGTATGGCATGATGGCTCGGCCGATCTCGTCCGGAAAGAAGACAGACCCCCTGAGCAGCTGGGGAGGTGGCCTGATATACACCTCGTTTACCCCAGGTCCAACCCCGGATTAGCCAGGCCAGTGGGGATAGATGGGGACAGATGGGGTGCGGGATGTGGCCCTCGGATGTGCCGACACTCGGGACCACCTAAAGCTTATCGAAAGGCTAATTGGATTTAGGCTGGAAGTGGCTTGGCTTGATGGAGGGTATGCCCACAAACAGATATAGACTGCTGTATATATCCGACAAGAGACCATAGGGGCTACTTTCCAGACAAACATACCCTACTGCCCAGATGATGGGTGTACCTATCTACGATGTATACACCACTACACAACCCCACATCAAAACTATCTGGATTATCCATCCAACGATGCCAACGATGCTATGCCCACAGGGATAATCCGAGCCCGGCAATCCCGAGCGTCACAACAACCTCGGGCATGATCGTTATTTAATTTCTATGCCTATGTACTTTCTCTCCAACCTCACCCCCCAAACCACCAAAATGGTACGTCCCTTCCCTCCTCACTCCATCCCAGCTAACCGCGCAGAAATCCGAAGCACACCTAGACATCGTGATCGTCGGCGCCGGCCTCAGCGGCCTCGCAACCGCCATCTCCTGCGCCGCCAGCGGACACAGCGTGCAAGTCATTGAGCAAGCCAAAGAGCTCGCAGAAGTCGGCGCGGGCCTGCAAATCACGCCCAACGCCTCCCGCCTCTTCCGGCATTGGAATCTCCCCGCCTCAGTCTGGGCGTCTGCCGCCGAGCCGACAGCTATGACCGTGCACCGGTACACGGGCGAGGTGCTCGCACACGAGAGCAACTACGACAAGAACATCCGCGCCAAGTACGCCGGCGCACCGTTCATCGACATGCACCGGGTCGACCTACAGCAGGCGCTGTACGCGCGCGCGCGAGAGCTCGGCGTCGCCTTCCATTTCGATGAGCGGGTCGAGCGCATCGACTGCGCGTGCCACCCGGCGACGCTGACCACGCGGGCCGGCCGCGAGTACCGTGGCGATCTGATCGTCGCGGCGGATGGTCTGTGGTCGCGGTGTCGCGAGTGTTTTGTCGGCCGCAAGGACGACCCGCTGCCGACGGGGGATCTGGCGTATCGGATTGTGCTGGACGCGGCGCAGATCGAGGACCCTGAGCTGCGCGGGTGGGTCGAACACCCCGAGTGCCATATTTGGATCGGGCCCGGCGCGCATGCCGTGGCGTATTCACTGCGCGGGGGAAAGATGTTGAATATTGTGTTGCTGGTGCCGGATAATCTGCCGCCGGGCGTGTCGCGGCAGCCCGGGTCGGTGGAGGAGATGCGGGCGCTGTTTGCGGGATGGGATCCGGTGTATGTGCAGTGCAGTGCGGTTCCGGGCTGGACTGGATGGTGGCTGACAATGGCAGGCTGACGCGGTTTCTGAGCTACGTGGACACGGTGGACAAGTGGAAGCTGATGCATCGTATGTTTCTTTCTGCTGGGAGGCGGGAGGCGGGAACCAGGCTAACGATGCAGACGGTGAGATGGAGTCGTGGATCAACGAAGAGTCCAATCTGGTCTTTGTCGGCGACTCGTGCCATCCCATGCTGCCGTATCTGGCGCAGGGGGCCAACTCGTCGCTCGAGGACGGCGCCGTGCTCGGCGGGCTGTTGGGCCACATGCAGGACAAGGCGCAGCTGCCGCAGATTCTGCGTCTGTACGAGGGCCTACGCAAGTCGAGGGGCGAGGCCATCGTGCGTGAGACCTTCAAGCAGGTACGTGGCGATCCTGCAGTTCGAATGGAAAACCTCCAAATACTAACGGCTTAGCGCAACGACTTCCACATGCAGAATGGCCCCGAACAGGAAAGGCGAGACGAGATCTTCCTCTCCCAGCTGGGCAAGGAAATCAAGGGCGCGTTCCCCAGTCGATGGTTCGTATTCACGTCCTCCTCTTCCAGCTGTACCAACTAACGCACGCAGGACCTGCCCCGAGGTGCAACCGTGGCTGTACGGGTACGACGCGGTCCAGGAGGTGGAAAACGCCGTGGCGCAGAATCCTGCCCTGTTCTCGAAGCCGACAGCCAACCTATAGCTATTCCCTGCTTATAGAGACGCATGCATGTGTGTATTGTTTCAGAATGTTTGTACATATATCAGCCCAATGCAACGTTATACGGTACAACCACAGCCATCAGTTGTCCAACATAGGCAATCCGCCTAGGTCGTCGAACAGCCGCGCGATCCCTTCAAAAGAAAATTCAGGGAATCCAAACCCGTAGGCCCACTCCTGCTCATGTCAGATGTCTCATTCACCCCTGTCCCACCGGAGCACTTACCGGCACGTCAAACCCCCCGAGACTGGGGGCCGTCTCCGAGACATACGCTGCAGCGTTCCCCTCGGTACTGTCGCCTCCCACGGCTGTCTGCGCCTCCGAGGCCTGGAATTCGTTCAGGTAGTGCTTGATGATCTCGACCGACTTGCGTGCCACGACGGACTCGTCCATTGCCTCCAGGATCTCCACCGCCATTTCGACTGAACGCCGCAGCGGGAGTGTGTCGGGGCATATGCCGAGCTTGGACATGGGTAGGAGCAGCGTCGACGTCGCAAACATGATGTAGGTCGTGTTGTACCACCTACTTACGTTAGCACTGGCGATGCCAGGACTGACAACACATACCAGCATCGGAAAAACGTATGGACGCGGTAGATGTCGTAAATGACCTCGATCGTCCTCATCGCAGCATCGAGACATTTTGCAATCGTCTCTTCCAGCTCACTCGGCGTATGGCGTAGTTTTCGGGTGAAGTGGCCGAGGAACGGGCGGAATAGAAGCATCTTCACATTGTAGTAGCCTGCGCAAGACGAAGTTAGACCAACGCACGCAGTAGTTTTCACGGATACGTACGAATGGCAAGGACCAGCTTCTGTCGTCTGGCCCATTTCGGATCTCGTAGCGCCCTGGGAGAAACATCATGTCGGATGATGTCTGGTTTTATCCTGTCTGGGAGTTTGAGCATCCATTGGTCCAGCTCTGCCTCGACCTGAAGTGCAACTTGAAGCTTTTCCTGTAATGTAATCTGTGAATGGTATATTTGTACTGACACCTTACGGGTCATTTGAGCGAAGTCGACCATCCACGGGATAATGGCGTATTCGGAGTCGTCCCGCTCGGGAAGTGGACGGTTGTGATACTCGTCCATGCCTAGAGTGTCGGGACGGCCCACCGAGAAGCTCATTTCACTTGTGTCGTCAGCAACAACGCAGTACGAATGGAGGCAAACATACATTTCGAGAGAGAATAGTCCCCTACGCAGTCAGTCCATTGGGCCCAAAGGGAAGTGAGGCCGTCGACTCACCACCATGTCTTTGAAATCCATCCCGACCGACTATCGGTACAGTTGCGGACATCCCGGTTGAAGCCCGCCGCGAGACAAGTGCGCACCGCGAGACCAAGGTACATATACGCCACTGCGGAGTAAATAGTCAGCCTAGATCCAGTAACAAGTTAGGGCCACTTACAGTTCGGATTGAGCTCGTTCTGGCATATTTTGGCCTAAACCAGTCAGCAAACCCCTCAGCGGGACCGCCACACTCACCATTAGATACAAGCACTGGACCGTGTCCAGGTTATTCGAGAACTGCAGGTAGTTCAGATACAACTGCGCCTCGGAAAACAGCTTCCGACTCCACTCGAACCTCCCGAGGCCCCCAATAGTCGCCTCGTCCCACACGCGAACCAGCGCGCCAAACGAGAGCACGCTGAGATACAGTGCAACAAAGCTCGGGTCCGGTTGACAGTCCCGCGCGAACCACAGCTCATGCGCGCGCAGATAAAAGTCCTCTTTATCGATTAACGGGTGAACGAAGTGGATATTCTCGAAATATCCATTCATGAACGTGTGCGCCTGTTCAAAGTAGTAGTTGTTTTCCTGCAGCGGCACCGGCCGCACGGGCGCCGTCGTGCACGACGGCGAAAAGCTCGAGTTATGCAGCGTCGAGATCAACGAGTACCGCGGCTCGTTGGGATGGGAGAGCCAATCCTCAGGTTTGCGCTGCTCGCGCGCCTTCTGGAGATGGCCGAGCAGCGCTGCAGATGACGTGCTCCCGTGGAACTCGATGCCGTTAGTATGCTGGTTCAGCTCGCTGATTTCCTCCTGAACGATCTCGCCCGCGTCGTCGGGGGCGTCGTACGGCAGTGAGATCTCGTCGCGGGGTGTTGAGCTATCCTGTGGCATGGATAACGGTGTCGCATCGATGCCGGGCCGTGCGACAGGCCCCTCGGGCTGAGAAGCTGCGGCCTGCGCGCTGGGAGACTGTCTGGCTGCGATCTCGGACTCCGCAATCCGCAGTTTAGTCGTGAGGTCGTTGACCTTTTTCTCCAGGTCGAGGATGTAGCTGTGCGATTGTAAGTGGAACATTGAATCGCACGCGGTCAAGATCATGGGTGCGCATACCTCGCGGATCGGTTACTCTCCTGCGCGCGATAGTTCCCTTGATAGACGCAGTCGATTCCACTTTCTGCGCACGTAAGCTTCCGTAACATGCAATACACCTCCAGCAACTCACTCTTGCAATGCGCACATGGATATGACTCGTCGCACTTGTACTTCTTCCGTCTACAGCGGTCACAGGCGCGCGCTGCCCGCGGTCGTTTCGCGCGCGGTGGAGTCGCGTCATCCGCTGCGGGACGTGCAGATGCGGGTGGATGCGTCCGACGCTGCATCATTCTTTTATATACGTCAATCGCAAGACATGGGGTGGATGGTGGTTAACATCAATGTAATTGATAGAAGACAATGCATCAAGTACCCAAGTACCCAAGTCGGGAATTCCGAGCAATTGCTGGTCACATGACCGACCCCGCGTGGCGCCGGCTCACCCCGTGGGGATTTTATTTATTTGCCTTTGTTTAGATTAAGTGTGGGTTTCGGCATGCGTCCGGGACATGGCATTACGTATGTACATACCTTACTCACATACAGCATTCGTCTATGTACATACTCAAACCATCACTGTTCAATCGTGACGTCCAGCTCCGCCGCCACCACCCCAACTCTTGTAGAATCCCACTCCAGTTCCTTGTCCGGCAACACCACGCCCTCAAACGGCGTGCCAAGCCGATGCACCAGCGTCTCGATGCCATCGCCATCTGTAAACGACCAGACCCGCACATACTTACTGCCAAAGTCAAGCGCAAACGCCTGTCCCGCCGGAATGACCACCGTCTCGCCCTCGCGGAAGACGCTCTCCGACTGCCCCTTCAACCTTACAACCAACGTCCCCTCCAGCACGCACAGACAATGATCCACACTCTGGAACGTCATATACTTCGACAACAACGACGCACCATACTCATTTGAGGACTCAATGCTGGAGATGGCGCACACGCCCGCGCTCTGCGTGGTGGTAACGAACGGGCGCGACATGACGCCGCCCAGCATCCAACGCGGGCCGGTATTCGCCCTCAGAAAGAACGGCTGCGACGACTCCGGGAGCGTCTCATCGTCGGCGGTCCACTCGCCCACCTCCGGGGGCTGGTAGTCCGGCTGGAAGACGACGTCGAACTGGCCCTTGGCGGCCATGACCTTCGGAATCAGCAGCGCCTTCAGGTCGCGGTTGTCGTCCTCCGGGACGATGAGGCCCTCGTAGGGCTCGGCGACGTAGCGGAAGAAATCGATCCAGTCGCCGGGGGTGACCACGCCGTAGGTCTCCGTGTGGGGGCCTAGCATTTCGGGGTTGTGGATGACTTTCTACAGCCCATACGTCAGTGTCGGCTGTGGGTGCCATAGGTAAGTGGTTTATAAGGAAGAGAAGTGTACCGGAGGAATGTAGGCAAAATCACCCGGTCCCATGATGCGACATTTGTCCCCGTTCCAGAGCTTTAGATAGCCCTTTGTTACGAGGAAGACATCATGCGCCTGGTTGTGGTAGTGGAATCCGGGCGCGTCAGATAGCGTTGCGCCGCTCTGGAAGACGGCCATCAGGCCATTCGTCTGTTTTGAGGATGCCAGAATGCGAAACACGCCCTTGCTCCCTGGGATCGTGAGGCGCTCGCCTTCTAGCTGCGGGATTGCATATGGGACCCTCGATGGAGGGGGCTGTTTGTTCCACAAGGCCATTGCGGTGGTGTGAGGGGAAGCAAGATTGCAGTAAAGTGCTCAGAGTGAATGTACAGATCGGCGCCGACATGCGACAGACGACAGCTTTATATAGCATGCAATGTGTAGATCCGCTGCAGTTGTCGTAAGTCGGTACTCCAAGTGGGGAGATCTCCCGATCCCGGAATTGCCATCATCGGGATATCCGACCTGGCCGTCATGGACGCATATTACACCCCATTCCTATTACTACTAAGCACTTGGTAGTCGTGCCATCTGGAGCTCTGCGTCACTTGGACTAAATGATGTAGTCTCTCGGTTGATGAAAATTTCCCGTCTTGTCACAGATATATATATTGGTACCTGACAGGAGCATCCCGCACATAGACATGCTGTGAAATCTCAGGAAGAACCAACAGGACAGCGGACCACAATGAGCCAAACAAGAATGTAAAGGAAGTAGAAAGAACGAGAGAAACATGCCCAATATATACGTCTCTGCCGTCTTCACCAAGAAGCACAATGTAGACACCTATCCCGCTGCCAGAGCCAGATAATAGCAGAACACACGCCCATACACCGAGGACCCAAAACAGCTTCACCCACACGGCTCACAGCCCACGCGGTGTATTCGTGCCAATCCTCCCACCGCTTGAGCCGTCACTGTTCCCGAACCGCTTCCACGGCGGCGAGAGGGGAGTCTGCCTCGGGTCATTTCGAGAAGACACTGAGGTGGATGAGCTTCTGCTTAGGGATGCCGGCGAGGCGGGGGCCGACGAGTCAGGGGTGGAAGACTGGAAGGCAACAGCACTCCTGGCAGCAGTTGCCGCGGCCGCTGGATTGCAGTGGGCACAGGTGAAGATGTTGAAGCCTCGGCCGCTGCAGCTGGGACAAATGGCACCTCTGCAGTCGTCAGTCAATGCACTCGGGAGTAAGGGGACTCGCAGTGCACGAATACCTTGGGGCGTTGCCGGCACAGCTCCGGCATGTCAAGACGGTTCGACCACCGATGCACGAGGTATGCGACGGGTCAAGATCGATCGAAGGTACAGCGTGATGGGCCATAGTTCACGATGAGTACGGAGTATCTCGAGAGATGAGTAGGCTGGATAGTTTGAGGATTTGCCAGTGTCCAGGTGTGATTGATAGACCAAACTAGAGGATGTATCAGCCTTAAATAGAGTCCACTCCGGGATCACTGCGTGGCTGAACGCATCCATGCTTAACAACCTTCGGCTCGGTACGAATATCCCAAACGAGAGAGTAACGGGGGAAATACGATGGGAGAAAAAGCAAAAGTTTAATCCATCTGCAGCTAAACCGGGCCGGCCCCTGCAACGCTGAAATGAGCACTTTCGCCATCGATAGAACAGTAAGACTTGGATGGCAGCGATTGTGCGACCACGCCCCAGGCGAAGGACGTCGGTCCGAACGCATGATGCGCATGCCGGACCATGATTGAAGGCCCATTCTGGACAGTATAGGGCAGACGATCAGCAGGACAGCGCGGTGCTAGTGGTGATTGGGGAATATTCACGGACAGTGATATTGGATACTCGATCCTGAGCAGCCACTCCAATCAAATCGCAATGCGCATCTTCCGGCCGGTAATAATAGACAGCCGACTGCATTCCCAGCTCCCGCATGCAGTATTCGATGAGTTGGTCCATCTGCTCGCTAGTCGTGCCGGACTGCCAGGAACCTTGGCGCCTCTTTGATCCATTGAGCTGGGTCGACGTCGTGGTGGCTATTTCGGATATTGTAAACCGGACCAGGTGCCTAGACTAGATAGTAGCTTCACCCATAACACAACAGAAAGCATGTCGGCACTGGGGAGAGATAATAATGGGATCTGTTAATCGCATGGCCGGATTTCCCAAGTTAGAAAAAGCAAGCTATTGCAACGACCAAGGTAGGATCGGCCGTGACAGGGACGGCACCGCAGGTGAGATCATCTATAGGACGGAAAATTAAATAGTAAGCATGGCAGCCACTCCAGGGTCGTGCTACTTGATTCACAAACTATGGGTAGGATCAGCGCGTCTACTCGATTTCTGACCGCCGAAAGAACCCAACGATGGGAGGTCTTCAACTGCACCTAATCACGGGTAGGTGCAGGGCAACGTGTGAGCATGATCTCATTCTCGGGTTGCATATTATCTCTCACACGCAAAGCGAGGTGGACGTGCATGGCCCGAGATCGGACTTGCCAGGAACCATGTTACCAAAGGCGAGCTAAGCGACATCGGCATGAACTTGAATGGCATTGAGGATTTTATCATGCACGAGATGGGGAGTCGTCAACTGCGCATGCAATGAATTTTAAGCTATTGAAATCAATGCGTGCCGGCCGATTAACGAATGGCGAGCTCCCAATCCCTCTCTCATCAACCCACCGAGAAGCCCAAGATAGAATCGGTGACGCCGCAAGAGTCTTGCCAGCATGTGGTAGCGGAAGGATGACGCTACTGCAGTTGTTGCGGTAGCGCCTGGGCCTAGACTGAAACAGGAAGGATATAGGTCGCATACTCGTTTTCGCCCACATACTATTCTAGGCGACTCCTTGCCGCTCGTCGACTGGTCCGCCCGCCGGGAACATGGACTAGGGTCGCGAATAATCCATAGAGCGGCATGTGGTGACTTGACGGCTGAAGGTCTCGTGGTGGCTCCCGACAATGTCACGGCGATGTTACCAAATCTGAGAGCTCATGTTCCATGATGCACGTACCCGTTCATTAAGACGCCACCGATGGACCGACGTGCACTGATTGATCCACGCTAGGCCAAGGATCTCATATCAGCGATGCCGATCTGTAAATGGCGAACTCGCTTTGCCGGGGCCAACAACGCTTCGATCGAAATGCGATACGGATTGGAGAAATTAGCGAACTGGTCACATGTTCTCGAATGCCTCCTAATCCATCTGAAACAGAACCATCAAGGACGTTGTTTGTTCTTAATTTGACTGTGTGATGCGTTTTGAGTGACCGGGCGTTGGGCAGACAGATATCGCAGGGGCTTGGCGTCTCATGCTGACGCGTTGAGCTATTTTATTAGACCTCTCATATAGGGCGAATTGAGTTTGATGAAGCGTTAGCGACGCCCTGGGAGGTTCGAGCCGGTAGCGTAGCCGACTTAAGGACCAGGAGTCTCATAGCAAGGTATGAAACGACCGGAGCTGTGGCGTACTGACTAGCCACCAATCGAGTACGCAACCTGCAGGTAGCCGTCTGACATCACGCGCTAGGGCAAGTTGGGATCTTGACTAGCATGAGCCATCGGCGTCATTGTGGTCAGGTAGGGCTAATCGAGTCTGCCGGGATCAAGCCATAACGGTCGTGAGACTGAGGCTGAACCCCTCGTGAACGACGGACAACTGGCGGGAGAGCTAGCCGTCTAGGCAAGGATGACCAGGAAATGACCGCAATGGTCTGACAGGGGCGCAATAGCAAGAGGAAAAGCCGTCCAGCGTCGGTCAGGATCCTGGAGCAAAGCGTTGCACAAAGAAACGACGTACGGCACTGCCCTGGCAAGGAATCAGCCGATCAGCTGACTTTGTCCGTGCCCCGTGACCGAAGCACCCGGATGAGATCTGACGCATCCCAGGAACAACAGCCGAATCAGGTACCAGTCTAATCCCTCGGGCGGTGTTATGCCCGAAGGCCGCATCGAGGGAAGCGGTGAATCCCCAGAGGGTTGAGCAACCAAAGTAAGAAATCGTGTATTCCCTGCCTAAAATCCAAATACATCATGAAACCCTTGCCTTGCCGAGCAAGATGGGGATACACTTCATATCTCCAACCATTAAGCGATTCCGAAAACAACAGGGCCTAAAGATAGGGTAAAGAGAGGGGAGACTGGACGGCCTTTCTGGGAGGAAAGGATCGGAGACGTCACCAATATCATAAGAACTTATGGGTATGTTGACCAGCAGAAAACAGAAAGAAACAGAACCAAGCAAGGCATGAACATGGGTCCAGATGATCGCAAAGTCACACTGTAGTCTTCCATCACAGGAAATAGTCTGGGGGGAGCGAAGCCAATAAAGCAATAGTACCCATTGCCCCGACTACGGCACCCACAACTGCACCGGTAGCATGAGCCCTCAGAGTGGATGGCCCCGATGTCTTGAGTCGCTTCGCGGGCCGCTCATTCATCTCCTCCGCAGGCTGCTCATTCTCCTTGGCCTGAGAGACTGGAGACAGATCACCGAATGGTGAGCCAGATCTGATTAGGCTTTCCACCGTGGGCTGTGGTTGCGCATCGGGGAGACATGTCTCTTCGTGGTCGTCGCCTGCTGCTTGGCTCTGCATAGCGAGAGACTCGCCAGAGAGCATTCCGTTTGAAGGGTGAGAGAAGCCATCCATGAGTGGAAGCGTACGCCTAGAATCCTCTATGTCCTCGACCTTCCTCTTCAATGAGACCTTCTGGATGGAATCGTGCTGGCCAAGAATATTTGCCGATGCTCTGAATTGATTATTGGAACGCGGAGGCCACTGAACTTGCTCGGCCTGGAGAGTCAGCTTGTCAGCCTCAGCAGGTCCGTCTCCGGAAGGTTTCTCATTGCTGCACGTGAGGGCATTCGGGGGTACAAATCTAGGTACCTGCATAGCACAAAATGGGCCATCAGTGTAAGGAGGACGTGCGCCGCCACATTTAGACACCAGAGGTGCCAACGGGGCGTGTCGATCATTTAGAGTAGATGGAGAAGACCATCCATTTAGCCCGGGCGTGAAGGGACCGTGAGGGAACGTATCATAGGAGAGTTTAAGTAAGTCCGAGGGCGAGGGCAGAGGTCCGGAAGCAGTGTGCATAGTTGTTGTGGTCGTGGGAAGAACTGAACCAGGGAATTCAAATGAAGGACGAGAAGTCTCTATGTGTGCACTCTCAATGTATTGAGGGTCGGGTTCAGGACCGGAACTCACGGAGCTCGATTCCTCAGAATAGCATACAGATTGGTCATCTGAGACATCGTCGGATTCCTCATCGTGATCAGCTTCCCAGTCGTTCGGGTCCTTGGAAGACCGCTCTTCGCTTGGGGGTTGAGGGGCCGCAGGCGCATCGGTCTCGTGGGTTGTATTGTCGACCACTTCTGTCTCGTCGTGGGATGCAACGCAGGAAGTAGGCGTAGGGGTCATTCTTGGGGTGGCTAGCGGCTGGCGCTCTTGTTCCTCTTCTTCGTGTTCACTATCAACCTCAATCGGGCTTTGTTGGGTCCCAGTGAGCTCATGTTGGTCACACTTCGGTGGGGAGGTGAAAGGAGATGGGATTTCCACAACTGACATGTCCTCTGAGTCGGAGTCGGAGCCTGAATTCGAGTGATCCGAATAGGAGTTGTCCTCAAAAGTGGGACCGTTTAGGATTTGGACTTCTTCGTCGTCCTCGGCGTCGGGAACACAGAAGGTATTGGTAGGCTGTAGTGGTTCGATATCGGTTCTTTGGAACGATTTATCGCTAGATTGCATGTTAGAGAGTGTACGCCCGGCTCCAGCTGATGGTGATATGCCAAACCTGGATTCTATCCAGTCATACTCGCACCTAACCTCCAGAGGAGGGAATGTATCTATTTGGTAATTCTGGTCAGTGAATGTATATACCTTTGTGCGAAGCCGGGGTGACGTACCCCGCCCGCGAACAACCTCAACTCCAAAGGCGATGATGGCGCCGTTTGGGATGATGACCTTCTCATCGACGGGCAGTTTAGATCCGTCCATCCAGGTGCCGTGCATGGAGTCGTTATCACGAATATAGATCAGCTGGATGGCAACAAGCGTCAGTTTGATTTGCCAGTTATGGTAAGGGGATCACTTTCATACTTTACGGTCCATGGCAGCCCACATCTTTGCATGGTTACGTGACATAACCCGGGAATCAAAGAGAGCATTGTTGGGTTGAGGGAGCAGGTTCTTGGATTCGCGCTTGGAGGCACGGCCGATTTCGACATAGTCGGCATCCGAGCGGAAAGTCAGGGTGCGAGGTGTGGTAGGGTTGGCTGGGCCCACGGGGCACAGGGTGACGACGGCTGTATTGGCAGGGAGTTAGTGATCTTATCATTGTACGGATGGCGGTTGCATGGTAACGACGGACCTTTCTTCCCAGGCATCTTGACAGTTTCACTAGAAGATGCGGGGCCAGATTCAATATGGAGAAGAGCTGCTGAAGTCAGTAAAATGTATGATTTGATGATCCATATGAGGAGGAAAGATGACAACGGAATGGGAGCTAGGTAGAGAAGGTAGAGACTAAAACTCACCGCCAGCGAGCCTCAGGGAGACTGACTGACGGAAAGGAGTCTCCGAGGGTTAATGAGTGAAACGCTGGTGTGTTTGTTGCGGAAAAGGGAGGGGGAAGGAAGTGATGTCAAGGCAAGTGGGAGAGGAAGGTCGTAGGCAGGAGGAGGGGAAGCGTCAGATCCAGGCACGGACCGGGTAGAGAGATATATACCTTACGGTGGCCTGAGGCGCCCAGGCGGTGGGTATTGTGGAACTAACGAGACTACCTGTCACAGTAGGATCCAAACACCGATGTCTAGGCTAACAGCATCGACTTGAGGAAGGAGAGATGCGAGAGGGGAGACAGTAGTTGAAGGAGATGATGCGGTTCCTGGAGAGGAGTACTGATAGCAGACCAAGTGGGGTAGTCCACGATAAGGCCAGCGGGGGAGGTGATGACGATAGCTCTCCGGTAGGTCTAGGAGAGAGACGTCTTCTTGAAGTGACCGTAGCTGGCGATAGTTGAGAAGAGGAAAAGTGAAAGCACGAGATGGGTAGGGCAAAGAAGGCGACGAGAGAGGAAAAGACAGAGAGAGATGATGGAGGAGGTGGTGATGATGACGCCGATCGGGCTGATAGGCGGAACTCTCCCACCACATCAGGTGGTCATGCTGACTCACCCCCCAGTACCAACACACGAACTATAAGACGGCTTTATAAGGCTCATAAGTCCCTAGTAATAAGTCCAATGTCATGACTCGCGGAGGAAGGCAGCATAGATGCAGAAATAATCGATACATAGATAATTGGATCGATAAGGTTACCCCCATAACACTGGGCTATAGTACCTACCAAGGTAATCATCCCAGGCATCATATACTCCTCGCACTTCCACCCTGGATTCATCCGAGAGATAACTAACACCCTCCGTGGATTTCTGTTGGGTTTCCTGAAGAACACTATACTCCGTAACTACTCCGTACTCGGTAGAGGAGACGATCATAGCCGGAAATTAGCATGTGGGTCGGCATTTGACGGGCCCAGACTAGCTAACGGACTTTGTCCAGACGACAACCCCTTTCTTTCAAGATCTCATATATCCGGGCATTCTTCCTCTCAATACCACCCGGCTTCATTCTAAGCACCAGAATCATGCTCTTCGCCATTGCGTCCCTCCTTACCACCGCGCTGGCCGCCCAGGGCGCCCTGGCCGCATCCACTACGTCAACCCTCGGCACGCAACACTGCCATTCCGCCGACCAGTACGGAAAATACAAGGACGTCAAGGCCAGAGTGCAGCAGTTTGGCGCGTCCATGGCGTGCTATAAGAAGGGTGGCATCATCTCCTCGGGAGACTCACCCATCTCTTGGTACGTGACCGGTGCCAACGACAAGCCCGGATACAACTACGGAATCTCCTGGATCGATGGCTGCGAGGGAGAGCCTCAAAACTCCAGCACGCCCGTTGATGGAGCCACCTGCGAAGACCTCCTCATTGGAAACTGGAAGAATTGTAAGTCGAGTGTGATGATCTTAGTGTCGGGATACTGACGATCGGCACAGGCAATAATAACGGTGCTGGGGGATGGATCGACGCTGGGTGCGTGAGATATACGTTCTATCCGTCTGTATGAGGTGTATCCGGATACACTGATGTTATATACTGTATATATATTGACACCTGCATCGTGCCTTGTTGACTTGGACTTTCCAGCTTTTTCTGGTTGTATTATGCGAGCGCCCACGGGTATGGTGGAAAGAAACCCAGTATGACTGAGGTAAGTCTAGACACGCTGCGGGAATATGGTGGCCCATATGCATAGGTGTCTGTTCTTACCGCTGGGCGCGAACAGTTCCGCGCCGCGTAACCCGAGGTCGTAGAAAGTCAAGTGGCAAGAGAAAGCGAGAATAAGCACTTTTTTTTTACTCAATGCGGGAGGATTTCCCGAACGTTAAGGTCTGTGCTGGTAATGGGGTGATAATTCCGACATAAGGTAGAGCCTAAGGGGACCTATGCACCTACCCCTACCTACGTAGGCAATCATGGGTGGCTGCTGCATAAATAGCCCTACTTGCCTCCGCCAGAGAACCACCCACCCAGTCGAAAAACCACACTACCTACTGCCTACCTAGTACCCACCAGTAAGAGCCTTGTCACTTTTTGGTGCTGTACTGGTCTCTTTGGTTCAACTTTCCATCATGCCTGACCGATCGCCCAAGAGGCAAAAAGAAGTCCCGCGCTTCCAGAAAACCTGGAACGAACTTGAAGGTGAAGTGAGGAGGAAGATGATCGAGGTGAGTGCTGACATCCCCATGCCAGTCTGTCAAGGCACGTCGATATCTCTGATTGACACAATCCCCGTCCCGCAAAACGCCCCCTCACTGGAGTCTCACTGACATCATTACAGCAATGCAAGCTCGATGCATGTTTGGATGCGTTCCTGGTGGACTTCTATAAACTCTTCGAGAACCCGAGCAGGTTATTCCCCGACCTCGCCTCAGTCCCTGTCGAGAGTGACGCAAGAAAGCAAGATCTCATAAGCGAATTAGAAGAGAACATCAACCGGCTACTTCCCGGCTATCTTGATGCTGACACTGACCTCCTTATGAACAAGGGGCTGATGGAGGCCCTAAAGAATAGATGGGGTACAATGTACAGGAGGGCAATCTATCGCCAAGGTCGCAGCTTTGACCAGAGCCATAGCTTTGACCAAACTGATAGCGAGCAGGCGAAGACGCATAATAAATCTGAGGATGGATTTGTGCGACGCATGAAGCAGATGTCTATCAAACTGCGGTCCTTCCTACTTGCGGAGCCTATTGAAGCCGCGCCAAAGGATCCAATGCCGTCTTTGAGAGATACCGCCCGCAAAGAATTTTACCGTCAGTTCGAGGAGGCGATTAAGGACCAAGAATCGTCCTCTTCCTTCGTCTGCGGCGGCAGTATACCAATTGAGAAAATCCCTCTATCAAGTGTGCGCATTCGGTGGTCAACTTCTTATGACTCCACAGACCGGAAGTTGGTCTTACCTCTCAACAAGAACACAGTCGATTCCAACAGGGATGCCCTTGATCAACTAGTAAAAGACTGTACCCCTGCCTCGTTTGGAAGAGGACAAGAAGACGTTGTCGACCCTGAATACCGGAAAGCAGGGAAGCTGGACCCCTCCCAGTTTGATACCAGTTTCCACCCCGCCGACTACAAAATTATCAGACATGTTGAGCGAATCCTCCTTCCCAGCATCAAGTCACACAAAAAGAAGAAGAACAGTGTGGAGTTTCGCGAAATCAGAGCCGAGCTGTATAAGCTGAACATATACTCAGGGCCCTCGGGCCTCTTTCGGAGACACGTCGACACTCCCCGGGCTCGCGATCAGATTGGCTCCCTGGTAGTCTGCTTGCCGTCAGCCTTTCAAGGGGGTGATCTGATGGTCCGGCATGGTGGAAAGCAGGTCAACTTCGAATGGAGCGACAGGAGTGCTTCTGCCATCCAATGGGCGGCGTTCTACAGCGATTGCGAACATGAGATCAAAACGGTCACAGAAGGCGAGCGAATTACATTGACATATAATCTCTACGTGATCGAGAATGGAGGGGCATCGATTCCTCCTAGCAACGTTCTCGATCCCCAAAAGTTTTCGCTTTATACCTTCCTAGAAGGAGGTCTCAGACAGCCCGATTACATGACGCAAGGTACTTATTCGCAATGGCTGTGACCTGCCTCCCTGATACTCACTACTATTTAGGTGGCATCCTTGGAATCTATTGTTCTCACGCATACCCCCATACATCACCCGTCGCCCGGGAGTTGTTACCCAGTATTCTGAAGGGATCTGACCTTATGATATATTCCATTTTTCAGTCATTTGGAATCGAATGTGTCATACTTCCAGTTCTCAAAAATAAGCACTACAGCTGGGATGAAAATGACGCATTCTACGACCAAAAGGAGTACCTTCAAAAGGGGGGCGATCTTGAGGTCTATTATGAGGAAGTTCAAGAAACAGCGGATGAAAAGGATGAGGACCTGAAAAAGGCTGACGACCGGTGGAGAACGCTTTTTTTATCTCGTCGGCCCAGAGGCCTGGCTCAGACAAGAGCCTATGCTCTGAAGAACGGTCTAGAAGTTCCCGGAGGTGCTGATATGGCAAGTGAAAGAATCGGTGCGAGACTTCACAAGTACAAAACAACGGACAGAGGTCAAGAAGAAGATATGGACGAGGTGAGCGGATCCCATCTAATATCCCCCTGTTGATCATCGTCCCTGCATTATTGTACGTTTTTGATGGGCTTAACGTTTGTCGGACCACCGTCCCTAAAAATGACCTACCTTGGTCTTTTTAGTAGTCCGTCAGGTTATGCGCCCGGGAGGTGATTTGATTTGCTTGGTGTCAGCTACAATTGCCCGTACCTTTCCCTTCATGGTGCATACACCCGTCTATGGCTATAAAGTCGAGCCCTGTACGCAGAAGGGACCGCAGTAGTCTGACTACTTCATTGTTTAACCGGCTAGACCCTCGATGATCATAACCCGGCTGCTGACCAGAGACTGCCTACAGGTAGTCAATGCCACATGGCCCAGTGTGAGTATTCAAGGTATTACTTGGATCAACGAACCAGCACACAAGGAGATGGCCTTCAGCTATATCGCGTACGGAAACGAGGCCTCTATTGGGACCATGTATTCATACGCCGCTATTCTGGCTATTGTTCCGCCGTTCGATGAGCGGAAACGGGTCATGGACTCATAGAGTGCCTGGTTATCAGAGGGGGCCGGGCAAAGACACCTCGGTGCGCACGGTGTAGTATGAAGGCTTTTCTTGGGTCGACAGACTCCCAAGGAGTCCACCCGCCAATTGGTGGAGAAAGGGAGTAGGGAGTATGGCTTTTGTTGTATGCCTGGTAGGAGAGTTGACCACAAGACGCCCTGGCGAATCGTGGTGGATTGAGTACTGCCTCTATCAGAGGTTTCGGTGGGAAATTGACTAAGGAGTATGATACAGTCTGCAGCTTAATTTGTTTAATGGAGAGTTTCTATTGTTTCCTGTGTTCTTTATGAGATAAGTTATGAGTGGCCAGTATGCGATTTCATTATCGAGATCATAACCATAGAGATATCTCTAAGATTAAGGTTGCAAGATGCAATTGACTTTCAATAATCTCTCAAACTATGGACCTATATATTCGCCTATTGTACATCATAGCACAATCTATGACAGTGCACGAAAGCGTCACGAACTACAATGTACAAACAAGAGGCTCCGCGACATTTCCTGTCAAGAGGAGTGATCCAGGACGACTGTTGGGTTGATTGTGAGCGAGGTTCTGTAGGTCTCTCTACATATCAATGCAGACAGGCAAGCGCCAGGCCTGAAGAGGCAACTCAGGAGCCTGGGGCTGAGCCTGGGGCTCCAACATTCCCTCTACTAGGCAGGCCATATGCGACAGATCCCATCATCGTCCCAATCCTCGCTCCCCACACCTTTTCGCACGATGAAAAGACCATCAGGGTCGCTGTGCTGTTTGACTGCATAGAGTCTTTCATAGTTGTGGCCCCAGAAGGATTTCTGGAAGTTCGGTTCGTTTGCGTCCGCCTCGTTCATATATGCGCCCATTCTGCCTTGCTCGAGGTCGTTGAGGATCGGTAACTCGTGATTAGTGATAGACATAGATAGTTCCGCTTGCTCTTTGGCAGTGGTAGATGTGTTCCAGCGGCGGACAAAAAGCAGATGGACTAGCGCATCTCTCCATCCTGGGTTCAACCCACTCACAATGTGCTTGTTTCTCGCAACCTGCCCACCCGCCATGATAATACCTTGGGTATAGTCACCCGGATGGGACCGGAGCTTGGATATTGCTTTCGTGACTTTGGCAGGACCGTCCTCCTCCAGGAAGAAATCTCGAGATACGAGGCGCGATCCAAGCTGAACAAGCTTACCGGTTGTGTCATTTCCTGTGAAGTAAGCTGACTGCCAGCTCGACAAAGATGAAAACGCGGACACTTCGAAAGACGGAACGGTGCCAGTCGCCGTCTGTATGTCGGCCAGGATGTGCGAAAATAACCGCTTGGTCGCGGCTATATCCGTCTGATTGACAAACATCATATCAAGCTTGCATACCGACTCATATTGGCCTGTCGACATTTCACTCCGCGGTGTAACGTAGTAGAAGCCGGTGCCCCCGACGTCATTGAGCCCCAACACATGGCGGTGCATGGCTTCCACTCCGTCCCAAAATCGGCCGTCCCCTACCGGCCGAGTATAATTGAGACGTGCCATTGTTACCGGATAATCAGGATGCGCTCTGGTTGTAACACTAACCACGACGCCAAACGTCCCGCCACCGCCCCCGCGCAGCGCGAAGAAAAGATCTGTGTTTTGATACGCATTCGCATAGACCAGACTCCCCTTTCAACTCGTTAGCAATGCATATCAGAGCTCAGCTCGAAGTCAGTGGGAAACCTACGTCCGCCAGAACAACCTGGAACTCGAGAACATTGTCACTCGCCATGCCATGCAACCATCCGAGAAGAGAGTGGCCTCCGCCCTGGACATAGCCCCCGGCGAACCCAACTGTATTCGCAGACCCTGCGACAATCATAAGGTTGCGGGCGCCCAGGTACTTGTACATCTCGTGCAATTGCACACCGGGCGCAATAGTAACAGCCTTGACGCCCCGTGGCGACGTCACTCCGTCCGGTACGGTTGGCGTGAAGTTAGGAGCCACTGTGATGTTTTTCATGTTATGGGTGAACAGCTGGAGCGAGTTCGGGGCACTTGAACGACCGAGGAAATCATGTCCTGTGTTTTTGATCACGAGCTTGATGTTGAACTTCGCCGCGAACCGGACAACAGTCCGGATGTGCGAGGCTGTCTCGACAATGGCGGAATATAGCGAGATTCGGCCTTGTGCGCATGGTTCAGATGTAGGCGTTTCGATATAACATTGCTCCCCTTTGGAAGGCCATGCGCCCCAGTTCTCGTGTTGTACAGCACCTGGACACGTAAATTCAGATGTAAACGTGGCGGAATTTGGGAACTGGCTTAGGAAAGCTCACCTAGCTGGGATGATCGGTATGTCGAGTTATGCATGTTTGACCTGATGAGCATACATTCGGTGGCATTATAGTTGGGTGCATGGCATGCGTAGCCGAGAGGCTTCACGGATCGCAGGTTGCCATCGATAGACGAGTTGAGAGAAGCCCATTGGGCTTCGGATGGCCAGCACGGTTCATCAGGTTGACATCGACAAGATCGTGTAGTGCTCGCCAGGGCCTGATCAGTAGCAATTAGTAAGAGTGACAGTCGCAGCAGCCTCATGGTGCTGTGAGCTCTGCTTGTCCAAAGAATGGGTTACACAACTGACTGCGGAAGGAAAGTAGAGACCGAGGGTGTAAATCTTTTTGACCTTGAAGAAGTGGGAGTGGGAGATACTATCCCATACATATGCCCTTGCATATGATCCCTTGCATACGATGCCTCTGATCTCGATTTCCTCCTCTGGAACTCTTGTACTGCCTCTCCCGGACTATCGCACAGTGAGGAGGTTAGTTACTGCTCTTCTTTTATCTAGTTAATGCATAGATCCCACCTAAATAGAGTGAGCCACTACTGTGGGACAATGGTCGAATCAATGCCTTCTGTATCCAGATGACAAAAGGTGCTCCATCCCCAGCTGTATATCTCCATTCAATAGGACCATCGCGACAACCGTAAGAACGATTGACACTGATTAATGTCATCGCCTGCTAGCTCCCAAGCAGCTCTGGGCACCCAACCTTTAGGTGGACGAAGCTCAAGCACATCCGTCTGCATTGAGGCGAATGCTCATCGAATTGTTCGGCTATGTAGCAGGATGACGCACTTGGCTTTCGCGTATGCTCACACTTGACTCGACAGGCGGACTTTGCGCCCTTTAAATCAAGATTGTCATCGAACAGAAGCTCAAAATGCTGGTGGTCAGGACATCCGTTGGTCTTTCTTGCGCGAATCCTGGCCACGTGAGGATACGTGATGGAACGCTTGATGCCACCACCGGTGGTTGACAGAATGCCGAATGCTGTAATTGACACTGCGACGGGGGCAATAACTATGGACTGCACAACAAAAGCGCTGCAAGCACAGTGTCGGTGAAAATCACCTTCTCAGGCTCATCCTGGCTGGGTAACAACGTCAATAACCCATAGTATATCACGGTGGAAAGTTGAGAAGTTGACATGGCTTGAGCTACTCGGAGCCATAAAGGAGATCCGCTCAGAGTAAGGTATATACGGAGTAAGAGAATGTACCTGATACCACCTAGGTAGGTACCTAGGTATTGTGGCAGACCGAAGGCCTTCAGGGTGTTTCTGACCAGAGTGGGTCAGATACCCTGTCGGTTGACACTATAGCAGGGATATACTATTATCACTCCTTTGTCCAGCGCCGAACAGCCCAAGACTTAGGCGCGAACTGCTGGGAGAGACAATGAACACTAGCCGGGTCCCTATCGTGATGCCTTTGTACTCTTTGTTCTCCGCCGCTAACTTCATCCGATCTCCAACCCTCCCCAATATCCCACGTCGCCACGCCTTCTCATGTACATATCCAAAACAATGCATTGATCACAGATGTGCATCGCGCCCCGCACTCCGAAACACACGCCGGAATGGCTGATCTTTCACGCCATTTTCGCTTCGGCAGATTCTCCATCTCCACGACCGGCTTTATAATTTTCGCCCTCTCGGTACTATACCTCCTCTCCCTACGCTACTACCACAACACCAGCTATCGCGATCCCACATCCTTCTTCTTCGATGCGACCCGAGCCTACGAAAGACTCTACTCGTCGAAGCGAATCGCGGATGCCGAAGCTTTTCTTCGCGCCTCCGACAATGTCGATCCACCCACCGGAACCCCGGACACGCCACCGACAATGTGTCTCGGTATCGTAACAGTCCGCCGACGAGGCGACCAATACGTCGGACTGACAGTAGCTTCCCTCCTGGAAGGCCTCACCGAGTCCGAACGAAAGAGCGTCTTCCTCGACCTGCTCATCGGCAACACCGACCCTACCGCGCACCCCATCTACTCCGAAAAATGGGCACACACCCTCCCAGACCGTCTCCTGAAATACCCCCCAGACCACCAGGACTTTGAACAGATCCAGAAATGGGAAGAGGGCGGGTGGTACCGCAACAAGACGATCTACGACTACACGCATCTCATGCGGGACTGCTACGACACGGGCGCCGCATACATCGCCATGATCGAAGACGACACGCTCGCCGTCAAGGGCTGGCTGCCCTCCGCACTGCAGGCGCTCAGTGTCGTCGAGCAGCAAACCGCCGGGGAGGACTGGCTGTACCTCCGGCTGTTCTACGTGGACAACCTCCTCGGCTGGAACGCTGAAGAGTGGCCGAGATACCTCGTCTGGTCGTTTGTCGTATGGGCGTGTCTGACGGGGACGATGCTCGTCGCGAGAAGGAACCTTAAATCTGTCAGATCACTCCCCGTCAGCGCTGTATGGATCGTATCGGGCGTGTTCGTCCCAGCCGGTGTCGCGCTCCACTTCCTGGCCGGCCGACAGACGATGTGGCCGCTCTCCCCGGGTGTCCACGAGATGAATAAATATGGGTGCTGCTCACAAGGACTCGTCTTTCCACGCGCCACTGTGCCGCGATTTCTCGACCAGACAGATCTGACGACCGATTGGTTGGTCGACATGATGGTTGAGAAGATCGCGGACCGCGAGCAGTGGTCGCGCTGGGCGATCGTCCCGCCACTGCTGCAGCATATTGGCGCGACAAGCTCCAAAGGATACGGGTTTGACGATTCTGCAAAGACGTTATGGAATTTTAGATTTGAAGAATACCCATACTAGTATATATGCACTACTAGTATATATGAATCAGTTAAGATGATTCCTGTGGATAGTGATACCCAATGACAGCATACCCGTCCGAGCAATTCTTCCATTTCTTACATTGCTATGGTACAGTACAAGATCATCTCTTCTACCACATTCAGAAATCATCAAAAACCTCCAGGCACGTAACACCCCCTTCTCGTTGTCCATCGATCCCACGAAAAATCGCACGCTCATTGAAAGGAAAGCGAAATGTAATAAATAAAAATAGTAGATCAACCATGAGTCGTGACCTTTTCGGCGGCATCGCCAAGGCTCCAGCAGGACAAGAAATAGGGAGTATATCAAAAGGGAAACGAAAACACACTATAATAAGTACACAAGCGGATCAAATCCCGGCGCCCCAAACATGGCAAGGAGATCAGAAGTAAACTGGTCGATACCGCATGAAATATGCCTACTTCCCCGAGCCGAGCGCGGTTCATGCAGGCAGACAAAGAAAAGAGGAGATTTTATTCGCAAGAACGTGCGGGCCTACCATTTACAGACCAGGGGGGCCGCCGAGGCCAGCGCCCATAGCCGTCAGACGGGCAGCAAGCTGGGGGTATTTCTCCTGCACCTCAAGCTGCGTCCGGGTGGCTTCGGCATAGGAGATGGCGTTGACGATCTCGGCCTCCGTACGGGCAAGTTCGGCGGCACGCTCGAAGTACTTGAGCGCCTGGGAGACCTTGCCCTGCTGGAGGAGAAGCTGAGCCATGGTACCCACAGCAATATCACACTCGGGATCGACTGTAGCAAGGTTAGCATCCAAGGATGGACTTCAACAGTTGGGCGGAGGGAACATACTGATCAGGGCTTTCTGGCACAGGTTCTCGGCCTCTTGGAAGTCGTGCTTCCACTGGAAGAGGGCGAGGGCCTTGTTGATGAGGGGCAGAACGTTGATACCCATGGGCTTGCTCTGCTTCTCCATCTCCACAGCCTTGTCGAACTTCTCGATGGCCTCGGCGAAGTTGGACTGGTCGAGGAGCAGTTCACCATAGTAGTTGTACACATCAGGGACGTCCTCGAAATTCTTCACAGAACGTCTGAAGGTGGCCATGGCGGAGGCCACAGAGCCCATCTTGTATTGCGTCACACCCAGCTGGATGTGAGAGAAGATGAAGGAACGGTCGAGATCGATCGACTTCTGGTAGTCCTTGGCGGCTTCGGCAAATTCACCGAGGATGAAGTGAAGCTGGGCGCGGTGGTAGTAGATGTCGGGGTCATCCTTGTTGTGAGAGATGGCGAGCTCGAAGTCGTCTCCAGCGGCATCCTTGTTACCTATTGAACCAGTCAGTACACCAGCCTAGTCGACGCTAACCGTTTTACCATGGACTTACCGAGCTCAAGGTGCAAGCTAGCACGCTTGATGTAGCTCTGGACCAAGGAGGGCTGGAGCTCAACGCTCTTGTTCAGGTCAGCCAGAGCAGCCTGGGCGTTACCCTCGAGGTAAGTGAAAGTAGCTCTCATGTTGAGAGCCAGCGCTTCAAAATCGCCCAGATCGCCGAGCTCCAGGGACTTCTCGAAAGCAGCGGCAGCAGCCTCGTAGCCATCCCCAGTCTTCTTGGCCATTTCGATCAGACCCTTGCGCAGCTGACCCTTTCCAGACTCCTCACTGATGTCGGCGGATTCTTCGAGGCCCTCGGGGAGAGCCTGGGGACGGAAGCTCTGGAGGTAGTTGGACACGAAGGTAGGGCTGGGGAGCTTCTTGCCCTTGGCCTCGAGGATCGCCTTGGCCTTGCGCTCGGCGACCTTCTTCAAGAGACGCTCGAGAGCGTTGCGGCTGACCTCGTTGGAGAAGCCATCGATGATGCAGCTGGCGGTGAAGTCCAGAAGCGCTTCGCTGAACTTCTCCATGTGCTCATACGCGATCGCTCTGCGGTTCAAGGCCTTGACATACTCGCTGTCCATGGCAAGGGCAGCAGTCGTGTCCTCAACAACCTTCTCCCATTCCGACAGGACGTTGTAGCACGCGGCGCGGTTCGAATAGAAAACGGGGTCGGGCTTGCACAGGATGGCCTTTCCGTAGAGCTCAATGGCCTTGTTGTAGTCTTTGGAGCCGTAGGCTTTGTTACCGGCGGCCTTCAGCTTGGCAGCGTAGGATTTCCGGGTCTACGGAGGTACGGAGTTAGCATGAGAGAATAAACCACCGGAAGTCGACATTGCTCACCTCCTCATCCAGCTGGCCAACGGTCGCTTCATCGACCTCGGGAATCTCCTCCGCAGACTCTGCGGACTTTTTCGCGGGTTGTTCTAATAAATTGGTTGGTCAGCCGCAACACCTTGGGACTGACCAATTGACGACGCGCTACGTCATCCGGACTCCAGACATACCGTCCTGGACCGAGGCAGCCTTGGCCTTCTTTTCCTCCTCTGCCTTCTTCTTCTCTTTCCGACGCTGGTTCTTGCTCTTCTTCTTCTCTGTGGGCGGGGGAGCTGGGGTTGACCGGCCCGAATCGGAAAGGTAGTAGACGACTCCGGCGCTGGTCACGACCACTGCAACACCGGCAATGGTGTACACCAAAGCCTTATTCTCCGACACCCATTTCGAGACGCGATCCCATACGGAAGAAGAAGAGGAAGCCGGAAGTGCAGCAGTATCAACAACCACGTTCTTGACGGGTTGGGAGACGGACGACTCGCTTGACATGATGACCCTTTTTTTTAGACCCTTGTAGATTCCCTGGAGGACGACGGGATCAGTATCGCTAGCATTCTATCGAAGCAGACATCATCGGCAGAGAATTGGCGAGGAGAAAACTCACTGGACGTGTGGGGAGAGGGCACGGCAAGAGTGGAAAGGTAAGGGAAGACGGCAGCTGTAGGAGAGAAGGTCGAGGGAGAGTGAACGATGGGGGAAGAGCCGCTTGTGAAAAGTTATGCGCGGCGGGAGCTCAGGCCAATCACACCCGCCCGTCTCCACCAATGCTCAGCGTCATTTTGTTACTTGCGATCGACGACTCCCAGTCTGGTGCGAACTGCTTCAAATACGGCGCCTGAACAATGGTTTCCGACTTTCAGATCATCTCCTCCCTGCGCTACGATCCATCTCTCCCAGCGACCGTCCAACACTACGCCGCAGACTCCTATCCCGACCCCCTCCGCTCCGCCTACTACCTCCTCCCTTATCATCTAGATCGGCTACGCGACGCAGCTCAATGCTTCCAATGGACCCAAGGCGCATGAGTTTCTCCAACAGGATCTGACACAATTCGTCCGATTCCTCGACACCTTCATCTCGGATCCGACGAAACCATGGCGTCTGCGCATCGTCCTCGGTCGCAACGGATCCTGTACCGTTGAACCAAGCCCAGCGGCGCCCATGGAGACCAAGAACCTCCTCCTCCCTTGCAGAGCGCCATCCGATCCGAGCGGATGGCGAGTCTATATCGATTCGCAGACCACGACCCCCTCCGCATTCACCACACACAAGACCACCGCGCGGGACGACTACACAGCGGCGCGACTCCGGTCCGGCATCCTCTCCCCTCAGGACCAAGCGGAAGTGCTTGTGGTGAACCCCCAGGGTGAAATCATGGAGGGAAGTATCACAACTCCGTACTTTCGACGACGGACACAGGGGTCGGCGGAGGCACACGGAGATCCTGGTCCGGAGTGGATCACGCCACTGCTCTCCTGCGGCGGCAACTCGGGGACTACGAGACGATACGCAATGGTGCATGGGTTCTGTACGGAGGGAGTCATCCTTGCTGCAGACCTGGTCGATGGAGAAGAATGTTGGCTCAGTAACGGAGTCCGAGGCTTTATGCGCGGTCGAGTCGTGCGCCGTTGACATTTACATATACTAATGGCAGTGAAGGAGATGGATCCCGGGTAGGAATGTGCGAATTTGTACTAACACCGAATAAGCATCGGAGCTTTATATGACATGTATGCGGCCATTCCGTCACGCGTGGGTATAAACATCGTTTTGCATTGCCGTCGTCTAGAGGTCTCTGGATGCTGCTATCGAAACACGTGTATTTCATAAAGCGTCAATATCCCGGAGCCGTCCCGCCAGGATATAGTGTATACTCTATTTCTTGGCCTTCTCATCGACAACCGGGTTGGGGTTGCCATTCCATTCAAGCGGGCGGGCGCGCATGAACTCGGCCAGCACTTCGTCCGTCACCTTGGCTCTGCGCTCCTGGAAGCCCTGGACGTACGCTTGGATCTCGGCAATACACCGCTGCTTGATCTCGCCAGTGAGCATCTGACCAGACTCGTAGGCCACCTTGATGCGCTCCAGCTCGTCGTCGTCTTCGAGGAAGAAAGTGAGGTACTGGAAAGGAACGTCGGACTTGGTGTTACCTCCCAGTTGGCGCTGCAATTCGGCGGTGTCCTGACCGCCAGAGAAGGCGTACTTGTTGATCTTGTTCTTAATACGGTTGGGCGTGTCGTCCATGAAGACAGCGGAGGAATCCACACTGGCAGACATCTTCGAGCCGGGACCTTGCAGTGCCGGGAGGAAAATGGCGTGGATGAGCGAGGGCTTCTTGTACTTCATCTTCTCGGCATGCTCGCGGCATTGTCTGAAGTATGGGTCCTGGTCAATGGCGCAGGGAACTAATCGCTTATTAGTATCATGTCCAAATTAATCCTAAAGCATATTCAGGGCCCAAGGACTTACTCAGGCAAGGAATGGACGAAACCTTCTTCCTGTCTGTGCCGAAGATATGGGGGAAACTGGTAGCAAACGCGGCAGCCGACTGAGTAGCGCAGAAGTGGAACTCTCCAACGTTGTTGCTGTCGTTGAAGCCGAAAGTACCCCGGACCGAGTTGATTGTGATTCTCTTGGCCATGCGGCACATGTTCTCGTAGAAGGCGCCGCCGATGAAGTCGAAATCGCTGAAGATGAAGGTCTTCTTGGGGTCGAATCCCACAGCAATAATGTCCATGGCGTTGGCTTTCGTGTATCTCCGAACATCCTCGATTTCGATCTTCGCGGAGTGCATGTATTTCTGTGGCTAGTTAGAATCGCAATCACTCGGTTGCTGCGGAGGGAACGTGCCTCGTCATCCGTAAGCATGATTACCAAGGGGCAGTCAAAAACATCCTGCAGCCACCTGCGAAAGAAAGATCATGTCAGCTGCTAATTCATGGAGTAGTGACGAATGGAAGCGAGGAGACAAACTTGGTGAACTCAAAGGGCACGGTGTGGCCCAAATGCACGGCATCACTACTGGGACCACGACCGGTATACAAATAGAAAGGCTGTCCCTTCTCGTAACGATCAAGAATCTTGTTCAGCTCGCGATGACTGAAGACAATGCCTCTGCGCATGAAGCGGTGGGGACGGCGGCCGGTGACTCTCTCGAATCGTTCCAGGAGCTCTTTACTGATGGGGGTGGCACCAAATTCGCGCACCAGCTTGTCGTAATCGACTGGTAGAAGCTTCCCCGACTCATCGACTCCTCCGGAGACGTCGAATGGCGTCACAATCTGTCCAACGGCCTTGGAATCGGGGGCCTTTTCGGCCAGGCTCAGATTGGTGAGCGCCGGGGGCTGTCCTGGTTCATCGGCGGCCATCTTAGTTGTCGCTGACGATGCGGTCCACTAGAGAGATATAGTGGGTTCTCTGGTAATGGGGAGCCCGCGGGAGGGTTGACTCTGATCTAGGTGTGAAGACAAAAAGTTGATACGATCCACACTTTGGGATAACCACAACGGACGAGCCCCTCCAACGCCGACAGATGAGTCAGAGAGCCCAAGCCATCTGATTGGCTGAAGGCATTGAGAATCAGGTGACACCAATCGGCACCCCGCGTTACCAATCGGGCTAGCCGCAGAAGCCGGCAGAATCCGTCTCCGCCCGCTAGAAGCAGTTAGGCCTCTTATTCGGCCCCGAGACTTTTTGCTCGGCCACTCAAAGTTGAGCAGACGACCTGGAGCAACCAACATCCCATCATCCAACCCAATTCCTCCTCTCGCCACTACCTACCTTACCTTCCCCCATCTCCTCCCATTGCTTCTTGCTGTCTGTGTACATCCCTTTTCATCCGTTGTTCGGCCTATATGCATCCGCAACGATGAAGTTCTTCGAGAACGTCTTCACCTACGACTACTCCTTCCCTGCCGTCTCTCTCGCCTACTTTCTCCGTTATCCCAATCCCTACTCTCGCCATGTATTGACGACCGATGTCATCGACCGCTATGTTGACCCGAAGACACACCGACTGCACACGACCCGGCTCCATCTCAAAAAGTCCAAAGTCCCCTCGGGTATCCTGAAATTGCTCCCTAAGGGCATCGGAGGCTCCGACAATTCCGGCCAGACCTATATCCTGGAGACGACCATTGTTGACGTCAAGGAAGGCTGGATGGAGACCGAATCCCGCAACATGGAGTGGACGGGCATTCTTAGCGTGGTGGAAAAGCAGTTTTACCAGCGACAGCCGCTGGAGGGCTCCCTGCAGCGTCTGGAAGGGCTCTCGCTGGATGACCAGAAAAGCGAGCAGACCACGGTCAAGACGACCGTGACCTTCCGGTCGCGGTTCGGTCAGGGCAAGCTCCTCGGCTGGAGGAAGACGGATTCTATCCCCGATCACAACGGGGAAGTCGATGACGAGCCGCCCCGGAAGGGCTTTTTCTCCTCTCTGTCGACGGCCGGCATCCAGCGCACGATCGAACTCATTGGCGTCAACCGCACCCGCGACGCCATCCTGAAGAGCAAGCAGGGCATGAATGTGGTCCTGGAGCGGCTGCGCAGTGGTGGGATTGTCGGCGTGCTGGAGGGCATGCGCCAGGACCGGGAGGCTGCCTTTGGGACTGAGGGCCCGTGGAAGCGCGTCTGGCTCCGCGGCAATGGCGTGACGGACGATGATGAGCATTGAATTCAGCGTTCAGCGAACCACATGTGACACATCTATTCGACATTCAAGCGAGGAGTTATGGCGTTTGGTTTTGTTCTTTGATGGACACTCTCCCACGATCGGGCTACATATTGATTTGACAAAGTTGACTTCTACCGTCCCTGCAACATCACCAAGAGGGACTGTCTTGCGGATCACGTTTCCACGGGGAAATGGTATGGACTAAAATATCGATTGTACATTAGGAAGAAAAGGCCTAGGAACGAAAGGCGGAGGTTAGGGGTTCCACTTAGTCTGGAATTTCCGTGTATCATACTACCTGTGAATTTATCCATCACTGACTATCAATTTATATCGAATTCATTGTCCTTGTCCAAGTAAGGGCTTGAATTGTTGATAGATCACGCTTTGAAGCAACATGCGACCCATCCTTAGTAATCGCTGGAACGCGGTGACCGATTGGCGGTACCGCAGCAGCAGATCTGCAGCAAAGCGACGCGAACCATCTTCATCCTGCAAACGATCAGCCCAAATCGAACACAAACAAACCAACAAAGCTCTCTGTGACACCGGGATGGGTGGCCTGACCACATAGCTGTCTACATGGAGCTCTCTTCCCTTCGCAGCCGATGGTCATCAGCACACATGAGCGAGGTATACCTACGATCCTGAGTCCGCGACACCCAGATTAGCGCAGTACGTCACCTCACCACGCGCCCGACAACTACGAATCTACGCGCAAAGCGTCCAATATGGCCAGCGAACTCCCAACCCGCGGTACGAAGCGCAAAAGCGACGATCACGAGCACCCACCCCGCGAAATCAAGCCCGATCCCGCGGGCGTCTACGATGCGACCCTCAACCCGCTCCACCTCGCCGACCTCAGCGAGAAACTTAAGATCCTCCCCGTCCCGGAAGATGGCGACACACTGGAAGAGACAGCCGCGAAGCTGTGCGAGCTGGCCAAGGTCGTCTCCGAAGGCAACAGCGTGGCGCTGTGGACGGGGCTGCAGCTCTCGTCGTCGCCGCATGCGCGCGACCCGGAGACCATGGCGAAGGCGCAGATGACGCCGCAGGAGCTGACGCAGTATGAGGCGTGGCAGGCCGTGCGGCAGGGGCGCGAGGTAGGGGGTCCTGAGGGAGGGAGTAGTGGCGGGCTGCCGGCGGGCGTGATGCGCGCGTTCGACTGGGATGCGAACTTGGCACCTATGCCCGGCGCGCAGAGCGAGAAGAGGTTCCGGCAGCGCGCGGCGGCGATGGATGTCATCTGGGACCATCAGTGTGCGACGCCGGAGCATGCGGTGTGGTTGACGTTTCATATGGTTGAGGCGTTGCCGCTTGTCAAGGCTGTCACGAAGGTGATGAATGTCAAGCGCCATTTTGGTGAAAATGACCCGTACCCCGGGTTGACGGGCATGGAGGTCGCGGAGCTGGAGACGGTCCGCAAGATTGTCTCTGTCGCGGAGAGAAACCGGACGCGCGAGCTCGAGCGGATTCGTCGGCTGACTCGGTCGATTAACGATGCCGCTGCGACTATTAGGACTCGGCTGCAGGTTTTGGAGAGGTCGTGACGGTTGCCGCGAGACTGGCACTACTGAGACATGTCCTCTTCAGGCGTTTCCAGAGGACTGGTTGGATACCTCGTGGTATCTATACGATCTGCTTAGCGCATGCAGATGGTCAGAATACCCAGATGCTGGGCTGTCCGTCAACGCCCATTGTTGATATGTGGGGGTTGATACACCGCGCAGGCCAGAGCAAGGTACTACGCACTGTACCTCAGCCCGTCCTGGGGGACTTGGACGATACGACGATACGATTAAGTGCTAATTCACTACGAGTACGAGCTTACCGGAACTTCAATGGATGGAGTTCACCTGCAATTTTTTAGGATAAGACACTTTCAATATCAATCGGACTACTAATCAAACAAGGAAATATGTCAAATTACCTTATCTAGTACCGATCGCCTGGTGTTCGTAGCATGGAGAGACTAAGCAGGTTGAACCCTCTACAGAGTACTGTAGTCCTCAGCCTTATTCGCACCGGGTCGGCTTCCTCTCGGACCCCTCACCATCCTTTGTTGGCATATGTGCACGAGCTCGCAAGATCCCAACCGACCAACGAAACCGCCGAACCTGCGCCAATGACGCAAGGAATGAATGCGGTAACGGAATCGGATTTCCCTTCCTTGGCTGCGGAATCCCAGACATTCCACCCTCATTGGCTGCCGGGCACGTCGGATATTAGGTATTCTGGGTCTTGCTAACACTAGTTAACTATCCACTGGGTTTCGAGCATGCCAAGCCCGAGAGACCCTCTTGCAGTACTCCGTACCTCGAAACGATCCCAGTATTCGGCATCAAGAGAATTAGATATCCCGAGAGGAGGTTGCTGGAACAAGGAACCAGAGCCACCTGGGCGTGATGGTGTCGTGGGCTTCTCGTCAAAGGCCGCCTATGCTTTGGTGTCAGCAAAAGCGGTCGATGCGGCTGATGGATTGCTGACGGCTGACTGGCTGACTAGTATCGGGCAATGACCTCATCGCACGGCGTCCACATGCCGGTCTGCCGTCTATCCACGGCGACGACACAAGCCAGAGCACGGCCAAAGCGTAGCGACATACAGACGGAGTGCATCCCTGAGACGACGCACCATTGCACCTACTATTGGCGCTAACGTCGGTCGAGTGCGCTCCGTCGGGCCTGCAGCCGGGCCATGGGATCAGGCGGGCAGCAGAAGCACAGCAAAGGTTGGACAACAGGCAAGGTATGTACATATGCATCAGAGACGGACGGAGTAATGTCGCGGTGCGCGTATTTCCGCGCGCGTTGGAAGTAATATCCGCGGGATTATAGCGGTCCTATCCTAGGTAGTATTACTGGCCAGCGACAAGATTTTCGGCCATGTGGTGGAAGTGAAGAGCTCGGCTAGCACAAGAGCAGGCCGATGGCAGGTCACATCGCGAATTAGTCTGATGATTAGCTTCTGATTACTGTTACTCCATCGATATCAAGTCTGGTTGACTAGGTTGACTAGCGAATCGTTCGCTTCGCGACAAAGTCTCGGATCCAACCAGGGTCATCACAAACATGGCTAGCAAGGACGCCGTTGGATCCCCGATGAACCATAAGTACCATGGTCATGTAGGATGCTCCTCGCTCGACCACCGGGCCGGTTTAGCCTGGAAGTTGGCAAGACGATGGTATTAGTGGGATGGAATGTGGAAATTGAACAAGGTTCGCATGCGATCAGATTGTCTATCTCTCACGATGTATCTCAATCAGGGTCCTTCGCCTATACTCAGAGTTCTCCGCTGGTCATCTTCACGGGAATACTCCGTAGACTCAATGGTGGCAAGATGGGAAATTCTGGCTGGATTCAGCGGGAGGGGTGGATATTAATTTGGAACACTAGTCTGGGCGGTACAGCAGTAGCGGCGACTAGTCCGATAAGCTGATACCGAGACGTGGTACTCAGGGTTTGTCTTGTCCCCCCAAACGGAAGAAATCCCTCTTCAGACATCAAACTGTGGCATACATCATCGACCCCCGGATGGTTGTCACGATGTTCTGAAGAATGTTTACTGAGAACAGTCAGATCACCATAAGAAAAAGAATTATTGCATTTTGCGGTGCTGTGACGGTAACCTAGAATACCAGTCGGGCGAGTGGCTGGCCGGAAAGGCGTCTCCATTGGCCCCTCCAGACCCTAGACCCGACGGACGGGGGGCTAGGGTCTGTTCTTGATTGGGTATCTCCTGGTACCCTGGGCGGGATCAGCCACCGGAACTTCCGCATTCGGAGAGGAGTATGCGGGGGCATCCCTGTTAGCGTCAGGGCCAAGAATGAAAAAGGGAGAAAAAGAAAAAATAATTAATTGTGTTGACCTCCAAGATTCCCTGTCCTATTATTATTGCTTGCACCTCTGGATGATTATTGCGGATTATTGTCCTTTTTTTTTTTCCCATCATCGATGATTATTCATGGGGACTCATTGAAACCATCACCTCTCACACTCTCTCTCTCCCTCTTCATTCTTCACGTCTCCTTGTCTTCTTCCTTCTCCTCCTTCCCGTCGGTCGTCCGTGGTCGTCTTCCCTTCTCCGCGTCTATCGGACGTCCGTTGTTTTTGTCCCCCAATCGGTCCACCCCGACCCTATCTCCTCTCCCTCCCACACAATCTCTCATAATACGAGGGTCGACTGGTCGGCTATTCTCGTTCAGATCCTTGGGGTTTCTCTTCCATTTAGCCTCTGAAACGCTGGTCGTGAAGTGGTGGTTTGACTGGTCCCCTTGGTAGTCTACCTAGCCTTCCCCAAATCAACCATCTGATCTGCTTTTCCTGACGGGGAAACCGCCGATACCACCAACAACAGCCTTTCCTTTCACCAACCCCCCTGTTCCCCTCCCCCGGCCTGTTCACCGTTCCTCTCTGCTCGGTGTGGGAGTATACTCCGGTTCATTTCTAGCATGCTCTAGAAGCGGGTGACTGTCTTCCTGTCTTACAATCTGGCAACATCTCGGATCTGCTTCATCATTCGATCATCCCTTCAACCCTCTCATCCACCCGCTTACCCCGGTGATAACACGATAACGAGCATGCCAGTCATCCTGGCCTCGACCTCTCGACGATCTCTGTAATTCTGAGAGATTCTTCGGTCGCTCTGGTGATCTCGGTTTCGATCGCCCTCAGCCTCGGTCCCTCATGGCCCTCTACTTGGGGCTGGGGTCCTGGACCCGTTCTCACCTCCTTTTGCTCCTAACATGGACGACAATCTTCCCCTTGGGTCTGACGCAGTTTTGCTCTTTCTGGGATGGGGGCTGCGTCGACCCTCTCGCCCAGACGACCGTCTCCATCAAGTTCCCTCCCCTTTTCTTGGACGACATCAACATGTATTACGCCTATGACGCGAATTCGCAAGGCAAAGGCCAGGAGCCAATGACCAAGGTCAGCTTTTGGTTGGGCTATGTGGCCAGTCATGTCAACAATTCCGTCATCACCTCGAATCGGACCTCCGAAGTGGCCTTGCGGGTTGGGAACCTGACGGGGACGCCGTACGGAGACAATAACGGTTGTGATGGTGTCTGGGGTCCGCAATGCTCTGCGAACTTGAAGGATGTCTTCAAGGACGCCATCTATCATCTCTCGGTGAAGGGAGATTATTATTCCAACCCCTTAGAAACCGTCCTCAGTCAAATGTCCATCACACCGCCAAACCTTCCCAACTGCCCACCGCCCTTCTTCGATGTCCAACAAATTCCTGTCCAAAGTACGTGATGGTTCTGATGTATCTCTCATCCATGCTAACCCGTTCAAAGACTTCGTCCAGGAAACAGACACGGATCAATCTGCCGCCCTGCAGACCTCAGGTTCTGCCAACAGTCCCTGGAAAACATGGTTTGTCGATAACATGACCGCTTCGCAGCAAGCCGATCAGGTCGCCGTTGCAATAATCAGTCGCGGGCCGTCGTACAACAGCCTCGCATTACAGAGCCGTGACGATGTCCAGATTGAGTTGGCTTGCATTCAAGCTCCTTCTTCCAGCAGTTCGTCCAGCTCCAATAGCTAGCCGGGTTCCGATTGACTGGACCATGTCAACATTTCAATACGGCCCGCTTTTACGATTCCCCGTATACCATCCGTGTCGCCTCGTCGATTCGTCAAAGACGACATTGACTGCATCGCGCGGAATGGTACATCGACCCAGTTCTACGGAACTGCCAACCAACCGTCATTCTGTTGCGGGGTTGGACTATATGGTCAGGAAACATAACCTGGGTCATTGTCCTTCGCCCAACATGTCACTCGCTTCTAGGCAAATGTCACTTGAGTGAACGCTGGCCAACGGGTACCTACGGTCCCAAATTGTCAGGTCGGCTGTTACGCCTCGTCATGTCGATAAGGAAGCTCGAGATATACTCTGTCGGAATTCGCCTCTATTCCGCTGACGGATGATGTACATTAGCTTTCAATTGGCTCGTGATGCTAGCTGATATGCCATTCACGTCACCATAGACTGATTGGATTCCGCCAGTCCGATTATATCCATTGTGCATTTCCTGTCTCTCATCCAAATCTCCCCAATCGAATCCCTCACAGCGTCGACCAACTCATCTCGATCGGCTCCAAATTCCCGGCACCCCTGAAATCCTCCACGATCTCCGCCTGCTCAGACAGAAGGTGACGGTCAACCTGGGTCCCTATCTTGGCCAGGTTTCTCCATCTCGCCAGATCTTCGGGGTGTCGCTTATCACCGTGGGCCTCGGTGCTGTGCTCCCAGTGGCCTTTGGAGAATCCCAGCAAGGTGGTGATGCGCTTCTTGGGGATGTCGAACACCAGCGAACAGATGGTCCCGGTCTCCTCGAGCCAGTTGCATTGCCACAGCTCTCCAGGCCGGATGCATTGGTACGTTGCGGTCTGGAAGTTCTTGCGGCCTGCCATGGGGCCACCATGGATGGCATAGACGATGCGGTCTTCGTTGTAGAACCACATCTCATACCTCCATTTTTCCGGATTGCCCTTGTCGTCCTGGGCCGCATAGTCGTAAATCAGGTGTCGATCCTTGATATCGGCGTCGAAGGGTGTGTCGTGCACGGAGGGGAGGACAGGCATAGCGAGAGGTGGATTCGAATCAATATGCAATGAAATGAAATGCTCTGTGTTCTATATTGAGATGAACGAATAAGCGAATTCAATCACGTCCTGGATAAGACTGCAGGCGAATCGTACCGATAGAATGGTAAGGAGCCGCGATCGTCTCTATGCATGGTCTCAACGTCAATCATCCTGCCCCGAGCCAGCCAATTTGTAGTTCGGCGTCTGCCGGTAACATGACATCATGAACCCACGGATAGGCATGTCAATCCCGACGATCCGGGTTCAGACAACAGATCCGTGCCTGGGTCCTCCGTGAGCACCTGAGGTATTCAGTGATAAGAGTAGTTGGTGGGCCGGATTGTCGGGTCGTATGACCTTGAACAGCAGATACAGGGTATGGGCTGACGATGTGAAGTTGGAATGCTGGAGTTCGGTTGTGTGAGCGAGATAAGAGATGTGCAGGGGGTTATGCAGGTACATTATTATGTCAGCGAACATCCGATCTAACGTATTTCACTACCGAGCGCCGCACCACCACCGAGCGCCGCACCTCATCAAAAATCTACGCGTCGTCTTGCCTTTCTCAATTTAACCACCTACCATGCCTTCAAAAGCGCGTCAAATTCAAAAAAATTCAAAAGAGAAAGAGGGCAGGGCCTAAATGGCAGTTTCTGCTTTAAAAAAAGCGGAAATCTCTAGTATTCGTGAAGCAGCTTGCGTGTATGATGTCTCTGAAAAGACCCTCCGCAGACGACTACGCGGTATAACTGCACGCTCAGAAATACGCGCCAACAGCTATAAATTAACCCAAAACGAGGAGGAATCGCTTGTATAATGGATTCTATCGCTTGATCGACGTGGAGCGCCTCCTCGACCATCCTATATACGAGAAATGGCTAATATTCTTCTTGCTGCGCGCGGTACGACGCCTATTTAAATAGTCGGCGCGAATTGGGCCTCTAAGTTCATTTAACGTCGTAATGAACTAAAAACCCGATGGAATCGACGCTATGATTATTAACGAGCAAAATGCGAAGACCCTAAAGTTATTAGGGAGTGGTTTAACCGCGTACAAATTACTATAATGTAACATGGGATTGCACAGGAGGATATCTATAATTTTGACGAGAGTGGCTTTGCTATAGGCCGAACAGCTACTACTCGAGTAGTTACTAGAGCTGACTACTATGGCAAAGCCTTTGTTGTACAGCTAGGCAATCGGGAATGGGTTACTTTAATCGAATGTATTAATTCTACTGGCTGGGTGCTTTCTCTATGTATTATCTTTAAAAGAAAGGTCTATATAGAGGGCTGGTATGAAGATATAGAGCTTCTACGCGATAGTCGGATTGAAGTTAGTTCTAATAGTTGGACTACTGACGAAATAGGTCTTCGTTAGCTTAAAAATATCTTTATTTCTCTTACTTCTAGTCGTACGACTGGAAAATATTGTCTTCTGATTTTTGACGGCCATGGCAGCTATCTTACGTCTTAATTTAATCAGCTCTGCAGCGAAAATAATGTAATTCCTATCTACATGCCTGCTTATTCTTCCTATAAGCTTCAACCTCTGGATGTTGGCTGTTTTTCGCCTTTAAAAGAGGCGTACGGAATATTAGTGGAATAGAAAGGGTGCTTAGGAGTCAACCACATTGACAAATTCGACTTTTTAAAGATGTTTCTAGCTGCCCGCAAAAGCGCTTTTCAACTAGAAACTATTAGAAATAGTTTCGCAGACACAGGCATAGTTCCATTCAATCCAGATAGGATGTTTAGTCAGTTAAAAATTCAACTAAAGACCCCTACACCATCTAGCAGTCGATCAACCAATTCAGCGCCGAAAACACCCTATACTACTAAGCAGTTAGAGAAGCAGGCATCTGCTGCAAAAAAACTGCTTCAGGAACACGCTAAATACTCTTTTCCTTTGCTAGAAGCGCGATTAGATAAGATTATTAAAGGTTATGAATTGACGCTTAATGAGCTTGTTCTTACGCGAGACGAAATCCGCAAATATCGCGCTAATAATAAATGGCAAGGGCAAAAACGAAAACGCTCTACTAGGCAGCTAGCTATGGAAAAGGGGCCACCTATTCAGGAAGGCCTAGAGCGATTCCAGCGCGAGAATAAGGTTGATGAAGTTCAGAATGCGCTTCCTATAGATCCTGCACTTTCTGCAGTTGGACCGCGCGTACGAGCTCCCCCGCAGTATTCTAATTGTCATATTCGGGGACATACTAGAGTTAGATATCCTAAACCACTTAGTAATTAATTTTTAGATAGAAATGCAATTGCTTGGTTGATAAAGGCTCTAGTATATAGCCTGTGGGCAGAAATTGGTGGGAGGTGCGGCGCTCGGTGGTGGTGCGGCGCTCGGTAGTGAAATACGTTACAGAATAAGATGTATAACAACATCCGGTCTATTCTTGTAGGTACTTATCGATATGAGATGGAATGATCCTATCTTCATGACTTATCTTTTGACCAACGTCGATCTGGACATGTTCCCAATCGGGTAATGTATCCCACGACGATCGCAAATAGTGCGAATAGTCGGCCTCAGATACACTCCACTCTGGTCCATACCTTACCTGTGATAGACTATTATCCAGGCAACGAAGGCATATTTCGAAGAAGGCAGTGTGAGTTATGGAGTATGAACATCAATATCAGGTATAAGATGGTTACCATGTCATTTAGTTCGGTAGCATTAGACACATGGTGCAAGTGGGTTGTATATTCTGTGATTGGTCCATACACTGTATATATTGGTTGCAGTAACCTTCCAGGTTATATCCATAGATCCCGTTCTGTATCCCCAGGCCAACTGTATACTGAACTTCATCGAAAACGCCTTGACTATTCTGCTCTTGCATAGATCTCGATTAACCCCAAAATCCCTAACCACCAATGTAGTACTCATGCGATTTGTCACAATCGCCTCCCCTCGCAGTTCAATCTGCAGCCCCGTAAGGGCGCGCATCCCTACGCGACCAGCCCTCATCACCCAGATTTATGAAAGTCATGCCTCCCGCCCGAAAGGCAATAACTAAGGCCGTCATTGAGTGGGATCGGGAGTTACTCACATATACTGGGATCATGTCAGCAGTCTCTTCGCTTCCTGGTGCATCGTCCTATATCGCACCCCCAGGATTCCCGACTGCTGCCTTCTCGTAAGTCCAGTCATATCTCATCCCTACCATGCTAAAACGTTGTTAGGTCCTACTACTATTCCCCTGCCAAACCAACCGCAGAACCGCAGCCGATCATTCATGATCCTGTTCTGGGCTTTGACTTCCCCCTGAACCTCACGGATCCCAATGCAATCCCACAAGAAAAGCACGATCCCGTTGTCTTTCCGAAGCCCGTCTCCCATCTGCCAGACCATGAACAGAGGGCTTTGATCCAGGGCGTCAAAATCAACGTCACACGTCTGATCGTAGAGTCGTCGAGCTCTAACTGTACCACATGCAAAGAAGCTTTAGCGGCAGCCAAACCGGCTGCCCTATATGCCCCTACCCTCGTCCCAGAGGCCATCATTTCCCTCTGCAAGCAATTCCACTTCCAAGAAGATCCCTCCTGCGAAGAATCGTATGCCGTATCCGCCTTCGGGGCGATCTGGACCCAGGTTCTTGCCTATGCAGACGTGCAAGCGCTCGACGGGAACTACATCTGCAATTCCCTGAGCCCGACATTCTGCGATATGCCATCCACCACTCCCCTAGACATGACAAACCTCTTCCCAAAACCAAAACCCGCCAACCCCCGTGTCCCCAAGCCCAGCGGAAAGCGCATCAAAGTAGCTCACCTGTCGGATATCCATCTCGACCCTCGCTACGCCGTGAGCGCGGAAGCAAACTGCACCAAGGCCAAGTCGTGCTGCTGCCGGGCGAACCTCTTCAACTCCGCCTCCAACGGCACCATCCTCGCCCCGGCGTCCGCCTACGGCGAGTTCCGATGCGACTCGCCGTACGACCTCACCCTCGCCGCCCTCCAAGCCGTCGGCCCGTTGACGGGCACGGGGAAAGACCCCGACCAAGACAAGCTCGCCTTCACCCTCTACACCGGCGACCTGCTCGCGCACGATGAGCCCCAGACCCAGATCAACCGAGCCTACCTCGCCTACGCCGAGACAAGCGTCACAGACATGCTGAAAACCTACCTCACCGGCCCCGTCTTCGCCACCCTCGGCAACCACGACAGCAGCCCCAAGAACATAGACGCGCCGCACGGCCTCCCCACCACCGCCGGCCAGCAATTCAGCTGGAACTACGACCACATCGCCGGGCTCTGGCAGCAGGCGGGATGGCTCGACGCAGAGGCCGCCGCGGCCGCGCGCACCCACTACGGCGGGTACTCAGTGAAGACGCCAGCCGGGCTGCGCATCCTCGCCCTCAACACGGACTTCTGGTACGCGCCGAACCTCCTGACGCTCGTCAACACGACCAACCCGGACGTCTCGGGCACGCTGGCCTGGCTGGTCGCGGAGCTGCAGCGCGCCGAAGACGCCGCCGAGCGCGTCTGGATCATCGGCCACGTCCCGAGCGGCTGGGAGGGCGCCGGCGTGCTCCCCAACCCGACGGATCTGTTCTACCAGATCGTCGAGCGGTACTCGCCGCACGTCATTGCGAATCTCTTCTTCGGGCATAACCACGAGGACGAGTTCCATCTGTACTATGCGGGCAATGGGACTGTGCGCGCGCCGCGCACGGCGCTCGCAACCGCCTGGATCGGCCCGAGCATCACGCCCAATATGAACATGAACAGCGGGTTCCGCGTGTATGAGGTCGACACGGGGGACTTCAACGTCTACGAGGCGTATACGTTCTTCGGCAATGTGTCGGAGTTTGGGGCGCTGCGGGAAACTGGCCCCGTGTGGCGGGTGGAGTATTCGACGCGCGAGACGTATGCGCCTGCGGCAGGCTGGCCGCCGAATTTTCCGCTGAATGCGACGTTCTGGCATCGGGTGACGGAGGCCATGGAGCGGGATGGGAACCTGGTCACGCTGTTTAATGTGTTGCAGGGGCGGAGGAGCGTGAAGAGCCCGCAGTGTACGAGTGCGAGGTGCCGTGAGGCTAAGGTTTGTTATATGCGGAGTGGGAGTGCGGCGCTGGCGAGGGGGTGTACGCCTGGGTAAGTGCTTGTCGTCTCTTGGGGTTTGGGGTGTTGCTGACTTTGGTAGGTTTGGCTCGGTGCAGTCGCCGTTCCGGGATGAGGCTTGATATAGGAGCTATGAAAGGTGCGATAGACATATATGCATGGGTTCATTAGAATCAGTCCATGAATAGGAGAAAATAACATGGTATCTTAGTTATCTATGCTATAGGAATCCATCCTAGTATTTATTCCAATGTGCATACTGTGACAGCGCACCGACCACCACCGCCGTCGCCATGCCGACGGCAGCAACCAGAACCAGGAGGAAGAACATCTCGAACAGGCCCATATCAGGCAATCCGAGAACATTCCCCCAGCATACTCCAGACTCAATATCACCCTTACCATCAAGATGCTTCTCTTTGCCGGTGCTCTTCCCCTCCCGGGGGACATACTTGAAGGTGAACCGACTGCGTTTCCGCAGCACCACGCCACGGTACATGACCTCCCTAAAGAACTGCATGCACCACATCAGCATCACTCACAATCTCAGAAACGAACCAACTTACCCTCACAACCAGCGCATCCAACCCGGGCACCACCCACTGCACCCACGCCAACACCGCAACCAAGACACAATGCCCCGCAAACACCAGATAGTGCAGCAAACCGGGCCTCCCCATCTCCAACTCATCACACAACTCATGCCCGTTAATCCAGCGACTGCCCGCCTCGACAAACCTCTTGGACACATACATCGGCATCGGAAAATTCCCCACACACTCGACAAAATTAAACGCCACGACGCGGCTCGTCTCCGTCGTGCGCAGCTCATGCGCCAGCATACTCTCCATCGTGCGGCGCGCGCTCTCCACGCTCTTAAAATATCCCTCCGGCGTGCCCAGCAGGAGCGCCACGTACCGGAACAGCGCGATGTAGTCCGCAACGTCGGCCGCCGCAGGCGCCACCCCGAACCGCGGCAGCTGCAGCCACATCGGGTTGCAGCAGAAGGTGCTGATGGAGTGGATGCTGTCGAGCGTGTTGACAGGGACGCCGTAGCGGGCCGTGTCGAAGTAGCCCGGTTTGCGGGCGGCGAGGAGGAGCAGACGCTGGCGGACGGAGGCGTGGAGAAGACGCACGCGCACTGTTGCGGTGTGGCCCTCGCCGCCGGGCTGCAGCGCCTCCAGCGAGTGCGTGATCTGGATGAGCCACTGGAAGGTCTCGAGGAGGCGGTTGAGCAGGGTGCGGGTGGAGAAGCCGCCGGTGCGGACGAGGACTTCCACCACGCCTGGTGCGGCCTGGAGCTTTGCTGTCAGCGGGTGTGAAAGAGAGAGGGGAGGCAGGGAGAGGGGGAGGGGGTGTACGGAGTTCTCGGCGACAAAGCCCTGCAGGGCGAAGCCGACGATGTTGGCGATGGCGTAGCGGTAGAAGACGCGCTGGCCGCGGGCGAGCTGTGCCCAGTCGACCCATTCAGGGACGGTGTGCGTCTCGGCCCAGAACCGGGCCAGGACGTCATCGTGCGTGTGATGGGCTTGCAGGAGGGCATAGAGGTCGGTGGGTGGTGGGTTGGTGCCATTGGCTTTGGCGGCTTCCAGGAGGGACGCCCGGATGGCTTGCAGTCGTTCGAGAGCCGCAGCGCCTAGCGTGTCGTACTGTTGGCGGAGGGGTTCGGTCTCTGCTCGCGGCAGGTGTTGGTCTGTCCAGGTGAACGAGTAGCCCCATTTGGTGACGAGATCCCCTGGTCTGGGCGATGCGGTGGAAGTGTCCATGATGTTCACAGCTGACGAGGTATTAGGGAATGGCAATGAGAAAGAACTGATAGGCCTGGGTTGGGCTTTTGGAATGATGGGCAGTGATATGGCGCTTCATGTTGGCTATATACTTCGTCATTGCCAACCGGATAGCACGGAATGCCGCCGAGTTTCCAGCGAGCAGTGAACAGGATTCTGGACAAGGAACCAGCAAGGCGGCACCCACGCGGACGATCTCGGTCTTCCCCTGCACAGACAGTGACGTCCAGGCAGTGCGTTCGCCACGAGCAGATGGCGCTATTGAGGAACCCGAACTGTCGTGCGACATTTTCGAGCGTACGCCCATCAGCTGAGATGCTATGGAACCCAATGACAGACCCCGTATGGGGCCGCGGACTCGACCCCGACGCCAGTGGAGAGACGGATAGACGACCTCACGGCCGATAACAAAGACTCGGACGTCGGGGACACCGTTTGCAAAGCCTGTAGCGGCCGGGTCCGACGGGGGGAGAGGAGGGCACATTGACCCTCTAGGGAGACATGATAGACGGCCCAGCCGTGGCTGAATACCCCCATTGGGCAAGATTGACGATTTTGCGTTTTCTCACGATGCGCCGGGGGTGATGTGTGTTCCTGGAACCAGAGCCCGATTAGCTTTGGGACGATCCATCGTTCAAGATCTCCCGTCTCCGCGAATGAACGAGGCTGCAGATGGTCCGAGGGTCTTGATATGGGGCTGCGATCTCCACCACCCCCGTCCAGACTATGCCAATAGTGCCGGTTCAGCCACGGTGGCGAAGTACTCCCTCCTGGTTCGCGACGACTCCCGAGCGGCACTTTGTGCACGTTATACACAATAGTCCTGTTGCGGTTGAGGCATGATATCCACTTGCTTGTCTTGTCGGGTGTCACAAGCCCGGCATTTGCCCTCTGCGGTGGAGCGCCGAACAGAGCCTATCTGGCCCGCTGGTCCGGTTGGATCTAGATGGCCTCCGGGTTGTCCGATTGGGATTGTATCGAGGAAGGAATCATGATTGTCGCGAAGGAGGTACGAAAGAGGGAGTTGATAGTGTTGTGAAGTTCAGTTTTCAGATCCCGGTGGCGCATCCACGTGTGTATATAAGACCCCTGTACGTTCGTTGCAACGTGCTATAGAGTTGTAGCAGATAGCCTTATCAGAAACGCCATCAAGTTGAACTCTTTCTTTCAACTGTATTCTTCTCCTCGTGCAGACTTTGCAACATGTCGCTCCTCCAGGTCCTGCAGCAGACCATCCTTCCCACGCGGAAGCCCAGCGAAGACGAGCACGTCCCGGTGCGGCTCCCCAACATGTTCGTGCTGTTCCTATCTGGCCAGCCAGACGTAAACCCCTATTACGAGTCCGTGAGGAGAGCGTCGGAAATGTGGCTATCAAAGTTTGTACCCCGGGTCGCACCCATGGATCGGTCCAGGGCTCACGGATATCCGAAAATAGCCAGTGCTCATTCGACGAGCGAGCGCAGCGCATCTTGTTCAAGACCGACTTTTCATACTTCTGCTCGATTTGCGCCCCGTACGCCGGCGCAGAGGAGCTGCGCACCGTGTGCGACTGGGGAAATTGGGTATGTCCTGTCCATATACTTCTAGACCACGCCTTGTGGAGTGTGCTGACGGTGGGCCGACAGGTGTTTCCGTTCGATGACAGTGGGTCTTATCGCCTCGTGTCTCAATCGTTCCACGGTCCCGGCTAACCGCTCAGTTTTTGATAACGGGGGACTGAAGGATGACCCCGAGGGAGCTCAACAGCTGATCAACAGTTTGTTGGAGGGGATGGACAATGATGGGGTTGCTCCGCGCTCGGAGAACAGCCTAGTCCAGGTGCATAATACTGTGTGGGAGAGAGTAGCCAAGGGGTCCCCCGTCGGTATGCGCATTGACTGCTCCGGATATTCGGCATACTGACCGTCTTCAGGCGTCCGGCGGAGATTTGCAAATGCCATGAAGAACTATTGCACGGGGACCCTGGAGCAGGTGCGCAACTGCTCCAATGGGGATTACCCGACCTTGCAAGAGATGCTCGATTTGCGCCGACAGTCGTCTGGGGTTTCTCCCCTGTTTGCCTTGGTAGAGTACGTGAGCGTGAGATGTCAGCTTTGGGCATGGCTAACGAGCACTTGGAACTAGATACGCACACAAACTCAACCTTCCAGACTCGGTTTTCGAGACGCGAAGCATCCGGGAGATCGAGAGACTCGGAATCGACCTTGTACTGCTGTGGGTCTAGATCAAAAACTTGTACTACCAGCACTGACACTAGACCCAGGCAAAACGATATCCTGTCCTACTGCAAAGAAGAGGTAAGTTCACACTATTCACACTATCGCTCAGCCACAGGCAACACCGTTAACCCGGCGCAGAAAGAAGGGGTCACGCATAACATGGTGGCCATTTGCCGCCACGCTGGGATGCCGGCCCAAATGGCCTTTGACCACATCGGGGAGATGTTGGTATCGTGCTATCGCGACTGGTACATGGCCCTAGCGGAGCTGCCCAGCTGGGGAGAGCGCATCGACGCCGAGGTCCAGCAGTACATCCGGGGCGTCCAAAACGTGGTCATGGCGAACCTTAATTGGAGGTATGGAGACTGATCGGCCTCGAGTTGAACTAGATCCGCTTGCTAACGTGAGTGTTCAATAGTTTCCGCTCTGGACGGTACTTTGGAAAAGCCAATGACCAGGTTCGGAAGACAGGGATCGTGATGGTACGGCCGCAGAAGGTGGATTTGGAGTTGTCCATGTTGAATCTGTAGATATCCCATCTGAATGAATATATACTGTAGATGACTATCTTGGTTGTATCATCAATTGATACCGTCGTGTGAAGCTATTGTACTGACAGGGGCCTGATTGGTTGGCGCCGTCACCACAGCCTCGTTAGTCTCATTAGCCTTGTTGGGATCTCTCCAGCCGCACTCTTCTTCCTTCTTCCTCTTCTCCTCCCTTTCTCAGGCTGATACGCCTTCTCCCAAAGACAATCTTCTACTGTATCCCCCCCAATCGCCATGACCAGGCTCAAGCGACGTCGTCCCCGACCAGAAGACTTCACAATAGCTTGGATATGCGCCCTCCCCCTGGAGTACGCCGCCGCGAAGCAAAGCCTCGATGACTTGTACGAGGAGCTAAACGAGTACACCACTGGCCGTATCCACAACCATGAAGTGGTTCTCGTCTGCTTGCCGGCCGGTCGCATCGGAACAAACGCTGCTGCTGCCGCCGTTGCCAGGATAGTCTCAACCTTTCCCTCCGTCAAGGCAGGTCTTCTTGTCGGGATTGCTGGGGGTGTTCCAAGCTCCAAAGCCGACATTAGGCTCGGTGATGTTGTCATCAGCCAACCAGAGGGAAAGTATGGAGGCGTGGTACAATATGATTACGGAAAGACCATCACAAATGGCTTTCAAGAGCGTACCGGATCTCTGAACTCGCCTCCCCGTATCTTACTCACAGCTGTTTCCAAAGCCAAGTCGAATCTGTCCATTTCCAGAAGAAATATCAGTGAGCGTCTTGCTGCCACCAACACGGTTCTGCCTCCTCCAGAGTTCGATATACTCTTCCATTCCTCATACGACCATCCCCAAGGGCACAGCACATGTTCCAGTTGCAACATGACCATGCTTGTGGAGCGCGAGCCGCGGCAAGACAAGCATCCATTGATATTCTTCGGCACCATTGCGTCCGGAAATCAGGTCATCAAGGACGGCATCTCAAGAGATCGCATCAGCTCCGGGCTTGGCGGAGTACTCTGCTATGAGATGGAGGCCGCCGGTGTGATGAACGAACTACCGTGCTTGGTCATTCGCGGCATCTGCGACTATGCTGATTCTCATAAGAGCAAACAGTTTCAGCCTTTTGCTGCGGCTACTGCCGCAGCTTGCGCAAGGGAAATACTTTCCTACGTTCATGCGACATCGCCTGGTAGTCAGCAATTACCCGCTCATGATCATTCCGAGTCGGTCCAGAGCGAAGCTCAGTTTCAGGACCGCCTAACAGCTGAAGAGAAACGGTCCTTCTTAGCGGCTTTGAAGTTCGACCAGATACATGCGCGGCACTCCACAATCCGGCTGGCTCATGTCAAGACCTGCCAGTGGCTACCACGGAGCGAAAAATATCAGCAGTGGCTCGACCCAAACAGCTTTGGCGAGCACCATGGGTTTTTATGGATCAAAGGGAAGCCAGGAGCTGGCAAGTCGACCTTGATGAAATTTGCTTTCGGTAAAGCCGTCCGACAATTTGCTAACGCTACTGTAATCTCCTTCTTCTTCAACGCCAGAGGCGACGACCTAGAGAAATAGGTATCGGGAATGTTTCGCTCGCTTCTATTTCAACTCCTGGAAAAGATACCTGATTTGCTGAATATCTTTTGCTTGGTTCCCAAAACTGTACTGCATAGCGAAGTGGTGCAATGGGAGATGGAGACGCTGAAATCTCTGTTCAGGAGCGCTGTCGAAAAGCTCCAAGGCCGTACCCTGGTGTGCTACATTGATGCACTCGACGAATGCGATGAAAATCAGATACGAGACATGCTTTCCTTCTTTGAACAACTAGGAGATCTGGCTGCGTCCGAGCATTTCCGGCTTCTAGTCTGTTTTTCAAGCCGTCATTACCCACACATCGCCATTAACAAAGGGCTGGAGCTTGTCTTGGAGGACCAGGAGGGCCACGGTGACGACATTACAGCCTATGTACACGCAGAGTTAAAGGCTGGGCGCAGCAAGCAAGTGCAAAAGATCAAACAGGAGATCATTGCCCGTGCCTCCGGAGTCTTTTTATGGGTCGTCCTTGTCGTCCAAATACTCAACAAAGAGCATGATCGTGGTCGTGTACATGCGCTAAAGAAAAGACTGTCTGAGATTCCAGATGGACTACATGAGCTGTTAAAAGACATCTTAACACGAGACAATAACAACATGGAGGACACGCTACTGTGTATACAGTGGATCCTCTATGCACAACGGCCGTTGACTAGAGAGGAGCTTTACTTTGCTATAATTGGTGCCACCGAGACTGATCCATCACTGCTTGAGTGGGATCAAAATGAAATCACCCCAGAAGACATGAAGCGATTCATTCTCGATTCCTCAAAAGGCCTTGCCGAGCTCACAAAGTCAAAGCGCCCTACTGTGCAGTTCATCCACGAGTCAGTTCGAGACTTTCTCAAGGATGAAGGATTCCGCAACCTTCATGCAAACGTGGGCAGTGTCGCCCCAGGACCGGGCAACGAGGCTCTCAAGAAATCTTGTCTCAACTACGTGACCTTAGACCTGTCTACCTGTGTGATAATACCAGACCCATTGCCAGTTGCAAAATCTGAAGATGCAAAACATCTGCGGGAAATCGTTGCCGAGAAATTCCCTTTCTTCAGGTACGCGGTGCAGAATGTGTTCTACCATGCTGATACTGCACTCGGACATGGAATCTCACAAAGACATTTTCTGGAGACGCTTCCCCTTGGCCATTGGCTTTTGAAGAATAACATTTGCGAGCAACACGAAATACGCCGCTACACAGAAGATGCAAACCTACTTTACGTCCTTGCTGAAAAGGATTGTGCGAACCTCATATCATGCGCGCTTGACTTAGTTCACGGTCTGAGTATCCTCGGTCAGCGGTATGATCATCCATTGCGGGCTGCCGTCGTACATGGCAATGAAAAGGCAGTGCGTGTGCTATTGACACATCCATTTTTGGGCAGATACGCAGCCCTAGAGTGGTTGACAGGCCTATTGAAGGATGCAGTGCGCTCCAGAAATCGCGAGATCGTGAAGATGCTATTAGACAATACCTATACAGAGATAACAGACGACCTTCTTCACATGCTAATATTCACAGTGGAAAAGGCACCTTTGGAGATTGTCAAATTGCTGATAGAGAGAAGCATTAACCCAAATACTCCAGACTGTGACGGCCAAACGCTACTCTCATATGCAGTGCAAAGATCTTCTCCAGAAGTGGTGAATTTATTCCTGAATAGGGGCGACAACCCCGACAGTGAAGATGCGCTTAGATGCACACCGTTGATCTACGCAGTGGGCAGGGCACTTGGGGTGTTTGAGCAGCTGTTAATATGCGCCACTCTGGATGCTAAAGAGCGTACTGACCGGTCGACGCATTTATTTGCGGCATTGAGATCAGCCTTAGAAGTTATACGGCTACTTCTGGATAGAGGCTGCAATCCAAACGCAAAAGACATCCATGGCTGCACACCCCTGCTTTATGGAAAGGGGAAACCGTATTCACTGGTTGCTGTGATGAGGCAAATGAGAAAGGTTCATCCGAATGCCGAGCTCCACGACGGCAGAGCGCCACCTCCATTCACGACAGAAGAATACTTGCTAGAGATGATACGACTACTGCTTGAAAAAGGCGGTGACCCGAATGCCATGGACCGGGGCGGCCGTACACCACTATTTCATGCGGCCGGATGTTTTTCTAAAAGTGTTGTGGGGTTGCTGCTAGATAAAGGCGCGAAAGTGAACCTGACAGATCCTAAAGGTCACTCGCCAATATGTCATGCAATAGCACGATGGGATCAGCCTATGATGACATTCCTGTTAGACAGAGGTGCTGTTGCAGATTGTCCTGTTCATCTCCTATCGACACCAGAAGTCAATTTGACGTGAGTGGTGGAAGTGCATAAGAATTTTCTTTTCTTTCCTGGACCAGAGCAATAACCTGGGCATTAACTCCACAATATGACGGAGCTTCATCCTTCTGTTAAGACTAACATCCCGCATAAGAAGTAAATTGTACCCTCTTGGTGTTAGGAAACCAAGGCGATAATCTCTCTTCAATACAGCAATGATAAATAAGTACATTTGACAGCGATGTACGTACCATGCACCTACCCCTGTCAAGTCGTGGCGAGTATTGCTGCTATATATACAGATCCTGCATTTCGAAAACATCGCCATGCCCTCTTCTGTTCTTCTCTCTCTCTCTCTCTCTCTCTCTCTCTCTCTCTCTCTCTCTCTCTCTCTCTCTCTCTCTCTCCCTCTCTCTCTCTCTCTCTCCCTCTCTCTCTCTCTCAGGTCCCCCAAGCTACACCTTCCAGTCTGCTGATGAACAACCGGATAATCAGCATCCGGAGTAATCCCTCGAATGAAGCCGAGACCTATGCCAGTAACATCTGCCATGGTAGTCACCCATAAGAGAAGGCCAAAAGTACATACGAGATGTACCTGTGGTACAAGCAGTCAAAGACATTCGTAAGATCCAGGATGACCTGCCGTCTCATATAGGACCTAACGCGTGGCTGATCTCATGCCGGGTCTCTTGACAAGCGGAACAGGAGCTTGCAGCTGAGGGTAGACCGTGCTTGAACTGCCATAGGAAGGCGTTGGAAGGCCTCGTGGAGAGGCGTTGTGGAAGGAGGATATAGTAGGGGTCTTGTGTCCTGTGTGGCCCAATATGGGGTTTATCGCAAGATTAAAGAGGGTCTGCATTTTGACATGTCGCTTGATAGCATTAGAGTGGGAGGGTGCAAGAATGATTCTAGTGTAATTGAACATTGTTCTCTGCTATGCAACTTGCTCTACTCATAGTGATGTCATTCGTTCATGAGTACTGCCTCAGCTGATTATGAGGAACAAAGACACGATGGTTGCATGGTAGAAAGCTTGCTTAAGTTTGGTCTACTAGACATAGATCATTTTTCAACACATTTGATTGAGTGAAGCTGGGCTCATATTCTATTTTAGGAAATTGGAGTAACACACGGCCATCAAGGGTGAAAAGATGATAACTTTACCTGAGATAATGCAGTCGCCGTGCTGAGAATCCTCATTCATACTACTGCCCACTACATTCTACACTTATCCCTCATATGATTCTAAACCATGCATTGAATATACACTAAGAACAGGAAGGTAAAAAGCCCGATCATCCCAGATGCGCCGCAACAAAGGGTATGCAGCGCAAACACATTGAAACCATAGAATAAAGCACAGTGGACAAATTAGTCGGGGCCTGATCATCCCTCTCCCTGCCAAACGCCCCTAGCCTGTGCTGATGCAGGTTGAATGCATAACAAAACGCCGGAAACTGGAACAAAGCAAAGCCCGATCATAGGTAACAAGCAGTAAATAGAGAATAGACACGGAAGAAACGAAGCAGGTCATTACTGGACATCACAAGTTAGACTTCCATCGAGTCCGCAATTTCCTCGCTCATGGCGCGGACAGTTCCCTTGCTACCAGAGCGAGAACGGAACTCTTCATCGCTGAGCAGATAATTGTCGTATTCGTCGACCACAGGACGCGACGGTTTTGACGTCGCTTCCTCCTCGCTGGAGCTTTCCTGCTCCAGATCAACGTGTTCGCCAAGCCAGTAGCGGGCCCGCTTGCTCGATCCGAGGTCGGGGGTCAAGTAGCCATCATCGAACGTGCGCTTCGTCGTGGGTGTGGCGAACCCATCGCCTTCGCTGGGTGTGTGACTCAGGATGGGAATCGCGCGCAAGTAGAGATAGCACACGCGCTTCCGAATACGGTTGAAGAAAAAGTAATGGAGGCTCCAGATAGCACCGTCATCGGCATCAGAGGGGTCTTCCTCTGGAGAGTACGAGTATATGGAGCATTCCTTCAGCGACATCTGTTCGTCGATAATTCGCCACATGCGAGGGCCCCAGGTAGATGACGCTCCGGCGTTATAGGATCCGGACACGGTCACCGGTGAAGGGGGTGTCATATCCATGGTCTCGCGTGGGCGCAGATTGAACAGCGTCGTATCGATGGTATTCATCACGCGCTTCAGGTTCCGCTCGCGATGGAAGTCTGACGGCCGTAGCACATGTGAGAAGTCGTAGTCCGGATGGCTCGCGTTGAGGGTCGCGATCAAGTAGGCAAACGTGCGCCGGCTCGAATGCTCACTCAGGGGTCCGAAGGGACTGGACCGCGATAGATTCAGGGAGGCGGCCGCGTCTGACGCGTTGGGCGGAGAAAGCGATGCGGACAGTCGAAGGACGGATTCATATTGGGCTTCAAGGGACTGCTCAATGTTCTTGTACAGTTTCCGGTCGGCGCGAGCGGCCTTGGTGGTATACAGGTCGCAGCCGCCGAGGATGTGACAATCGGCGGTATCGAAATTCAATGAACTCGTCACGTCTTCGATATCGGGGAGGGGTAAGAACTATGATGACGAAGCCATTAGTACACGATCCGATGGGGTGAGAGTTGGGAGCGTCAGCGCATCCGGAACACACCTTCATCTTTACCGAGGTTATCCGTCCAGGAATAGAGGGATCGATGCGCAATAAGTGATAAGGTGAGAGAATTTGAAGAAATCGACAACCAGGTCGCAGGAGAGAGAATTAGAGCGTTATCAACCAAGTTCGGCGCAGTCGACGTGGTCGCTATCAGGAGAGTGGAAACGTAGCCGATCGGAGATAAGGAGACGGTGAACACTGGCGGAGGTCAGGAGATAAAGAGACGGTTAACAAGGGGAGATCACAGCACACAGGGCCATGACTGAGACAGCGCGATAAAGAAGGAGATGAAATGAAGGATGGATAGATGGAGATAGATGATGGTGTCAGGTTGCGCGTTGCGATCGAGGGGGGGAAGGAGGGTCACGTGGCGACCGGGCGCGGCCAGTGATATCACTCGGTCACCTCACGGGTCCGGCCATTCTTGGTCGTCCCAGACTTGCTCTCTCTGTGAATCTCGCTGTAAAAGAACGGAATTAATTAGTTCATCGCAAACAATAATAAATGCTGTCAACGCCTATGTACGTCCAACGCCGTGTAGTAGTATCTCTGTCCCGCAGTAAACGTACAAACCCTCCAGGAGTAAAGCCATCTTCCAGCAGTTATAAACACAGGAACGCTCAGTTGCCGAATCCGAATGCCGCTACATGATCTTCGTAACCACGTCTTCCTCGACCTGGGGGAGAATGAGGTTAGCCTGGGTGGTCCAGTTGGTCATTCACGTGGGGCCATGGGTGAATGTGAGGAGATCTGAGGGCAACTAAGGGATACGGGGGTGTATGGGCCGTGCATGAGGTGGAGGTGTCCGATCCAACCAACGGGGAGTCGCGAATCTCGTGGTGAAGGGAGGGTAGGTTGTAGACGGGGAGATGAAGATCCCAGTGAACGAAGGGCAACGCTCGGTGGACCAACACAACGAATTTCAACCCGTCGCATTCCATCAGGCGTCCTAGGCGGTCTCCATCCACTCAGGGGCGTGGTCATCACTCACCTCCATGTCTTCCAGACTGTCTTGCTGGCTAATGCACCGCAAGACGTTCTTCTTGCTGCTTTCCTGCATCTCGCCTGCCAACAATAACTCGTCCAGAATGAAGTATGCCTTTTGGAAGTTGAAGATGATGTCCAGCTCGCACACGTTGCCGTAGTACTTGTCCATTTGCTCGACGTATCGGTGCACGATTTCGAGGGTGATCAGCTCGTTGTCATCGGAAGCGCATCCGGCGATGAAGAACAGGGAGGCATAGCGACGGTAAACGACTTTGGTATCTGGAGAGGCGGCGAACTGTCAGTTGACTGTGGGAGACGAAAGAAGCAATTGCAAGACAGGGTCCAGCAAAGGTTACCGGAGGCACAACGATGGAGGGGTAGACCTACCCTTATACTCAAGGAAATTGCACATCCGCGTGCGACGGGACAGAACGAGCTGGGTCACATCCTTGATGATCTTGGCCTTCTCCTTGGGGGAGAGAGTAGTGAACCATTTGGCAAGGCGCTGAAGCAAAATTATCTGGTCAGTTCCTCCGAGCCTGAGTGCGGATGAAAGTTGGGTGGGTGACGAGACGTACCACTTTGCCTTGGCGGGAGAGCAAAATCAAATAGCTAGAGGATGAGGTTAGCGCATTTTCCGTTGATCTGACGGAGAGCGAACACGCACTGGATAGCCATGGTGTGAGGGGAGAGGGGTGGATGGAAAGGAGAAGTGGCCACGAAAGGGGAGAGTTGTGGGCGGAATCAACAACATCTCCGAGCTGGGGACAATTTCTTCGCGGCCCGCACGGCTGCCCCGCTGTCATTCTCCAACACAGAGCATTCAAATAAGAGGGTTTGCCCAGTACTAGGGTCTTTTATTTATGAGGATTAATTGTTAAACTGGCAGATATGACTCATGTCTATATGACTGTCATTAATTATCTGGTCATGGAGAGGTGAGTAATCCAACCCGGAAAATCCTCGGGATAGCAGAGCATCTCCAACTAAACAGAAAGACAGATAGGTATCAAATTCAGGTACTTCTTCTCATCTGAGAATGAGAAAATGCTTTCTTATAATATCCACAAACACTTTCCAACGCTTCTGCGCTCGCAATAGTCCCTCCATTGAGATATGGCAGCAGAAATAATGTCCACACAGCTTGGGCACATGGAGTCATGTCCAAAGCTAAGATGAAAGAATACCTGAATCTGTTCGATTCATGTTCCCTCCACCTACATCTCCTTCGCACGCCAGCAAGCCATACTTATAACTTGACATACGGTTCATACAATACGCTGGCGCATGCCTATGACTAAAACAAGATCAGTCTCAGAACGGTATACCAAGCTAAGCGCTTCTCACACAACAGATACAAACCTGAGGCTAGGTAAGCGTGCTAGCAATTTTGATACCTCCTACAGTCCCTGCAAGTCCAACCGCGCGCCTACCGTACCTCAAGAACCCGCAGCTTATAGATCCCGAAACGCTGGGTTGCAGGCATTCTAGGCTGTTTATTAATCCCATCGGCCCCCCATCAATCATGATGATATTCTCAACGGTGCTTGGTCAGACAGCTGTCCCACCAATGTCCGATCCAGAATCCCGAGCAAATTTTCCAACCTTACTGAATGCGTCCACCGTATTCCACGAGCTGACCGGTTCGCGAGGGAGGGAGCAGCTGATCCGAGCTCTGTGTCTTTAAGTTCTGTGTTCCACTGGTACTGCAGGAGCTCTTGGACCCAATGGGAGGAAGAAAGTGAGGTAGTATACCACTTTCAAAGCCAGCGCAATCCCGATCCTGGTGACGGCATCAATGTTTCATGCCGGACCTTGGCGGAAGGAGTGATAGGAAGAGAAGCATAACGGTGGTGAGAATGAGGCTGCCTGCATTAGTTGTTGATCGTACCTGGCGGCTGTCTATGCCGCGCAATATAAATTCTTCACGTCGACTTGGCGTGCTGGAGTTTGTACCAACGCCCCGTCTGTGAGAAATCATCCCTATCGAAAAAAAATTCTTATATTACTACTGCCGAACAACCGAGCCAAATCTGGAATCTCTCTTCCTCCCTCTATCGTTGGTTGGAGTCGGATCATGATTTCATGATCGCCCATGACGTAGCAGATTCGGCCGCGGCATATCGTCATACACCAGCTCCCTCCGCCCATTCCGCGCCTCAAATATCAATCCCTTCCAACCGTCCCCTCTTCAACCTTTTCTTTTCGGGTTAAATCTCCGTTGATCAGGAAAATCTCACCAGCTCCTTCACGATCGCGTCGTCTTCTCCTTCTTCTGTGCACCTTCGACACTGTCCAGCGAGTGAATCCGCCGACAGCAACCACCACGTACCAGAGTAATCTCCGTCGTCAACATGGTTATGAGAGCTGTTCAGATCGGCCTGCGGGTGTGGGAGGTAGGTGATCGTGATCCCAGCCGCGAACGCATCGCAGCAATCTTCAGATCGAAGAATTCATCTGACAGACTCCCGCGATAGTTTGTCTTCACCCTGCTCATCATGGCCCTCGTCGGTAACATGATCGACGAGTCCTTCGCAGGCAACCCGGCCGTCGTTAACTACACCATGTTCGCTGCAGCATTCTCCATGTTCACGTTGTTCTACCTGTTCCCCTCGTCGATGAACATCGACTGGGCAGGCCACCCCATTATCGTGATCATCGTGGATCTGCTTAACATGCTCATCTTCCTGACCGCTGGTATTGCGCTCGCTGCCAAGCTCGAAGCCCACGACTGCAGCAACCTGGTGCGTCATTCAATCTGTTTTCCTTTTCATTCGCTGTAGATAAATGGTGGTGTCATCGCGAGGATGGATACTACCAGATCGATCCGCCGCCCCACATCACGGCTACGCAGGGCCCACTAGCTAATCGTCGATAATCTGCAGGACTACACCCTCAACAACTCCGTCACCAACGGCTCCGTCGACCCCGAGAAGCGCTGCCGTGAGGCCCAGGCTAGCACAGCCTTCCTCTGGTTCACCTGGGCCGGCTACACCGCCTCGTTGGTCTTCTCCTTCCTGTCCGCCCGCAGAACCGGTGCCGATCTCCGTTCTCGCGTTGGTCCTGCCCGTGGAGCCCGCCCCAGCATGGCCCAGGTGTAAGCATTGCGAGATGTATGTTCCACTTTGAACGTTTTCCTGTTTATAGTATCGAACCCGAGCTAATGGCGATAGCTCTTGCAATGCGGTGTCTGGAGACTGCGACAACGATAACCACGATACGAATTTCATGCGCAGGTGTGGCGTTGCGCCGTTAGTATGAGTGGCACGATGTCGAGGCTTTGGAATACAGTTACCGGAAACCACACTCCGCTTACTTTGGAGTGTTAAAACTATGTCAGCGATATGACCTAATTCTCAGCTATTAATAATGTTACAATGTTGGTTAGTGGAGTTTGGACGGGCTGGTGTCGAGGTCTCCATGGGAGATTTGTGCGGCATGTATCATCCTCTGATGGTGTGGTTTGGTAGGATAGGTTGAGGTCCGGAGCTAATGGAGGACCTGGCGTTATTGTGTTTGCTTTACATGTTTGATAGTGTAATCTGAACGAGAGTTGTTGGTCTGTTGGTCTGTTGGAAATTGGCTTTGATTGCCATGTAGCGATTCCAGTGTCGAGTTGAGCTACGAGGAATGACTCTATAGAACATTGACGACGTAGTCAGGCTTTCAGATGGTTTAAAAAGCGACACTGCGTTTCCAATGTAGTCTTTGCCCATCTTATCCAGATTATAAGTCCATCTAGAAATCACTCATACTAACAGCGACTCTAGCGACTCCACTCGTCTGGGTACTTGTAACATTTACTTTCTCTCTTGATATTACTGTACTAGATCTGATTTCTGAACCATTGGTATACGGCTGGTATGCTGACACCCGATCGTATATCCCTTTGATGTGATATGGCGTATAGGCTGGAAATATATATTGACATTGTTGGTGTTCAGGATTGACAACGTGCTGCCAATAGCCCCTGCCGATAGACATGGAGCCAGCCATTCAGATGGCGCTTAAAATAACACAGTACATAGCTATCTAATCTTATCCATCTACCGAGCCGTGCCTAGGGCTGTCTAGATCAGTCTACCTAGATACTCTGTACACGGTAGTTGACTCGAGTATACAGGTGGTCCGTGCACGTGCGGCGTACGGGGAAAGCTGTCCGTTCCCTTGCACAACCCCATCCCTCCCACCTTCACTCTCTCCCTACCCCCTCACCCTCCAATTCCCACCATGGCCGACGAAGAGGAGCGCCTCAAAGCTGAGAAGCTGGCCGCTGCCAAGAAAAGGGTAAACATCCCATTATCTCCCTCGCTACCCCCATCCAAAGAACCAGACGTGGCTCACTATGTTACAGGTAGCCCAGCTCCAAAAACAAAAGAAGAAAGCCAACAAAAAAGCCTCCACCAAAGACTCAGAACCATCAAAAGATGCGGCTGCGCCTTCAGAGTCCTCGCCGGCGAAGGAGTCTGCCTCCGACGAAACCGCCGAACAGAAGCCCAGCGAGGAGAAACCCACCGAACAACCGAAACCCGACGAGCAGCCGTCCGAACAACTGTCCGAACCCAAAGACAATGACAAGACCGACGAAACAACAGCCGAACCTCCGCGCGAAGAATCCCCCACAGAACCCATGCCCGACGCCCCGACGTCCCCCGGCCCTGACGCACAGCCCCAACTCCCCAAGATAGACACGGCGACGAGTCCGCCGTCGCGCGGCGCCCACGGCCGCCAGCCGTCGCTGTCGATCCAGTCGAAGATGCGGTCATCGTCGTTCCGCAAGACGTCCATCTCGCAGGGAAGCCTCTCGCCGTCTCCGTCCGCTGCGATCAAATCGCCGTCGCTGCCGCCGCTGACGGCGGACGGGGACTCCGTGCATGAGGTGTACCGCAAGCAGTCGACGCGGATCGACGAGCTCGAGAAGGAGAACAAGCGGCTGGAGAAGGAGCTCGAGGAGGGCACGGCGCGGTGGAAGAAGACGGAGGAGGAGCTGGAGGATCTACGCGAGGCGAGTGTCGATGCGGCGGAGTTGAAGGACCGGCTTGAGAAGGCAGAGCAGAAGGCCGGGGAGATTGAGGAGCTGGTAAGGCTGCTACCTGCGAGGAGATAGGAACGTGATGCTAACGAACTGGTGTAGAAAGCCGAAATCGCCTCCCTGCAACGACAAAACTCGCACCTGCAAACGCGCACCCACCGCAACAACGCCAGCGTGTCCGCTCCCGGGCCATCGGAATCCCCGCCGTCGGATCTCATGCAGCAGCTGGAATCGAAATCCGCCACCATCGAGGCGATGGAGCTCGAAATCTCCAACCTGCGCGCGCAGCTGTCGTCGAGCGCCGCGCACGAGACGCAAATATCAGCTCTGGAAGAGAAGCTCGCGCGCAGCGAGTCCGCCCTTGAGAAGTCCCAGAACGAACTGACGGATACCAAGGCCGCGCTTACGCGCGCGTCGGAGAAAGCCGTCAAGGAGGGCGTGGACAAGACGTCGACGGAGACGCTGATCAAGAGCCTGCAGCGCGAGACGGAGGAGCTGAAAACAGAGAAGGCGGAGGCGACGAAGAAGATCGAGACATTAGAAAAGAAGCTCGAGGCGATGGGCAACCTGCATCGCGAATCCGAAGCACGACACCAGGCGCGGCTGCGCGAGAGCGAAAAGACTGAGAAGGAGGCGGCCGTGCTGCGCAAGCGGCTCGCGACCGTCGAGAACGAGAACCTCCGCCTGAAAGAGGACCTCGAGACGCTGCGCAAGCGGGACGGCGGCGCGGACGACGACGCGCTCGACGAGCTCGAAGACGAGGAGCGCTCGCGGCTGCAGCGCCGCATCCGCGAGCTCGAAGGCGAGGTGTTTGACCTGCGCCGCGGGGTGTGGAAGGAGAAGCGCCAGGAACTCGATGCCAGCGGCGCCGGGGATGGCGCCGACTTCTCCTACGCCGATTCGGCGACGAATCCCTCCGCCGCCAACGCCTTTGACGACGTCGACCTCGTCGGCGGGACGCCCGAACACGCGCGCAGACGCAGCATGGCTATGCAGCAGCACTCGTCGTTCTCGACGGTGCTCTCCAGCGGCATCGCGGCGTTCACGGGTGGAGGCTCGTTTGGCGGCGGTCGTGGCCGGGCAGGCTCGCACCAGCAGCACCCACCGGCTACACGCGGCAGCCTGGAGCTGCTCTCGGAGGAGAACTTTGACGATGAGTTTGATGAGGCGGAGTTTGCGCGGGCCCAGGCCGAGGAGGAGGCGCGCAAGCGCGTCGAGTGGGTGCGCGAGATCAAGAAGAAGCTGAGGGACTGGCAGGGGTGGCGGCTGGATTTGGTGGACAGTCGCGCCGGAGCCGAAGGCGCTGGCGTGGGCATGGGCGAGATTTTCCAGATCTAGACAGACGTTTATAATGTATTCATGGTTCATGATTGGAAATATACTAGCCATTGATTGCGACGCACAGATACAGTTACATTGGATACGTACGTAGCTAGGATATCTAAAAGGAACAAATGCCAAAAGGATTCTCTAACACCAACACCAATGCCCATAAACATGCATCAAACAGACAAAACAGCATTCCCAGAAAGTTACATCACCTAATCCTCCGCATAATGCTTCCCATTCAGCACACCCTCGGACTTCGCACGGCCCCGTCTCCGGCTCACCAGCTCGGCTACCCACCCGGACATCTGGTACAGCCACCCGCCGGTGACCATGACACCGGAGACGGTGTTGACGAGGCGGATCAGCAGCGACAGGAAGCTGCCGCGCTCCTCGCTGATGAGCAGCAGGATGGGCTCGATGTTGTACTTGAAGAAGATGCCGGGGACGAAGAACGGGCTCTCGGGGAGGGCGTCGGACTGGCTGGTGGCGGCGTACTGGTTCGTGAAGACGAGGTTCTTGTTGTGGCGGCTGTTATCGTGCAGCGTCGGCGGCGCGATCGAGTACGTGTCCAGGACGCGGTTGCCCTTGGAGTAGATGGTCGGCACGACGGAGAGGAAATACTGGAACTTGTAGTAGTGGGTTTCGGTCTCGGCGATGGTCTTGTCGAGGGGGTTGAGGAGGGTGGGATAGTGTGGGCCGAAGGAGAGCTCGGTGATCATGTGGCTGAAGTTGAAGGCTGTTTCATCGTTAGTAGCGAATCAACGACGGGTACTAGAGAGTAGAAAGAGAGCATACTCTGGTGATCCAGGTGCGGCGCAAAATCTCGGTATCCATGGCCGCGCGCCGTGATGTGAAAGTCACCCTGCACCTTGTTCCCCTCGAGACTGCCGTAGATGCGGCACGAGTCGACGGCGTCGCCACGGCGCAGCTTGGGCGACTTGGGGAACTTCTTGCGCGGGTTGCGGCGCACCTCGCCGAGGACGTGGTGCACGTGGGCGTCCTCGTCCTGGGCCTCCAGCCGGCCGGCGTCCTCCTGGCTGAGGGTCTGGTACTCGTGGGAGCCACCGTAGGACTCGTAGTTGCGCTTGTCCATCCACAGTTGCCAGCTGGTGGGCTCGCGCTTGAGCAGCTCGCCGGCCAGGACGCGGTCACCGGCGGCGTCCTGGATGTTGACGTCGAGGGTATCGCAGGGCATCTCGACGACGATGTCCAGGTTCAGCTGGAGGTCGTGCGAGACGCCCTTCTCGACGCTGAAGTGGTGGTTCTCGGTGCCGCGGAGCCCAGGTGCGGAATTCGGAGACGGAGAAGACGGTGCAGATAATGAGGATGAGGACGGTCCCATTGTCCGCCGCGGCGGGAGGGAGCGGTGTATGAGGGCTTTGTTTTGGCTGGATGGGGTGGTTAGCTTGACCTTGTTTACAAACTTCCCGAGGCGGATAGGCTGGGATTCACGCGCGCCGACTGTCTCGATTGAGCAATCGGGCTGGCCGTCGTAAGACAACACGGCGAAAAGATGGGGAGACGTACGGAAGGCGTCGAATGTCTTCAAGCCGCCCTGCAGCTGAGACTTTTCCCCGAACGCTTCATCGTCCAGGTGGTGGTGTCCTCCGTACCCATTCATCACGAAATCGTATGGCGGGAGGGACAAGAGGAATCACCGATCAATGCATGAATGATCGAGAAAGAAACACAAGGGAGGCCGTGGTTCCAAAGGAGCGATAGACACGACGGGGCAGAGGCAGAGGAGGGGAGAGAGAGAGTTGCAAGGCGGAGATGGGATGAGGCCAAGTAGTCCGGATCGGCTTATCGCTTATCAGATCCGACGCCCATCTATTTCGACTACACCCATCCAGTTGTATACAACCACCACCAGGATGTGAGGACATCTGAAATCATCACCATAACAATGCTGCTGAGGCTATAAGTCTCGGCTGCTGCCTTCACATGTTCACATGCTTCGTGACACTATTCTGCACCCTCCATATCCTGATTTATGAATCATGTATAAGTTAGATTCAACGTTGAAAAGTCAGAATATGCATCTGAAATCTCATGATTAGCGGACCTCTATCACTGACTATTCTCTCGATTATTCCATTCTAATATATCATATCTTCCTACCAATCCATGTGTGTACCACACACCATGGGTTCTCTACTGACGTTGGTGGTTCTTTACCGATGTTGGTGGGAAGGACACTCCGTGGCCCCTTGGTCAGATGATCTTCTTGGTTGTGTGGTCTAGAATAATCTGGGACGCGATATAAAACAGAGCTCCCTGATGAGTCAATGTCGGGCATTTTCAAAATCTCCAAGCATCCTTTGAACGAATTCACGAACCATCAAAATGCCGCATCACCAAATGACAAAATCTGATTCTGAGCGGATACAATCCTCTCAGGTAGGGCCACCTACATCCTCTCAGATGTTGTTCTCTGTACCATGCTTAACACAATATCGCTATAGGCGAAGGGAGGAGGCGATATGAGTTCAGGATCATTTGCGGCGCGAGCCCAGGCCGCTGGCGATAGAGCAACGGCTCAACAATCCGGTGGCAGCCACAGCTCGCATCAGAGTGGCGGACACCCTGACTCTGGAAGCACTGGAGCTCATGGCACGAGTTCCGGTGGAAGCCAACAGCAGGGAAGACGTTAAGGTCATGTTCTTGACAGCATGGCGGTGGAACTTGATGCGGGAATGGAAGTACTCATCATGAATTATGAGAGGATGTATACTTAAAAGCTTAGTTCTCTTGCTGATTACAAAAAGTTGTGTAGGTCAGTCAATGTATGGAACCCAGAGCGAACATGTAATGAGTAACATCTCAGAAGCGATAGTACCTGGGTATATTCCCCGAAAAACTAGAAGCGGCTTCATTTGGCCAGCTTCCTGGGAGCCAGAAAACGATAAATAGGCCGGCTGTCCTCGTAGACAATCCAATACCTCCAGCTACTCATCACATCTTCTCCCTATATCATCCACATCTCAGCATTCAAGTCACAATAAAATTAATATACACCCTTCTTGCCGACTGCCACCCTCTATTTTTGTTGACAACTCCGTCTAAATCTAATATATCCGGAGAAGCTCTCCTATGGTTTGGAACAGTGAGAACGGTGGTCGTGCATGGGAGGAACGGGTGGACGGTGATGAAAGTACGGAATCTACTGGTCCTCACGTCACAATCCGAGCCGAATTCTCCGAAGAGTCTTGGATATATGCATAAATGGTCTGCTAATGCTAACATCACAAGCTCTCCGCTGACGCGGCGCCAGGCAGAATGCTTGTAGACCATGAAACCAAAAGTAAATATACACGCGCTGGATCTAGGTCTATCTCCAGTCCGACTGGGAGAACGACAACAGCAGTATAGCAGAAGCGAAGGACAAAGGAAATGGACATGCAAGATGGAGCAACAACAGGCTTCCACAGTCGTAACAAGATCAAATAACAGGCTGAAGCAATGGAAGCATGGGGTAGAAACACAAGACGTGGTTAATCATGCAGATCCACAGCAGGGTATAAGATGAGGAATCCTGGTTGACCATCTGTTGGGATCAACGTCGTTCATCAGGTAAAAATAAAAGAGGGCATAACAAAACAACAGACTTCCCGACCTGTTTATGCAACCAACAACAAACGATTATTATTACAATATGCAAGAAGCGAAAGAATGAAGATCAGGAGGCGGACATCGCACAGGGTCCCTTATTTACTCCTCTAAAACCGAATTAGTCGCTGTAATTCTGCTCTGTTCTGGTGACGTGTGGACTTACCAGGCTGGTGGCTGCCGCGGCGGTAGCGAGGTCGGGCTTCCCACTAATGCTCCGAGCTGCCACACGTGGCAACGCAGATCCGGGGGCTGTGGTGGTCGCCGTTCCTCGTTTGGCAGGCGTCGAGGGTGCCAATCCACTGACAGTAGAATGACGTTTCCCTGAAGTGGGCTTCACCGGAGAACTACCCGACACGTCTCGGCTGCGCACAAATGGGCCAGTCTTCGGAGGGTCGGGAAGAGGGCGGCCAGACGTCAAGTTGGAGGCTGTAGTTCCCCGCTTGGCGGGGGTACTTGCAGTCGGGTACGTTCTAGACCGGGGAGGCGCCTTGATTCCCGTGATGAATTCGTGTCGGAGGGCATCATGGGGGTTCAAACGACGCGCTGGGTCCCAGCGCAGACAGCGACTAATGAAGTCAAGGAAGGCCTCATCATCACACTTCAAGACCTGTCGAAGGTCCTTGGAGCTTGGGCGGCGACGGCGTCCCTTAGAGGAGACTGTAAGCCTGGGCTTACCCAGAGAATCAAAGAACAGCTTCTTCCGAGTACTCTTCTCGATCAGATGCTTCTCTGGAGGCCCAAACACCTCCATAATGCAAGCAAGCTGTTCCTGCTCGTTCTCTCCAGGGAAGATGGGATAGCCTGTATAAAGCTCAGCTAAAATACAGCCCACACTCCACATGTCGATCGGCATGCCGTAGGACATTCCAAGGATGACTTCAGGGGAGCGGTAGAAGCGACTTTGGATGTAAGTGTACACCTTCTCATTCTCGAAGCAACTAGATCCAAAATCAATAACGCGGATTTCGGAGCTCATCGGATGGACGAGAAGGATGTTCTCTGGTTTGAGATCACAGTGGATGACCTTCTTTGCATGAAGAAGCGTCAATGTACTCAGCATCTGTTTGGTGAAACGGCGAATGAGTTTCAAAGAAAAGCCGCGGAAGTCATGAACCTTGATGAACTCGTAGAGGTTCATTCCAAGCAGTTCAGTAGAGATGCAAAGATGGCCTCGGAAATAGAAACTTTGGGTGAAGTTGACCACACTATGGCGACGGTGAGGGTCCCACTCCTTGAGTTTCTGCAGCAGATTCACTTCGATAAGGGCTTGCTGGTGGAACCTCTTCTTGTTTCGAATGATTTTGACCGCCACGAGACCCCCAGTCTTGTGATCGATGCACCTCACAACCTGGCCGAAACTACCTTTACCGAGGACATTGATCACTTCATAGCGGTAGGCGAGATGATCTCCAATAATGATGTTGTAATCGCCGCGGTCATCGTCATAGCCAAAGTTCGCAGCCTGCGCATTGAGATCACCAACATGTTTTTTCGCATTCTGAGTCCCGCAGAAGTAGATATCCTTGAAGTCGATGATCTCTCCCCGCTCAAAAATGTTCAGATTAGCCATCTTCAGAGCCTGAGCTGGACCAACGCGCTCCTTGGGCCCAGCCTTGCGGCGTAACGCATCCAAGTCCTTAGCGGCATTCTCCAGATCTTTGCGCTTAGAAGCGAGTCTTCGCATCTCATCGTCCGCAGCCACAACGTCAGCATCTTTCTGTGGCTCGGGAGCCCTCGGGGCAGCTGCTGCACTCGACCTTGCGGAATTGATAATCTTGTGCACTGGTGAAAGGATCGACGAAGCAGAGCGGTTTTGGGCGGGATCACCCTCTCCAGAATCATTTGAACGGGTTGGCTCTAGATTGAGGCTTTGCTCACTGCTGAAACTTGGCTTCCTCAGTGCCGGGTTAGATGTATGAGACACGGAGGCTTGTCGCCTGGTCTTCAGGTAGGACGTCTTCATTGTAGGGCTCGTGTTCTTCGCAGTGGATAAATTATTCCACGTCGCAGATGCTGGAAGCTTTGGCGGAGGCATACGATCATATTTTTGGGGATCACCCTTCGAGTCCGCGGTGGCTTGAGTTCGAGAGTTACTGCGCTGGCGGGCAACTGTGATATTGCTCCGCAAAGACGTCTCGGATGCGCTGTTATCCGGATCGGTAGGCGTGGATAATTGACTCAGGGATGAGGACTGCGTTTGTGGGCGGGGGCCATTCAACTTATATGAACCCAGCTGCGCCGCCTGGGATGTATAGTCTCCACTGGCCTTTTGCCGTAAGTAATTGAACTCGCTGCTGCTCTTTGGCAGCGTGTATGAGATATACGGCGAAACAGTTCGCGCACCACCCGGGGTATTCTCAAAGGTTGCAAGCGCGCTGGAGCTGCTGGCAGTCCTCAAATTAGCACCCGAAGAGGTGCTTACGATGAAGTGTGATGTACTGCTCCGTGCCTGCGTTCTCGGAGCCCCATCATCGTCATCCCGAACAGAAAAGAAATTCGCTTTCGAAGCCGTCAGAGGTGTGCTTGGGGTCTTGGACATGAGCTGACTCGTAGGCGTATACGGTTTGGCATCGTCTTCCCGATCTTTCAATGCTTCGATCTTGGTCGTCATCGGCGTCCCTAAGGGAAGTAGATTCAAAGGTGGCAGTTTCAAAGGTTGCAAGTTTCGTTTACCATAGATTGCAGGAGGTTTGGGCTTTGCTTCGGGGGTTTTCATTTCTCGCCCATCATATCCATTCGCCTCGCCATCAGTCACGCTGCTCGATGGATTGGAGTCCGTATCAGCCTTAATCTTCAATAGACCAATGTCGACCGGAAGACTAGATTTTCGGCCCATGACAAAGGGAGAAGAATACGTCGGCTGCTCGAAATCGCCCTTCGGTGACTCGTATGCCTTGGGGATTGCCGGGACCGGAGGGACTTCCTCTTCAGGAGCAACTACATGCTCCACACGAGGCTTAGGCGTGGGTAGTCGAGATGACGAGGACGTTTGGGACAACCTGGTTTGTAACGAGCCGCCGGAGTTTCTGGCCGAATTATAGCTTGTGTTTGATGACAGGGATAGCCCAGAGCTGTATGATTTGCGGTTGGGATCAGGAGTAGTTCTGCTAGAAGAGGGTGTGACACTTTTTCGTGGAATTGCTGAAGGAGATTGGGCGCATGACCGAGGACGGAAAGGAATGGGATCAGCCTGCGCAGGGGGCGTATACGGCATCGGTTGTGCTTGGGGCGCGGTCGACATTCGCTTCAGCCGTCGAGCGTCAGTGGGACTTATGGTGCGAGCCCCAAGACCTGTCGCAACCGGAGGCATGACCGAGACCCGCTTGGATGCTGACGACGATGGTGTTGTAGTTCTCCCTGCAGTATGCTTGACTGGTGTTCGAACCGCATTGGTTGAAGAAGACCGCGAGTGGTCCGTTGTTCCCGATGCGGTCAGGAGGCCGTCGCGAGGCTCCCTTGACGGGGGTTGGAATGACTTGGCTTTCATATTCCTCGTAGTTGCCGGGACTTTCGTTGGATCATTCTGACTCTCTTCCGGATACTGTGTTCTTGGTCGGAGGCGAGTGGCCTGGTCGAGACGCGTGGTATCCACGCTGGGCTTTCGAGCCGACAAGCTCTGTCGTCTCCCGGCGCCAGAAGGAGCAGACCCAAGCCCGATGGATTTGCGTGGTGCACGTGGCGCAGGACCAGTGCTTGTATTTTGGCCTTGGACCAGACTCTGGCGACGCGCTCTAGTTGCCGTAGCCAAATTCGGGGGACGCGAGGATGTCGACTCTCCAGGTGTGCCCTGATTCGTAATGCTTTTCCGACGGACTGAGTTGCTTCTGAGACGGCCAGTTTGGCCATTTTCGTCGGTGTGGTTGGCGTTATTGGCCCAGGAATTTTTCGAACGGTACTCGGATGTCGGGCCGCTAGTTCGGGGCATAGGGAAGTGATTTAAACTCGGTTCAGCCATGATACTATTTTGCAAGTCATCAAAATTCACCGGCGCAAGGAAATCGGCATTGTCAGGAGGGGTCTGGTTAGAGTCCAGTTTCGACAAGTTGCCCATGCTGGTCGATCGGAGACTGACGCGGGAACTGTTACTCTGCGTGGATTCATTCGTGGAGTCGATAGAGGAGTTGCCGGAGTGAAAAAAGGAGCCGGGATTGTTGCTACACAACGAGAGACCGTTAGCACCGTGTAGAGGGTATTAAATCCAGGGTAACGAGAAAAGTGGGTTTTTGGGGCGGGTCAAAACAATGTGTACGAGGAAAAGGAGGTGGAGGGGGAAGCTTTGATGGCGCCGGGATACCTTCTTCGTGACGGCTCCTGCGGTCGCGGGCCTTGAGGAGCCTTCTGATCTCGAATGGACAGTCTTCTTCGGTTCATGACCCCTATTCGTGACCCTGAACCGGGCTTTGTGGCAGTTGAAGAAGAATCAGCAAGGAAGGTCGTCGAGGGGTGTTTTTGCAATCGTCTACGTGCGGGTCCCTCTGCGGATCACCAAAATGGGTTGTTAGTTATTGTTGAGCTGCAATTATGCAGGAACGGAGGCATTGTCGCAAAAACAACCAACTTACCTCCTGGTCCTGATGCGTCATTTCGAGACGGACTGGGAACTTTGCGCGACCCCTTTGCTGGAGACTGCTGGGAAGGCAGCCGTTCCGGCATCCTCAAGGTCGGAAGGTTGAAGCTCCAGGCGTGGGAGAAACACGCCTAGGAGAGAAACTGGAGACGGAAAAATATAGCGGGAAATGGAACGAGGGATCCTCAATCGCAGTGATCTTTCCGGAGAAAAGGACTTCTCGTGCTCGACCAATGGAGATTCGAGCCTTGACCACCAACGTCGCGCGACTCATCAACGATCGTTACCGGTCCATTGCGGGGATTACTGAGAGAGGAAGGTCCAAGACATTCGACGGGGGATCGAGAGGGGAATTGGACAGTCGGAGGAAGGCGATCAGGGTTGTCTCTGGGTCTGAGAGAGTCGAGAGGTGGTTTTCGGAGAGAAAGAGGTTGAAAGTCGAGAGGAAGAAGTGGTGGTGTGGGTTTCGGTGATGTTGGGGGAGGAAGAGGAGAAACTCTGGCCGTTTTAGGAACAACTTTTGGGCCGGCAGGGAAAGAAAAGTTACGGGAGGAAGTATTGTAGGAGGTACTTGCGAACAAAACCCCGATTACTGTCGTATGAACAGAGGGAAGGAGGGAAATTACAGGGAATGATTGAAATAAAATATTAACTATCAGGAGACCTACTAGGTGGTTCTGCAGCAAAACAATCTGAATCGATACGTAAACAAAGGCGTATCCAAACAATCGCTATAACATTGGAGGTACTTGGGTACAAACAAAAACCCACCCAGAAGGGCAGGATGGGATGTACTGTGAATGCGAGGACGCCGACAATAATAAAAAGAAATTGAGGTGGATAATAAACACAGGACGCCGTTGGTGGCCGTCTCCTGGAGCTACTGTAGGTACATGCTTAGTACTTGGTTTACACCTACCACAGAGGGCAGGATGGGGTATCTCTGAGGTACTTGCGATGTATGAGATGCGTCCCCCCTGCTCCTTTTCCACCGCCCGATTGGGAAAGGATGTGAACGACTCCTGCTGCAAACAGCACAAACAGAGTCGATGACAGGCAACCAATGAGCGGCTGTCGTGCAGTGTATTATTGCGTAATACAATTACTGTCATGCAGCGCTATGTAAGGTGGATGCAATGCTTACCTCAGCCTTCATTACCTCATCGCTGCATAACTCGGCCTTGCATGTGCTTCCGCTTGCGAACAACCGAGCATCAATCAACCTCTCGTCTTCTGCAATCGGCGATGCGTCTCCCTTCCTGTACCCTTACTGCTGTCTCTGGGAGGTGGCATTATGGATGAATACACACCCGACGCTATCGTCAATCGTGACGAGCCTATCCCTCTCATCTCTCCCGGTCATCATGGATCCAAGCAAGCGAACGCTTCGAGGCCGACGACAGGGCACAAGCGCTTCCCCTCGGGGGTTGGACGGTCTCTGCAAGACCGACTCTTTACCAAGTAAGTTGCTGATTCCTTCTTTCTATAGTCCACATGGTTGTTATGGTTTTTCCCTTCCTGGGAACCTAACATAAATGACAGGCTTCTCGAACAAGTAGTCCCCACCGACAATGTCAACGATGATACTGTGTTTGTCGGCGATAAGCCCGCCGCAGACCCGAAACGGCCAGCATTTAGTCTGCCTCTGATGGCCAACAACTTCCGCCGATTCAATGCAAGGTGAGTCTTCTTCGTCCTTTTCTTCCCTATCACTCGGTTACTGACACCTCGATAGAATTGGCGTGGTATTTCACTTTCAGAACCAAGTGGAGCGTCTCCTCAGCTGGAAGAAGCCGTCTCACACGTATTCCTTCCTCTTTGTCTACTCATTTGTCTGCCTTGACCCTCACCTACTGGTCATTCTTCCCTTGGCATGCTTCTTGCTCTTCGTGATGGTCCCGGCATTTCTGGCTCGCCACCCCCCGCCTCCATCAACCTCCACCTCCAGCATAACCCCGTACTACTCATATCAAGGCCCAGCCCTTGCGCCAGCAAGGACCATCAAGCCAGCCTCTGAAACGTCGAAGGACTTCTTCCGCAACATGCGCGATCTGCAAAATTGCATGGCCGACTTCTCTGACCTCCACGACGCCACGGTCTCAGTTTTCGCCCCCTTGACCAATTTCTCGAACGAGAAGCTCTCCTCATCAGTCTTCCTACTCTGCATGTTCACAACAGCGTTGATGTTTCTGACCGCCCACCTCATGCCATGGAGGTACATCCTCCTCGTTGGTGGCAATGCTGCTATCCTCTCGAGTCACCCCCGGCTTCGCGAGCTCTTCCAAAACATCTCCATCGACCTCGCCGGCGAATCTGCGCCCGAAAAGCTTCCACAGAAAGAGCAGGTTCCCGACATGCTAGGGCTACCATCTTCACCGTCCGCCGCCATGTCTCTTATGGGATCCATAGCTGATATCTCCCTGGACACCTACTCCGAGGAGCGGGAAGTCGAAATCTTCGAGATTCAATACCGCTCGCTCGCGCCCTACTCTGAATCAGTATGGGACCACTTTCTTTTCAGCCCTATGCCGTATGATCCACTGTCACCGTCGCGCATTGCCGGTGACCGCCCCAAGGGCTGTCGCTTCTTTGAAGATGTCCAGCCGCCGCGGGGCTGGGCCTGGAAGAGTAAGAAGTGGGAGCTGGATCTGGACTGTCGTGAGTGGGTGGTTGAGCGCATGATCACCGGCGTCGGGTTCGAGGTTTCCGGGGAAGGCGCCGAAGGCAGCTCTGGCAGTGACGAGATCGGCGGCTGGGTCTGGGACTTGCCGTCGACTGCATTGGCGAGCGATGAGATCGGGGTGGCTAACGCACTTGGATACCAGGATCTGGATTCTGAAACGAGGAGAACATCTAAGAGCGAGGGCAAGAAGGCCAAGAAGCTGGGGAAAGCACGCGCCTCGCAAGATTATGAAGAGAAAGGGGGAATCGGCCCGAATGTGATGGGAGAATGGAGACGGCGGCGATGGGTGCGCGTCGTGCACCGAATCAGCATGGCGGAGAGCGATAAAGAGCAGCCCACGGATGACGAGCAGGACCGATGAGTCTACCTCAATCACACATGCTTTTATTACTACGATACCTCATAGCGTTTGAAATGAAACCGAATACGAAATCGAAATCCAGATTGCCATTCAACTGTCTAAGTTACGAACAAAAGCCGCAACAATGTTGAGTCTATCACAAAACTGCAAGAACCACGTCTTCCCAAGCCCAAACAAACTCCCGATTTGGTTGAACTACAAGTCAGAAGGCATCGGCCAGGACACCACCCGACACGAATCAAACAACTCACTCCTGCTGCGCGTTGGGATAATACTTCTCCCAGGGGTGCTCCTGACGGAAACCAAGCAATGCCTTGATCTTGCGGTTCGAGATGGGAGCCTCCCTGCCCTCGATGTCACGGGTAAAAGGCACGTTGGGACACTGCTCCTTCAGAAACTCGCTAGTAGAGGCCGCAAAGTTGGTGATCTCGTCATTGGTGGCGTTGAAAACCTGGAACCCGAGACCGTTCGTGAGGATGGCGCGCTCACACATCTGACCCAAGTCACGGGCATCCGTGTACGACCAGCCATGTACCTTCCACAGATGGGGCTCCTTGACGTAGGAGTCGAACATGGCCTCGGCGTACTCCTGCGGCTCGACCAGTCTACCAATACGCAGGACGTAGATGTCGACGCCGAAACGACGGACGAAGCCGCGGGCCACGCGCTCGCCGCACATCTTCGAGATCGCATAGGTGTCCATGGGGTTGACGTCGAGGTCCTCATCGACCGGGAAGGCGGGGAAATCGACGTCGCCCTCGGCGAAGCCGACCCCGTACACGCAGATGGTGCTGGCGGTGATGATCTTTTTGATCCCGAGACGGCAGGCCGCCTCGATCACGTTGTAGGTGGCCAGGGCGTTGCCGCGGAAAGTCTCGCTGTCCGGGACGATCATGTTGCGCGCGTGCGCGGCAAGGTGGATGACTGCGTCGGGAAGCTGGTTGAGAGGCTCCCTGAAGGGCTCGGAGAGGTGGAAGTGGGAAGTCAAGGCTGAGTAGACCTGGCCGGTGTTGCTGAGATCGACGTGCAGGGTGTGGACTTTCTCCGCGAGGGGGCCGGTCAGGGGAGCCAGGTCGAGGTTGAGCACTTCATAGCCCTGGGCAAGCAGGTGTGCAATAATGTTTCGACCAGCTTTGCCGGAGCCACCGGTGACGATGATACGCTTGGACATGGTTGTTTGGCAGGGAATATTTTGAGCAAGGAAGCTTGGATATCCAAGTGTATCGATATTAGGGATAGGGAAGATGTGAAATGGGTAATCGGACAGGACTTCTAGTCTGGCTGGGTTCTGCAAGTATTTATAGCTTCGAGCGTCTAAATGCTGCAGGATAGCTCTATAGTGACGGGCTTGCAAAAAATAATAAAAATAGGAGAGTTCCAGAAATATACGTGAAGTGGGATGTATTTTGACGTGAAGAGAGTAGCCAGCCTATATTTTCAATGCACAAGTTATATGTAGCACAATTGAGAAAGATTTGGTTGGATGTTAAGGTGGAACCAGCAAGGTGATGGCAAGTAGAAAACAGTGAAGCCTTTCACACAAACCCTTCACTTGGTGCTTAGAGACAGCCACTCCTAGCGTGTTGGACAGTAATGCACAAGGTATATCCATGTCATGAATGAACAGATATCCTGTCACAAAGAATGAGACTTTTCATTTTGTGCGACGTGGTCCGCTTCTAGATCAATGGCGGGACAGGATTGTGCAAGGTTCTAGATTAAGATGCGAAAAAGCTATATAGCCACAGCCTGTGTCGGGTAGAAATGTCGTCGGTATTGATAGAAAGTCCTTCAATCAATGGGTCAGGGGGTTATCCGAGTACATCGACTACTGGTTTTTCACTAGGGAGAGTGGGCGCCATGGTTTAGTATAAGAACAAAGTGAATGAAGGTCTTCGGTAAGTAGGACTATCCTCAATTACCGACGGCTACAGGGATTTCAGGTTGACTATTGCATCTGGGAATATGTATGTAGAGGTGAAAGGAAGTACAAGAGAAGCTTTCTTTGATAGAGCTCATTCCAAGTGGACTCATACAACATTTTTTCATGTAGACAGACAAGGGAGTGGACCACAGTACAGACCGCAAGCAGCCTTGCCATTGCACTTGTTGGAACCAATGGATCCCTCATGGAAAGTATAGTCTAGTGCATTATGCATCTGATTATAACTCATGCCTCACCGCTCAGCAGCCATATACACTCCAACTCATATCTACTAACGCAACAAAGATTACGCACCCACTGTCCCCGCAATCACCATCTGCCCCCAAAAGTAAAGGCCATAACCAACCGCGATACGGAACCAACCACGTTGATCGGGAGCAGATGACCGTCCGAATGCATCTTTCGCGACGAACAAATCACTCGCAACGAACATGGCAGCGCCTACACTCCGCTGGTACGGCAAGACAGTCGAAAGCGATGACGGGAGTGTGGAAACCGCGACCGCAAACATGGAGCTGATGATGAGCGCATACACAAAGACAAGCGGTCTCATATCAGGCGCAACCGCGAGATCAAGCACGTTGCTGGTAGCCGAGGAATGGGACGGCGGGTATACGACCCCGAGCCATTTGGCAAGCACCATTGTGGCGACGAAGGTGGTTGCCAAGAGCTCGCGGGAGGTTTCTCTGCTATCACTAAGGAAGGCGAAAACATAGGCGATGTGAGCGGCTGCAAAGGCGACGACGCCAAGCTGGAAGGATGCTGAAATTTTTCTTTCTTTGGTGGAATCCCGGGTGGAGAAGTCGCCCCGAGAAGGGAGGAGGAAGAAGTCCCCGACTAAGGAGAACAGTAGACCGGCGGTAATGAGACGACAGTAGGGAGAGTCATTTGTCGATGCTTGGAGAAGGGGGCCGCTGAGGAAGGCCACGGAGGAGAGCATCTTGAAGAGACATATTCCAACGTAGGATGTGGACCGGAATTCTGAAATCACCAGTAAAGGGAGAGAGACTATGAGCAGATAAGTCCCTGGCCCGGGAGGCATTGAGATGGTTGTCGACATGTTGATCGAATGTTATGTTGTTCAACAGAAGATTGATCGGTTTGGATAGAATGGGTGTGGTTAAATAGACCCATTTGCAAGATGGACCTCGGGATATACAATAGCCTCACGTGGCACGTGGAAAGATGCGCGTGGAGATAACCTACGTTTCATTTTAGAATAATTTGTCTAAGGTAGAGGGTATTGATTCTTCTCAATATAGGTGAGAGAGAAGAAACAAATAAAAAGAACCCTGGGTTGAATGGGAATGTTCATCAGAAGAGGGCAACAGTCGCGGCGCAGAATATATCTCATAGCGAACTTCTCAGTATGCATGAGACGGGATGTAAGGTGATGAAGATGCGTATCGTGCTTCCAATTCTGCTCTGTCCACTTCCCTACGTCATGTATAGCTATTGATATAGCGTCCGCTAAGAGGTGTGGTTATATACATCGCTAACACGCAGGCATAGTGAGAGGCAGTATACCGGTTTTCTTGGGCATATGGTGGGGTTTGGTTTGATTTCAGGAAGTAAAAAAGCATTTCACTCAGGGACACTCTGTATCTCTTCTTGAAAGGGCGCCTCAAATCAAGGAAGGGCTATCGTAAGACCGTCTATACTCTGGCCGATGCGATACCAAGATGATTTCCTAAAGGAGTAAAAAGCGGCGGCATCCTAGAGCGAATCCGGAAATGGAAGTGTTGATACCTGAGGCACCACGGTGGTTACTCCGCCTTCATCGCCAACACCCATTTAACATCAGCTCTCTCAATCTATCCCTCATTCCATCTCAAGCCAGATTGCGTGTCAACTGCTCCAATGCCGTTGACCGAGGGATATGGCGCCCGAGATACATGTCACCCAATATGGGTAAGTGGTCAAGAGCATTACGACGACTATATTCCTGCTAACAATGATGCTGTGTAGGACTCGGCACATGCTCGACTGACCCCATGTGCAATGGGGTACTTCTCCATTCTTCCAGGGATCATAATCGTAGTCCTCGCGTTAGGGCATATGATTGGCCCTCTTCTGCACGCTCATCGGCCCCAAATGGACCAGACCTTTTGTGACCGAGCAGACAACTTGCCCTGATGTCCCGTCAGACGATCCGAAACAGAGAATAGGTTGGGTGATAAGCTTGCTCGCCACCTCTGCCGTCGGTGTTGTGGCGGGAGTTTATCAAAATCATCCATACGGACCCGAACATGGCCAACATGGCTCTTCTAGCGTCCTGGGTATGGAGGCATTCCCTAGTTCAAGAGACATCGACTGACTCATTCTAGATGGCATGTGCTGGCCTCATTACTACCAAAAGACCTAGAACATGCCCCGTCTCAATGTTGGCCTTCTTCGTGGCAGCATTTTCTGTCGAGACTGCATTTATCATTAACCGTGATACCTATGCGGTCTCCAACTTATTTGCTTATTACGTCGCTGCTGGCACAGCTTTAGTGGCCTGCACGACCATCCTCGCAATGCCTTTTCGGAAACCATCGCTACCTTGGATGGGTATTGGTGTCGTGGGCCATCCGCCGTCTAGTGACTACCGCAGTCCGGAGGACAACTTGCGGCTATGGCAGTTCCTCAGCGTATCCTGGATGGCCCCGCTCATGTCCATAGGAAAGAAGAGGCAATTAAATGAAGACGATGTATGGTTCCTGGGGTTTGAGTTTCAGCATCGCAGGCTGCACGACAAATTTCGCCAACTCAAGGGATCTGTTATTGCGCGGTTACTCCGAGCCAATGGCATCGACGTCGCAATTATCACCACGATCTCCATTGTGCAAATGCTCTGCGGTACGTGACATGACCCCGTTGGGTGTACAGGATCTAATGAATATTAGATTTTTCCACACCTGTCTTGCTTCAGCAATTGTTACAGGCTATGCAGGATCCAAACTCGCCGCACCGGGTTGCTTTGACTTATGCCGTGCTGTCGTTAGTTCTGCGGCTGGTTGCCGCGCAGTCACAAGTTTTGAATATTTGGTACGGCAGACGATGCTATGAAAGAAGCAGGGGTGAGATGATCATGATGGTCTATGAAAAGGCATTGTCTCGGAAGAATGTCTTTGACCAGCAGATACAAGCCAAAGTAGCAAGCACGGAAGATGAGACTGACGACGTTGATAATATCGATAACGCACCTAAACGCAAAGGAAGGAAATGGTGTGGTCTGTTTTCTCGACGATCTCAAAATCGTGAAGGCAAGCCAAAGACAACTGCTTCAATGGGCAAGATATTCAACTTGCTCCGCGGCGATGTCTACGAAGTGGCCCAACGATTTTGGGAAGTTGATACTCTGGTGGATAAGCCTGTTGGTCTTGTGATTGCCATTACACTCGTGTGGAAATTGCTTGGGCCGTCATGTTTCTTGGGTATCCTGGCTATTCTGATCGCTCAGGTGATCAATGCCTTCATTACCCGTACTCTTCTGCGATGGGAAAGAGTGCGCCGAGTCGCTACAGATGCTAGATTGCAGATATCCTCCCAGTTCGTGGAGGCGCTCCGCCACCTTCGCTGGTACGGATGGCAGAATCACTGGCTGCGACAGGTTATGGATGCCAGGCAATCGGAGCTGAACCTCCGTATTGTCACCAGCCTGTGGAATGTGTTGATCCGCTTCGTCAATGCTTTTGCAAGCGGTGTATTCCCGGTTGTTGCTTTGTACGCCTATACTCTGTTGGCTGGCCACACCCTCAGCATTGACATTATCTTCCCCGCTCTTCAACTCTTCACGATGCTCGAGACCCGTCTGAGAGATATTCCCGGTCTTATCACTGTTCTCATTAACGCCTCCATTGCCATGGAAAGAATAGAGGACTTTATGGCCGAGCCAGATAAGGAGAAAAGGGTCGGGGTCACGGAAGCTAATTCCGATATCCTATTGGACTCATGTTCATTTGCCTGGCCTGGGAAGCAGTCGCCCGTGCTTTCTGATATCAACGTTAGGATATCAACTGGCCTCACCGTTGTGTGCGGCAAAGTTGGTGCTGGTAAAACCGCACTTCTACAAGCTTTACTAGGCGAACTGGACCGGTTGACGGGGACTGCCTATGTACCAAACGACATGGTAGGATACTGTGCGCAGACTCCATGGTTACAAAGCATGAGCATTCGTGACAATATCTTGTTCTCGGCTCCGTACGATGAACAGCGATACAAGAGGGTCCTGGATGCCTGTGCGTTGATTCCAGATCTGGCCAACTTTAAGCATGGCGATTTGTCGTTCGTGGGTGAGAATGGCATCGGCCTCTCTGGCGGACAAAAATCTCGGGTGGCTCTGGCACGCGCGGTCTATAGTACTTCCAGGATCTTGCTGCTTGATGACCCCCTGTCTGCTCTGGACCATAACACGGCCGAGAGTATAGTCAAAAAGTGCTTTATGGGTCCGCTGATGCAAAATCGCGTCGTCGTTCTCGTTACGCACCGCACGACGCTAGTACGTCACGTTGCTGATCAGATCATCCACATTCAACATGGAAGGGCCGTGATTGAAGGAAGGAATGTCATTCCTAACCTTGATTCCGAGCAAGCCGAAACGGCGCGAGATGAGACAACAGATGATGACACCCAGGACGAGGTACCATCTGATGACGACACCGCTGCAGTCCCAGCGAAGTTCATCGAAGACGAACACAGAGCAGAATGGGGAGTCAAGGCTAGGGTCTATTGGAGCTATATCAAGGCCGGGAAATATAGATGGTGGATTACCCTGGTCGTCGTGCTGGCCGTCTACAGACTTGCATCCGTGGCTCAGTCTTGGTTTCTCAAAGAATGGGGAGAGGCCTACAACCATATACTCCTCTTTCTGGGTTACACACCGTCAAACAAAAAGTCATTCTCCGGGGAATCGCTGGTTCATCCGGCAGTGGCTAGTCTACTTCGCTGGACGCCTCAGGACCCTCTCGGTCAACTCCCACCACCGATTGAGAACGTGAAACCATGGCTGCTGGCTTTCTTCGCAATTACCACATTCCAGTCTGTCATGCTCCTATTCGCCCAGCTCTTGATGCTTGTTATAGTCTACTGCGCTGGCAAGACTCTCTTCCATGACGTGATGGTAGGCGTGAGCCACGCCACCTTCCGCTTTTTCGACGTGACCCCGATAGGACGACTAATGAACAGACTGACTTCTGATATCGGGGTGGTGGACGGCAACATCAGCGAGCAATTTCAGATCATCGCGTTCCAGGCAATAACCTGGGTCTCGTCAATCCTGGTGATAGCCTCAGTGACACCCACTTTCCTCGGATTCACCTTTATCCTCACTGCAGCGTTCATAATCACATTCCTCCGGTTCCTCCCCACGTCGCAAAGCCTACGAAGACTGGAAATGGTTTCACTCAGTCCGCTGATATCTAACTTTGGAGAACTCCTCCATGGCCTTACAACCGTCCGTGCATTCCATGCAGAGACCCGCTTCCAAAACCGAGTCATCCACGTAGTGGACAAGTTCCAGGGCATGGACCACTTCTACTGGTCTCTCCAGAGCTGGCTGATGTACCGCTTCGAAGGTCTCTCCGCCATATCCACCTTCTGCCTGACAGTCCTCGCCCTGTATACGAACGTCTCTCCGGGTCTCGCGGCGTTCGTCCTCATAGCAGCGAACAACTTCGTCGCGTCCACACACGCTCTATGCAAGCAATACGGTCAGCTCCAGATGGATTTCGTCTCCGTGGAGCGCGTCGACGAGCTCCTCCACGTGGAGCAGGAGTCGCCGGGGACGATCGAACCCCCTGCATCGTGGCCACGCTTCGGCCGCGACATTGTGTTTGAAGATGCAACTATCCGCTACGCTCCTCACCTCGACCCATCTCTCAGTCACGTCTCCCTTCGTATCCCCGGTGGGTCCACGACGGCAGTTATAGGCCGCACGGGAAGCGGGAAGTCCACCCTGGCCGTGTCGCTTCTCAGCGTGATCCGTCCCGAATCCGGCCGCATCCTCGTAGACGACATCGACATCGCGCAGGTTAGCACACAAGCGCTTCGCACGAGGGTAACCTTCGTCGCGCAGGACCCCGTTCTCTTCCCCGGCAGTATCCGGCTGAACCTGGATCCCACCGGTGAATACACAGACGAAGAATGTGCCGACGTGCTGAAACGCATTTGTAGTCGACATGGCTGGACCTTGGAGACGCATGTCGAGGCCGGCGGGCGCAACCTCAGTCAGGGCGAGCGACAGCTGATCGGTCTGTCGCGGGCGGTGCTGCGTCGCAGTTCGATTGTTATCCTTGATGAGGCGACTGCGTCGATCGATCATGAGAGCTCTCTCGAGATCCAGCAGATTCTCCGCGAGGAGATGAAGGAGTCGACTGTCATTACGATCGCGCATCGTCTGGAGGCTATCAAAGATGCGGATTATTATGTTGTGCTGGACCAGGGGAGGGTCTCGGAGCAGGGCTATGTGCAGGATAAGGGAAGTGTTTAGAGTTGAACTGGACTTAGCGACGAGCCGCATTTTGATGTCACATTTGAAGCTTTTTGCACGAATAACTCGTTCTAGACGAAGTAGACCATGTATTTCGCTCTCGCGTCAGTCGAATCTCCAACAAAGCCGCGCAAAACCAACCAGATCAATCACCCACATCCAACGCGGAAACCCACGATCTCGACTTTGCGTCCCAGCATCAGCTAGTGCATTCGCAATAGATTCCTGCGTTGGTCTCGTCACATCCCCTTGACTGGGAATAGCGATCCGCGCGGATGTAGTCGAAATAGCGGACATCGCAGTCTTGGCCATGGTCACTGCGGATCTTACTTCGACAGAAGCAAGTTCGCTCGATTTCATCGCTGAGGTGCGTTCAGATACGAGGCTCATTGCGTCGCTCGACGTTAGCACAGATACAGACCGTGTAATTGGCGCCATGTTGGCGTCAATAACCTTGTGCCACCCACCGTAGCATGGACGACCCTGAGTCGCGACCAGTCGCAGTATAGGAGGGAAGGTAGGGTCTCCTGCGGCCGGATGAGACGCGAAAACAACGCATGATTTCCTGTTCTTAGAGAGGGGCTGAGATGAAGAGGACTAGTAGGGTGTAATCGTTCGCATCAGCGCGTTGGGTACTTTAGGTGAAGCATATATTGCTCACTGCACAAACTGCAGACTGCGAATTATTTGCTTTTGCATGCTCTGGTCATCTTGGTATCAACAAACACAAACTGATATACATTCCCCCATCAGGATCACCAATAATTCGGTATCATGCCAGCTTTCATCCCGACTTGACCAAACAATACCTGACTCCCTCAATCTCAGCATCTGTGAGAAAACAAGCATCTCTAACATAGTCACGAACGCTGCCATAATGATCCCTAATCTTCTGGAGAGTGGAAAGCATATAGCTTTGCCTACATTCGATTGCCTTGCTGACCGACGCATCAATATCCTTGATGTCTGACTTCGTGGCTTCCAAATACCGCCGGATGTTTGGCTTTGCCGGGTATAGTCCCAACGTGCTGAGACTGTATTCCGCAGCCACAATCTCATCGGGGACTCCAGCAAGAGAGAGAATAATGGCGAAGACGACCCCCGTTCTATCCTTTCCCACCTTGCAGTGAATCAACAACGGACTGGTTGGGTGTTCAAGAATGTAGAGAAGGATGAACTGGACAGTCTGAGCACCGTCTCGGGCCAAGGCAAGATAGTCGTCGGACACAGACTAAACATTTGAATCCATCAGTCATTCTGTATACACCCGTAGATACGGGGTACTTTCCTCAGGATTGATATTTGATTTGACATATCTGTCCACCCGTTGTTTGAACGAGTATGATTCACGTTGGATGGGTAACCTGATTCTCTCACAACCAGCTATGCTTCTGGAGATAGGTGTGCCATCATAAAAGCCAAGCTCTGTGCAGACGGCGGATTCGTCTTCACTCCGCAGATCAAAAATGGCGGCTATCCTGAGGTCCTCCTCCAGCGTCCTTTGGCCCTTCATTGTAATGTCCTCGAGGTGGCCTGATCGATACAGGAAGTTCTCTCGTGTGCGAGCATTTGGAAAGAGTGTGCTGGGGTAGCCCCCGAACTGTCGCACATTGAAAACACCTTCCACTTGGACAAAGGGCTTTTGTTCCCAGTTTGGAGGTTGGTATTTCATTGTTGATAGGATATAGGAGGTTTGGATCGTTCGATTTGGGGTCATAGAATGTGAAAGGAATGGACCTTCTACCAACCTATATATACACTCAATTGAGCGACAGTGATACAGTCTTGAGAAGTAGGGCATTTCTTGTTTTCTAGGCTGTTCCATTGTTTGTGCCGTCTACGTCCATGGATATACGAAGTTTCCAGCGGGAGCATATGCCCCAAATAGGAAATCATGCGTATAAAAACCAGTATCGCAAATGCCTCCTGCGCCCATCATGTTATGAACCAGGAACATGGCTGATGAGAAAGGAAACACAAAGGGAACGAGCCATACATGACACATGTTCAAGATCCGAAGCATTTGTTTGACACGGGTCTGATTGAGCCTAATTTCAACGGGTCTCAACCTATACATGGCGCCAACAAGAACTTTTCTGAAAGCACAATTGGCAGGGTCCTTCTTACGCAATCTTGAAATCATCTTTAAGGGGACATACTAATCGACATGTGAGATTATAGAGCCGCCACTGCACACAGTAACCCGTGTGGCTGGAGGCGCAACCAGATATGGAAACAGACCAGACAGACTTGCCACTGGAATGTGAAGATATCATCAATCTCTACAGCTCATCTACGGTGGAGAGATTGGTGGTCCCCTTGTACCGAGGTATCAATCACCACTGATGTGATCCCATGATCCCAAAGTTGCCATGATAAACAAGACCAAACTCAGGTCCTCGAGGTATTTATATCACAGGAACTATACATCCAAGCATAGGACGAAATCTATAATCAACCGACGAATCCCAGAAAAAGACTTTTGTCCGGAATGAACCATCTAACGCCAATTCGCCATCAGACATGCATATAGCCCAACCGTTATGATTGCATCTCTTTCCACTTGCGGATCCTCCGCTTCAAATCACCCTCAGACTGCTGCATGGGGTTCAATTTCCGGTCCCGAACCATAGCACTGACGTTGTCCCCATGGCGCTGGATCAGGGCCTCAATCCACTCTTCTTCGCGCTTGCTCAAATGACGAGGCTTCTTCTTGGCAACCTGGCTGCTCTCCTTGTCGGCCTGACGCTCCAGTTGCTGCACAATCGCACTGGGCCCGTTTTTGTTGGGACCAGCGGATGCATCTTCCTCGTTATCGGACAGGTCGTTCAACGGGTCATTCAGCGGGTTGGAGCGGCGGCGCTTGCGCCCGGCGATCTCCACCTCGTCGTCGTTTCCAATCACGCGGATAATCTTGCCGGTTTCGGGGTCGCGCTCGACCTTAGCCTCGCCCAGCCCCAGGGTCTTCGCAATCGACTCGGTGCTACTCTTGATGTAGAGGGGGTCCTCGGGGTCCGTCACGATGGTGCCATCTTTTGTCGCGCGCTTCTCCGAGCCACCGGCGGGGGCATTCAGACGGTGAACGAGTCCCAGTCGGCGGTAGTTTTGTGTCAGAGTGAGCTTGCGGTCCCTGAAATATCCAGTGTTAATGGGTTGTTTTTGTCGGAATCTGCTTTTTCAGAAGGCCATACCAGTTCTCGGCAATGATGGCGTTGCCTAGGACATTGATTTTCTTGTTGCCATTCTTCAGCTGACCGGTCCGCTTGGCCTTGGTCTTGGGGACGGAAGAGCGGTTCTTCTTCTTCTGGCGGATGGTACCCATGGTGATTGACGCGGGGATATGCTGGGGGTTGTTGTATGCGGCGAGAAAAATGATGCTTGCTTCGATTTCTTATCAAAAAGTTGATCGGTTTGCACTGGCTTGGCGTGTTTGTCTGTGCTTGTTACCTAATCTGGCGCTATACCCCAAACGGCAAACTGATAAGCAGACTAAATGGACCCTGAATTTCCCCAACTATCGCGTGCATCTCCTCCCCCTCTTCCCCTGTATATTCCCCGCTGTCCTGCCATTGTCGCGGTTATCATGGTTTCCTCCCCTCTGGCTATGCGCAGGGTCATCCTAGCGTTGGCAGCTGGACTCCTGCTGTTCTCTGCCTTCGCATGGGCCCATGATGCCGTCTCGGTGGGGGATCTCTCTGTCGCCGAGATCGAGGATGAGTTGCAGGTGTGTCCATGTCCATCCGTCCCATGCAGGCAGTGTCTAGCGCTAGCATTCGACAGTCCTGCATGTAAATCTACCAGTACGAGCACTAACAACCCCAGAACTGTCCCCTCGTGGAATCGCTCAACGAGCACAAACGCGCCTCCAATCCACAGACCACCAGTCTGACCTCGAAGATCTTCGCTGTCCTCTTCCCAGGCAGTCCGGCCGTGAACGCCATCCTGGCGACCATCTACATCTCCGGACCACCCAGTACAGCTTTCCCACACCCCACTCTGGTCGATCCCTCGCTAACTCCTCAGACTTCCTCCTGGCCCTCTGCCCGCCCAACATTGACCCCTCCTCGCTCTCCGTCATGGTCGCCTTCGCCGTGGGGGGTCTCCTCGGCGACACGCTCTTCCACCTCCTTCCGGAGATCTTCCTCGGCGAGGACTCGCCCGACCACGTGCGCTTCGTGATGGTCGAGCCCAACCGCAACCTTCTCCTCGGCCTCGGCATCATGGTGGGCTTCTTCACCTTTGTCGCCATGGACAAGGCACTGCGGATTGCCACCGGCGGTGCGGGCCACGACCACTCTCACGGTCACAGCCATGCAGACGATACGCCCGCGGCCATCGCATCCGGCTCCTCGCCCAGCGACGCCGCCGGCAACGAACTCAAACAGCGCAAGCCGCAAGCATCCCCCGGCGAATCGTTCCCCGCGGCAACCGACGCCCCGGAGAAGGAAATCAACCCCAGCGTCAAGCTAGGCGGGTACCTCAACCTCATCGCAGACTTCACGCACAACATCACCGACGGCCTGGCCATGTCGTCGTCGTTCTACGCGTCACCCACCATCGGCGCCACCACCACCGTCGCCGTGTTCTTCCACGAGATCCCGCACGAGGTCGGCGACTTTGCGCTGCTTGTGCAGTCCGGTTTCTCCAAGCGAAAGGCCATGGGCGCGCAGTTTGTGACCGCCGTCGGTGCGTTCCTCGGCACGTTCATTGGGATTGCGGTGCAGGAATTTGGCGGGAATGGCGGCGGCAGTGCTGGTGAGGGGGCGGCGACGGGCGGGCTGTGGGGGACGAGCTTGTCGTGGGGGGATATGTTGCTGCCGTTTACGGCGGGGACGTTCTTGTACGTCGGCACGGTGTCGGTGATTCCGGAGCTGTTGGAGACCGGCAAGGACAAGCGCCGGGAGATTAAGAATACGGTTGTGCAGTTTTTGGCGGTGGCAGTCGGTGCAGGTATCATGCTTGGGTAAGTTTTTTGCTTGGTCTTGTGAGTGCTTGGGCTGACTTGATAGGATCTCGTGGGACTAATTGGGTATGTTCCATACGCCGTGGACGCCATTATCTAAGGCAGCTAGTACGATGGACTTATCAGGGATCGTCGATCCAGTGCCGGGTACCTTCTACAGACAGACCGGTACCAAGAGTTAAGCATGATATAGCCGCAATGGCGATGTATAGCTACAGCTCTCGGCCCAACTACCTGCCACATAATCAACCTGACGCCAACCGACTGAACCAGAAACATTTATAGAAACAGAGCCCATAGATAGCAAAACAACAATGAGATGACCTCGCGCACAGCGCGCGGATGCAGCGATTCTAATCAATGCAACAATGAAGGAAGATGGAGAGACTGTTACTCATTGTAATGATATACCTGTCACGCATTAGCACTTATCCATTCCAATCATTACGGACCACTCACAAAATAATCCGGAAGCCCAAACACCGAATAACCCAACCGCTTGGCCATCTTGGCAAAGCCCTCGGTCTCGACGAGATGGTAGAAAGGGAACGCGGGGAACATGGCGCCGTCTCGATGCACATCCGCCTTGACCATGAGGGCGGTGCCCCCGACGCCATCGAGCTCGATGACCCGCCGCGGGTTGGGGTTCTCGGTGTCGGCGAGATACGCCATGAGCGTGCGGTAGGTCGGCAGCTCCGCATAGCCCTCGAGGAGGATCTCATCGGGCTCCATGTTATCCGCGAGGTTCCGGGCGGAGGTACTATCAATCCAGGAATTAAAGTCATACGGCCGGACGTCCATCTTCTTGGTATCAGTGTTATAGTAGCGCTGGTAGCAATTGGGCACGATGACAGGGCGGTTGTGGGCGGTGAGGTCCTGGATGAGAGACGGGGGCGTCTCGACGATATCCGCGTCGAGCCAGAGGACCCAGGAAGACGCGGGGCCAAGGGTAGTGAAGAGCAAGCTGTTGCGGGCGCGGCTCATGGACTCGCGACGGACGCGCTGGTTCTCGAGCTTGTGGCGCTCCTTCTCGTCCTGCGACGCGAGCGGCGGGTCGAAGTCCTGGCGCAGGATGCTGATGCTGGCGAAGCGGGCGTCGAGGGGGCCGGCCTGGGTCTTGGCGATGGCGTCCTCGAGCGCCGCGGCGGCGGCGTTGCCCTCCTTTGTTTGCGGGATGATGAAGCCGATGGAGATGAGCTCGTGCGGGTAGGTCAGGCGCACGACGTTGTCCCAGAAGCCCTGGTAGAAGCGCGCCAGCGGGGTCAGGATGAGCACGCGCTCGCCCTTGGCGGCGGAGTCGCTGGTGCTGGTCAGCTCGTTGAGGTTGTAGTGCACGACGGGCGGCGCGGCCTGGTAGCCGTCCTCGCGGAGGGGTTGGGACTTGAAGAAGGGTTTTGTCGGCGGCGAGAGCGGGTTCTCGGCGGCGTTGTCTTCTCGTCGTTGCTGTGACGAGCCCGAGCCGGGGGCGGAGATGGGTGAGACGTCCGGGGTGGACGGCGTGAGGAGGAAGAAGAGGAAGCCGAGGGCCAGCATGGCCGCCAGGACGACGGTGGTGGAGCTGGTGCGTCGCATGGAGCGTGCGACGGCCATTGTGGCCGTGGACCGGACAGGAGGTGTGTGTGATGGACGAAGGATGGTGGTGGTGTTGCAGATGAGGGACAGAGTCGACGTGGTCAGTCGGCGATCGACAGGGTCTAAATCCAGGACACGTCGTCGATCGGTCAGGCTCGGCCAGAGACGGGTTCGAAATCTAAGGACGGAAAGTAATCGTGGAGTGACCCACGAACATGGCGACAGCGACCGAAGGATAGAAGGGGATGTGGTGTTGGTGTGAAGAGAGAGCGAAGAGGTGAGGTTGGACGATGCCGGAAAAGATTCGCGGAACCACAGTTTCACGTCGCTCCGCCTTGCGCCTATCGGACGTTCGAGCTGGATGGACCGGTGCAATCTGCGAATCAGCCCGAGGTCATCGATGATATGATGTGGAGTGATCGAGGGAGAGAGACCGTGGCTGTTTTTGGAGAGGCAAATTCCGCATGCGGCATGTCGGCGTCTGTATAGCACCTGCGGATACTATAGAGGCACAAGACGCTTATCAGGAACGTATGAGATGCGACATTCTCTATGGCAATAAATTGATCTGTTTTAATTGCTCTATTAAAGACTCATCGCATATAGTCTATGTACAATGCATTTCGTTGCTGTGTTCTAGTATAGTTCTATTTTCGTCTGGCTACGGCAGCCACCGCATCACACCCTCAAATGCAACCAAGGCCATCGCATTCGCCGGGAATGCTCTCAAGAAACAAGGCACAAAGCCCCTCCAGTACCCTCTCCACCCGCGCTCCCGATACACCGCGACCGCCGCGTCCTTCCACCACCGGAATTGCCGTTGCCCGTCGCCCAGCGCGCCGCCCATGGGGTCCGTCATCAGGCGGTTTTTCACCACATCCGACGGATACGACATGATCCAGAAGATCTGGGCCGAGATTCCGCCGGCCCAGAAGTTGATCACCGGCGCAGACAGGCTGGTCCGCTCTCTCATCAGTCGCGATAGGACATCATACGAACCCCACCAGAAGAAAAAGAACGACCGGAAGAGGATCGTCGCGAAGAGACCGCGGTAGAGGCCGGTGATGCCGTGTGTGCGGAGCTGCAATTGTTAGTTCGTGGTCATTTCCAAAAGGCCTTTCTCCAAGCACGTCTCGACATGGCTTACCATCTTGCGGACGCAGTCAATCGGCCCACTGTACAGCCGTTGCGATTTCTCGGCGGCGTACTGGATCTGGAGACGCGCTTTGACATGTTCCACCGGGGCGGCGATGAAGCTGACCGTCGTACCGGCCATGATGCCTGCGATACCATGGCCGAAGCTGGGGAGGACATTAAGGCCGGGCTGGTGTCGGGCGAACGGCGTGAGACGCCGAATCTCGGGTTTCGAAAAGACGTTCTCGAGTAGGATGCGTCGATAGAACGTCAGGGAGCCCAGCATACTACCTCCGTCAGTGAGCGGACTAACGATAAAGGTGGGCTCGGCTTACACAGAGTCCATCATCATCCATCCGACCAGCGGCGGCGTCGCTCCCTTATACAACCCAGTTACACCCTCCTTCCTCAGGGTCTGCAAGACACAATCCAATGGTCCCTTGAAGTGTCCCTCCGTACTCGTCTGCAGGCGGACCTTGACGGTGTCGAATCTAGCAAGCGGTTAGCGTGGGGTGTCGTGCAAGGATATAGATAGAGCGTCGTCACGTACGGATGGCCAACTATAGTTCAAATACATTAGCAAATTGCCATTTGTCAAGAATGAGGGGAGTATATACCACTCAGCTTGGCGATTCCAGAGAATACACCCGCCACAAACCCTTTATAGTCGTGCTTGGAGCTTGTCGACGGCGTCCCATGCCCCGACCCATTATTGCCCATCGTCGATTGTGGCGTCGGGATCGCTGAGGTCGGTGTCGTTGTAGACGGTGAGGGTGACGACATTTTCAGTCGCCGGTATTGTCGCAGGTGGTTTTCTCGCGCAGTCCCAAAGCGACGCGACGCCAGTGGTCGAGTCGCTCACCGTCCGTGTCTTGCTGAATTTGGCGGTCCGTTATCGGACAGGTCGTGGCGACGATCAACCGAGTCGGCTAGACACGAAGTGCGGTGTTGACAGGCGGAAAAGAGCGATTATATAGGGCGCGGCGATCAAAGTATTATTATGAACGATAGGAACTCCATCGATGAAGCGGAGGAGGAGGTACAAGAGAAGATCGGAGATGCCATCTTATGCTGCGTTGCGCCCCGCAAAACTCGGCGGATCGGGGAGTCCGAGTCCAACTCCGGGGGTTCGCCGATCCGTTCAAGCATTCACCCAGGCGGGGAAGCATGGGTGTAAGACAAGACGACTGTTTACCTACTCTTTCGACGTTGGTTATCGGGCACTGCAATGTCATGGCTGTGGTGGTTACATGAAAATGTCAACAGACACTGTCCACCCCAGGTCCATAGAAATATATAACCATCCTCGCTCCCGTGTTTCTCACCCAAGACACTTCAAACAAGCATTCGATCCACTCGTCACGATGCATGTCTTGACGGACTATTTAGACAAAGACAGCCTTTAGGATGCCATATAAGCGAGATATATGCGGAGGAAGACCAGTGCGAAGGACACTTCTCTGGGAGCAGTGGCCTGAGCGGAGTGCATTTGACTCTGGTCTCGTCCACTGCAACTATAGTAGTATATCACTTCTACAGAGTGATAAATGCGTAGAGCTACACGCGGAATACTCGATCAACAATCTACTCTCCCTGTGCTTGAGCCATGCTTAGGAGAAGGGAATGGTTGATGACGGCATGGGACAAGAGGCAATACAGATGACGTCATTTGATAGGTACGGACTACGGAGTACAGTTACTCTAACCAGGCACAAGATAGACAAAGTCATTCGTTAGACATTTCTCATGGCATAATCACATAAGAGACAACGAGGTAGCGTCACAGGCATGCATAAGTGAAACTTAAAGTCCGACCTCCATCAGAAAACATGTTCGTTATGCTTAGTGCTTCGAGGCTTCTGTAATCGTCATCAGCAGCTGCATCGGTCAAGGTCACATGCATCACATCACATACCCTTGTGGACATCAGCCTTGGTGTTATGCGAGTACTCGTCCTTCTTATCCCCGAGGGCGTCCTTCGCAGCGCTGGCACGGGTGCTGATGCTGGCGTCGGAGTCCTTGGCGACCTGCTTGTTGGCCTCCTTGGAAGCCTCAGCGCCGGTGCCCTGGATGGTCTCGGAGACGTAGTTGGCGGCGTTCTATAGAGTGAAGAGTGTTAGTAGGCATGGTCTATCCGTTGACATGGCGTGTCATGGATTGAACACACCTTGACAGTTTCCATGGTGATGGTAGTATGAGGTAGTATGAGAGAGTCTTTGTAGATGCTTGAGTGATGGAGATTGTTGTGTGGATGGGAGAGAGCTATTCCAGCGGTAATTCTCGCCCTTTTATACCTCAGTCTAGACAAGATCGAGGTATATCTTGCACCGCGATGACGGTATGCGGGCCCACTCGAGGTTCCTTGTTTTCCCAACCAAGAGTTGCCATACCATCAGTGGCGCAGATAGCCTCCCCCACGGTCTAGATGCGTCCTCAGGGGGGGTGAATGGTGGCTTGTTCCTAGGTTAGCCCAAGCAACAACGCCATGATGACGATGCCATTGTTTCTGGGACGCGAGACTGCAGCAATTTCCCCGGAACCGCTCCCGCGAATCAGGAACCGAGGGTTTTATTCCCGGTATACCTACACGGTGGCGATTGTGAGCGATGACCGCATTGCAGGAGATTCATCTTCATCTCGTCATCGCCTCATGTCATTCACCCTCGGCCACGATCAGGTTCGTGCGACAGACATGTGACGGATACTCTGTAGACCTGTGATGGACGGGAGGCCGATCCCTTGACGTAGTAGATATGTCAGTCCGGATCTCCAAGGTATTTCAAGATCTAGTTGTATCTGACTGGACTTACGTCTCAGTCTCATTCAACTTTCCGAGGCACTCAAGGCTGAAGAACATGAATCGTGCCCAGTGCCATAATTCTAGGCAGCTGCAAGGGCCTCGATGCTCCCGCCGGCCGTTCCAGGGTTCTGGCCCGTTAGTCTCACCTTATCCCATGCTGAATAGCAGCCATGTTGTGCCATGACCCAACGCCAACAGACGTTCCACTGGTCGTTTACGAGGCAGATTGGTCTTCATCAGGAAGTCCTTCATACAGTATTCTGAGGCTACCCGCTAATGTCCGTCATTCATTGGTGGACCGGACCGATAACTCTAGCAGATCAATTCCGATATCTATCTGCCATCAAGGCCGTTTCCAATCTTTATCTGACAACCTGAGAATGCCACGGGTGGCAGCCTGGTTCTGCTCAGCCCGAATTGGAGCCCCCGTACCATGAAACACGAAAGCCAGTAAAGAAGAACCGAAATACAGTCTGGAGAAGAGATGAATGATGAACGCAGTGGAGGTAAGAGATGATGACGATCAGGCTGTGTGGGGTATAAATGCAACTTTCAATAATACAAGAGTTCTTCGCAGATGTGGCCAAAGAATTTCCGTCGTGCATGATGTGGATAGATGGTCATGCCACTGAAGACTGCTTTGAGCGAGCGTGTCTAAGCCATTCGATCGAAGCATATCGCGACGGTCACGGCACTCCCTCTTGGCGATGCTGGCGAATGATGCCGACGGACGCGGATGTTTCTCGAGGACGTCTATCCCGTTCAAAACAGTCCTCTTAGACATTCACCGAGTCTTAGTGATCTTCTTCGCCTGTTGCCGCAGACGCTCGTTCTCCCGGGCGATCAACCGTTCGATCAGATCCGGGGCCGGCCCAGACTGCTGATCCCCCGACTGGGATGCACCGGTAACGAGATACCCGCTCGCTTCCTCCAGGGTCAGCGGAGTGACGGGACCTGGACTGCGGAGGGGATCCAGCCGAGGGGCGGAAGGACCGGGTGACAGGGGGCGAGAGGGGGCCTTGGGCAGAGTAACCCCTTCCATCAGGTCTCGGTAATGCCACATGGTGGTGTCTCGGGATCCCGAGGTCGTACGGTATAGCGCCTGACGCGGCTGGCGAGGGGATGGCGGCTGAGCGGAGGAAATGTTCTGGGAGGTACTGGAGGACGGGTACACGGCGGGATGGAAGCGAGGCAGGCTCCCGAGGTGGAAGGCGGGGAGGGATTTGGCGGAGCTTTGAGGGCGCGAACGGGAGGGTTGAGGGGAGGCGGGGCGGGTGTTGGTTGGGGACATGGAGGGCGAGACGACAGGGGCGTAGAAGGTGGTGTTGTCAGAACGCATTCTGGAAGTGAGAGGGCGTGAACGACGGGGACGTCGACCACTGCGAGTGCCAGGTCGGGGGATGTCTCGAGAGGAGGGAGCGAGTTCGTCTCGATGGGCGAAGTAGTAGCCTTTATCGAAGCGTCCAGTCAAAGGAGTGACGGGAATGTCCGGGTCGTAGGAGACGGACGAGCGTTTAGGGATGGGTATCGGCCGCGAGACAGATCGAGAGAGCGAGCGATCAGGGGTCTCAGAGACCGGAGAGACAGGACCGAACGGAGATGGGGGGTTATATGTCGACGAGGTGGCCGTCAATTCCTCGAGGGAGGAGAGGGATACCCGAGTGGGGTGACCGTGTCGGGCGATGAGGGTTTCTAACTGGTCGTGGGCGGCAAAAGTGGGTGATCGATAGGAAGGAGACCAGGAGGAGGAAGTGAGATTGGCTGGGAGCACGCGATCAGTGTGAATCATGATGGAGAATGTAGGCAAAAAGGCAGGGCACACGTGTCTGGTGGAGATGGGCGGATGGTACAAGTCATCCGAGGGGAGGGGGGAGGGGGAGGAAGGAAGGAGAGACTTGGAGAGACTTACTGTGCAGTGATGGCGGCGAATGAAGCGAACTGTAGGAGGAGGGATAGACGGATGGAGAGGAGGAGGAGGAGGAGGAAGAGGAAGAAGAAAAGGAGGACGAGGGCGCCATTTATTTTTCTGATTCCCGGTTTCTCATGGATTCCAGTAGTGGATCAATCTGGTGGTACCTTAGGGGGGATCCTTGGATCAGGAACCGTTCCTGTCCAGGTCGTCCACTGGGGAATTTTCCTTTCTTCGTGCTTGAAGTTTGTCTGTAGGGAGATGTCTCTGTATACTTTGCTATCGGTTGACAATGGTTGTCTATAGTCTCGTTAGAATATTGAGGACAATAATAAGAAAATATTGAGAAAATAAAATAAAATCAATCGAAATGGAAAATGCGGGGAAGCCGCCGTCACAAAACCGCCCAAAACGATGGCGTCATGGCGGGAAGAGCAGGAGGGGCAGCCGAGTTGCGTATCGGTACAGTACCCGTACGTGAGGTCTCCACGTTGCCAGAAGAAAAGATCGGGAGATCAATGACTTGAACATCAACGATATCAAGAAATGGAAATCCCTTACCGCCAGAGCCCTCCAAGGAGTCAGAATCACCAACATCAGATGACTAGAGCCGAAATCCTCTAGGCCAACGAGGACGCATCCCAGCGCATCGAGACAAGGGGAGAACCCGGCGAATAATGCTGTACTAGGTCACGCAGATGACTCTTTGGCGAGCGGTGGGCAGTTCTTCTGTTCTTCACCTCAAAACAGCAACTTCTTTCTTCCGTTGACAGCAATCCACTGTGCAAAAGGACACACATACCACCCAGGCTGATCTGGGTTGTACATCCTTTTAAACCCCTCTACAACCCGGTGGCGTCTGTCTGTTCAGCCGAACAAACCGGTTCTCTCTGCCTAGTCATTGTAACCACACGCGGTAGACTCGGCTGACCCGAACTCACTTCCTCCCATCACCCGAAGACAATAATAGCTCAGGAGTCATAAAAGCGTCTCCTATGAACCAGAAGAAAGACCTATGAAGGGCGAGATACATCCCACATCGACTTTCGCGGGAGTGGAACATCGGTTGATCTTCCGGGGTTACTCGGCATGCTGACTGGCCATCGTGCAAGCAATGCAACCACTCAACGACCATGCTCGCACACCCTCCGTTGCGCAAGGGGGTCACTAGTGGCTGAGCCACCTGCGAGTCATGCCCGTGGTCGCTCGCTGGAAATGACTGCGGCACGGTACGAGCGGTCGTCCACGGGTAATCCTCGTCGTGACCCCAGATCCGAGCCCCTTGGCACGCACAGTCGATCTTGCTGCGAGTTAGCCACGACAACGGCTGCAACGGATGCTAATCCAAGCATATTCATCCTGCAGTTATCCTGCGGTTGCTGACAGTGGTATTGACGCTCATCAGAGTGCCTCCTATAATGCAGTGTTCTTCCTGTTCCATACTGCAGTGGGCTAGGGAGAAATGTGACAAACCAAAACATCTCCACCCAACCCACGCTGATCAGACGACTCGGCAACCCTCCATCACATCCCCACCACGATGGAGCGATCAGGGAAGAAACCTGGTTAGGGCTGCGAAGTCATGTATCCCCGTTGAACTACTCGATAGATCTCCCACTCACAACATAGAGATCTTCCGATCGAAGTCTGCAGAGAACAGGGATGGTAGATGTCGCCTGCATCTAGCTACCGAGATGCAAAAATACCATATGCGGATAGTCACCGAGACACCCCACCCCTGAACTGTCCTACTCGGGAATGCATAAGCAGCCCAGGTACAAAGCATACAACCCGTTTGCACGGTTATGGCGCAGTCCGCTACGGATTCGTAAGCCGCCATGTTCCTAACGAAGGGTATCTCGGAGTCGCATCCAGCACTAGTCCAGCTACTGGAGGGTAGGCGTCGTCAGAGATAGCGTCAACCTTTGGAGAATGAATCATGTGTGTGGTCGTGGTGTGTTGACTACCGCTGATAGCGGCAGGGGTACTGATAGCATACGGGATATGGATATGCGAAACATCTTGGCTACAGCTGAAGTTAGCGACATGATCAGCCACTACTACCGTCTGGAACAAAAATCCGACCAGTCACCACACGGCATTTCCAAGGTGTCCCATGACCAGAATGAACCTGTTTCACTGCCTGGGGAGAGACTGGTCCAAGCTCCACGATCGCGCTGCGTAGGCATCAACATGCCTGCACAGAAGGGCGTGTTTATGCCGCACGACGTCTGCATGCTGCCGGAAGGAGCTGTTGGCTTACTCCTCGATCGCTGCAGGGGTATTCACATGGTGTATGACGACACCTAGAGTACGGATAGAAGTTGTGTGGTGATGCAGTCGGAAGTGGTCTTCCCAACATCTATGGACCTTGCAATGACCAAAGTACAAAAAGGTTTCCAACTAACCTTCAACCAACAGTCTAAGGTAGCTGAGCGTTCACTTCTGGCATCGTCAATATTGATGCGTACGTCTCACCGGAAGAAGCACAGCCCAATCCGCAAAGCATTTCAAAGACGCGCACTGCGTGGAGATATTGTATACCTTGCTGAAGCCTGGCCACGGAAGACGACACGCACCCCGATGAAGTTAATACATGTTCAGCGACAGGGATCTCGATAATTCCGAAGAAGGTCAGCTGGTCCTTGAAAAACATAGCGATGTCAATGTCGTTATTCGTGTGATATGTGATATCTCGGTCGACGTTGGGTCTCACCCTGAGGTGATATTAAGTCGGGTCACAATCAGTCTACTCCTAGATGTATATTGTTCTTACTGATGTTTTGTAAGCCAGAAGCTTTATTCGTTAGGAGAACTATCCCGAACGAGTAGGCTAATCGCTTCTGTTACTCTATACGCAACAGTTATATAGACACCTGCTTTTGGTAGGATTGCATAACAAAGACAGCAAGCTGAAAGACCCGCCCGCAGACAATGAGATAATAAGTATATCCCTTCGACCTCAAGCATTTTATGTCTACCAAGCACAAGTTCTACTTATGCCCAATAATCCCCTTCGGCTCATACAACTCATCAATACTCTGAATCTCCTTTTCCGAGAGCTCAAAATCAATCGCCTGGATAGCCTCATCCACACGCTCAATCTTACTCATGCCCACAATGGGCGCAGTAATGAAAGGCTTGGACAAGCACCACGCCAGCGCCACCGTCGCCATCGACACCCCCCGCTTGCCCGCAATCTCCTCGACCCTCTCACTAATCCTGCGATCCGTCTCCGTAAACTTATGCCCCATCATGCCCTGCCCCAGCGCATCACCACGCGCCGTGTCCGCAAACGCCCGCCACGGCCGCGCCAGGAACCCCATCGCCACCGGACTCCACGGGATGCTGCCCATGCCGAACTTCGCGCACGCCGGGAACATCTCGCGCTCCTCCTCGCGGTAGACCGCATTATACAGGTTCTGCATGGACACAAACTCCGTCCAGCCATGCAGCCGGGCCGTGTACTGGTACTCGAGCAGCTGGTGCGCAAACATCGACGACGCCCCGATGTAGCGCACCTTGCCGGCCTTGACGACGTCGTGCAGCGCCTCCATGGTCTCCTTGGCCGGCGTGTGCGGGTCGAACCGGTGGATCTGCAGCAGGTCGACGTACGGCAGGTCCAGCCGGCGCAGGCTGGCCTCCACGCTCTCGAAGATGTGCTTCCGGCTCAGCCCGTACTGGTTGACGTAGCCGGCGTTGTCGCGCGCGTCCTCGCTCATGGCCATCGGGTTGTCGCCGTCGCGCGCGACCGGCGCGAACACCTTCGTCGCGATGACCAGGCTCTCCCGCCGCCAGTTGTACTCTTTGATCGCGCGCCCGAGGATCACCTCCGAGTCGCCGTTCGAGTAGATGTTGGCCGTGTCGAAGAAGTTGAGCCCCTGCCGGTAGCAGTGGTCGAGCACGGGCAGCGCTTCCGCGGCCGGCAGCGACCAGGTGAATTGCTTGCCGGGCTCGCCGTAGCTCATGCAGCCGACGCAGATGCGCGAGACGCGGAGGCCCGTGTTGCCGAGTTGGACGTATTTCATGGTGGATTTAATGATCAATAAATGATGGGAGGGATGTTGGGGAGAGAGTCTACGTGCGTGGTGAGGGGTTATATATGTCACGCTGACCGCTGTTATTTCTAAGCAGGATATGTATGTTACTATGTCCGATATCTCCATCTATCCCCATCTCTCGGGCAGGCTGCACATCGCTGACGCATGACCCTCTATCGACGGAGACTAGCGAGTTAGTTTGCCTTTCTCCACTCGAGCTTAGCCTGATACCCCGGAAGCGCCACCGACACGGCCTTCCTGTCCTCCATGTCAAACACCATCAGCACCGGCGAGACACCCGCATATGTCACCGCGTCCACGGCTACCCAGTCATTGATGGCGAAGAAGTTCGAAAACAGGCCGTGCGATGGCGGCCCGGTGATGCCGTGCGTCATCGGCGTATACGGCCTGAACGCAACTCGGCCCGTCTCACCGGAGAGCGGGATCGTTGGAACGAACCGCGCCTTGGCGGAGAGTCCAAAGCTAGGCAGGAGAGGCAATACATCGGTCCCATTACTGATCCAGGAGGTAAGCGCCAGACCCGGTGCCGCCGATGGCGCGTTCTGCACGGACAAGGTGATGGACGAGTTGAGTCCCGCCTGCGTGGAAACGTACGTTCCCGCAAAACCACGCTGCGCTTCGCGTGCTGCCTCGTCCATCAGCGCAGGAAGCACCATCTCGGACACGATATCGGCGACGAGGGCAGTCCCCGCGGACCGGGAGGTCTTGGAGCTGCAGCTGATGACGCTGAACCCGGCGTCGAAGTCCGGCAGAAGAACAATGTAGCTGCTGTAGAAGCCCGAGTCACCCGATTTGGTATAAATATCGGTGACGGCGCCAGAAGCATGCGTGTAGCGGTAGATCTCCCACGGCGCGCCAACGGAGTACCGCAGATGTGCCGTGTGGCTCACGGGCTTCATCCAGCGCCGGGTCTGTTCTTCAGGAAGGAGAGTCGAGTTGAGCACGGCGACGCCGAACTTGGCATAGTCGTTCGTGGAGCTGAACAGACCGCCGGAGGAGACGGCGATGCCGGGGTCGTTTGCGATGGAGGCTGCTGGGTCGCCTGCGATGACGTAGCGGGGGTAGTCGGACTCGGGGGGCGGAGAGGCCCGCGACGAGGACATCCCCAGCGGGTCAAAGATGCTCTCCTGGTAGATCTGGGCGAGGGGCTTGCCTGTCAGGTTGGCGATCGCTTGGCCGAGGAGGATGAACCCGTTGTTGGCGTAGGCTGGGCTAGCCCAGGGCTGGAAGACGGGGTATTCGTCCGCCATGGCTTCGGCGAATTCATCTCCCGTGCAGTGGCCGTCGCTGGCACATGGAGGGATGATAGAAGGATCGGAGGCATTGACCGGTGGGAGGCCGTAGGTGGCCGGATCGGTCTTTGGCGTGAGAGTGCCGGTGCTTTGGGCGACGAGGTAGTTGAGCAGGATGTCGCCTGGAGTGAAGGGGATGGTTCCACGAGGGACTCCTCCAATCTGGGCGGCGATGGCGCTGAGCGTGATCTTGTCCCACTGGACATTCCGCGCAGGGTCCGTATGTTCCTTGTCGTGGATGTAGTCGGCGAACGCGGGGAAGATGTCTGTCAGCGGACGGTTCCAGTCTTGAGGGTCGAGTTCGAGGAGGCCGGCGAGGACGGTGAATGCCTTGGTGCCGCTGGCGATGCCGTAGATGCTGTCCCCGTCTACTTTGCTCACGCCGGCAGTGGAGTTGGCGACTTCCGGGCTGGTATGGTGGTATTGCAAGGTGGACGCTTCACTGTCGTGGACAGAGAACATGCCCACGGAGAAGGTCAGATCTTTCAATAGAGTCGACTGGGCTGCTGTGGCATTCAGCTTGCTGGATAGGATTTTGTCCAAGGTGGCGGTGACATTGCGCCAGCTGGAAGAGACATGGCTTTCTTTGGAGCTGAGGTCTCGGGGTGCTGGGTATACAGGGCCGAGAAGTTGCGCATGGATGCCTGTGATGCATAGTGCGATCAGAGCGGTCGGCTGAAGAGCCCGCATTGTGGTGTCAGTTAGAATGCAAGGAAAGAAGTCGAACTGATTATGGGATTCTTCATGTATGTTTTGAGGCGGTCCAGTGAGTACTTATACATTGCGACAGAGCTTAGACGTAAGTATAGCTCATGCTTCAGCCTTGTCGTGCCATGAACTGCCACAACGCCAGTGCATATCATTCCCAGAAGAAGGCCGACGTTGCGCTGGGACCCATCACATCCTCCAGTCTGATGCCGGGGCTGAGAACGAATTCTGTGCATTGTTTGGTGCATCAGAGCGCAATGAGATGGGCCAAGATCAGATCGGTTGAGACGAACAACACAATCTATCCAAGCTAGACTGCATCTGGCATAGAAGATGGCCAAGAAACACGGGCAAAAAGTCGCTAGACTCAAAGGAGTGTGAATCTGACAGGTGGCGATGCTGGATCTGTTCCCTTCTGGGCGATATCGTGCGCCGGGTGGAGTCTGTCCGTGCCACGTTTAATTAAAGAAGTGTCTTTAAGTGCAGGATTCTCTCACCGCATAATTCGCTTATATGTCGGATGGATTCAGGCGCTATCAAGGGCTATGATCTCAGCAGGGCCGATCTTGCTCGTATGGGGCCTGTTGTCTGATCTTCTCCCAGTCGATGTGGGCTAGTTAGATACTTACAGACTAGGCGTCCTAATCCATTTGTGGGACATGTAGAAGCACTCATTATAGGGATACTAAGTATCCATACTGTAGCCTCTTCTGGCTTCGATTTATCTGCGAAGTATATCCATTGACCCAGACAGCATTCGCTGTAAACACTTTGTCACCCTTCGCCAGATCCTCTAGTATACGGAGCTGCCGATACCTGTACCTAAGCATATACCTTATCATAGGCTTCAATTTCCATGTTCCTGCATCAGTTAAAGATCGTCCAAGCACTGTATTTACGTGGTGGCATTGACAGATCCATCCCCATTCCGGTAACGCATACAATATAAACATAAAAGATACATCACCATTACCTGCTGACTATCCGACAATCCCACAAAATCCATTATCAACCGGAATGCACGCTCCGTTAATCAGCCGGGCACCCTTACTCGACGCCACCGTCAGACACAGCTCAGCAACCTGCTCCAACTCACACAGCGGCGTTTTGACAGCCTCCATCAACTCCTTCACCTTCTTCATTCCCTCCTGGTTGACGCCGGCCATGAACGCATCCGTGATGTTGGTGTTCATACCGCCCATCATCAACGCGTTGCATCGAATCCCCTGGTTGCCGTAGAAAGCGGCCGTGTTCTTGGTTAGTCCGACCAGACCGTGCTTGCTCGCGGTATACGCCGCCCCTGGTGCATGTCAACCATCAATCCTCAAGATATCATCACGAGAAAACGTACCAGCCGCCCAGCCGGCCTTGCCCGCCAACGAGACAATGTTGATAATGCAGCCATCCGGACCGTCCTGTTTCAGCATATCCCGCACAGCCAGCTTGCTCAGAAGATACGGCGCGGTCAGGTTCACGGCCATGACCTTGTTCCACAGCCCCTCGTCCAGATCGCCGACGGGGTCGAAGCGATCCATAATGCCCGCATTGTTGACCAGAACGTCGACTTTCTGGAATGTAGCGGTTATTTCGTCAAACAGGCTTTGGACAGCGGCTGCGGATGTAATGTCCGCCTTGATGGTCTTCAAGGTGCCCCGTCCTGCGAGCTCGGTCGAGGTCTGCTGCAGGCGTTCGTCGTTGACATCGCAGATGACCACGTTGGCGCCGGCATCGAGGAACCGGGTCGCGATGGCCTTTCCCAGCCCGCTGGCTCCACCAGTCACGAGGCATGTTTTCCCAGACAGTTCTGACATGGTGTAAGTTGATATTGTTTCTTCGACCTTGTGGGGGGTATGGCTGAGGGGATTTGCCTTGACTTTATGAGGGGCTTGGAGGCTGCGTATTGCCTACGTATTTAGGACCATAAACGGCATAGAGTGGTTCAGGGGCATGACCCCTCCCATATTTTCTCCGGTCCAGGTTGAGATTATGTCCATTATTATTTGGACGGAGATGAAGGATCCAGTCAGCCGCTTGGCCTTCGTATTTGCGTATTCGTCCGATGCCTGAGGCATGAATTTATGCATGCATATTTCGGATGTTGCAGACATCACTCTGTCCTGTATCCTCTAAATCCTTTGTTCATTTGGGTTATTTCTGGCGAGGTGGCGTTGGGGAACGGACACAGGATGCCCTGGGCTGAGTAGCTATCATAGGATGCTAGGAATAAACAGACCCAGGTCTATTTCCATAATGGTAGTGGCTGTGCATCAATGCCCTCCCCGGGTATCACATTTCTGCCTCGCAACCGATGCCTAGACTGTAGAGGCTCTAGAGCCGACATTTGCGCCGAGGCTCTGAGTCCCGCCGTAACTAATATAGCCACGGTGCCGTTTGAAAGAAGGCAGTTCCTCTACAATCTTTCAGATGTAAACTTCCCTTCCAATGCGTGTTCCTGGGGAGAGTATCCTGCAGATCCTGCGGGATGTGGCAGACACATTGCCATTAGACGAAATACTACGGGCACGACTTGTAAATCGTATGTTCATTCTGTCGCATACGCTGGGATCAGCTAACCCTATGCAGGTATATTTGCCGAGGAGGTGACATCCGCCCTTCTCCAAAGTTCCCGCCTGGAGAATGAGATGTTTGCGACTTCGCCCAGATTGAGGCCATCATATGGGGCCAGGAGCGTGCAGCGGAGCATCTGCTGGATCGTGGTAGCTTCGATCTGCGCATCCCCAGTTACGAATTCCGCGATGGTCCATTGTTTGGGGCGCTGCTCCGGTGTAGGGTCCCGGAAGCGAGACTGAGCATCGTGTAGGCGTTGTTAGAGCATGGGGTTGAATCGAATGGGCTCTACGATGTGGTTCCCCGAACGCCGTTGCTGAGAGCCATGGAGCTGGGTGACTTAGGGACCGCGACGCTTTTGCTGGAATATGGAGCTATGCCCCATGTCAAGATAGTTCCCCGGGGTTCGAAGGGAAGAAAGAAGCCTCCTTTATTGCACATTGCGCGCCAGCTGGACGAGGGCAGATTCATGCGACTGCTGCTAGACAACGGAGCTGATCCGTGCTATCGGTGGAAGCGCAGGAATTATACTGTTCTGGTGGATGAGGAGCATATCGGACAAGTTGAGGGAATATTTACAGAGCTGGGATTTGATGCAGACGAAGCGAAGGTAACTAAGAGAGAAAGTATATGCTCGTGCAAACGGGATAATGGCTGATTGTGAATTCCGTGATCCGCACAAAGCTATTCGGTATCTGCAATTTCGGCACGCCCTGTCAATGGCATCGACGCCCCACAACATGCAGTCAGCATTTATATCCCCAGACGAAGATATGAACCCACACACGCCAGTCTCCATCCTTACCTCAATTCACCAGCACAATGTCCCATCCTCCGCCAACGTCAAACATCGTCCTCCGCGAACACCAGCCCCATGATCTAGACTGGATCGTGGCGCGCCACGGTGCCCTCTACGAGAAAGAATACGGCTTCGGGCCTAAATTCGAGGCGCTGGTGGCGCAAATCACGACCGATTTCCAGAAGAACTATGACCATGCGTGCGAACGCTGTTGGATCGCAGAGGAAGCAGTTCCCCCACAGACCGTCGAGACCGATCAGACCGATACAGACCCCAACGCATTGTCCCTGGGCAGTATCATGTTAGTCCGCGATCCCGACGCACCCAAAACGGCCAAATTACGACTCCTTCTGGTGGAACCGCGTGCGCGGGGTCGGGGCGTGGGACGGTCCTTGATTCAGCAATGTGTTCGCTTTGCCAGAGAGACCGGGTATGAGCGAGTGGTGCTATGGACGCAGAGTGTGTTGGAGTCGGCGCGACGGCTATACCGTGCCGAAGGATTCCAGCTGTTGAAGCAGGAGGAGCATGAAGGGTTTGGCATGAAGATCACGGGGGAATTTTGGGAGTTGATGCTGTGAGATCACGTACTAGCTGATGTTATCACTTTCTGTGAAGTAAAGAATACTGTTGTTCACCTATCTTATCGCTCGCCCTCCACACATTATGGGCCATTCCCCACGGATGTGTCATCTCGAGAGATAGAGTATCCAGCTTGACTGAGAAGTCGGAAAATACCGCTCTCACTAATCCATGGAATTCGCATTGTCAATTGAATCTCTGGATGAAAATGGAAAGACATAGCCGATTCGCCCCCCCGCAAGCCCTGGTCCACCGGCATCGCGGAGACCTTCTCATTTGGGAAATGGCTGGTGTCTATCTATCTTATCGTCGACAAGCTCTCGCTCCTCCAACGCCTCCTCCATGGGGATGTTGCTGCCGATGGGGAGGTGCGAAGACAGCCGGAAACGGCGTTGGCTTGGCCTTAAATGCGCCCTCCGACTCATCCGAGTCGACCGCTTCCAACTGATCTTCTTCTGTGCAACCGGCGGTATACGGACACACGATGAAAGACGAGGCAGACAACCAGCATGCGCTCTCCAACTCGGTTGGGGAAGATGCTCGATTGGAGGACCTGGGATATGAACAGGGTACGAGTCTTGCCTAGCGTCTCCTGATTCTATACTGACTCGCCGCCAGAGCTCAAGCGGACGTTCGGACTACTGGGCATGATCGGTTTCAGCTTCAGTGTCGTTACATCGTATGGCCCCTTCTCCCCTGTTGGTGTTCATTAGCTAAGTCCTCAGATGGACCGCGTTAAGTGGCGTGTTCATCGTCGGAGTCACCTCGGGGGGACCCCCGGTCATGGTGTTCAGTTTCATCGGCGTCAGTCTCCTCACCCTGGCCGTAGCCATTCCCATGGCAGAAATGTGCTCGATGTACCCGGTAGCGGGAGGCCAATATTCCTGGGTGGCCGCATTAGCACCGCCCAGCATCGCACGGGGGCTTTCCTACGTCAGCGGATGGTTCATGATAATCGGTATGCTCCAACCTCCACACAGAACGTCCATCACCTAACACATCACAGGCGTCCTCGCCATGGGCGCCACAAACAACTCCATCGGCGCCAATTTCGTCCTCGGCATGGCCAACCTCGTCTTCCCCGAATACACCATCCAGCGCTGGCAGACCGTCCTCGTCGCATACCTGATCGCCCTCATGTCGACCGCCATCAACATCTGGGGCGCGCATCTGCTGAATCGCCTGGCGCGCTTCATTCTGATCTGGAACGTGGGCTCGTTCCTCGTCACCATGATCGTTGTCCTCGCGACAAACGACCACAAACAGCCCGCGTCGTTCGTCTTCTCCGAGTTCCAGAACTTCTCCGGCTGGGGCCCCGCCATGGCCGCCATCGTGGGCATCCTGCAGGCCTGCTTCGGCATGTGCTGCTACGACGCGCCGTCCCACATGACCGAGGAGATGAAGTCGGCCTCCAAGGAGGCCCCCAAGGCCATCATCCTCTCCGTCGTGCTGGGCGCTGTCACGGGGTTTGCCTTCCTGCTGACGCTGTGCTTCTGCATCGGGGACATTGATACCACCGCCAACACGTCCACCGGCGTGCCGGTCATCCAGATCTTCTACGATTCCACGGGGAGCAAGGCGGGGACGTGCGTCTTGGCCAGCATGATCACGGTCATTGTCATAGTCGCCGGGAACAACCTGCTGGCCGAGGGCTCGCGGAGTGTCTACGCTTTTGCGCGGGACCACGGGCTGCCGTTCTCGGGGGTGTTGTCGAAGGTGCAGACGAAACATCGCATTCCCCTGAACGCGATTCTGCTCACGTTGATCGTGCAGCTGGCCCTGGATGCTATCGACTTTGGCACTACCACGGGCTTCGAGACTGTCATTGCCATCTCTACCGAGGGATTCTGTAAGCTGTCTGGTGACCCACTGAGTGTGGAAGCATTGCTGACGTATGTAGATGTCTCTTACGCCCTGGCTCTTATCGCCCGTCTCCTCGGCTTTCTCACCGGCCACAACCCTGTCATGAAGGGACCGTTCGCGCTGCCGCAGCCTCTGTCCATCGTGCTGAACATCCTTGGACTGCTGTTCCTCCTGTTCGCTGCCATCACGTTCAACTTCCCCCAGACCTACCCCGTGACCCATGAATCGATGAACTACACGTCCGCGGCGATTGGGGTTATTGCGGTGATCAGCTTTGTGACCTGGATTACGACGGGCAGGAAGCATTTTACTGGGCCGGCGGCGATGCAGGTGGTGCATGGGCGGAACAAAGATTCTGAGCCAAGTGGAGAAGTTAGCGAGAAAAGTTGATAGGGTTGCTTAGAATGTGAGGTTCGAATTGAACTTGTTCTACTAACATATCTATCCGCCATGGCATAAATCTTGGTAGTATCTAACAGACACCTCATGTGGTTTATCACAAGTACTACATGGTGCTCTCTTCAGCCAGTGTACGGTCTCTTCGCGGTAGTGGTCGCTGCAAACGATTCCTGACAATGCTCTGTTGAAGAGTTCTGGCCATAGCCCGGGCCTCATCATCCTGATCAACAAAAGCAGGCGGCCTCGCTGTCAAAAACCCAGCTTTTGCAGGAATATCCGTTGGGAGATGGGAGTTCTGAGAACGATCCATGGTGAAAGACGCCAAGTTCTCATTCCAGTTATCAATATCTGGCCTGTAGCCAAATTTGACAAGAAGTGCCGCCAGTTCCTTCAACACCTCAACGGCAGTTTCATACTCCTCCTATACCATTCTAAGTTAGAAGCACCCATAGGATAAGTAGCGTGGGGCAAACATACCGGGGAGGCTATTAACCCTGACGGTCTCGCTGGGTTCTCCGTCGCGGGCTTTTGCCATCCCCACTTCGATGTGAGGATCATCTGCTGCTTAAGATGCCTGTAATGAACTAATGCACCGAAGATCTCACCCTGCAAAACAATGTCATCTCGGATAGCCTTTGTGTTAAGACACGGTCTTTTCTGCAGCATCCTATTTTTGGAGAAATTTGTCTTGCAGAAGATTTCACCCCATGGGGTATATGGTTCGTACACGGCAGTCTATCTAGTTAGACAAGCGATAGTTATCAGAGTGGTAGTACTTACCAGGCGATCATGGTCGTTGAAGTCGCTCATGAATCCTTGGAGACAATTTGGCCTCGCTTCAGTGACTAATTTCACGATCTCAATCCAGTGTATATACTGGAACCGACTGAGATAACGTTGCCGCTCTTCACCATCGCTACCAATGGTAGGCTCGGGTTCCTTCAGCTAGCGTTTGATTTAGCATATGAGTATATTTTGGATAACAAGGGGACTGGAGTATGTTATCGAACTACTTACCAAGGACTGGAGATTGGCATCTTGCCAGAGACTCTCGTTACTGACCGTTTCCCAGAGACTTCGAAGAAATTCCCAATCTTTAGTCTCTGACGATAGGGAAGAATCGGCCACATCAGGGAAAAGATGCCGTTTGATCTGCTGGAGCCAACTGAAATAGATCCATTCGTGGCTTGACTTGGATGGCAGCTTCCAAGTTGGTTCCACCCACACCATGATATGATGCAGTATCTTGGAGACAACTGACGAGACTGTTTTCTCGAGGCCTACCCAGTCGCCCCTATAACTATGTCAGTGATACTATCTACGTAACCACGAGTACTACGTAGAGTTTCTATAAATCTTACCAAGTAGGGCACTCCAGATGCGGGTGGGTGTGGAGATTAGTGAAGACAGCCTTGTATGACCTTTCAGACAGACTGTCAAGAAACCCTGGTCGTCGATAAGTATACTCCTGGTTCTGAATGACGATGGGTGTTTCCAGTTTTGGAAATTGCAGATTGCCGGCGTACTCATTCGATATTGGAAATGGTTGGTTACGCCTTGGTGTGGAAGCATTCGACTGTATCCGATAATCCTCAGGCTCTGGGAAGAACAGAAGCCTCAATTGGGAGATAGGACGCCCTTGATCGAGAGAGAGGATCAACTTCCAGTCGCTGTAGGCAATGACATTCTGGCGTTTCGATCCAAAAATCGTGGAACAAAAGGTGAAAAACCTTTCAAATTCGAGGGCCCACATCTATTCAAGTTAGATTTTCTCCTAAAATAGGTATACGCGGGAACTGGCTTACTTCTGTTTGTTTGCCTGCTTGGATCCGTGCCATCAGAGACCAGTTGAACGAGTTTTCACCATATCTTGTTCCGCAATATAGGCGGATGAGGTTGGACAGAGACTTGTCTTTAAGGATGGTGATCATGCGGGTGGCATATGTCAGATTCACTCCAAATACCGTGTTGAGCCACCGTTTGAAATTGTTCGCCTTCAGGCGCTCGGCTCTTGCAGTATCGTCCAGCTGGTCGAGGTACGTGATGATGTTCAGGGCATTGTACCCTTCTGAATTTGTTTGGCGAACAATTTCCCGATTTGAGATCAGCGCAGCAAGGGTGTCGGACGTTAACTTGTTGTTGTCGTATAGATCGACAGCCCAGAGATAGTCCTAGATAATATTAACGGCTTCGTATCCTGACTATGGGTAGCTACTAGGCTCACCTCGTTACCCGGTGGTCTAATCGGCCTGCCAGAGTCATCCGATGCACCCGATGCTGCCAGCTCTCTCTGCTCGTTGCAAAGTTCGATCAGAGCCCGTACACGATGCTGGCCATTCCGGAGAGTAAGCTGGGTTTTATATGGCAGGTTTTCGATATGAAGCATCATAGCCTCCAATCAAGTACGTTAGTTGACATCTACCTATGAATCTAGGTAGAGTGTATACGCACCTTAAGGCCAGAGTGAGTGGCTGCGCGGTTACGAAGGTATGAAAGGTCAGAGTCAGGAGATCCTGTGGAGTTTGGGAGATTAGCTTTGAGAAGACCATCAAATTCCGGTTCGGTGGTTGTAGCTTTGAGATGATCTTCAATTGCGTATCGTTTGATGCCGTTTTTGAAGGCTTCTTTGAGCCGTGCGACTAGACCGGGCTGGATGTCTCGGTTCCTTCTGTTCTTGTCCCATCGAGTGTCGAGGATTCGGACGTCCAACAGTATAGTGCCCAGGAAGGCACCTTCTAGATCTTGATCCACTCTATCCTCGACAATCACGCTAGCAATCGACGCGGTCTCGGTTGGTTCTCCGGCCTCTTTTCCTTTTCCTCTGGGCATGTTTGGGCTTCTTCTGCGCGGATGGGCATGCACCAGGCGCAGGGCGTTTAGAGCCCGCCATGTCAGCTAGTCAAAACCAGCCGTGGGGGTTTTGCAGGAAGTCTGAACTTTGGCGACAGAGAGGTTTTTTAGGGTGGTAGATGAAGAGAGGACAGATCAGAACATGGACATATAAGATACTACGTCGATAATACAGTGCTATTCCTGGATGGAGATGTGAATGGGAGATAATTGGCAATGTATTCACTGTTTACCATCGGGGAGATTCACTAAAGCCCTAAGCAAACAGCGCAGCGCACAAACAAACAAATCAGGGTTAGAATGTGAAGAATCTTCTCAGTATAGAGTACTGTACTATTAGACTTGATACTATGAAAGAGACTTATTTTATCCTACTCTAGACTATTGGCTACCTTCTATCATCCTCTTGATCTTGTAATATGATGCATGGTGCTGCACTGCTGCTGTTACAGGGAGATACGATAGCGCTAAGATAGCAGATGGCTGATGTATAGACGGACAGGTCGAAGAGACCCCTTTAGCATTTCTGTTTGTCTCTCAACATGGTGGTCAGTGGCTCAGGGGCTGGTCGGCGAGTATGCTGCCCGTTGTCGGGATATGACGCATGAGGCCCCTCAAGGTTTCGTGTGATCGGAACACATCGTCGATGTGCACCGCCTTGGGATACTCGCGGAAGTAATCCGGCTCATGGCCGACGTGGTACCTTGGATGCGGATGATGCGGATCAATATGGTTCAACTATTGAACTCTAGATATAGGCAGCACGGGTGTTCCTGAGACTAGGCCCACCGGCTATCCCACGTTCGACCCGATATGGACTGTACGGAGTAGTCCCGGTGGAAGATCATGACCAAATAATTGCAAGGCTGGACTCCACTTCTCTTCACAGGTAGTCAGGAGGTGATAGTCAGACATCAAACAATCGCCGCTACTGGTAGGCCTTTACCTCTTCACTTGAGATATCGAAAAGAGTGTCATTAACAGAAGAAAGACTATACACATTAGGGAATTATCCGTACATCGCTTAAGGGTATATGAAAACCAGACATCCAACCGCTTCCAGGGTAGTATATACAGTACACCTCGACATTAAAATCCAATTAGGGGGCCGACCTAAGCCATCTCGTATTCCTCCGGCTTGAGGGTATTGGCCGAATCCGCCGAGATACGGCGGTTCTTGATAAACTTGGGCCACGTGTTGGTGAGCACGAGATACTTGATGCTCTCCTCGGCGGCATCAAACACGGTCGCGTTGAAGCTCTCGGGCACTTCGCCCCAGTACTTCGGCGCGGACGCCGGCTGCTTGATGGGCTGCTCGGAGCTCTCCGAGTGGCGCGGGGAGGGCGGGTCGAAGGTGAACTTGTCGAAGGGGGTGGCTGGGTCTGCCTCGACCTGGTCGCCGTAGCAGGTCTGGGCGGCGGCGTCGAAGATGCCCTCCAGCCGGCGCAGGTCCTGCGACGAGATGTTGACGGGGAACTCGGCGTGGCGGACGCTGATGTACTCGGTGTAGATCTGCAGGGCGCGGTTGAAGCGCTCGCGGATGAGCTCGCGGGTGTTGGGGTCGTCGGGGGCGGCGGTGCCGTCGCGGATGGGCTTGGGCAGGCTGCTCTTCCACTCGGCGACGCTGGTCAGGAAGGCGATGTTCTCGCCGGAGAAGTCGTGCAGCGCGGAGAACTCGAGCAGCGGTGTGGGGTTGCGCTCGAGGACGTGCTCCAGCGCGCCCATGGTCAGGATGCTGGCGCGCGAGCTCTTGCTGTCGATGGAGGCGTTGGTCGACTTGAAGCCCGAAATCATCGAGTCGATCATCGTCGTCGCGTCGCTGACGGACTTCGCCTCGGACCCCTTGCCCTTGGTCTTGGCCTCCCACTCGGCGATTGTCTCGAGCGTCTCCTTGCGCAGCGACTGGTGCCGGATCACCTCCCAGCAGGGGAGGAAGATGGTGAAGATCTCCATGACGATGATGGACAGGCAGATCCTGGATATATTAGCGGTGACTGGCGTGAAAGAGGCAGCTGGGTGCTTACCATTGCGGAGGCAACCAGACCGCATTGACCTTCTCGAAGCCGGGCACGTAGACCGCGATGAGCCACATGGGGGTAGCGGGAAGGCTACCACGCGTTAGTAGTGAACGTTTTTTCTTCTGCGTGGGACTCACTTGGCAATGACACAGGCCATCGTCTGGACGCGCCAGCCCTGGGTGTCCTGGATGTGGCGAGCCTTCCACAGAACGATGGGGGCGACGATCCACGCCCAGATGAACTGTCCGACGATGGTAGCCCACCTGCGTTGATTAGCAAACGTGACAGGTCTTATTGACGGCGATACCTACCATTCCCAGCCGGCACCCATGGCCGACAACTGCTGCATCTTGGTTCCATGCACCTCGGTGCCGGGGATACCCCACGAGGGATGCCACTTGCGCGAGATCAACCACATAAGGATTGTAAGGAACAGCTGCACACGTTAGAAACAACCCTTCCACATAGCTGAGGGATGCATACCTGAATGACAATAGCAATAGCGACAACAACGAGCGTCTTGTTGGTATAGTCGAGACGCTTGAAGCGAACAATCAACCCAGGCCGACGCTGCATGTGCGCGGGCATGTCATCGTAGCTGCTACCAGGGCGGATATATTTCTTCTGGAGCTTGGCGACGTGGAGGAAGCGGGCGTTGGACGCGTGGAACAAGGCGATGCCGATGGGCAGATAGGTACCCATGATCCAGTACTGCGCGTCGCCCGGCATGATGGGCCCGATCATAACACCAAACTGAACCGGCGCCCAGTACGCGTGCAGAAACAAGACGGCCGCGAGCGATAGCCAGAGGCCTCGGACGCGAATGACGGGAGAATCACGACGAATAATGAGGAAGGCCATGCCGCAGAGCACGGCGGTCGTCCAGACTGCACACCAGCAGGCCCAGAAGATGCTGACGGGGCTATACACGGCCTGCGGCTTGGAGTCGGGGGTGACTCCCATCTCCGACCCCATGATGACGGTGTTAACTGCTGCGAAAAGAACCCAGAAGCGACGTTGAAGGAGTGTGGTGAAGTTGGATAGAGGCTGTCAGCAAACGACCGCATGGAGAAAGGAAGGGGACCCAGCTGGGCGGCGTCGAGGGGGGCCACGAGCAACTTAAAGGACTAGCTGCGTCCGCGCTGGAGCGTGCTGGCGTACATTAGCTGGGAGGGTAAGCGCATGTTCCTGACTCGAAGCCATGAGGATGGAGCTGGGGAGATCCTTGTCCATCGGGGTTCTGCGCCGTGCGATTGGGAGACGTGGGGACCACGATTTGGAATACATCTCGTGGCAGGGCTCCACCGATTGGAAATCGCTCGTGGGAACCATCTCGATCATCGGAACTATCGATTCAGCCGGCATTCTGATTGCCTCGATGGCTTCTTAGTACGGGCCCACTGGGGCCGCTAAGATCCTGCCGCTGGCGATGATCGCGGAAAATAATCTTATTTAGCGCCATGTGATGGGAGCAATGCAATGTTGCCGTTATGCCTCCGCCGGCGGTCGTGACAGGTGCTGTATTTGTCACGACGTTGGAGCTGAGCAGATCAAGGTCCATGCCTTTGTGCAAGGGTCTATATCAGCTGCAGAAAGCCGGAGCATTGGGTCCAAAGAACGGACCACACCCCAGAAGGATCACCAAGTCTTCATCATGATCTCTTCCAAGGAAACCCGCTGATCGATCCAGGACCGACTCGTCGGATCTTCAGTGTATCAACTAGTTCATCTTCGCCTGGTCCCTTTCAGCAAACTCCTACCCTACAGAGTAAGGGCCCTGGCTATAACATCCACGGACTGACCCCGAGATAGAGGAGCAAGCATCTTTTGGGAACAGAACGGAGCATCAGATAGCACCGAGGCTCGGGATGTACGATTAAGGCCACACTATTGCCGATAGTCTGGTTTTCGTCGCATGGTTGCACGGATTGGGGCCTCGTTGAGACTATCGCCGATCTGGATAAAGCGCAAAGGAGAAGGTTCCCGCGGTACCGGCGATGCAGGTCGAGTAAGGGCATGGGCCATGTCTTTGTATGGGGTCATCGTTCAATATAAACTGGGTGGTTTACAGGTAGTATGGTGAGGATGGCTGGGCATTGGACCAGGTATCGGCCCTACTAAAGCCAGGTGCATGCATGTATCGATCATTCCAGCAGCCGAGAACACCCCAACCTGCCCCTGCATACGAAACGTGGTGCTGAATCGCGATGAAAATTCTGCAGCGACTGGTCAGTGCTGGGGGCCATGGAACGTGCGCCGATTCAGCGAATTCAGATCTGGTTTTGAGCAAAGGCCGGTCCCCGTCCTTTAGGAATGATCCGCGATAGCCAGACCCCTGTCCGAGAAGAGCATAATACCACGTAATAAAAGGGGTTAGCTCGTTCCTGGACATACGGAGTACTCCGGGCTGAGCATATACCCCGGTCCCTGTTCATTTCTCCTCTGGCTCGCATGTACACTTTCCCGGTATACAAGGGCCAGAGCGAGCATGCGTCCATACCGTGGTTTTGAATGATATCCAACTCCATCATTCCCAGAATACAATGGATCAGAATCACTAGTTACCCAATAAGACCCATCTTCTTCAGGTCCGCACCGTTGGATTGTGGTGCGCCCGGCGGGGAGCAATCCACATCGCCGGTATACGGGGCTCCATGCAGATGCGAGTCAGACTATGGAATTTTGTCGGATTCTCATCAATTCTTTGCATGCGTAATTTCGTCTGATTTCCGTAGATGGAGTGGGGGTAAACAACGAGTCAGAGACCCTTGTAGTGTTAGCTAGCTAGCTAGCTAGTGTACTCCGTCGGGCGGGATTACTCGGCCCACAGAAGGTGTGATTCGGCTTCAGCTGCGCCTGAGGCTGGCTGAGTAGCCGTCGGTGGTTATGAAGTCATAAAATCTCCGCGTGTACTCCTCACAGTCTTCATTGGAGTCGGATATGTCCATGGTGGTGTACGGTATATGACTATAGTACACAGTAATATACCTGGTTAAGCACCAAGATAGCCCCCTATATACCGAGCTACGCCGAAGAAACAGGAACTGCGACCATCAACGCCAGTAGAGAATGAGCTACCTCGGCTGCCGCCAGAGTCGTCGTTTCTGCGCTGGTATCATAGATCGGCGAGACCTCGACCACATCCGCCCCGATCACAGGCAGACCCCGGAGGGCATCGAGAATCGACAAAAGCTCTCGAGTTGTAAAACCACCCGGCTCAGCTGTCCCGGTTGCTACATGGCCTCTTAGTCGATTTTATCTTGGATATATTAAGCGAGAGGAGGACACTTACCCGGCGCGTAGGCAGGATCGAGAACATCAATATCGACAGAGATATATACCTTGCTGTTCCCAACGCGCTCCTTAATCTGCTCGACGACACCACTGACCCCAAGACGGTCGAGGTCACGGGCCTTGATAATTTCGAAGCCACAGCGCAGGTCGTTGCGGATATCGCCTTTGGGGCGAACGACGGGCGCGCGAATGCCGACATGGATCGACGTGTTGCGAATTAGGCCCTGTTCATTAGTCTCCAATGGACACAACAAGGGCCGTGCAGAGGTACTTCTTCATGGGCTAGATGGAGAAATGTTCCGTGGTTGACGCCCCTATATAGAATGTGAGTTACCGTCTAACACCTCTCCAGCTGCCTATACATACGCGTAGTAAGAGATTCCGCCCCCTATGACCTTCGGATCCCAAGTATCTGCACAAGCACCTAGTCAGTCTGGCTCTATCCAAGAATCAAAACCATACCGATGTGGCTATCAAAATGAATCACAGAAACCGGTCCCCAGTGGTCATACGTCGACCGCAACGCCGACAGGGTGGTCGTATGATCGCCGCCCAGGGCAATGATGCGAGGCGTCTTCCCAGCCCGAGTATCGTTTGTGCGGCGCGACGACACGACCTGCATGGTCCATAAGCGTTAGGAATCCAATGCTCCATTCCACGCCCGAGATGAAGCAATTGGCCCACCTTATGCGCCAAGTCGAGCTGCTTCAGCGCAACCGTATTATCCAGCCAGGTCAACGGCGCATCACCACAATCCACCAGTTTCGCCCAGCTCGCAAAGGCATTTTCCCCGGTGTACACGCTCCAGCCTCCAAGACGCCGCGAGCCCAGTCGAATACCGCCTGGTCCGAAGCGGGCGCCAGGGCGGGCCGTCACTGCCTATCATATCGGATCTTAGTTTGGCTTCTTATCAGAGCGCGCGGGTCTATGGAAAGGATATACCGTGTCGAAGGGGGCGCCCAGAAAGGCGATGTCGTAGGGAGTAGAGTCGCTTTCCTCGTCTACAAAGCAGTTGACGTATGGCAGATGAGCGAATGTGGTCAACCCGTTGTACTGACTGTTGGTCGTGATATCAACAGGGTCATCGTGGGAGAGTGGCAACTGGCTAGAGCCTTGGACTGCTGCAATTGGGGGAAAGACAATGTCTCTTGCGAGGGCAATTGACAGGAGGGGTAGAGAAAGGGATATGATGTTCAAATACATGATGGTTCTTGAGATGAGGATATTTGTCTACACTAATGTGCGGACTTACGTCCATGCCGCTTATATATTCCGGCGTCGGGGCTGCCGATGAGAACGATCCTGCAGACCAAGACTTGTCGCACCAGTGACCAAACGAGTAGTTTGACGCGATGATAGCATCCGTTCAATACTACTAGACCATCCCCGATTGATATCAGTTCTATCAACATACTTGTAGATATCTTGCATTCTCATTCTGCCTCACAATGGTGGAATTTGCTGCGGAGATGACATAAAATCTCACCCGCACGCCCCCACTTCTTTTTCACCTGCGCGCAAAGTCTTCAAGATATTCCCATACAGACACACACTCACATCATGGTATGCTATTCTCTAAACACCCAATCTCACAATCTAACCGCATATTAGCCGCACGCCGACTCCTCCTACTTCGGCGGCTCCGGCTCCAAAGCCGAGATCTATACGCAGGTGCTCGAGCAAGCCAAGGGACTCGTGACCGGACAGCGCAACTGGGTAGGTGCATAACGCGATTGACATAGAAGCATGCAAGCAGTGCTAACAACACGCAGGTCAGGTAACTCACACGAATGCTCCCAGACACCCTTCAGAATTGACAATCAACAGTAACTTCTCCAACGTCGCCTCGCTGCTCTGGCACGCCTACGCCGCCCTCCCCTCGCCGTCCTCCTCCGTCAACTGGGCCGGGTTCTATATCCGCCAAGATAAATTCCCCGTCCTCTCCTCGACCTCACAGGACACCCCGAAGAAAGATGATATCCTCTTGTTGGGCCCCTTCCAAGGCCGACCGGCCTGCCAAGAGATCCGGTTCGGCCGCGGGGTCTGCGGAACTGCTGCCCAGAAGCGCGAGACCGTCGTCGTTCCGGATGTGCTGAACTTCCCTGGTCATATCGCGTGTGATGCGAGCAGTCGGAGTGAGATTGTGGTACCCATCTTGGCGGGAGGTGAAGTATGTCAATGATTCCCCTGTGGATTTGGCGAGGCTAATGTGCTAGACCGTGGCGATTATCGATATCGATTGTACGGAACCGGATGGGTTCGATGAGACGGATAAGAAGTATCTGGAGGAACTTGCAGCGCTTCTGGCGGATAGCTGCGATTGGTGATTCTGGTCTGGATGGATGAACCAGAGCTGGAGGAGGAAGGACGACGATGGATAATGACACTTTAACGCTGAAACAAGTTCGTATATATTAATACAGTACTCCCTTATAGAATGTAATTTGCATAGAGACTGCTCATTGTCGGATATTTGGCCGGCAGATACGCAGTCTTGACTCCAGGCTTGTCAAGATCTACACCCCCTCAACGTGGTACTTCGGCCGTCATCAAGGGACCCATATTAAGGCTCAAGGAGTCCTTTCCGCAAAGCTTCCGCAGGCTTCTCGCTCTTCACATATCGAATCTGATCGCGCTCCTGCCATAAATGCGTCCCGTACCGAAGTAGCTCCGCAAACGTCCCGGGCTCAATATCCTTCCCATTGTTCGCCTCCATATTCCAGGAGCCCCTGAGCCGGCGTCTTGGTCAAATCCACCTATGCGTAATTTTCTGTATACTGGACTTGGTCGAAAACTGGCGGACTATTCTATACGCTCTCCTAGACGCCTCAGACTCGGGACCAGTATCCACGCGTGTCGCCAGCACATTGAACACCTCCTCGCCCCGGAATACGACCTCTCTCTCAAACTCCCAGTTCTTGCTTAAGCCATGAAACCAGAGTACATCGTTTTGCGCATAGCCCACACTACTGAAGCCGCCGCCAGCGTTTCCAGACATACACAGATGTTGCCACGCAATAACCCGCATAATGTACTCAAACCGCGTGCGCGGGTCGACGGCATACTCCCAGGCAAAGCCGCGTTTCGGCGACGAAGAAAAGCCCATTTTCAGCGCAAGGCCACGAGTGGGGTCTGTGAAACTCTTCAATACAAGGTCTGATTTACTGTAATCTGTGCTCAGCCCCGCTTTGGACATCAAAGCAGCTGTGGCCATAATCAATGAGGCTGAAGTCCGGCTCTGAGGTAACAGCTATATATACTTATCGACGGCTGAATCGCCAGGATTTTTGGTCTCAATAACTGCTATCGATCAAGATGGCTGATCCAATTGCAATCGCATGGTTTTTAAGACTAAAAGATACTGCTAGGGCACATGGATGCCAAATCACGCTCCTGGTGACGCGGAGTACCCGGGCCCTTTGTTTTGGGAATCCTTAACGGTACAGGGCAGTACTACTGCCTAATATAAAAGAGACCCTGGACGACTAAGGATTGGCCCTGTACCGTTGAGGATTCCATTTGTTTTTTGCTGCGTCACTTTGTAGTGCTTATCTTTCAACTCCCTAGATTATTCTTCCCCTATAACATCACCCAGCAACCCAAACACCGGCACTGTCCGTACCTTCTCAGAATCAACGCCGGCCACTAGGCTATGGCTAACAAGACTCAAGCCGACGACCCGTTCGGCAAAGAAGTGCTCCGTCTCCGAGCCGAATATGAACACCGTCGCCTTACTACCAATCTTTATCCCCCTTGCGGTCGACCAATTCTCGAACTGGACTTCCAGCGTGGCGACAAGATTTATATGACGTACTGGTTCGACGATGGCACCAAGTATGGCCAGTGCGTGCGCATCTTTAACGTTCCCGGTACTCTCTCAGGCGATATCCTACGGCTCCATCGCAACTTGCCGCCCATGTCGGGCCATTTTGAGATCGATGGCAACGACATACGTCCATTGGACCATTGTCTGGAGCATCCCGAGCTCATCGAGGACGACTCCGAGGACGTGAGCGAGCTAGTTTCCAAGCTGCCTCTCGTCTGTGTCGACCCCGCGAAGCATTTTCTCAAGAAGGGCAAGTACCGAAGCGAGATCGAGAATCTCACCAGGTGCCAGGGCGGCTCTATACCGGGCCACCCACTCTCTCCGCACGTCGTCCAGCTTCTCGGTAGGTCTGCCGACGGGCAACTCGTCTTTGAAAAGTTATCGTCTAGCGCGCACACTCTCGGTCGCTTCTCCCCATTGGCCGTTTACAAGAGCTGGATTTTGCAACTCATTGACTCCTTGGATTTTCTTCAATCGGTTGGCATCGTCCACCGCGACTTACGCGCCGATAACCTTCTCTTTTCGGACGACGGGGAGCGCCTGGTTGTCTGCGATCTCGAAAGCCGCTGGGGACAGCGGTCAGCGCCCGAGGTTGCCTTCCATGGAGGCCTGGAGGACTCCGGCGGTTGGACCCGTAGATCCGACATATATGACATTGGAGACTGTATCAAAAGCATGGTTTACGCAAATGGGCCGATCACGCCCTTCGTCGAATGGCCTGTTCCACCTCCGCTCCAAGCCATTGTCGAAGCTTGCATGCGTCCGAGGCCGCAGGAGCGTCCAGCCCTGGCCGACTTGCGTTTCATGGTGGAGGAGATCCAGACGGGAACAATTTAAAGTACATGGGAGCTTGGAGGTTGGCGGCTTCTGCGAGCCTGACGGCAGCCGGGCAGGCGAGCAGCTCTTCAACTGGAATAACACCCAGTCGTTGACAGCTGGATGCGTGTGACATAGGACGTCCTAGGCAGCCCTCATAAGCAGATAAAGGCGCTAGATATAGTAGTAGGATATATAATGCAGTACTAACGACTAGTCTGTTATGATCCAACACAAAGAGACCAAAGATCAACTGATCGCACAACAAATATGCGTAGTGAAGTCATCATTTTTCAATCTGGTCATGTAGTCTATATTTCGCCATTCCGTGCAACTGCGTCAGGGTCTTGTGCCCAACTAGTTTCTCTGCTTCAACGTCACACCCACCCCCAGACAAATCGCCACGACGGCAATCTGCTCCAACACCACCATGACAAGGTAAATCGTCACATTGCCCGTAAACATGCTAAAATCGGAGTTCTGCCCGAAGATCCACACAAAGGAATACACCAGCCGGACCAGAATGAGCGGGAGAGACAGTCCCACAGCGACAAGGAGACGGCGCTCGCCCATCTCCATGCTGCCTATTTTTGACATGAGGAGGAGTTGCAGAAGGCCGAGGCCTCCCCAGGCGGCGAGGAAAAGGATGAGTCCAATCTTGGTATCCGAGGTCGCCATGTTCGCAATGAGGTTCTTAGCCTTGGTGGCGCCAATAATGCTGAAGATAATGCCGACAATAGTGGCGGCGCCAGGGATCCTGAAAAAGAAAGGAGTGATGCCCTGCCCTTTGACTCGCCCAATGGAGTTGTTCCTGTTCATAAGGAGTTAGCTGGGTCGGGTCTGCTGGAGATGGGGGCCGTCGTACGCTCTGGAGAGCAGGCTGATGCATGCTTGGATCAGAGGGCCCAGGCCGATCGAGGTGCACACGGCCCAGGTAGTGTAGAGGTTTTTGCTGTCGGGCTTTTGGATTGTGTCGAGGTAGCAGCATGCTCCGATGACTTTGAGAAGGGCGAAGACGGTGAAGAAGATCCAGCCAGCGCTACGGGTGAAGCCATGGCGGAATGCCATCCACAAGCTCACGAAGATGACAGGGAAATAGAAGATAAGTTCAAGAATAGACAGGCCGTGTCGGTAATTGACTGCCATGATGAGAGCAGAATTGATTACCTCTGAATCAAGGATACAGAAGGTACATGAAGGGGGTATTGGCTTGACTGATATGGATTACCTCGAGAGCGCGTTCGGCTTTTATGTACCTGTAGATTCCTCGCGAATATCGAGAGGACACTGCCACATTCAACATACTGCTGCAGGAGATGTGCAACGAGGCTGCAATGGCTTGTTCTGGAGTGTAGCGCGAACAAGACAGCGCTGCCTACCTACTGGCCATGCTAAAGGGAGGCGTATACTTACAGTTACCTACCTGTTGGCAGCCGCTGGCACTCTGCCAATCAGTAACCCACAATGTTCGCTCTACAGACCCGATGCGGTTAGTCTGTTGCTTAGTCTTTGCTTAGCTGACGCCAACCCAAATGGGGAAGGCGCTTTCCCTTCTGCCGTCTTCAAATGGTAGTTATCTCTATCTCCCCTGTCAAGAAACCCCTGGGAACGGGATATGTCTGCAGCCTGCCCTCACAGGAATCTGGACATTTCCCTACTGTCAGCGCGGGGGTACCAGAGAGGAGAGAAGCGTCAAGTTGCTGGTGGATCCATTATCAACCCCCCGGCTCATAATCAACTGAGTTACAATAGCTAATTCGCCCTATAGTGAGCTAAGAGTTTCAGATGACCTTGGTCCAAGCGAGCGCTGACCGAGTTGGCGCCTGCAAATCACTTCCCAGGACAGAATGGAGAAGTCGATCGTTGCGTGATAATATGTGGACGCGCGGACTTATCGGATAGAAAGATCAGCACGGCGTGTTGGCCCCAGGCAGAAGCAATCCGTTGCAGGAGCTGCGCTGCGCCTCGCATTCACCACATCTTCCGCAAGCCTATCCATATACCCCATAATCCTGAAGCATGCTCCTGTGATGGCGATTCAGGTCTATAGAGCTGGGCGGCCAAGATGGGTGAGTTGCTGCAGACCATCCCAGTCCATTGAAAGCCACCCCCTGACCACTAACTGCGCCGTAGTATACTGTGGACCACCGTCCAAAGCATGCATAGCTTGCCGCCGGCGAAAAATCGGAGTATGTCAATGGCAGATGTGTTGCACCAGCGCTCACTGACAACCGTAGTGTGACCAAAACCCCCGGGGTTGCCGCCAATGTGCAAGGTCAAGAAAACCATGCCCCGGATACCGAGACTATATCGACTGCCTGTTCAAAGACCAGACCCAATGGGCCCGAAGAAAGGTTGTCGCGGCTAGCAACCGGAGTCAATCTATACCCGACACCCCGAATGGTGATCGACCCGTGAAGAACGATACCCCGCCCGCAATTGGGGGTGATGGTCCGTCAATCGCTGCCGGAAAACTTCGGCGATCTGATTCAACGTCCCGCTGCACTTCACGGGACCGGGACCCAGTTGACATGCCACATGCCCTGGCCCTGGTACCTTCAATCCCCACCAAGTTGCAAGATCTCGGAACCACGGTGTTCTTCCGACTGTATGCACAGTTTCGTCACGCGGACGACTCCGGCGTCCCATGTCCTGCATTCTTTGATTATGCGGGTACGGTCCTTTCGGGCGACAGCGCCAACCGCATAGTCTCGACTTGTATCGAAGCAGTTGGCCTGGCCAGTGTAGCCAACATGCAACAAGACACACATATCATGGCCCGAGCAAGACGAGGATATATTGCGGCATTGAGGGGTGTCCATAACGCCCTTCGAATACCGTCTGAAGCAAGCAACGATACAACCCTGCTGGCCGTCATGCTCCTGAACTTATTCGAGCATATCAACTGCTCGGACAGCGGGTTCCTAGATGTCTGGACACAGCATGTAAACGGAGCCGCACTCTTGGTCCAATTGCGCGGAAGGCGGCAGCTTACCTACCAAACCGGGTTGCAGCTGTTCGAACAATTCTGCCAGACTCTCACATCCAACTGTATACAGAACGGGATACCCGTACCTCAGTATATTGTTGATCTCCGAGAACAGTGCGCACAATACCTGGACACGAAATCCATCTTCTGGCAGATAAGCGACGCGACGATTAAGGTGGCCCAGCTGCGCTCAATGGTTGTGCTCAAACGCATCGATAACCCGGCCCAAGTCCTACGGAAAGCTCTGGACATAGACCAGGAGCTCAAGGTTATCGAGGCACGTCTGTGGATAGAAATGCCCTACACAACCTGTTCGGATAGCCTCGATCCCAGGTTTCACAGAGGGACCTACCATCTTTATCCGGGCGTCGGGGCGCTTCATGCGTGGAACAGTCTACGCATCGGTCGCTGCCTCCTGCACCAACTGATAAGGGCGCAGATGCTCAAGGGGTTTTCGTCCATCCCTCCCTTGTTCCTGACTTCTTATTGTACCGGCCTATTCGAGACCTCGCTTGGAACTTTGCTACAAGCAATTGACGATATCCTTTGCAGCGCGCCGCAACCCCTGGGTTGGACACAGGGGTCACCTTCAATGCCTAAAGGGAGCGAACAGGTGTCCAAATCGACCCTTGCGGGTTCAAAGCTGCTCATCTGGCCTTTCTACGTTGTCATTCACATCAGCATTAAAATTGGCCTGTTCGATCACGTCGACGGGATTGATGGGTGTATGATCAATGTCCTGGAGGACGCGGGACGGCAGACAGGTATATTGGCAGCAACCCTACTGGCCAAGCTATTAAGGCAGAATCAACTACGCGCGCGCTTCCCAGACATAATTCAGAATGGGTTCGATATGGGAGAATTAGGCTCTCCCTGAAGGCACTGCAGCAACTTCACTTTCCATCAAAATCATCGTGGGCTGGAGATATCGCAGAGGGATAATGCAATATGATTTACTCCATCATAATATAGGATTGATCAGCGACCATGTGGCCCACGCATCCAGACGCCTAGGAGCACGTGGGACAAGATCCCTACACTCCTGGGAGCGTCCTAGGTTCCACTATCTAAAGCGAAGTAGTTATAATCCGTAGTCTTAAAGCAGGCAATCTATCACCGCTTGGGCAATCATGGCTCGGAGCGGAAGGCGTTTCCTATCAAATTGTCTCGTCGGCACCTCTTCGGAGAATTATGCTTCACTGGCACGACGATCGGATCAGCCCTATGTCGATCTCCCTCAGGGGATGCTGCCACGAGGTTGTACTCCGGATTCTGTCCACTCAGAACGGCAAACCAGCGTGGATGGCCAGAACTGCAGGGATGCACATCCTCCCGGATAGACGTAATGGTGGAGGGAGACTCATGAGACAAGTTCAAAGCATAACGACACACCCCTGTCTTTAATATAAGACTAATTTACGTAGCGCTGCGGATCTTACGTTGTCTTGCACCCAGTCCCTATCTAGACATCTACACGGCGACGAAGATATCGTCGACAGAAGAAGTGGAATTAAGACACACTAACAATATACAGCGAACTCCGCGTAGTACCAGTAAGTTATGTCTATCTACTATTTACATATATGCCAGTATCACGTTATTTATGACAGGGCAGTCTAGTTTCCTAATTTGGGGGCAATTCGTTTCCTCCATGGTGTCCGCGGAAGTGCTCGAGCACGTTGCTGAACTGTGTACCCCGTTCGCCGCTCAGGTTTCTCCCGCTGGATATAGTATTGGCCTTCAGTAAGCCCATGGATCAATTATTTGCCACTGGGCTTGTTATAATAAGCCGTCTTATCGACCGGGACCTTATGTACCTAAGGAGTAGCCGCTTACTTGAAGATTCCACCTATCTTCGTACATATCTTCTATTAGCACGCCACGTTGCTAAACCCTGCATCGACGATTCCATAGATGATCGCTGCAGCCTAGCTAAGACGTCCCCATCATCTCCATCGTAGTCTACTCCGTATTGGGAGCGCGGATCAGCGCGGATCAGCGGCGTGGTTAGATACCCGTTCCGCATGGCCAATACGTAAGCTCCAATCTTAAAGTCCAACCGGCCTGTCACTAGCTGTCTAGTTCGCTTATGCAAGGGACTGACTGGCGATTGGCGAATGTCCAACATTCCAAGGACGAGTAGCAGTTCGCGACCCTGTTCGTCTACCGGTCCCTATAAGCCTGGCCGAATGCCCGGCAGAAGCGACCACGTGTAGGCCAGTTCCATCGCGCTCAATTTACTTGCATAATGGACTGTAACAGCATGGACTCTCTGTCTTCCATGCTCGTGCTCTCGGGGATCGTCCGACGCCGCCTGGACTTCCCCTCTGACATGAAACAATGGCTGGCTCGTAGATCCAATGTAATCCAGAGCATTCTGGCTTCGACGCAACTGTTCAAGCTTTCGTGCCCTGCGGATAGCATGGCCCACCGGGCCCACCGGCCACACGATTGAGAGCATCCCGTCGGACAAGCATTGCTTGCCGACTTGGCTCGTATGCGCAGGCAGGTGGACATTCCGGGGGTGAAGGGGGGGCGCCGTTGATCAAGACGGGTTAGTCCTGACGTTCACCGTTTAATATCGCAAATCATTATTTAGATTCAGACTCCATGGTTCAAATGTCCTCTGATATCCTGCTACTTAACCGTCAGATTATTGCTTCTCCAGAGCTCTTCACATCCAAGATGACCAATTCTCCGAGAATGGACCCAATCGAGAAGAGACGGATGCAAAATCGCATCGCGCAAAGGAATCACCGTACGTGAGCCGCTGGATGTTCCCTGTCCCATCAGCTGCACTCGTCTGACTGCCGTCCCTCCTCCGTTTCATAGGCCGGAGAGCAAAGGAAAACATGCTAAGATATGGCTCGAATGAAGAAAAACAACCAAGTAGTGCATTGCCGTCGTTCAACACCCCACCTGGGAACAGCACCTTTTTGAATCAAGACTCGTCCGGCAATCTTCCCATAAGCAAGGAAGATACGGTCAGTGGGAGTCTGGCTCCCAGGGATAGCCCTTTACTCTGCCAACCGCACATGGATGCACACGTCGGGAATGAGATGATGCTGGACAATGCTCTTCTCAAGGACTTGGGTACCTATCCCTCCGGCATGGAATCACACTTGACTGTACACCAGAGACCGCAGACGCAGTGTTCATCATCGGGTCAGAGTTCGTCGATGCCAAATCCAACAGGTACTTACATTATCCACCGAGTCTCACCCGAGGTAGAAGCAGGGGACTTACCTTGCCTTGATCGCGTACAGAGAACACCCCCGCCTGGACATACTGTGGCTTGGGTCAACCGTTTCACACGCCACCAGACATGCCACTATATTCCCCTCCTCCAATTCCCGTGACGACCGCGAACCAGCTCGCCACGCCACAGAGCCTACTGGAGACGAACCGCGGCTTCTCGCCGGTGGCAAACCGTGCCTGGGTGGCCGGTTCGAACGGTGCTGGACATCGCATATCAAATGTACGAACGCAGCAAGATGGTTGCTATAGCACACAAGTGCGATCCCTTCAACCTACCTAGCATGGCATCATTTTGCTAATAAGAAGACAGACGGAATCCCCAACCACGGTGGATAGTGACAGTTTATCTCTGCGGTATCAGTATGTGCTGGACCATGTGCGGCGGGCGGGGTTTGAGAGCTTTGATGCTATGGTGTCTGGTTATTACACCTCGTCCTTTTCCAAGAATTCAACGGCAGAGTGTGCACAGAAGGTCAGCCGTGCGAAAAGGCTCCGTTCGGTGTTGCGGAGTCTCCACAAACACTCCCAGGAGTGGACTCGGTGGGAGGCACGCGGTTTCCAAGAGCAGGTTGTCGAGGCAGCGGAGGATATTTATGTTGCTGAGCTGGATCGGGTACAGAGAGACAGTGGTCTCAGCATGCATGGGACCATGGGGAAGGGACAATCCCTTGGCGAATTACAGAGACTCTATCAGAACAAGGTACGTGCAGCTGTCAGCGTGGGCCACAAAGATGGCGCAGCATTCTGTGTGCCGTAACAGTCAATATGATGATCCCTAGCTGACCGCATATCCCAAGGCCCCGAATCTATGGGCTTTGTTTACGGAGCTCGCTGGAGCATCCAGTCCACAAACGGAAGATGCTACCGTCCTGGCTCTGACATTACTACACTCCATGAAGACAAACCCCGAGTCAGACATCAGGGAAACGATCATAGACCTTCTGGACAGGCTGTTTTGAGCGGTGGACTACGTGAGGGTTTCAATACGAACTGGCGTTTGCGGTTCCTCGCACATAGTCCCTCTTACCTGACATGCCTCTAAATGCATCATTACTATAATGACTGCTTGTGTCATTCTAATTATCCTTACAGTCTGTCATGGGAGTTTCTTCATATTGTTAACATGGATATAATTAATCTCATACCAAAACGGGACAATGTACTTTGAAAGTCCGCTCTAGATATATATAGCCCGCATTGCTGCTGTATTCTCACACCCCCTTAATGATTTTCACATCGCCCAAAGCATCAGGACAACTCGACTATATCGGCCCAACTCTTTAGTGTAGTCACAGCTATAGCATATTGTGGGGTTTATAAGAACGGACCAAGTGACGGCCTGCTTGCGTTGATGTTAACGCCCCCTTTCTATCGACCACTCGTACTGGATTCAAATAGTTGTAGCACCCAGGAGATTATCTCATAGGAAGAATTGGCCTGCGTTGATGATGCTTTACAGCTTGTTACAATATGATTTCTTAGGCAAGAAGATTGCAGTGTTACAACCGCGCAAGCCCAACACAATTACATTCGGTGCTTTGTTTATACTGGGAACTGTAATGAACCGGGCCATGTTGATCCACCGTCATCCTGTGGCAGCAGCGGGCTTCATGGCTGGCAGTTAGACTACGCGTCAAGAAGATACGGAGTAGTCAGGACGAGGCAACAGAGACAACCTAACACTGTCCAGCTCTTGGCACGTGTATTTTGACACGGACATTGGAACTTATCTGGGTCTCCTATAATTTCTGTAGATAATGACTGGAGAAGTTGGACCTGCACGCTGATCACGCTCCCCACGAACGAGGGTATAGTATAGTGTAGTATACTATGGCCTGCTGACATTCCCATAATCGCCTAATCCTCAAGTCCCTTTAGCGTTGTCTGCTAGCTTCGAACCCCGGTCGATAAGATGTCTCCCATATAGGCGTCGATCCATTGCTGATCAAGCTCCGACGAGGAACCTCCCCGCTCGGTGGATCCGGAGTGTCAGCAAGCAATGGGTCTCGTCAGCGGGAGTAATCCCCTGTCGATCCTCGATAACGGGCTGCAAAGTCAGCAACTTGAGCTTTCGCTTAGCGTCTAAGGCGGTTGAAACATCTTATCGCATATTACTCGACTTTGTTTCATGACGCGGGGAGATCTACTCCGGTCTATCAAAGGTGCTGCACCGGGTGGAGATACTGATCTCGGAATCCCTCCGCTCATGAGGCAACAGAGTCAGCACAAAAGTGATGGGAATAAGACGCACTTGGAGCACCTGGCAGGTGCTCGCCAGGCACCGTGCACTCTTCACAACATCCGTTGACTGGCTCCGTTCTTCTCCATCAACCGGGCCGGAAAGCTTCCTCGCAGAGATGGTGCTTATCACAATTAAAGCGGGAAAACAAATATCTCTCGTGCGGTTTGTAAGCGGACATTGAATGACTGTTCGATAGCGAGGGCGTATCTGCTATCCGAGCCACGTGGGAGTAGGCCCAGAAGCAATTAGGAAACCTATATATCTGTCTTAGTGGAAGGAGGATTAATGCAGCTCGGAACTTTTCTCTCCTGGAATTTGGTTCTATACTTTCACTTCTCTCGAACGCGCACATATCACTTTGATTGACCGGCTATCTCACCATGACCACCAACGACTGTGTTGACGAGAGCCATTCGATCGCCGGTCCTGGGAGTACCAATGGAGACTCCCATACCAACGGTGGCAATCACTCAAACGGAGTCACCAACGGGGCCAACCACAACAGTAATGGGAACCATTCCAACGGATTCAGCAACGGAGCTACAAATGGAGCCGTCAATGGCGCCGCCGCTGAAGGCATTGCCATTGTTGGCATGGCAATGCGCCTTCCAGGCGGCGTCAAGGATGCCTCTGATTTCTGGAACCTGTTAGTAGAGAAGCGGGACGGCCGTGTACGCGTCCCTGCAGACCGATACAATGTGGATGCTTTCTATGACGAGAGCGGAAAGCCGGGTACTGTGCGAACACAGTACGGGAATTTCCTGCAAGAGGATCTAAGCCATGTTGACACTTCATTCTTCTCGATGACGCGGGCCGAGACTGAAAAGCTCGACCCACAGGCGAGATTGCTTCTAGAGGTTAGCCGAGAAGTCCTCGAGAACGCTGGGGAGACGGATTGGCGAGGCCAAAGAATTGGATGCTATGTCGGTGTTTTCGGTGAGGACTGGCAGGACATTCACTTGAAGGACAGCCAAGATGCCGGAATGTATCGTGTTACCGGATATGGTGATGTATGTCCTCTGGTATCCCTGTTGGTGTTAGCAACCCCATCTAACAGGCTTGTTGCAGTTCCTATTAGCGAATCGTATTTCTTATGAATATGACATGAAGGGCCCCAGGTATGCATTTGGGGACACAGCTCCATTCAATCCAGGGCACGTGCACTAATCTATCGGGAAATCTAGTGTGACTATCAAGACCGGCTGCTCCTCGTCGCTGATCTCCTTGCACATGGCTTGTGAAGCCATTGCGAATAACGAGTGCAATGCTGCCATTGTCGCGGGCTCCAACTTGATCATGTCGCCCACGATGACCATCGCGATGTCCGAGCAGGGCGTCCTATCGCCAGACGCCGCTTGTAAAACATTCGATGCGCGGGCTAATGGTTATGCTCGTGGAGAAGGTTTCGCTCTCCTGCCTTTAGGTTGAGATTCGAATTTCCAGCTAACAAGTCTTTCAAGCCATTAACGCGATATATGTCAAGCGGCTTAGTGACGCAGTCAGAGATGGCAATCCCATTCAAGCAGTGATTCGGGCGACGGCTAGCAACTGTGATGGCAGAACTCCGGGAATCTCGCATCCCAGCTTAGAAAGCCACGAAGCCTTGATGCGAGCAGCCTATACTGCCGCCGGCCTTGAAAATCACGCCGAAATGGGATTTGTTGAATGTCACGGCACCGGAACGTCGATCGGTATGAGCCCTTTCAGGCTATTCATTTGGCTGTACTGACGGTCGATAGGCGATCCTCTAGAGGCGCAGGCTGTGGCCAATGTGTTTGGAGAACGAGGAATATACATTGGATCGGTAAGGCTTCAAGGGAAACATGCTGTGTCTGTCTTTGCGGTATGACTGACCCCTCAAAGTGCAAACCGAATGTTGGCCACTCCGAGGGTGCCTCTGGTGTCACTGGGGTCATCAAAGGAGTGCTTGCTCTGCAGCACCAGACAATCCCGCCGAACATCAACTTCCAGACACCCAACCCCAAACGTAAGCTAGGAATGAGCTCTGCTGTCATTCCTCCTGCTAATCAAAAAATATAGTTCCGTTTGATAAGCTCAAGGTGCCAACGGAGGCTATTCCTTGGCCGCAAGACCGCGCCCAGAGAGTCTGTGTGAATTCTTTCGGCCTTGGTGGAGCTAACGCTACCGTAAGTCTTCCGATATGCGCATGGACTAGATATCGCAGTGTCTAACAGCAAGTAGGTTATTCTGGATTCGGCGGCGTCCCACGGCTTTGGCAGACAACCAGTTGCTGCGCAGAAAAAGGAAGAGCTTCTTGTCCTCTCCGCAAACCATACCAAGTCGTTGCAGCAACTGGTTGCGAACACAAAGGAGTATCTAGAGAACAACCCGGATGCCACAGTCGACCTCGCCTACACTCTTGGTGTGCGCCGGGAGCATCTGCCCTTCCGCACATTCCTGGTCACAGGTGACAGCTTCACTGAAGCATCCCCAGGAGTTAAGCCAAATGTTGAACAGACGCTTAACTTTGTGTTCACCGGCCAAGGCGCTCAGTGGGTTGGTATGGGGAGGGAACTACTAAGCCACTACCCCCTCGTTCTGCACACCATCCAGCAACTGGACAACACCTTGCAGCAACTGCCAGCCCGTCCGTCCTGGTCCATCGAAGAGGAGCTTCTGGCCGGGGGCTCTACGACGGAAGATGAGGCCTCTGCCAAAATCAGGACCGCGAGATTTGCAAAGGCGGAATTTGCGCAGCCTCTTTGTACAGCTGTGCAGATTGCGGTTGTTGACCTTCTCCAGTCGTGGGGCATCACTCCCAGTGCCGTCGTTGGCCACTCAAGCGGAGAGATCGCGGCTGCGTATGCTGCAAATGCCATTACCCGGGAGGAGGCAATCATTGCTGCCTTCTACCGCGGGCTAAACACCAAGTTGCAGACCAAACAGGGTGCAATGGCAGCGATCGGCCTTGGGAAGGACGGCGTGTTGCCCTTCTTGATTGAAGGCGTGGTTGTGGCATGCGAGAACAGCCCCGAGAGTGTGACCTTGTCCGGCGATAAGGAGGCGGTGCAAAAGGTCGTCGAACGTATTAAACAGGACCTTCCGGGCACCTTTGCAAGAGAATTAAAGGTGGAAATGGCGTACCATTCTCGTGAGTATCCTAGCCTTCTATCACAGCTATGCCGAAGATGTGAATACTGACCGCAACGTACCGCAGACCACATGGAGGCAATCGGAGGAGACTATGAGGCATCGATCGACCAGTTGATCAACGCGAAGAAGCCGGAGGCCAAGTTCTACTCTAGTGTCACTGGAGAGCTGGTGAACCAGAAGGGCTTCTTGGGACCTGCCTACTGGCGTGCAAACTTGGAGTCGCCAGTCAAGTTCTCGACAGCAGTCAGCGCCCTGCTCAAGGACAGCTCCGGGGACCAGGTGTTCATTGAAATCGGCCCACACTCTGCTCTTCAAGGCCCTCTCCGACAGATATTCAAAGCTTGCAACGCGTCCAGTTCGACGTATTGCTCCGCATTGGTTCGGAACACCAGGAGCACCCAAAGCATCTTGCAATGCGTCGGACAACTATTCATCCGAGGAGTCCCAGTGGACTTCAGCGCCATGGCCCCAGGTAGCGTTCTCACCGATTTGAAGCCATACCCTTGGCACCACGAAGCCGCGTACTGGGATGAAAGCCGCATCTCTAAGGAATGGCGTTTGCGCAAGTTTCCTCATCACGAGATCCTTGGAAGCCGCATCACCGATGGCTCTGGGCTGGAGCCGATATGGAGAAACATGCTCAGAACGGAAGAATGCCCCTGGGTTCGTGACCACCAGATCTCCTCGGACATCATCTTCCCTGGTGCAGGGTATATTGCCATGGCCGGCGAGGCTATTCGACAGTTGACGGGAGCTGAAGACTTCACGGTCCGCGAGGTAACGTTTGCCTCAGCGATGGTGATCAGCGAGTCCCAAGCCACCGAGATCATCACCTCTGTAAGGCCTCTGCGTCTGACCGACTCTGCTGACTCCGTTTGGCACGAGTTTTCAATCACCTCGTATAACGGCGCTTCTTGGACCAAGCATTGTTCTGGTCAGGTCCGGCCCGGCCCTGACCACGAACTGAAAGCCCCAGCTTTGCAAGCGCTGCCCAGAGTCGTCTCCTCCGCGAAATGGTACCAGGCGATGCGAAATGTGGGCCTCAATTACGGGCCGAGCTTCCAGGGCCTGGATGACATCTGCACAGGAACGACCGACATGGTTGCCCATGCGTCAGTTTCCAACGCTGCCCACTCAGGGAAGGGACTTTACGCCTTGCACCCGTCCACCATTGACATGTGCGTCCAGCTGTTCAGCGCAGCGGCCTCATATGGACAGCCACGGAATCTTAAACTGCTTTCTGTGCCCAGAGCCATTGACAGCCTGTACATCGGCCGACCTGAGGGCCAGCTGGATGTCGAGGTACAGGCAACTGCCACCCCCAGGGGAATGATTATGGGTACTGGAGTTGCTACCTCTGGCGGCAAGGTTGTCCTGGAAATCAACGGGCTCAAGCTACATCCGCTGGAAGACAGTCGCTCCTCTCGCGGTAGCGACCCGCACGCAGCATGCCGCATTCACTGGCAGCCACATGTTGACTTCCTCAAACCTAGTGACCTTATCCGGCAGAGCGAGGCAGGAAGTCAACGACAATGGTATCTCCCAGTCGAGAGGCTGGCCCTCCTATGCACGATTGAGAGTAGCACACAGCTAAAGTCGCTTCAGCCGTCGGAGACGCATCTCACAAAGTTCCAGTCTTGGCTGGAGCGGGAACTTGATCGTACAGCGCGAGGAGACAATGTCCTCGTTGAAGGGCCACGGGAGATTGCTGCCATGACTTCGGACGACCGGGTTGCTGAGATCAACCGGCTCACTGAGCAAATCTTGTCGACACCAACCAAAGCGGCTGCCATTGCGCTCCGAAGAATCTTTGACGCGCTCGGGGCCATTTTCCAAGGGGAAAAGGATCCTCTGGAACTGTTGCTTGCGGATGATATCCTCGCCCAGCTGTATAACATGGGAGATCGATGGGACTATGCGGACTTCCTCAAAGCTCACTGCCATGCCAAACCTTGGCTTAGGATTCTGGAGATAGGTGCCGGGACTGGAGGCACCACGGCCAAAGTCCTCGATCTCCTTTCCTCCCACGGAGAGCGCATGTATGGCCTATATTCGTACACCGATATCTCAGCGGGCTTTTTCGTCGAGGCGAAGCAGCGGTTCGCGAACTACTCCAATATTGAATACTGCGTGTTGGATATCACTAAAGACCCCGTCGAGCAAGGCTTCGAGCCCGGCTCCTACGATATTATCATTGCGGCAAATGTCCTTCATGCGACGCCAAAGCTCAGTGAGACGCTCGCAAATGTTAAGAGCCTTCTTCGACCGGATGGGTGCTTATTCCTTGAGGAATTGTGCTCCACTGCCAATTGGTTGAACTATATCATGGGTACTCTCCCCGGCTGGTGGTTGGGTGAAGAAGACGACCGTGCCTGGGAACCGTACGTTTCTCCAGAGAGATGGGCACAGGAAATGGCAGCTGTGGGATTTGGAGCGCCAACAGTGGTCTATGATGATGTGGCTCCCTACCAGGCCAGTGCCCTGCTTGTTTCATCCCCGGTGGCTACCGAAGACAAGCAGACCCGGAAAACAATCTCACTACTCTGCAGCAATGCCGACCAGTCACCTTTTGTCTCCGAGGTAGAGACCAAACTGAGAAATGAAGGCTACATCGTCGAACGGTCCACATTGGCTGAGATGCCGAAGCCGCGACAGGACATTGTCTCCGTGCTGGACTTGCAAGAGCCATACCTGGAGAACATATCCGAAGAGCGCTTCCAGGAACTAGTGCGGTTCCTCCAGGCAATCGATGCAGAGTCTGGTGTCCTATGGGTCACAAGAGCTATCCAAATGCATTGCAAGGACCCGAGATGGGCGCAGTCGCTTGGCCTGACCCGCACAGTTCGAAACGAACTCGGCGTCGATATGGCCTCTCTGGAGCTTGACAACCTTGGAGGTGAAGCCAGCACAGCTGTCGTGAAGGTGTTGCAAAATTTCCAGCGTCGTGTGAAGTCTGACGACTACGACCCTGACTATGAATGGGCCCTCGACAATGGCAAGGTCCATGTTGGCCGGTTCCATTGGTTCTCTGTCAACGACACACTTTCTCTCACCAGTGCTGATAGCAAGGTCCCTAAGAGACTGGAAGTTGCCAAACGAGGTTTCCTCGAGACCCTTGGATGGGTTCAGCAACCCACGCGCGTCCCTGATAGTGATCTAGTGGAGATTGAAGTTCGCGCTGTGGGCATGAATTTCAAGGTTTGTGTCTCGTCTTCTGTATAAAAGACTTGTCTAACGTGAATGCAGGATGTCCTTATTGCACAAGGTATTGTTGATGGGCATCCAAGCGAGGGCAATGGCCTGGGTTGCGAGTGCGCCGGTATCGTCCGCCAGGTCGGTCCTGAGGTCCAAAACGTTGCGGTTGGAGACCGAGTGATGGTATTTGCCGGTGGCTCGCACTCCACCTCTCTCATTACGAGAGCATCACTTTGCGCGAAGATCCCGGCCGACTTGTCGTTCGAGGAGGCGGCGACAATGCCTTGTGTCTATAGCACCGTCATTCACAGTGTCATCCACCTGGGTCGATTGCGAAAGGGACAGGCAAGTATCTCTGATTCATTACTACTCCAGTAGGGGTATGCATTCATCATGCTGACAGTCAATTATCTAGACCATCTTGATTCACTCCGCGTGTGGTGGTATCGGCATTGCTGCCATCCAGATCAGCCAGATGATAGGCGCCACGGTACGCCGAATTTCTATTCACACTCCGACTCTGCCAACATGAACTAACATGCATCAGATCTACGCGTCGGTGGGAACAGAAGAGAAGATCCAGCATCTGGTGAACACGTATGGCATTCCTCGCAGCCACATTTTCAGCTCGCGCGATGCCTCTTTCCTTCCCGATGTCCTCAAAGCGACCAATGGACGCGGTGTTGATCTTGTCCTCAACTCGCTTTCGGGTGATTTGTTGCACGCATCTTGGAAGTGCGTTGCATCTTATGGGTCGATGGTGGAGATCGGAAAGCGCGATTTCATCGGCCATGGCAGGCTGAATATGGACACCTTTGAAGCCAACCGGGCGTTCTTTGGCGTGGACTTTGCTCAGATCTGTGCCGAAAGACCGGATATCACCCAAGAGTGAGTAAAAACCCACATACGGTATGGCTATAGGCTAACAGGACTCCAGAATCCTGGAAGAGTGCGTTCGGTACTACAGCGAGGGGTCCATTCGCCCTATCACCCCAGTGACCTACTTCCCCGCCGAAAAGATCCAAGATGCATTCCGATTCATGCAGAGAGGATCGCATATTGGCAAGATAGTGGTTTGTATGCCCGAGGACTCGGATGCTTTGCCCACGATCGGGAAGCAGAAACAGCTAGACCTCCGGTCCGATGCTTCTTACCTGCTTGTCGGTGGCTTGGGTGGTCTCGGTCGAGCTGTTTCTACCTGGCTGGTTGAAAACGGTGCCAGAAATCTGGTCTACTTGTCACGGTCTGCTGGACAGTCTACTCAAGATCAGCTATTCTTCCGAGAGCTTGAAGCTCAGGGATGCTCCGTCCAGGCATTCCCAGGCAATGTCTCCGTCCTCAGCGATGTTGAGCGTGCCGTTCAGGGTGCACGGTTGCCTATCGCTGGAATCCTTCAGATGTCTATGGTCCTACGGGTACGTTGCTAACTGCATCCCCCATGCTCAGGATCCTGTCAAGACTGACTTCCCTTGTGTTCAGGATGGAAAACTCGATGAAATGAGCATCAGCGACTGGGAAGCCGCCGTCAAGCCCAAGGTCGACGGAACCTGGAATCTTCACAAAGCGACCCAGTCGATTCCGTTGGACTTCATGGTTATGTTCAGTTCGTTCTCGGGTCTCGTGGGACAGCGTGGACAGGCCAACTACGCTTCCGCAAACACGTTCCTGGACGCCTTCGTTCAATATCGCCATGCCAATGGTTTGGCGGCCTCTGTCCTCGATATTGGTCCCATCGAAGACGTAAGGAACCCATTCTACCAATATCCCCCAAGATCCTCGTCATCCGCTAACAGGCAACGCGGCACTAGATCGGCTACGTCAGCACGAACAGAATGGTCCTCGATCAATTCAAGGCGACAAATCTGCATGTCCTACAAGAGACAGACCTGCTTGAGACGCTGCATGTGGCCATCCTGTCGTCCATGCCAGGTTCCTCCGCCGATGGCTTCGTAAATGACAGCCAAATCGGCATTGGTCTACGGATGACCGTACCCTCGCAAGCACCGAACAACCGGTAGACACCCCCCACTGACCACTATATCCCAACCACAAACTAACTTCTCGGCTCCCGTATAGATGCATCTGGAAACGCGACCGCCGTATGTCGGTCTACCGCAACATCGAGCAGGTGGAAGAGGTTGAAGATTCTGGTGCAGCGGGCTTGGGACTTCGTCAATTCCTCTCCGAAGCGCAAGCAAACCCGGCCATGCTCAAGGATGACAGCAGTGCCGAGTTCCTCGCGACAGAGCTGGGGAGGACGCTGCACGGATTCCTCCTGATACCGGTCGAGGACGTCGACATTTCCAGATCCATCACCAGTATGGGTGTGGATTCGCTCGTGGCGATTGAGCTGCGTAACTGGTGTCGACACAAGATGGGGCTTGAGTTCACCGTCTTGGAAATTCTCGATCTACCGAACCTGAAGGCCTTTGGCCAGGCTGCGGCACAACGTTTGTTCTCGAAATACGGGGGTGGCGAAGAACATGTCCGTGAATCGTTCTTGACCATGAAGGCGCCATGAGACATCCCTCTGACTTAGCTATGGTTACTATTCAATTTTGATTGTGTCGCAGTATTCAATGCTTTGTACTTTCTTGTGTTGATCGTTGTCGATATGCCGTTCGTCTTTAGTACCCGCTACTCTATCCAGACCATACACGCCAGAATAAATTGAACCTCGCCGCAATCCTGTTCCCTATTTGTAGTTCCGTTAATCTTTGTGATCTCGGCTATGTGGTTATCGTGCTTCCTTCCGAGGTGTTGGGACTTGATTGTCTGTATGCATGAGGCGCAATATATTGAGCCATTACCGGTTCGACAGCTATGTGGGATCACCTAGTAAAGCTCATACATATATATATCCTTATGGCAAAGGGAATCATTATTTTGCTATCAGGGCTAAATATCTCACCTATGGTTTTCTCCTAAAAACCCGCCACACCTAGTCAAAACGCGTACCAGATGCTCCATCTAATCGATACAGGCCACCAATGCAGAATATAAAGAACGTCGTTGCTCCCCAAGTTTGCATTGTATCCAAGTCCTTACAATTGTTTACTTTGTAGCTGAATCAAATTAAAAGAGCCTAAAGTACACCAGGGTTACCCTGCCACATCCAAACCAATCTGTAATGCACTTATTGTGGCCTTATAGATGACAGTAGTGTTATACAAGGGGCTACATGCAGCCCAATGACACGAAAGGCACAGACAACAAACGAAAGACATCAAATCAAGCTACTATGTACACGAATCAATAGGCCCCATGCGCAAATTAAGGCCCTTAATGCTGCAATGAAACAAGGTCTGAATATCTCCCTCCCCGATCCATCAGCTCCTGATGTGTTCCTGTTTCCACCACGCGGCCGTCATGAAACACGTAAATGACATCGGCTTTTTGAATGGTACTGAGTCGATGGGCTACAGTGATCGTCGTCCTGCCTTTCGCAGCAGTCTCTAGCGCCCGTTGAACGGCTGTTTCTGAATCTGCGTCGAGCGCCGATGTAGCTTCGTCAAGCAGGAGGATACGGGGATCACGGATGAGTGCACGTGCGATGGCCACGCGTTGTTTCTGACCACCTGAAAGCATATCGCCTTTGCTGCCGACAATCGTGTCTAGTCCGTGTCTAAGAAAGAGGAGAAACCGTTAGCTCGGACAGGAGTTATATGGGGCTGTCAAGGAGGGTTCCGTACGGAAGTGACATGACAAAGTCATAGATGTTTGCCTGTTTGCACACGCTCAGGATTTCCTCCTCTGTTACTTCGGTCCGCGATGTACCCTGCAGGATGTTCTCTCTGATGCTGCCGTGGAAGAGTGTCGGTTCCTGCCCGACCAGTGTGAGAAACGATCGATAGTTGCTGACATTGAGACGTCGAATATCCCTTCCATCGACATAGATGCCCCCTGACTGAGGATCGTAGAATCGCTCCAGCAGGGAAATTACCGTACTCTTCCCAGACCCCGATGTGCCCACGAGCGCAACCCATTGGCCTGGTTTGATCGTTAGACTCAGACCGCGGAGTACCTTGCGATGTGGCCGTGTGGCATATGCAAAATGAACGTCGCGAAATTTGATTTCGCCCTTGATAGAGGTGAGACGCTCTCCGCTGGTCGACCAAGAATCGATTGACGGGACAATGTCAAAAAGCTGCTTGAGGATGGCCGCAGCTGCCCTGGCTTTACCCATATCGGGGGCAAAAGAGAATAGACTGCCGGCTGACTGTGTTCCAAAGATGATGGCAGAAAAGCAGATGAAAAAATGGAGGAGATTGTACTCCCCGTACCCAATCAACTGCCCTCCATACCAGAACCCGAGACCGATGACCAGAAGTACGGCTGATTGAGAGAAGGCAAACAGGACCGCGGCCTTGTAATATAGGCGGAGTGATCGCCGGCCTTGTGTGTGCAACTGCTCCTGGTACTGGGCAACGATGGCGTTTTCGCCGGTAAGGGACGCAACCGTCCGGATGGCAGCAATGGCTTCACAGGCAAAGCTGGCAGAGCTCTGGGACGCCCTCTTTGCTCGTTTGCTCAGTTGAAAAAGGACTTCAAAACGCAGAAACCCACACCCCAATAGGACAGGGATGGTGGCAGTACACACCAGAGCCAACTTCCATCCCACCACACAGGAAACGACAATGGAAGAGACCAAGGTGGTGAGCACGGTCAGGATCGTACCGAGGGTGGTGCCGCTGAGTCCCGCGACGAACGTAGCCTCCGTGGATAACAACGAGGTGAGTGTCCCAATCTCCGATTTGTCAAAGTACTCGATGCTCTGCCGAAGTAAGGACCGGAACGCCATGTCGCGCACGCGGCGAATGAGTCTGGCGGAGCAGATCGCGAACGCAAGCCCTTGAACACAATACGCTACCAATACCACCGCGGCCAGGACGACGTACATTAAGCTCCAGAACCGGGAATCTGACAGGATCGTCGCCGTCTCCGACAGAGGGAGCGCGAGACTGACAACCTCCTTGGCGAAGAAGACGGACTGGACGGGGTTTCCTATCCCACAAAACGCTGCAGTCACGAACCCCAGCAACATCAGATGCCAATCGGTCCGGTTGAAGGACAAGATCAGTTTCACCAACTCCCAAATAGAATAATGCTCTGGACTGGGCATTCCTTCAAGAAGAGCCGGCTCCACAGCCGATGCAAGTATGTTGACGCCCAAGTCTAGTTCGGCTTTGTCACCGTGCTGCTCCCGCCAGAAAGGGTCCTCCAAGGCACTGAGTCGGATTCTTTTCCTGCGGGCGATCCTTTGCGCCTCTACCATACCACGGTAGGTCGAGTTGGGGGATTCAAGCAGGCCTTCGTGCGTTCCCTGTTCCACGATCCGCCCGCGGTCCATGAGCACAATATTGTCCGCATTCCTGACGGTGGTCAGTCTATGCGCAATGACAATCGTGGTTCTCCCAGCAGAGCCAGCTTCCAAGGCTTTGTTGAAGGCGGCTTCAGATTCCAGGTCCAGAGCGGAGGTAGGCTCATCAAGAAGAAGAATCCTCGGGTTCCTGACCAGTGCGCGAGCGATGGCAATCCTCTGTTTCTGTCCACCTGAAAGCAAAAATCCCCGCTCTCCCACGTTTGTTTGGTAGCCTTCCGGAAGCTTCGTAATGAAGTGATGGGCACTGGCAAGCCTAGCAGCGTTGTAGACCAGTTCTGTCGTCTTTTCCTCATCGACGCTTTCAAATTCGGTGCCGATGAGGCCCATGCGGATATTATCATACACTGTGGTGCCGAACAAGGTAGGTTCCTGACTGACAAGAGCGATCTGACTGCGCAGCCATTTGACGTTCAGTTCGGTGATATCAACGCCATCGAGCAGTATCTGTCCGCGAATGGGATTATAAAATCGCTCGAGGAGAGCGACGATCGTGCTCTTCCCGGATCCCGACGAGCCCACTAGGGCAGTCATTTTACCGGCCGGGAACTTGAGGTTGAAATCGGGTAGCACCACAACATCTGGTCTCGACGGGTAGACGTGCCTGATGCCACGAAACTCTATGTCACCACTGACATTGCTTATGGTTCGTCTCGCGACAGATCCGGAGTCGATTGGCGGAGAGCGATCGATCATGCTGAAGATCTTGAGCCCAGCCGAGGAAGCGGTCGTGAAGGCTTGGAGGTTGGGGGCAATACTACCAAGAGCAAACGCCCCGTTCATGGTTGACATGAGAATCGTCAGGACGTGTCCGACGGTTGTCTCTGCGGTGGTGACGAATCTCCCGCCCATCCAGAATGCAAGTGCGTAGTTGAGGTAGATGGTGCCAAACATCGCCCCGATATTGAGGGCAATCGTGAACTTTGCCCGCTTGTCCCACCGCTGTGCTGTTTTGAGATACCTGTCATAATGCAATGCCAGCTTTTCTTGCGTGTTGAATGCGGTTACGGCTTGGATGGAATTGAGCGTCTCTTCCACGAAGGTCCCGCCCTCGGCATAAGCGTTCAGGGTTTGCTTCTGATATTTCGCAATCCAGAGGCCGCAGATCGCCATGATGATGATAATAGCTACCACCCCGCCGATCATGATGAGCGTCAGTTTCCACAATGTGGCGAACCCAATAACCAAGGCAGTGACGAACGTCGCCATGGCTGTCAGACTCATACCAAGCTTTTCCGATATACCTTCCTGTATCAAGCTGGTGTCGGCTGTTATGCGGGTTGTGATTTCACCCGTGCCTGTCATATCAAAGAGTCCGATATTTTGATGCATACAGGCCGTCAGGTACCTGGTCCTTATTTTGGCGGTAAGGTGTTCACCCGTGTAGAGAAAGCCAACGGTCTGCACGTAGGACGAGACCTAGCACGTAGAGAAGCGGAAAGAGGTTACTATTATTGATCGGGCATTGGCTGCTGCATGCCTGGGTGATTCTACTTACAAATACCACAACGCTCAAGTAGACGTAGTATAGCACCACTGAACTTAGTTTGTTGTCAAACACAGGGCGCGTAACGCTGCCTAGGAAAAAGTCCCGGAACGTGTTTGTGACTGTGCCGAACAGGACCTGTCGGTCAACAGCTCTGGTCAGGCCCGACTCCGTTGAACGCATTGAAGAAGAGGTTGTATCAATTTACCGTCATCAAGGGTAAGCCGACACCGGCTACGACTGCGCAGCAGCCACTGAGCACAATAATCACCAGGTCCCATTTCGTAGCGTAGCGAAATAATGTAAAGTACCCGGTCTTGATCTCAGTCAAGCAGACTTGGTCTCTTAGGATTTGTCGTTCGCGTGGTGGAAAATGCGAAAAGGGGTCCTGCGCGTCGCTATCCTCGCTGTTTCTGTGCACTGCATCATTCACCGTCCTCGCGCTGGCCGGCTCGTCTTCCCGTACTTGGATTTCCGAGACCGCAGAACCACATATGGGTAATGCTGTCACCTCCGTTGAATTCGAGAGAGAAACAGACTTGGGCGTCACCGGCCCAGCCGAAGAAGGCGTGTCAGTCGTTGGAGTTCGGGCCATCTGATATCTCGTCCCCTGTCGTTCTTTCGACATTCTTGTGCCTCCAACCCGATAGTCAAGCCATTCTGTATCCTGGAGTCTTTGCCAATGCAATCAAACAGCTAGACGGCAACGCCGGATATCTCGAGCCACGTGACTGAGGATTCTCTCTCGAGCGCTGATTAATTTTTTGAAGCATCTAGCTGCCTTCCAGAGACTTCCCGGCGTCCGGCGGCGACGTGCAGGCTGCGAGTCCACGAACATGGTGTGGAGAAGGCGCGTGGCGACTGCATATCGCACGGGGCTTGGAGAGGTCAGCAGCCGGAGCCGAGTATGCTGGTCTTAATGACACTCTGATAATGTGTCTGCAGTCACTGCGTCTATTTTATCCCACTAAGGACGACATGGTGGGACGCTGACCGGAGGAAGAAATATACTACCTGTATGGACGAATCGTTATCAAACCAACTGACCCAGCGATTCTGCTGACTAGTGTTTGCTGACGTCTCCACGACAAGTGAAACGAAAGCCCAAGATAGCATGATCGGCATTAGGTCCCTTTCCGTAAGTTAATGGCGGCCCGGCTGCCGCTGGTTTGGGTAGGTTGACGCGGGTCGGCTTAGTCCGTGTAGATCATTGGAACTCGTTTGAGAATGCGGGTGAAACATGCATAAGTCTGCCCTAGGCAGATTTGCGTGATATTTTGACAAGGTTGTGAGCTTCTCAGTATGCGCAAGCAACTATCGTGAAGTGCTACTAACCCTTTTAGTTCCCTTAGGAAGGACTCAGGGGTTGTTCCGCTCCCCAGCGAAGGCCCAATCTTGTTATCAGTCTTAGATTCAGGGGCAAACAACAACATTCCCATATCATCGGGGCCATGTCAGTTATACGCCATAGCTAACACTGGAATTCTACAACGATGTCACTAAAAGGAAAAAGGAATGGGAAACTCTGGCGGTCATGCAATTGTACTCCGTAGCCTTTCAAGCCAAGTCTGTCTACTGGTCGATTATCCCCCATGAATTGGGTTCCTCAGTTTGGATATACATCATCCGAATCCATAAATCCTTAAATGCGACATTATAGCTCCTTTTCTTGCTGCCGCCTTTCGCGAACCTCCGCCTTGGCCCTCTCAACACTCTTCTCGTACAACTTCGTAGTGTCACCCTTCCACTCAGTCCCCAGGTAGCGGTCCCAGAAAATCAGAAACGGCTGCGAGAAATTATGCTTGATCCCCCAGCTCTGGTGGTGGATGTCATGGAATATGGTATTGTTGGAGGTAAGTTTCTGCAGGGGGTCGAAGGGGAACGCATAGCCAGAGTGGTCATCCACAGTCTTTACCGTGGTCAAGGAATAGAAGAACATACGCTCGCGGATGGATTGTTTCACCAGAGCTTGGGCGATGACCGCCCCCACAGTGTCGAGGAGGAACCCTTCTACTGGGTGGTTGTAAAGAGCTCCAAATGCGAAGGGAACGTAAAGCCGGTGGTGAACAGCATGGACACGCGCTAGAAAATATATCTTAGTTGGAACCCCGATTCTTTGGGTGTCTCTTCAAATATGCCGGGAGAACTCACAGTATAGCCACTTATTTGTGTGCAGGATTCGGTGTACGGCATATTGCCAAAAGTCAATGGCAGCAATGGCAATGAACATCCTGATCGCGGGCGATATAACCCAGTAGACCAATTTGGCAAGGAACAACTCCCACTGGGCAAATGCCGGGACGCTTTGTAGCATGTCATCCAGCATGATAGTCTGCGTGAGCCAGGGATATTTGCCACCTTGAAGAAGGCCGGAGAGACTGTGGCTAGCCGGTAGCTTCGTTGCCAAACTCAGAGAATCCACGCCAAGGACAGCCAGAAGTGACGGGATCATTCTCTGTGCCAGCCTCAGTCTCTGGGCCCAAACAGCAATGTCGTAGTCCTCCTTGCCGATGTAATCTACCGGCATTGTGGGCTGCTTGAGGGCAACCCACAATCCTAGGCTTATCTGCATGGCTTGCTGGATCAGAAGCTGTCGGATACATTGCCATATAGTGACGCGGTTCCTCGTCTCGAGCTCCTCTGGTACGTGAAGCCGATATTGGGGGAAGAGGTCCAGCGTGTCGATGAGATGGAAAAGCCCCGATGAAATCCAATACAGGGTTGGAACCATGAATGTCTTCAGCAGCTCATCTGGGATGTTCGGAATGAGACTTGGTCTCGGCGTCAAGGTATAGGAGGGAAGTGGGGGGAGCCATTCTCCCATGTCGATGGTGGTATTCGAGGACGCCATGGAGGATCTGTTGGATTTGCATTGCCATGAAGGATGAAAGGGCGTGGAAGATACGTCGATACCTTTATTTCGAGAATATGCATCAATCACAGCAAATATCCGCAGCCTCAGCATGTCAGCCGTTGTCAGCAATCCGAAACGCTAAAAGACACCGGTCAAACATGGCGTGTTATTCCCCGTCACGCATACTCCGTATGCATACGGAGTATCCAACCTCCTGACTTTCTGATTCTCACACCCCGTTGGACTATGAGACAGTCATACCTCCCAGCTGGTCGTTTCTGGAATCAAGTCTACGGTGGATTTGGCCGCTCCTCCTCAATTGGCAGCAGTGTATAGTATGGGTTTGGGTGTAGATAGCCGGTATTAAGTTGTCGCTTTGAGCGTCAGCGTTGCCCATTTAGGGAAAAGCATGTGTCAATCGGTACCAGGCTGTACCGGTAGGGCAATGATCCTCGTCTAGAACTGTCAGCAAAGCTATCCCCACGTGGATGCCATCCGGCAAGCTATCACTGTCCGTATGCTCCAGGCATGGCAAACAGGCAAGCCCACGAGGCTAAAAGCCTCTGTGGATACCGCATTTCTCGTTCTCACTTCCCCAGAAACACTCAGTCCTCATCTCGTCGACACTGGCATGATGTCGTTCAAATCGATCATGGTGCAGCGGTTAGCCGCTCAGGAACCCCGGGCCCATCGCTTCCAGAATGCGCCAGTCTTCTATCGCAATCTCGAAGCGATCATGGACGAGAGACGCAAAGCAAATCGATTGCATGTGTTGATGGACGCTTCGCGGAAGAAAGCGGACTTCTCATCGAATGACTTCTTGTCTCTGGCTTCTTCTGGCCTCCTCAAGACCGAGTTCCTCAACGAGCTCGCCAGGAACCCAGACTTCCAAGTCGGACAGTCCGGCTCTCGACTCATGGACGGCAACACCCAATACCTCGAGAACCTCGAGCGCGAGATGGCAGAATTTTTCCGAGCAGACACCAGCCTCATCTTCAACTCCGGGTATGACGCCAATAGCGCCATCTTCGCTGTTCTACCGCAGAGCGGAGACGCCATCGTCTACGACGAATTGGTTCACGCGAGTATCATAGATGGCATGGAGCAGTCTCGCGCCACGATCCGGAAGCCTTTTGTTCACAATGATCTCAACTCTCTCCGGGAAGTTCTCTTGTCCCTGCGGAAATCTGAACCACAACTTGCCCAGGGCAAGAGCACAGTCATCCTTGCCATTGAGTCCGTGTACAGTATGGATGGTGACATATCCCCAGTGGAGGATATAATGAAAATCGCCCAGGAGCTCTTCCCTCTGGGAAATACCGAGGTCTTCTTCGACGAAGCCCATAGTACTGGGTTGATGGGCCCACTCGGCCGAGGAATGGCCTGTGAGCTGGGCATCGAAAAGAAACTGGCATGTCGCTTGCACACGTTCGGCAAAGCCCTGGGATGTAACGGAGGTTGGTGATGAAATCTTTCCTACAATGCATCAACGATTCACTAAGTCTTTTAGCCATCGTCTTGGGAAGCGAAACCGTTCGAAATATGCTGGTAAACTACGCAAAGGGCTTCATCTTTACTGCTGGGCCAGCATTTCCCTTCGCCGCCTGCATGAGAGCTGCCGTTAACCTCCTCCGGAACGGACAAGCAGAACCGGTAAGCCTAGATCCTCCTCCCTCGTAAGCTCGCATACTGACATCCCTTGGCTATCCAGATGAGGCAAAAGCTCCAATTCAACGTCCGATACTTTCTCCGTACCCTGCTCCAACACCCCGTCTGGAAGGAGGCTCAGGATACTAAGCTGCTGGCCATCCCCGTGGCGGAGGACTACGAGTCCAAGGAGCTCCTCACCCAGATCGTGCCCGTTTGGACTCAAGCCCGCGACAACCACCATCTTGCGTCTCACCTGCATCTTGCCGATTACAAGGCCTACCCTGTCAGCTACCCCGTCGTTCCCAAGGACCAGGGGAGGATCCGCCTTGTCTTCCATGCGGGAAACACGACCGACGAAATCGACACGTTGATTCAAATCATATGCGACTGGGCGCGAGAGATGATTGACTTGCGTATCAAGCAGGTGCCATTGTCCTGTACCTGGTCGAAGATCATTCTGGCTGGGGAAGTCCGGAAAAAGCAGAGGTTGGAGGAAGAAGCGAAGCGGCGGGACAGGGCCCAAAAGGTGGCAGAGGTGAAGAGGGACTTGCAGCCACTCATTGTAGAGTCCAAGGCGCGCGGCTACGTCGAGAAGAGCCTACTATGATGGGTTCGGCATCCCTTCTATTGACCTGGAATCTTCCATTTGTTATGTATGTGAACTTACTTCTATACCACCCAGTGTAGCTATATTTTTGAATCGACAGCTCGTAGTTCTTTTCTCGTGATGATTATTCCCGATTCCGTTCCTTCGTCACATAAGACCATCAATTGAACCCTCACCCTATTCAGGCTATAAACTAGTGGTATTACCGTAAGTACTACGTTGCTGATATATTAAATCGGGCGTCTTGTTGCGGAAGTTGGACACGACAAATATCTAAGAGCCGTAGTTACAACGCTTACCTTTGGTAATTCTTAATCGATCTCCGCATTTGCCTACTTTATAGAGGTTAAATACAACAATTCAGAGGCTGCATGTATTGCTTGATTTACAGAACTCGGGATAAATACAAATAAGCATCAAGATACCAAAAGGCAAAATATCGAAACGATGAGTATCCAAACAGTCACAGAGACTGACGCACGCTGCCTGTCACTCTACGTCCCTCTCAAAGAAGAACTTCGTCTTTCTGCAACCGCGGACTGCTGACGGATTGGCGAGGATAAAACCGCATATTTACCGGGTGAGAGACTTTGGTGTTCATCTCGACCTTGATACGCTGAACGATATTATCCGCCGGGAGGATATCGTAGAGCTGGTAGAGCCGTACAATCAAATATGCCATGGCATACTGCCCGAATGCCATTCCCAGGCAGTTGCGCGGACCGCGATGGAACGGCATATATTCCCACGGACCGGGCTTGAAGGTGTCCCACCGTTCCGGACGGAAGACGTCAGTATCCGCTCCCACAATGTCTGCACGACGATGTAGACCCATGATGTTGACGACTGTAACGAAGGTCAGCTGTGTCTGAAGCCGATGAGAGTACCAGCGGGTGGGTAACAGACCGATGAAGGTTTCGCGGAGGATCGGAAGAGGCTGGTCCCCGTTAGGACCTCCTCCTGTAGGTAGAACGGTGTCTTTGTTGGGACAGCGAATGTTAAATCCAACTGCAAATGTTAACTACTGGAGGTCCAACGTCGGGTTTGGGGATTCTAACAAGGATGATACATGCGCATTGCCTCCTTGATGATGTTCTGGAGGTATTTCATGCTCCGCAACTGGGCATCAGTAGGCAGCGTGTTGATATCGTCTCCAATCCTATCCACTGTTTGTTAGAAAATCAGATTTCAAGGTGGTCCCAACGAACGTACGTGGCAATGATTTCCTCGCGCAATTTGTCCACAATCTCGGGTCTACGACCGAGCTCATAAATGACCCAGACCACTATCATACCCACGGGGTCCTACAAACCGGTTAGCAGAAGCAACCCATTTCGGCAGGTGAGGTCTTTATACTTTTGAAGCCGAGAGCAGGGAAACGAATTTGCTTCTGTATGCCTGCAGTCCGGATGAGCCTACATGGATTTGCAGTGGGTATGTGGGCCACATACACTGTCCGGAAGTGGCTCGCTTGCAAATGTCTCCATCAGCGTCCACTCCTTCTTCGGTTTTTCGCCGTAGTTGGAGCTCTGGAGTTTACGAATCCATCGGACGTGAGAACCAAGGTATTCGTGCAGGGCCTGAGTGGAGGCTCGGGCGACGAGGGTGTCTGAGACCAGACGGCTGACGTTCCTGTATTGCATGATCAATACTGGTATTTATATGAAAACTGGCAGACCGTACCCAAGGAGTACTCTGAACGTGTTGATCTTGAGGAGAGCATTGACCCCATTGACAAATGGTCTCGGGTCGATGTGCTTGTATTCCGGATCCTTTGATGGGTCAACGAAGATGTCGATCACCGTCTCCAGTAGCATCATGTCGAGCATATCGTACACCTCGACGGGAGATCCGTCGTCGGGAATATTCTTCTTCAGCATTTGAAGAAAATGCTTTTCAAGCTTCTCGGGATCGGAAGGCCTCATTGTGCCAACCTGTGATATACATCAGCCACGCTTAGGCACGGGATTCCAGGTCAACGAGACAACGCACATGCGGCTTTAACTGGGCTCTGTGTGCTGCCCACTCTGCGCCCTCTGCTGCTCAGCTGTTAGACTAGCATGAACTAGGACTCAGTATCCCTGGAACAGGTCACCTACATCCGAAGATTGACCCTCGAAAGCAATTTCTGAAAATGTGATGAGTGAGGTCGCCCTTTCCAAAGGTATCAAACTATACTCAATGTCAGATAACTCTGCAACAAGATGTGTTCTAAAGGAAGACTAAACACCTACCTGCACAGACATCATCTCCTTGATGTTTTCCGGATTGTCCGTTACTATCATGCGCTTGTCCAGGATGTGGAACTCAATCGTCCGTCCCGGCTTGGTCGCCAGAATATCTCGGACATATTCATGGAAGCCGTGGGTGGCCAGCTCATACACGCACCGCATGGCCACATCCAAGCCTTTGTAATGACACAGCCATCCGAATCAGCTATGCACTGCTTCCTCTTGGTGTTCACACACTTACCAAATGGAAGTCTTGCAGGGACCACCGGAGCATAAGTGCCCGGAAGTTTTTTCAGGGCACGATCTCTCGACCATGTTGTGGCAGCCAAGTATACGATGGGCAGCACGATCAAGACGCACACGGGCAGGAGGACAGAGAAAGGGATTCTAGTCCCCAGAAACAAAGAGCGGACACTGTCCACCACTGTCGGTCCTGGCATCTTGCTTGGTAGCGTTTACTTTTCCGATGTCGTTTGCTGAGGAGCGGTAAAGTACGTAGATATTACCAACACATGCTGGTCGAGGTTTTAAGGCAAGTAGGTATCGAGTAGGGTCCTTGTTGGCCAACAAGTCTCTTCTTCACTACGATGCACCCGGCGAAGTGTACAATGGTTTCTGTATTACAGTGTCGTCAGAGGCATGGCCGTCCGCTGACCAATGCAGTCAGCGTAACAGTGCCTATGTCTTCCGAGAAGCTGACAGTGGGACTAATCCCCAGCTTGAGGTAGTTGATCGCTCGGCCAACCGCCGAAAGGGTGCTGACACTGACAGTCTCCACGCATGATGTATGGCTGACTGACGATCTCTTTCACAATCTTAATCCCACGGGAGTTTCCGGCAATCTTCAAGACTATGCAGGGCATTTTATTGCTTCCATCGTATTATGTCCGCCGAATACATGTTGCCTTTCCACTTTCCGACTTGATCCCACCATTCCCCGAGCTTGCGCAAGCTTCAGAACCACACGAAATGATGCTGGGAGAGGCCGGCCAGTTCCCCCATATGGGGGCATTGTTACTCACAGCTTTGTTCATCGTCTACCTCTGCAGGCAGTGGACCACGAGACAGAAGATTCTTCGGTTGGGAGGCTATGCTCCCCGGATTCCCTCCTATGTACCATTGGGTATTGACCACCAGCCACCGTCTGGTAACCGCCTAACTGACCGTTGCCATTCATTCCCTTCCAGGCCTGGATATCTTATTCACAGCAATACGCAACGGCCGCAGAAACAAAAGCCTTGAGACATGGCGCGGCTGGCACTCATGCGCCCCTAATAACGGCACTGTCGAGGCCAAAGTGTTGTTCGAGCGTTACCTGCTCACCGGGGACCCCGAAAACATCAAAGCCATCCTGGCGACTCAGTTTGATGATTTTGCGAAAGGCCAGTTATTCCATGACACCTGGAGCCAGTTGCTTGGCGACGGCATCTTTTCAACCGACGGGGCTCCGTGGCGCGGCAGTAGACAGCTGATGCGTCCCCTCTTTGCAAAGGACCGCGTTAGTGATCTTGACGTCCTGGAGCGACACGTCCAGAAGTTGCTGCGGAATGTCGCTGCAAAGAGTGGGCAAAGGCTGGATCTGTGCGACCTTCTCTTTCGATACACGCTGGACGCCGCAACAGACTTCCTTCTGGGAGAGCCCGTGGGGAGTCTAGACAATGACACACAAGAGTTTGCAACGGCATTCGATCACGCACAGTATATCCAAATGATGATCGCCAGGTCTGGGTAAGAGTTGCCTTCTCGATGGCTGCTGCAGAATGTGTTCTGGGGGTCACTAACGAGCAGCTTAGACGCGCGCATGTTCTGATCCCCCGGGCGTCCTTGAATAAAAGCATCTCCACGATTAACGCCTTTATCCGACCGTATATTGATTCCGCCCTCCGTCTCCAGGACAGCACGAAGCTGGTCGAACGGTCCGAACCAGACTACACATTCCTCCACGCCCTCGCGCACTACACGCGTGACCCGAAGCTCATTCGCGATCAGCTGGTCAATATTTTGATTGCCGGCCGTGACACTGCCGCGTCTTCTCTGTCATGGGTTTTTTTCGAACTTGCAAAACAACCCCGGGTGACCACGAAGCTGCGGGAGGAGATCCTGGCCCAGGTCGGGTTCGAGCGTCCGACTTACTCCCAGCTGAAAGACATGAAGTATCTCCAAGTGAGTATCGGCCAGGGAACCACGCCGCCACATCAGAAGCTGACAACCGCTCCTCAAGAACGTGATCCGTGAAACGCTCCGTCTGTATCCCATCATCGCGTTTAATGTTCGCGTTGCGCAGCGCGACACCACGCTCCCACGGGGCGGCGGGCCCGATGGCCTCTCTCCTGTCGGCGTGTTGAAAGGCACCCGTGTGTTCTTCAGCTCGTTGTATATGCAACGCCGCGCAAGCCTGTACCCGGGGGATCCAAACCCTGATGAGTTTCACCCGGAGCGTTGGGAAAAGTGGCAGCCCGCCTCGTGGCAATACATACCGTTCAGCGGAGGCCCACGCATCTGTATCGGGCAGCAATTTGCGCTCACCGAGATAGCGTACACGATAGTTCGGCTGTTGCAGTCCTTCGACCGCATAGAGCCCTGTATTGAACACATGGAGCCTGTTCTGGAGACGAACATCTCCATGAAACCAGGAACTGGAGTACCAGTGAAGCTGTGGAGCGCGGCGCCAGTGTCAAACGAGCAGCGCGTCGAGGGGTCAGCATGCTAGGGGGGCTGTGCACCAATCTTAGTACCTCTACATATTGTACATCGGCATTCAATATCCTCGTAGACAAGCTTTTATTTTAGGTTCGGACCAGTCTCCTATCAGTAGCCAATAACTGTTGTCCGAGTCAGCAATGTGAAGCCGTTGATGACATGGCATGACCGTCGTCAGGTCACAATGGCTGTCGTCCGCCACCTGCCCCGTACCACAGCCACTGGTGGGTCGATCTAGAGCCCGGAGTAGTTGCTGCTGGCATGCGATCGACGTCGGAGGTGTACACTTTGATCAAGCGTACCTGTAGGCACCCGTCAATCCAGGTAGACGTAGTAGCTTGTATAAAACGACGCTCGGGAGGCCATCATCTCCTATCCGTCCACGGCACGCATGGCCCTGGACCCATTCCCAGCTGCTGGTCTTGCAAGCACAATGTATGGCCGTTATCAACAGTGGGCCCCCTCCTACGGCCCTGACTACCGGCAATCCTACCCTGCCGCTCAACCACCGCCGCCTCCATATCAGGAGTTCCACAGCCCACCTGCTCGACAGGACGAACGTATCTCCGAGAGCCAACTCCGCGAGGAGGAAAGGTTCGTCGAATCCACTCTGCGATGGATCCCACCGGCCCCGTCGTATCATTTGGTGCAACGCGCACGTCTCCAGGCAGGTTGAATCCGTACTCTCTGTGCCTGAGAGACTCCACCATCTAACAAAGCACAGAGGCCCGTTGTAATACCTCGGGTTACCCCTAACAACCCCCTAAAGCCCCCCGGCCCGTTTCTCCGTGCCTACAGTCCGGTCCTGCGCAACCATGATGTCCAGATCACAGACTTTCTGGAATTTGTCGACAATCTCTCCGTGGCTCAGGCCGGCTCGCCGGCTTTGTCCGCCGTGAACGCAGCCGGCATGGCGGTTTCAATGGTACCCTCGCACTGGGCATCCATCGCTGGCACCGGGATTCAGGTTGCCGCGGGGGTGGGCACGGCCGCCGTGTCGAAAATCCGGACCAAAAAGTTCCTCGAGGCCGTGAACGAACGGTACTTTGGGCCGCGCGGGCTGCAGGCCTCGATCAAGAAGGACGACGAGCTCGTGGGCCTGGTTGGGTTCCCCCGGAACGCACCGCCGCTCGCGCCCGTGAATCCTTCCACCGGCTGCATCACGCTGCGCGATCGGCGCATGGCTGCGTTGGGGCCGTGCGTCTCTCCTCTTACTACGGACGTGCCGCCGCCGACAAAGCAGGCCGGGATGCTGGATAAGATTGCCGCGAAGCAGCTTGAGAAGACCGCGCAGAAGACGGAGTCAAAGGAGCTCCGCAAGCACCAGCGGACCCAGGACAAGCAGGACAAGCGGGAGCGACGGGCGATGGAAAAGCAAGACCGGCGGGACAGGCGCAGGGGTCGACCCGACAGGGGCTACGAGGACCCGACGCCGTATGCCCGTGCCGGATACTACGGGGATTATCCGACGCACCGGCACGCCGGTGATGCGAGTGATTCCGATGCCAGTCTGGAAGCTATCGATCAGGAGAGGCGAAGACTGGTCCGCGCCAGTGAACGGCTTCGTCACGATAGCCGATATGGCCAGGGCGACTCCCAAACCCTGATGCAGCTTGAGTCCGAGAGATACCAGTTGGACAGGAGGCTAAATTCAAAGATGGACAGGCGGGGACAACGGCAGCAGATGAAGGATGAGAAGAAGTTGCAGCATATGGATTACATTGTCATTGTTGGTTTAGTGTAGATGAAGGGGACCTATCATCGAGAAGGAGCGTGAGTCATGCAATAGTTAGGTGCCTTTTCTTTTTGAGCCGGGAATGATATATACGAAGCAACTTCATAGTGCAAGTCCGCTAAAAGAGCTCTACACGGCGCCGGGAAGACTTTCCTAGGATTGACCGGCCATCAGGGGAAGCCTGCCATTTCTTCTCCACAGGCCGTTATCAGCTTCCTTACCCCTCACGATGGCCGCAGTGAGCAGTCGGAGATGAGAGACTTAATAACATCCGAAGGAACTACCTGATACCGCGGGGCTTGGACAGGTTGGCGAATATCTCACAAAATCTGTCTCCTTACCTTAACTCGTAGAAAGCCAACACTCCATCAAAATGGACTCCAAAGCAAACGTCCTCTTGGTCGGAATGGGTGGAATTGGCACAATCTCCGCCCTCAACCTGGAGACCGGTGGCCGCGCAGCAGTAACAGGCGTCCTCCGTTCCAACTACGACGTCGTGGTCCAGAAGGGATTCAGCATCAGGTCTGTCGACCACGGCATCGTCAACGGCTTCAAACCAAGCACGGGTATGCACCCATCTCAGCCCATCATGACCATAAATAACCCGACTCCCAGTCCTCAAGCACATCCCCGACGTCGCAAAAGACAACATCCAACCATACAAATACGTCCTCTGTACCACCAAGAACTACGCCGACATCCCCCCCACCGTCGCAGAACTGATCCGGCCAGCCATCACCCCGGGATACACCGTGATCGTGCTGATCCAGAACGGCCTCAACATCGACAAGCCGCTGCTGGTCGCATTCCCCCAGAACGTCATCCTCTCGGGCACCAGCTTCTGCGGCAGCCACCAGCTCTCTCCCGCCGAGATCCTCCACGAAGACGGCGACAAGCTGTTCGTCGGCGCCTTTCGCAACCCTCACCTCGATCCGGCCGTTGAGGACCGCGAAGCGCGGGAATTTTGCGATATCTACGCCGCGGGGGGCAAGTGCGTGTGCGAGCACCAGCCAGACGTCGGGTTCACCCGCTGGCGCAAGCTGCTCTACAATGCGTGTTTGAATTCGCTCTGCGCCATTACGGACCTCGACACGGGGCGGATGCAGATCGCCGACGGGGCTGTGGAGAATCTGGTGCGGCCGGCGATGGAGGAGATTCGCGCGGCTGCAAAGGCTTGTGGACATGAGCTGCCGGCGGAGCTGGTGGATTTTATGATCGCCCTCGATCCTGTCACTATGTATAACCCGCCCAGCATGCAGGTTGATATCCGTAATGTGAGCTGCCCCGGGGATTTTGTTCCCTCGCAGACTCTGAGAACCTGTGCTAACGTGGTCCTCGTACAGAGACGGTTTACCGAGTTTGAGAATATTGTTGGTGAGCCACTGCGCGAGGGAACCGCTCGGGGGGTCAAAATGCCCGTCCTCACGGTAGTATACCATCTCTTGAGGTCTATGCAGTGGAAGATTAAGGAGGAGAGAGGGCTGGTTGAAATCCCGGCCCATGTTGATCACACCAATACCAGCTCTACCTAGGCATCACTCTTGCCTCAAATGGAAGATGTGCACCCTTGCTTCTCGCTGTGGTGTATGTCAACCTAGTGAATGGCTGGCAGTCTATCCCGAGTGATACCGAGGTCCGGGGAAACCTGCGTCCTTATTGCAGCATCGTCTTGGCAGAACAGAGGAAGGTCATGGAAATGGCAGGGTGTCTTGGAGATTTGAAGTTGATGGCCTTAAAACTAGATCTCTAAATGCACCTCGCCCTACCTGCTCCCAAAACCCGGGATGTGAAGACTTGACCACACTACATACCTGGAGTAGGATAGATCAACCTCGGTCACCCTCAGCCAAGCGGCATAGTCAAGTTTCCGCTTTGATACATTGGCCTCTGTTGGTACTACAAATTTAATCAAATATCTGATATAAGATTACCTCTTATCTGCATCTGCTCGTACTTGCGCGAGCCCACGTTCTTCCTGGACCTCTTTGTCCTAATGGAGCCGAAGAAACAAAAGTCGATACTATTGTCTAGCATGTACCATGCTATTTACTGTCACTGCCCCGAAGCCGATGGCTAAGAGATACTACCAAATGTAGTACCACCACCCAGCTACATCGGCAATATAAAACTAGCATCGTCCCCCAGCTAAGACGCTCGACCATCTGTATTCCGGTGCTGCCAACCTAGGAAGGTGGATGGCTTAGTTACGGGCGAATCAATAAATTTGGGACTATGCAAAGCTTCTTAGAGATTTACGCTGTTGTTTCTGGTGTCTGACTGCTTACAGCCTGGGCGAGGGCATCTATAAACCCTAAACCCTGGCTCAGAGAGATTTTGGCTATGAATATTGAGTACCTTTGAGCTCTGAAAGCAGTCGAAACGATCAGCTTCGTCGCCTTAGCTATCCCCCGTTAAGTAACGAGATTGAAATTCATGTTTCTCTTGGTTCTCTGACATTGATGTTTTCTTGGGCAGTCCTATGAACATCAATGCGCCTAGAGGGACTATCACCGTCCTTCGTTGGCTAATAGATCCAAAACATCCACCAAATCAGAATCGATAGCCGTGTTTGATCATGTCTACCCGTCAAATACAAGTCCCGGGGGTATCCTGATAGTCATACCAACTATCATAAGCCACGTTGTCGCATAGTAACGCCACTGCCACGTCAGCGCGACATAAATCCGAGAGTCGCAGATACTATCCATATGAAGACATACATTGACTGACAACATAACTTTAGCATTAGGATATACATAATACAGTATCCCCCAATAGGCCTAGAACTCACGCATTCACCATAATATCTACGTGACAGTGACTGGCATGTCTTCAACAACTCAGTCACCATCAAACCAGATGTCAGGTTTCGACCCTGTCGTCAACAGTCCGCCACTGAGTGTTTCTTCCATGGCTATTAATCAAGAAACACCCCCTTTTGCCACTCATAGCCCCCAGAATCTCCGTCAGGCTATCGTCCGCTACCTAAGAGATGAAGTTCCAGAGTTCCAACGGTTGTGGGAACTTCGGCAGAAGGTCATGGTGAGGAATCCTTTATTAAGGACACTATACTAATTTATCCATTCTACAGGGCTGGGAAAATCCGGAGGGTGACCGTTTCTTTGAGAGGCAGCGTCAAGTCGCTGATCATGCCGACAAGAAGACAGCAAGGCAATTCTTCAACATGATGAAAGGGATAGGACGAGAGATGCACCGGGTAACCAATATCTTCCGCATCAATAGCATTCGACCGAGTATCCTCGACATGTGTATGGCACCGGGCGGCTTCCTCGCAACAGCACTGGAATCTAATCCTGGGGCCCGCGCCGTTGGGTTCAGCCTACCGAGGCGTGAAGGGGGGCACAACGTCCTTCTACAAAGGAGCCCCGATATCTCTCTTAAATTCCTTGATATCACTATGTTAGCTGAGGATATGGGCCGTTTTGGGATCCCCAACGAGCACCCTGACGCTGGAAAGTTCCTTCCTCGGCAGTTCACTCCAGAACAAGCATTCGACCTAGTTATATGTGACGGTCAGGTTCTTCGGGAACATCCCAGGGCTACATACCGTGAGAGTCGTGAAGCAAGGAGGCTGATTCTGACACAGCTCGCCCTCGGACTGGAGCATACAAGACCAGGGGGATCTATGATTATTCTTCTTCACAAAGTCGAGGCACCAGCAAGCGCGCGGCTACTATATACATTCGAGCAATTTGCTTCAGTACAACTGTTCAAGCATACGAGGTTTCATGCTAAACGGTCCTCTTTTTACATGCTTGCAACGAACATTCGGAAGGATTGTTTGGAGGCCACCACAGCGATTAGGGAGTGGAAAAGAATGTGGGACATTGCAACATTCGGAACTGATGAAGAGTACCGGGAAATGCTCTGTATGGATGACCAAGATGCCGATCTTTTTGTGAAGGAATTTGGCCCTAGGCTAGCCGTATTGGGCAAGCATGTGTGGGAGATCCAAGGTGATGCGTTGGCGAAAGCTCCCTTTCTTCAGCAACAGGGAAGCCCTGATAGAAATGGCGGAAGGTCAGATCTGCCAGTCTTGTAAGTATGAGGATAGCTGGGCAATAGGTATCTGAAGGGTGTTAAGGCACAGATCATTATGAGGTCGCTTAACAAACAAATGCTAAGCAATATACATAGATCTATTGTTTGGCTGCCTTTGTATCTGATGAGAAGTGCAGTAGGTCGTCTTCCGTTCCCTAAATGTGTGAACTGAAACGGATTATTACCGTTCATGTTGCCGACATCTCTCTTAATGCTCATTGAACAAAGAATACCATGAGTGGCAGATCTCAGATCCCCTCTTTGCAGACGCCTGGGAAGTATGTAAGTGATCCCCTGAGCGCCCTCTTAAGGCGGCCTCATCCAAATAGTGAAGGTCACATTGATTCTAGAAAATCAAGTCTGTATAGTGACATATGTGAGACCGATCCCAATAATCTATAACATCGCTATAACCGAAACGAATATCCCCATCCCAAGTATACAAACCAAACGCCAAAAGCTCACCCCGCCAATCTCGTGGAGTGAATGTCCAAAGTGTAAAATCTAAGGTATGCAAACAATAAAAACACACAGCCGGTGCGAAAATGATATATAGAAAATGTAGAGCTATCACATGCTCAGCAGGCTCATCTGGCGTTTCATCGGACTGGCCGAGCCGGACTCGCCGTCTTCACTCGGTCCGAATCCACTGTCGGTGCCGGTGAGCCCAGCATCGGGGTCAATGTCCCATTCCTCGTCGTCATCGTCGTCGGGGAGGTCGCCTTGATCACGGTACCAACTCTTCTGGACAGCACCGCGGGTGTTCCATCGCAGTGCGCGCTGCACACTCTGGAACCACTCGCCATTGCCGGAGACGACCGTGGGGAACGGATACTGACTGGCTTCGACAGTCACATAGTCCCCTTGACGGAGTTCCACGCGCCCTTTGCCGTCGAACGAGCAGTATGCAGTGGATCGAGACCCTGGGGGGACTGCAATCCGAAGCGACAACGAGTCGGATAGTACCATGGGGCGGAAGGATAACGTGTGAGGGCAGATCGGGGTCAGAAGGATCCCCGGGATGGAAGGGTGGATCAATGAGCCACCTGCGGAGAGGGAGTACGCGGTCGAGCCTAGCACAGTTAGTCAATTACATTCCGGATCGGCAGGGGCGTCGATACATACCGGTCGGCGTGGAAAATATGCAGCCATCCGCTTGAACCACAGTAAGGAGCTCGTTGTCCGCATACAACTCCAGGTTGGACACGTAGGGCGATGGACCTCGGTCAATGACGAGTTCATTCAACACCTCAAACTGCTCACCCTCCTCCACGGCATCCGCGTCCGCCCCTTTACTCCGGTCTTTCCGGAACACAGTGCATGTAAAGCGCATGCGTAAATTCACCCGCATCCCCACGTCTCCCATCACGGCGTTTAGATGTGACTTGTAATTTTCGAACTCGAAATTCGTCAGGAACCCTAAGCTTCCGAGGGAGAAGCACAGGATGGGCGGCACCACGCGCTGGAAGAGCCAGGATGTGAAGAGCACCGTTCCATCCCCACCTAGCGTAAGGACGAGATCGAACTTCTCTGGCGATGACCAACACAGGTCGGGAGTCCAGTAGCGAAGCATGTCTTGGAATCGGGGCTCCTTTTCTAAAAGCCCTTGCGCGTCAAAGCGCTTCGAATTCCGTAATTTGGCGTCGACATAAACGTTGACGCCTAGATCATTTCCATACCGCGGCGTAGAAAGAAGCCATTCGGCGAGTTCGCGCGTCAAATGTACCAAGCTATTATCACGCGCTTTCGTCACAATCATGACGTTCCGCACGGCCCGTTTGATGGGTCGGCGCTGCAGCTGTTTGGACACCTCCCGGACGCCGGTCGCAGTCTGGACGAGGCGCGAATGCGACAGCCACTCATCATCTGTGATTTCCTCAAGGACCTTCTGGATATTAACCGCGTCGTCAAAGCGCTGATGGAAGAAGCACGGCGATTGCATGATCAGCCGCGATGTGCGATCATGGCCAAGCTGAAGGTTGGACAGTGCGCTCGACAG